ACTCGTGATTCACTTCCTGCGCACTGCGTCTCTGCGGACACTCACCGTGAGTTGCTGCACGCCCGGCTTTGTGTCTGCTTTTGCCCTCGTGCGACTTCCTGCAGCCTGTCAGCTTGTGCTGCAGCACCTCCTCAATCGCCCCCTGCGCCGGCAATCCGCTCCGCCGCCTTGTCGTGGCGCCGGTAGAAGTTTGGCAGTTTGTCGGCTTCCCGGAAAGTCGTGCGCGATGAGATCCATAATTTCAGGATAATGCTGCTCTTCTCGGCGAATAGATCCTTTGCTGAGGTACGTCGTACTCGTAGATGTAGTCCTAAAAGAGAAATCACAGGCATATGAGACTCCACACAAAGTCAAGATGCCCCATTTGGGATGAGATTTATCAACTGGGAATTCTCGATAAAACCGGTACACTATTGAGTTTTCCAACAATCCCACACTTGCAAAACCTTCTCACCTCATTGTACTCCTTGTTGGCGTACATTTTGCAGCGATTTTTGAGGTATTTGCGCTGTTTTTCGCAAGGAAATGCGAACAAAATAACACTGAAAGTCCAATGCCTGTGACGTTTGCAGGACGACAATGTCGATAAGTCGGTAATGTCGGAATAGATGCTTTGCTGAGGAACGTTGTGCCCTTCTTCCGCCCGGCGATGCCCTTCCCCGTGCCACTCTCGTCGAAGCGCTCGCGATGCGATCCCGTGTACTTCGACGTGTCCGTGAGGCAATTCACGGCGGCCGACGCCTTCCCGGCCTGTGAAAAGAGAGACTCGTGATTCACTTCCTGCGCACTGCGTCTCTGCGGACACTCACCGTGAGTTGCTGCACGCCCGGCTTTGTGTCTGCTTTTGCCCTCGTGCGACTTCCTGCAGCCTGTCAGCTTGTGCTGCAGCACCTCCTCAATCGCCCCCTGCGCCGGCAATCCGCTCCGCCGCCTTGTCGTGGCGCCGGTAGAAGTTTGGCAGTTTGTCGGCTTCCCGGAAAGTCGTGCGCGATGAGATCCATAATTTCAGGATAATGCTGCTCTTCTCGGGAAGATCCTTTGCTGAGGTACGTCGTACTCGTAGATGTAGTCCTAAAAGAGAAATCACAGGCATATGAGACTCCACACAAAGTCAAGATGCCCCATTTGGGATGAGATTTATCAACTGGGAATTCTCGATAAAACCGGTACACTATTGAGTTTTCCAACAATCCCACACTTGCAAAACCTTCTCACCTCATTGTACTCCTTGTTGGCGTACATTTTGCAGCGATTTTTGAGGTATTTGCGCTGTTTTTCGACAAATTAATTTAGAGTTAAGAGTTAATTTTAACAGTCTTGTAATCAGTAGCGTTTTACAGTACACACAAGGAAATATTCAATAGATTTATGCGGGTCTACCTTGTGCCTTGCATCGCTTGGTAGATCAAAACCTAAAAAAATCGCGGGCCGCCTTCGGCGGCCCGGTGCAGTCCACCTCGCCTTGCGTAGCTCTGGGACCAAGACCCAAAAAAATCGCGGGCCGCCTTCGGCGGCCCGGTGAAGTCCTCCTCGCCTCGCGTTGCTATGAGACCAAGACCCAAAAAAATCGCGGGCCGCCTTCGGCGGCCCGGTGCAGTCCACCTCGCCTTGCGTAGCTCTGGGACCAAGACCCAAAAAAATCGCGGGCCGCCTTCGGCGGCCCGGTGAAGTCCTCCTCACCTCGCGTTACTATGAGACCAAGACCCAAAAAATCGCGGGCCGCCTTCGGCGGCCCGGTGCAGTCCACCTCGCCTTGCGTTGCTCTGGGACCAAGACCCAAAAAAATCGCGGGCCGCCTTCGGCGGCCCGGTGCAGTCCGCCTCACCTTGCGTAGCTCTAAGACCAAGACCCAAAAAAATCGCGGGCCGCCTTCGGCGGCCCGGTGAAGTCCTCCTCACCTCGCGTTGCTATGAGACTAAAACCTAAAAAAATCGCGGGCCGCCAAAGGCGGCCCGGTGCAGTCCACCTCGCCTTGCGTAGCTCTGGGACCAAGACCCAAAAAAATCGCGGGCCGCCTTCGGCGGCCCGGTGAAGTCCTCCTCACCTCGCGTTACTATGAGACCAAGACCCAAAAAATCGCGGGCCGCCAAAGGCGGCCCGGTGCAGTCCACCTCGCCTTGCGTAGCTCTGGGACCAAGACCCAAAAAAATCGCGGGCCGCCTTCGGCGGCCCGGTGCAGTCCGCCTCCCCTTGCGTAGCTCTAAGACCAAGACCCAAAAAAATCGCGGGCCGCCTTCGGCGGCCCGGTGAAGTCCTCCTCACCTCGCGTTGCTATGAGACTAAAACCCAAAAAAATCGCGGGCCGCCTTGGGCGGCCCGGTGCAGTCCACCTCACCTTGCGCAGCTCTGGGAACAAGACCCAAAAAAATCGCGGGCCGCCGAAGGCGGCCCGGTGCAGTCCTCCTCGCCTTGCGTAGCTCTGGGACCAAGACCCAAAAAAATCGCGGGCAGCCTTCGGCGGCCCGGTGCAGTCCACCTCGCCTTGCGTAGCTCTGGGACTAAGACACGAAAAAAATCGCGGGCCGCCGAAGGCGGCCCGGTGAAGTTCTCCTCGCCGTGCGTTGTTCTGAGACCAAAACCCAAAAAAGTCGCTGGCCGCCTTCGGCGGCCCGGTGAAGTCCCCCTCCCCTTGCATTGCTCTGAGTCCAAGACCCAAAAAAATCGCGAGCCACCTTCGGCAGCCCGAGTCCTCTGTGTCTTGTGTGGCTTGAGAGACCAATGCCTAAAAAATCGCGGGCCGCCAAAGGCAGCTCGGTGAAGTCCTCCTTGCCTTGCGTTGCTCTGAGATCAAGACCCAAAAAGGACACAGGCCGCGTTCGTTAGCTTGTTGACGCGCCATTTGTCAATTTCAAATCTTGGATCGTTGGCTCGCCATTTGTCAACTTCAAATTTTGGCTCGTTGGCTCGACGCCCCCGATAAAACCTGGCTTGAGCCAGTTCATGGGACTGGCTTGAGCCGAGGCTCACGTTCACAAGTGAATTTCCCTTGTGATTCCTTAAACTGGCTTATGACACCAGGAAGAAACGTTTGTATGACAAACGCACGGGGCATGTCGCATCTTTTCATGAGCCATTCACTAGTGATTGTATGGCGCGACTAAAGCCACTCTTCAGCCATTTCACAAGCCCGGGCTAAAGCGATTCTCAGGGTCCTTCACAAGCATTGGGTGGTGTCTGGGCACAAGGGGGGCTAGTGAATTGGCTCAAGCCACGCCAAAGGACTTTCCAATGAGAAATATATTAAAAATCATGATATTAATTTTGTTCAAAATATTTATTTGTCATTCATTTTTTATTACATTTTTTACATTTTTTCTTGTTTTCCTGTAAAAATAAGTTTTTTTTTTTAATGAAATACAAAATAGTTATTCTATTATTATCTCAATTTGACCTTATTTTTGGTGTAAAGGAGGATTTTTCTTTCAAAAAGAGAATCTAATAATTTTGTAAAGATAATATAATTTAATACAATACTCCTGAAGTGGTCCGAATGGCTGCATTCTCTTTGTCGGGATCAGCAACGCCAGACAGTCGTTTCCTCTTGCCGCACATCCGCTTTGCGGGTTGATTCCTTATTCCTGGGAAGATCCTTTGAGTGGCCGCAGCTGTTAAAATATTTAAAATATATATTATTAGTTTGTGATTCCACTATTTTTTTTAATACAAAAATTCAATATTTATTCAAAAATGAATTTCAAAACTTCTGATACACATATAAAAGATATCAAATGAACATTTTTATTTAAAAATAGTAATTTTTAGAAGTAAAAAAACTTACTTTTCCATTATTTGATGATTCTTTTCCCATTAGATGAAGTTAGGAATTCACTTTGATCCATCGAGTCCTGAAAGGGAGAAATAAATATTTAATATTTTAAATTACTAACAAAAATCCCTAAACTTGAAAAAAGTATCTTAAAAAAAATATCGATTTTTTTATCTCGAAAAGAAAAATTTGCCTGAATTTTTTAGGTGTTCTCGACATATTTTCGCTACTGTACACGCGAATTGCAACACTGTCGAAACACTTATTGTCGGAACTGTATGCGTCAAGTTTTTCACTAATTTCACACGAAAAATCTTGCAGAACGCACCCCAAAGAAACTCAGGCATATTTTCTGCTCCACGCCAACTGCCGAGAGGGGGAGGTCAGCTGAGACGGTGCCTGCGGCAGTGAGAGATTTGCTGAAGCAGAAGAGAGCGCTCAGAAGGAGATGGAGAAATACCCGCCATCCCGTAGACAAGGCAAAATATAATCAGGCTGCGCAAAACCTGAAGCTCCTATTGCGCCAAATCCGTAATGACTCGATGGGCTCCTACCTGGAGAATTTATCAGCCACAAGCGCAACCGATTATAGCCTCTGGAAGGCGGCGAAGAGGCTTAACCGCCCGACCCTGTCTGTCCCTCCTATTAGGATGGAAGACGGGGCTTGGGCGAGGGATGATACTCAAAAAGCAGTGACCTTTGCAAGTCATCTCACACGTGTCTTTCAACCCTGGTCGAATGATCCTGCTCAATGGAATGGCGACTCTATAGAGCTGAACTCTGTAGGAACTCGGCGGCAAATGAAGAGATTCACCCTGGAGGAGATTCTGAATGTTCTTTTATACGAAGTCAACCCGAAAAAAGCCCCGGGATACGACCTTATTACGGCGTCGCTATTAAGAGAGATGTCTCCGAGATGCTTGAGGTTCCTGCAGAGGATTTTCAACGCTATTCTCCGACTCGGCCATTTCCCAGACCACTGGAAAGTTGCGCAGGTCATAATGATAGCCAAACCAGGAAAGAGACCGGAAGCGGTGGAGTCCTATCGCCCTATCAGTCTGCTGCCCGTTCTCTCAAAAATATTTGAGAAGCTCCTACTCAAAAGAATGAAGTTTCTCCTCAACAAAGACATTCTTCCATCACACCAATTTGGATTCAGAGAGGGACATGCCACCACTGAACAAATCCATCGCGTGGTTGATGAAATACACACCGCCTTCGAGGAGAAAGAGTACTGCGCGGCAGCCTTCCTGGACATCAGCCAGGCCTTTGACAAGGTCTGGCATGACGGCTTGAAACATAAACTGCGGCAACTTCTACCTACTTCACTGTCCCGTATCCTGGAGTCTTTCCTGACAAATCGAGTCTTTCTGGTGCAGCAGAGGGCGGAGCTGACTTCCCTCCGAGAGGTGAGCGCGGGAGTGCCACAGGGTAGTGTGCTCGGGCCAGTTCTCTTCCTCATTTACACATCAGACCTACCTGTACTGCCTTCAACAACTGTGGCAACGTACGCTGACGATACAGCAATTCTTGCCAGGAGCGACTCCCCGGAACTGGCATCTCGAACTCTACAACTTAGCCTCGAAAAGATGGAGCAATGGTTTCGGAATTGGAGATTTAAGGCAAATGAGGAGAAGTCGATCCAGGTCACTTTCACCTTGAGGAAAGGAACTTGCCCTCCGGTAACTCTGAATGGTCAACAGATCACGCAGGCGGACTCCACTAAATACCTGGGCATGCACCTCGACAGGCGTCTGACCTGGAAGACCCATATATGGAGTAAGCGGAAACAACTTAGCCTGAAGTGGAGGAAATTTTACTGGCTCATGGGAAGGAAGTCTCAGCTGTCCACCGAAAACAAGCTTCTCTTGTACAAGGCAATCCTTAAACCTGTATGGACCTACGGAATCCAACTCTGGGGCACAGCTTCGAGATCCAACACGGACATCCTGCAGCGATTCCAAAATAAGGTTCTCAGACAAATAGTGGACGCGCCCTGGTACGTCTCCAATGACTTACTACACCATGATCTCTGCATGCCCACGGTCTCCGATGAGATAAAGAAACTCAGCAGAAACTACAGGGAACGACTTCTCTCTCACCCTAATGATGCTGCAGGCAATCTTGCTATTGACCTTGGCGAGCATAGAAGACTTAGGCGCATAAAGCCCTCAGACCTCTTTAATTATATGTAAAGTCTCGGTGTGGGGTTTCAAAATTGGAATCCCTTTCTCTGTCAAAATTTCAATTCAACAAGAAAGCTGATTGTAATAATAATACAGATTGCTGGCAATAAAGAAACAAATGAAAAAAAAAAATATTTTCTGAGATAACCGCTAGCCCCAGTGGAGCCCCAACTAATCCCCAAGGCCTTCTCAGCTGATCTATTGCGAATTTACACGACAATTTTGAGATGGCATTTTTCACGTGATTTTACAACATTTTCCGCGGAAAAACCACACGAACGCATCTCAGAGAAGCTGGTGTGCATTTTCCGAGAAAAGCCGCAAGTCCCGGACTATTTTCTGGCGTGAAAATCGTCGAACAATTGCATCACTTCTCGCGGAAATAAAACAACATTTTCACGAAAACCCACTCGAATTTCTTCAGTATAACAACACAATGGCACTCTTGGGGGGTCAATGTATGATCTCCAAGGCAATAATTGGGTCCTTACCTGCTTTATTTAATGCAAATTTCCAGAGATTTGTTGATACACGTTGAGCACTGTTAGAAACGTCAAATCACTGCGCGCTTCACTTTACTCCTCGCATTAAGAAATAGAAGGCAGCAATCCTCACTCATACACAAACACAAACATGACAACGCGCCGCGTTCGCGTGTATTTGGAAGCAGTTGTGAAAAACTAAATAATTTCATTAGAGAATCACTAGCCAATTCACTACCTTCAGCCCGGAGTTTACCGGGGCCATATTTCAATTTCAAATTTTGGCTCGTTGGCTCGCCATTTACCAATTTCAAATCTTGGCTCGTTGACGCGCCATTTGTTAATTTCAAACTTAGCTCGTCAGCGCGCCATTTGCCAATTTCAAATTTAAATAAAGCTGTTTCGCAGTGGCGCCACCCAGCATGAGCGATGGTGGCGCCACCTGGAGGCCGATAGTGGAACTATGAGTAGCTCGCGCGATGGTGACGCCACCTGGTGGCCGATAGCGGAACTATGAGTAGCTCAAGCGATGGTGCCGCCACCTGGTGGCCAATAGCGGAACTATGAGTAGCAAGCCTGGGATGGTGTCACAACTTGCTGGTAGGTTTTCGTACTAACTCAAATCATGCCACGGTGCCGCCATTCGTCAATTTTAAATCTTGGATCGTTGCCACGCCATATTTCAATTTCAAATTTTGGCTCGTTTGCTCGCCATTTTTCAATTTCAAATTTTTGCATCTTGGCGCTATTTACCAATTTCAAATCTTGGATCGTTGGCTTGTTGACGCGCCATTTGCCAATTTTAAATGTCCTTCCCCGTGCCACTCTCGTCGAAGCGCTCGCGATGCGATCCCGTGTACTTCGACGTGTCCGTGAGGCAATTCACGGCGGCCGACGCCTTCCCGGCCTGTGAAAAGAGAGACTCGTGATTCACTTCCTGCGCACTGCGTCTCTGCGGACACTCACCGTGAGTTGCTGCACGCCCGGCTTTGTGTCTGCTTTTGCCCTCGTGCGACTTCCTGCAGCCTGTCAGCTTGTGCTGCAGCACCTCCTCAATCGCCCCCTGCGCCGGCAATCCGCTCCGCCGCCTTGTCGTGGCGCCGGTAGAAGTTTGGCAGTTTGTCGGCTTCCCGGAAAGTCGTGCGCGATGAGATCCATAATTTCAGGATAATGCTGCTCTTCTCGGCGAATAGATCCTTTGCTGAGGTACGTCGTACTCGTAGATGTAGTCCTAAAAGAGAAATCACAGGCATATGAGACTCCACACAAAGTCAAGATGCCCCATTTGGGATGAGATTTATCAACTGGGAATTCTCGATAAAACCGGTACACTATTGAGTTTTCCAACAATCCCACACTTGCAAAACCTTCTCACCTCATTGTACTCCTTGTTGGCGTACATTTTGCAGCGATTTTTGAGGTATTTGCGCTGTTTTTCGCAAGGAAATGCGAACAAAATAACACTGAAAGTCCAATGCCTGTGACGTTTGCAGGACGACAATGTCGATAAGTCGGTAATGTAGGAATTGTCACTCGCTACTACTGGACGCGTTACAAACCGGTTGCTTACACACTACTTACAAATCTCTTTCTTTGGCCTACTCGTAAGCGTATAAACTAATTCGACAAAAATAATTTAGAGTTAAGAGTTAACTTTAACAGTCTTGTAATCAGTAGCGTTTTACAGTACACACAAGGAAATATTCAATAGATTTATGCGGGTCTACCTTGTGCTTTGTGTCGCTCTAAGGCCAAAAACAAAAAAAATCGCGGGCCGCCTTTGGCGGCCCGTGTCCTTTGTACATTCTGTCACTCTTAGGCCAATACCTAAAAAAATCGCGGGCCGCCTACGGCGGCCTAAGTCCTCTGTGCCTTGAATCGCTTGGAAGGCCAATATCTAAAAAAAATCGCCAGCTGCCTTTGGCGGCCCGTGTCCACTGTCCTTTCTGCCGCTCTTAGGCCAATACCTAAAAAAAATCACGGGCCGCCTTCGGCGGCCCATGTCCTCTGTCCTTTCTATCGCTTTTAGGCTAATACCTAAAAATCGCAGGCCGCCTTCGGCGGCCCATGTCCCCTATACCTTGTGTAGCTTGGGAGGCCAATACCTTAAAACATCGCGGGCCGCCTTCGGCGGCCCGTGTCCTCTGTCCTTTCTGTCGCTCTTAGGCCAATACGAGGATATCTTCTCCTCCATCAAGTCCTTCTACACGCTTCGCGAGGACTTCCAGCCCACGTGTCTGTTCACGCGCTGTCACACGGGCAAGAAGAAGAATATCTACTTCAGCTCCGAGTCCATTCGTGACATCGTGTAGCTGAGCGGCGATCGCGTGAAGATCATCAACACGGGCGTGAAGGTGTTCGTGCGCTGCGATAACAAGAACATGTCGTGCGCCTTCAGGCTCGCCCAGGAGGGTCTGCCCAGTGTGAATGAGTTCGTGGGCAGCGACCGGAGGGTGCGGCTGGAGAGGAGTGATCTCGTGACGCTACTGCACAACACGGACCCCACGAAGCCGCCCAAGGTGGAGGAATTGACGGCGGCGAGCCAGGAGAGAATCGCCGGCGTGACGCCGGGCAGTTGCGTGCTGGAGTATCGCGAGCCGAAGCTACAGATCACGCTCGTGGGCTGGCGAGACACCACGAGCCTGCGCGCGTACGTCGACCAGAGCGAAACGGTGCACATGTTGCGACTCCTGCGCGCGGATTTGTCGCAATACGAGGTGAACAAGTTCCGGAAGCCCGTCGAGGAGGAGGAAGTGAAGGAGGAGGTGCAAAAAGAGGAAGAAGTGGAGCCAAAAGACGCCCTGCAGAGCCAGGAAGAGATTGTTTGATGCCTTTATAGTTTAAAGGCCATTTATCAATTTCTAATTTTGGTTTGTTGGCCCGGGTCCTCTTTGCCCCGTGTCACTGAGAAGCCAGGACCCAAAAAATCGCGGGTCGCTGAAGGTGGACCGGGGGAGTCCTCTTTGCCCCGTGTCGCTGTGAGACCAACACCAAAAAAATTTTATTATATGTTTGATATTTGTGTTTTGGTTTGCACAAAATCGATTTGGCGAGCTGACCGTATGTGTTTTCTAGATTCACAGTAGAGTACATAACATAAAATTTAAATACCAAACAACTTATACTGGAATTTCGAGAAGACTGAATTTATAATCACCAGAAATACATAAATTTGTGTATTTTATTTGCTAATCAAAGCATATGTAAACTATTAAATGTTCTCTTAAAACAAAGACTACAATAAAAATATTGTTTAAAATTATGCCTTATTTAGAAAACTTACGGCCAAGTATGGCTAGATAATTTATTTCTAATGCTGAAAACACTGCATTTGCAATTTGTAATTTATCATTTATTCATCTATTTCTTTACCACGCGTATCGTGTATTTTCCTTCCTACTCGCACGGTGGCTGTCTCGACATGTAAGAGTCGGCCGCTGACATAGTAGGAAAGAAAATACACGATACGCGTGGTGAAGAAAGAGATGAATAGATGACAAATTACAAATGCTGTGTTTTCACCATACGGATCAACAATAAATGCAAAGACACTATGTCAATTTCAACGTGGATTACATGGTTTAAGTAAATCAAAATTTGGTCACTACTCCAGTTCAGGGCCACATCCCTGATTGACCCAATTTTTGGACCAAATGATAGCTGATGATGTCACAAACATTTTGAACATTTAAACAGTCTTAATACTCATGGATTTTAATAAAAATTGTGATGGTCATTAGAGCAGTATAACGTGATGTGATGTATGTACCTACATTTGCACTGCGTGTGTCCTTGGCACTCTTATGTTTACGGTGGGGGTGATATGGCTAAATGGCACTCTCTTTTCATAGATGGATTAGTTGCAAGAAGCGATTTTCTTCCAACAGATTACTAAGGCTACTGCTCATGTCATTTACGATCATATTGGATGATGAAGGGTGGGTAGAAGACGTTACTGCGGCGTCCGTTTCAGTCCAGTTCTGGCAACTCTGCACATACTCCAGAGTGCGTTGATACACCTCTTGCCGCATGCCATGGCGGCTCTTTACATCTATCTGCGACTGACTTATATCACAGCACTGGATTTCTGTTGCCTTTGTTTCTACAGTGTCCACAGACATATTAAGGGATGCAATCTCGCTAAATTGTGGTAGGTAGTCACAGCTCGTTACCAAAGGTGCTGATATGACTTCTTCTTGCTGTATCGCTTGCACCTGTAATTATATTGACAGTATTGTAACCATTTCTGAACCATATTTTAAATGAACTTTTTACCTGATTAAGATACTGCAGCATTTCATCAGGAATAACAAGCTTTGCTTCAACCATCTCTCCCTCGGCCACCTCATCTAACATAACTTCTTCATTTGGATGGTGTAAGTGAGATTCACCCTCAAAGCGCTGTAAGTGTGCTGTCAGGAGGTGTGATGAGGGCACTGGTGGAAAGCTTTGGCCCCCTGTGGTTGTTGTACTCATTTGACTGGATCGGCGGGAGCTGCCTGGTGAGATAGGATCGTACAGTGATTGGGCGGCAATCCCTCTCGACGACACATGTGATATTTGACTACTCCGTCGGCTTATATCAGCACTGCGCATTGATCCATAGTAACTGCTGGCAACGCTGGTTGCGCTGTCCTTGCGTATTGGCTTGAGCTAGGAACAAAATAAAAGTTGTTAAAAATCTATAAAGTTTTTTGTTATACCCCCGCCCTCATTAAAATTCATAAAGATAAGATCTCATGATTTTCTCATATTTCATTTCTGATCAAGTCAGAAGGCCATATTTGAAAATCGACAATGTACCGGTGGCATTCGGCGTGTGAAAATCAAGCGGACTGATGGCTGACGGTCTCATGTGCCAAAAGACCGTATTATAAATATTCGTTCCATTTGTCTCACGACAAGTTGCGATAATCGCGTCGACATTTGCACTTGAGAGTTACCGATTATTACACGATCATCCTTTGTCGAGTAAACAAGAAAATGAAACGACATTTAATAGACCAGTGTTCAATGTCGAACAGAGTTTCTCATAAATTATTTTTTATCATACTTAAGTTCAATTGTATTCTGCATATTTTGGTAGATAAGTAGCAACAATGTAGCAAGCATGTGCCGCTACATTTTTGCACTTGGCGCATTGTACTTTTGCATTGCAAAATTTAGCATATCAAATTTCTCTCGCCGCGTGAGAATGCACTCTGGAATTGGTTTTTGCTAATTAAGCGTATTTGGCCAAGTCCAGAGTACAATCCACACGCAACATGCATTATTAGAAACGTAGAAATAAATTCAGTTCATCTCAAACAGCCGCTTGTGAGCACTCAATTTGCCCCCCCCCCCCCTCATATACAGTCCACTCAGTACTATTTATTTGACCAAAGTGCGCTATCGAGACAGGAAACTGCGTCAAAAATTGTGCTTTTGCGCATATATTTTCACATGGCGACTTTAATTAATTATATTTTGAAGAAATTAATACTGACAAATAATGAATCATTACAATTAATAATGAAAAATCTATTCAGTGGCTGGGGGGCCGAAGCAAAGGGCATTCAAAATGAGACCATTTTACTGTATCTATCAGCCGGGTATTATTATTTAAAGATGTGAAACATGGGACGGCCTTGTTGTTTAACTTCACTCGCTTTTATTCAATATCTACGTTTCGGAGGTGCTTTGCCTCCTTCTTCAGATATAGAGAAAATTATGGGTGAGTTTGCCCGTTGGGATTTCACAACTAGTCACACTCCACCACTCTTGCCTTCATTTTCTCCACATTTCAATCCCAACAACCAAACTCACCCATAATTTTCTCTATATCTGAAGAACGAGGCAAATCTCCTCCGAAACGTAGATATTGAATAAAAGCGAGTGAAGTTAAACAACAAGGCCGTCTCATGTTTCACATCTTTGAGATCATTTTGTCCACGCTGGTCTTCAATATTTTATGGATATTTAATGTGAATTTGGGAGACTGTGAGCCAACTATAATAAATATAAGAACATGACATGTTCACTTGTGATTTTACTCACCTCTACGCCAGGCTCCATTTTAAGATTAGTAATGCGACGATTGAGTTCACCAATAGCAGCATTTGCTTCGGGAATATTAGATAACAGAGTGGGTTTTGTGGCTAGTCGTGGACTTCTGAACCGACCACGAACTACACTAGTACCCCCAAGCCCGACCATAGCACGCAATACTACTGGTAAATCAGCTGCCTCTACATCATCATCTTCATAAGGCCAAGCTGGCTCCCCATCTGTTACCAGGCCTTCATAATCCTCTAACAACATGTTAGTGGTTGGTGATGTGGCTTGTAAAGTAGGTGAAGTTGCTTCAGACTCTGATTTGATGCTAGGGCTGCTGATACAATTGGTCTTCCCTGATGTTAGCTCATCACTACGCGGTGATGAATCTACGCAGTTACCTCCATCCTCGTTACTACCATGTGGATGATTATCGGTACCTTTGTGTTTCTTTGTGGCATAAAACTCAGCTCCATGTACGGTTTTAACATGTTTTCGCAGTGAACTTGGGTCTGTATAACGCTTAGTACATCCTGGCGCTTTGCATATATATGGTTTCTGTAAAAGCGATAATATAAGTCATTGAGCAATATGATAACGAAACTTTATGTTCAATCTATTTTTACCTCATTACTATGAGTGCGATTCTGATGTTTGGCACGATCTGATGCATTACTAAATGCTTTACTGCAGCCTGGATACTCACACATGTAAGGTTTTTCACCAGTATGAGAGCGCAAGTGAGTTTTGAGATTTTCCAATCGCGAGTAGGCCTTACAGCAGCCTTCAAACTGTAAAATAATAATTATGAAATATATTACAAGTACTTGCCGTCACAGGATTATGTTATGTATGTAATAAGTAACAGAGTGAAATGTACACTCACAGTGCACTTGTGAGGCTTTTCGCCTGTGTGTCTCCTCATATGAACCACCAACATATATTGTGCTTTGAAAGGCTTTTCGTCTCGTGTACATTCGTCCCACTGGCACACGAAAGACTTTTTATTTGCATGGATATGGTCGTTATTGATGTGCTTGACTAATTCATTTTGAGTTGCGAACTCTAGAGCGCATTCTCTCCAATGACAATTGGTTTCCACGAAATCACCTGGTTCGTCCTGAAATAAATGTGTATAATTTAAAACGTAATCCCAGATACATTACATAAAATTATTAATTTAACGCCAAATAATCTCTTAATATGTGTTCACTGGCAATCAGATCTTTGAATATTTGGTTTTTCTTCTTTTATATCTAAGAAATTAGGCATATCTTTAAAAAATGTTGATAAGTACACGCTTTCATATTATTCGCCTACTACATTGGAAAATGAGGCAACAGAAGAGAATGACATATACGTGAGAAGAAATTTCGTGAAGCACATTTTACGTGAAAAATTTTGCAGCGCGTAAAATATCCACCACTAACACTTGGTGGAGTTGTAATACGTGAAACATGGCAGGCAACATGTCCTTTGCTATAAATTTTATCTATTTGCGCAAAAGATCAGGAAATTGTCATTTGGATACCATGTGTAATTGATTGAATAGTCTCAGTGTATGAAGTCGACATTGAAGTGAACATTTGTCCGCAATTCATTAATTCCAGAATGCAATTTAACTGAAAAGTGCATTTCAACATTGTCACGCGACATATCAAATCATTCCCACAGTAGGGCAGTGTTGAGATAACCAATTTCTTTTTATTTTCCTTCAGGGGAAAAACCATGAGTTTTCATGCTTAATTTAAGAAAATGTGTGAAGATCAATAGACAAGGGTTGTGTGATTGATGTGATTTTGTCAACCGATTTTTATGGAAAAATCCTGAAGTTCAACCACTATTTTTGTGTGACAATACCGCTTCATTTTTATCTAGTAGTTATGATGTAAATTCCAGATCCTAGAATTCTGCTTTGAGCAACTTTTTTAATCCAGTTGAAGTATTATTGTATATGTAGCATAGACATGTGCGACAAAATTTTTTACAGTTATTAATTAGTTTGCCACTCAGTTAATACATCGTATTGAGCAAAATATCTACACATTACTGTATATAAATATTGTGTTCATTATTTTGACTTGTGATTAGCTAGTCCATTTCTATTCATCGAGTAAGACAGTTAATTTATAACAACTAACAAACAAGTGATCTCTCACATAAAATTTGCCGCTTATAATCGCACTATATTTCGGAAATAAAACATATGCATATTATTTACATTCATTTTTTAATCTTCTGCTTGTATTTTTCGACCAATTGCTGTAAGTCAAGTCGTAAGTGGATGTGTTATGAAATCCAAAATTTTAATAGATTAAGCTGTACTTATATAATTTTTTATCTTCAATATGTGAAAATTTCTATGTAATATTTCTTTGTCATGCATACTTTATGGTCTGTTGTATCCGCTGCTTGTTGCTCAAGAGGTAGTTCACGTTTTAAAGCCATTGATCGTCTCCTTATCGTTGCTGATGCACTGTCCGCCTCTACTTGTGCAACCTGACTACTACTACTAGGCTGATCATTTTGGCGTGATGTAGGTGTTGGTTCTTCCGTGCGAAGCCACGTAGTTGTTTGTGGAAATATGGAAAATGTAGAGCCACTTGCATTACGTAATAAGTGCGCCTGTAATTGCTGTAGATGTGGGGTCATATGCATTCCAAGGGCCGGACTTAGTGTACCCGCTGAAAGATGACCGTAGCTTCCAGCGGCTGAGGATGCTCTTGAACCACCCACAAGCGTGGCTGCCAGTGAGTTCGGCGAGAAGCGGATCATGCTATTAATGTCAAAGGTGTCGGAGTAAGGTGACGATGAAAGTGGCCTTTTGCGACTCACTGAAGTTCTCAGGCTACCTGGCCGTGGTGTACTAAGTCGTGAGCCATCAATGCTAAAGTGAAAATCAGCACTAGCGAGTGAATTAGCAACGTGCAAATCAGACAAAGGCGCCCGGCCAGCCAGGAAGTCTCCACTCAGATTTAGTCCTGCAAAGTTAGGACAGATACGGAATATTAGTTTTATTTCTATTAGTTGAATGTTTTACTCTTTTTAAAAATAATGCTTAGAGTGATTTTTTTTTAATTATTGTATGATTTTATAAACTCAAATATATGTATACAAAACGTGTTTCAATCTTAATTCCATTTCTAAATACCAAAATTTACTAAGGTAATGAATAGTAATTATTTTCATAGGTTGATAATGAAAAATTGGTTGCATTCAAGTAGTCATGCGTGTATATTTAGGTTCGCAAAATGGAGTTTATCTCTTCAGACATTTTTTTACTTTTATAAATCTGTTATGTCAAATAACGCATTTAAGTGTCGTTAACTGCAGTTTTTGTGGAAATCAGGCAAATTGTTGAATAAAAATTATTCAAGCGTCAGCTTGTGTGTTAAGCACAGTTTTCGCATTCCACACGCTTTCGTGACAAATTTATTACGCAATATGCCGTGAACGTATTCTATTATTCACTGGGAACAATTTCATAGTCATTTTCGATCTGTTTTTCCCGCGATTCACAAAAAAAGTGAGAAACGTTACCTCCAAATTTTCTCCGCGCACGTCCGACATTTTATAGCAAGCTATTTCATCTCCCGAATTTAAATTTTTACATTTGTAGCTCAAAAAATGAGAACATAATCGACTTTCAGGCGCATGGCAAGGAGATTTATTCACTGTAGGCAGAGAATTTCGATTAAATGAGTGTTGAAATGCTTGAGGGTAATTTCAGCATAATTCTCTTCCAGGTCTCAGTGATCAGGTTCAACGCTAATAAACTCCCTCAGATACACTTATCGGGCATACGAAATCTCACCTTTGCCTTATTTCCCTCATTCTAGCTAAGATGTATTCAATAACTTTTATTTGCCACATCTTCATCCCGGCGCTTCTGAGTTAATATACTAGAATTCTAACGATTACCACAAGAAACTGTATCAGGGCTTTCTAAAGATTATCTGTCATATATCAATTCTACGCTTACAACAGTTTATACTTATAAGCGACTATTAAATATATTCTGAGCTTCTTTTCCTCCTCTGTGCTCCCGCGCTGTGCATGTGCCTTCTTCTTGTCTGTTTAGTTTCTTTCCTTTTCTTCTCCCTGCATCGTCTTGTTGTGTTTTAATCTGCTCTTGCGTTGTGATTTTACTGATTTTTTGTCGATGTCCTCTTTGCTCTGCATTTCTTCTCTTTTTACATGCGTTCTTCCTTCCCTGCAACTGCTGTCGTACCTGTTTGGATGTTTCCCTTTTTTTCTTCTGCTCTGGCCCCTTTTTGACCTTTTCCTGGCTTTTTCCCTTTTCTATGTGCCTCTTTCCTTTGCTTTACTTTGTCTCTTCCTTTTTTCTTCTAGTCGTAACCCATTAGCGGCACCTCAAACTCACCAGAGCTTACGCCGCCTCTTATTCCTCGACGTCCTTACCTTCTTTATCCCCCCGCCGATGACCCGAAGCTTTCTCACACATAGCGGAACTGGGATAAGCATTAAGTTAAGAATTTGTTACTATCGGATAATGATGTGGGAGTTTCTGCCGTTTATCCCGCTGAGACTGTAATGAATGTCGGCGGCAGCTGCCGCTCGAGGTCCTATCGGTGACGGGACCGAATTGTACAGAACTCGAGTGTATTTGGAGTAAAATGAAATTCTATTCTATTCTATATTCCAATGTTTATTGAAATTTCGTTTGGACACCCAAATATTGCAGATTTCTAGTAACTGATTCTACAAAGGTGCAAATGATTAATATATGAATGGCCATTAGAACCTTTTCGTATTCTTCTCTGATAGTTTTGCAATCCAATACGGAAAAAAATTATTAATAGAAGAGAGTGTGATGTAAAAGAGGATTAAAACAACGAAGAAAATTTGTGCCACTTTTTGACAACAAAAATATGGTAACCCGTTCGAGAACTTTTGGCTGAAAATTTCACCGTTTAAAGATAAGAGAAAAGTCAATGTCTGCTAAGTCGCTAGGGTGTATTATGTGCTTTACACACATTTATACTTTCATACTCCGAGAGAATGCTTTAGCACTTTGTGGCCACAATCAGTATTTTCAAGATTTATTGTCATAATTGTATACTCTGTTAATTAAAGAATATATATGAATCCACGCACGCTCAATCACAACTGTGATTTCTTCGTGACTAAAATATAATAAAAAGCTACTAATATTTGAAGAAAGTATAAGAGTGTTTCTTTAAATGATCATTCAAAGACATAGGGAATCTTTATACCATCAAAGTGTTGTTTCGTTCATGATATTACGTGACTTACGGTCAAGCCTCGTTCATAATTTGTACGAACCTAGCTGTGTCTATAAATCGCATAAGTATTTTTTCGATTTAGCTTATATGTGTACAGCGTATAAGGAACATTTTTAACAACAATCCAAGTATATAAAGTTTTGTACTAGTTTAATAGTTCTAGTTGTATAAGTATATATAAAGTACTTACCGTGCAATGATGACGTTGGGCTGGCATGTTGCAGGCTGTACAGATGTTCCATATATCCAGGTGCAATCCGATAGGCGGGATGAAAGTCCATTGGTGGCGTGGATGTTGTTTCAACATCATCTTGCATCGTAGGAACTTCGGTACGTCGAGCTGTATTTAACCTTTGAAAATCGGCATAGTTGCTAGAGTTGGGAAATCTATAAAGATACAGTTAATTTGGTCGTTAGTCATTGGTAAATAAACATTTTGCGTCACTCTTCACGACGCGTCAAATAAAGGTACTGTGGGTGGGGATGGCGTGCGACCGTACATCGGATGCCGAGAGCACCCGAGTGACGTTCACACAAGAAAATATACACAAAACAGGCTACGTAATAATTGCTTCATTTCAAGTCTCACGAAGACGGGAAAGAACAGAAGAAGATAATTGAGAGATGAACCGGACAAGTTTAATTTTACAATGCAAGATCAATGGAAGGCCTTATGGGCGCAAGCCTAAGGCCGTAAAGCATTAAAAAAGATCAATGGAAAAAACTTCATACATGATTAAAATAGTTAAATAGGGAAAGTTTTTACATGAATAAAACAGGCACATAAATTTATTATAGTACTATGCGTTTTTAATACTATACATTTTGAAAGTTTAGCTTACATCAAGATGGCGGTCTTTCATTATTTTGTTGAAATGCAATAAAAAAATTAAATATTTTTATATGAATGTTTTGCAAATACATTTAAAAAGTGAGGGTTGCCCTGTTCCACCCACTTTCGCTATAATTTCTTAACAGCATGCGCTTAGCACAAAGAAAAACCGGTTGATTGAGATCGTGAGGAAGAGTGAAGCATTCTGAGAAAGCGACTTATGCGATCGATAATTGAAATGTTAAATCGATAATTTATTCGTCGAAATCGAAGCCCGTCGAGAATTTTCTAAGAATCTAATTTTTTCTCTGTCGTGCTCTCGCGCCTACTCGATTGGAATTTAAAGAAACAGGTCATTGCCACCATTTCACTATACATCCGTTCTTATTCACTTTTTAGTTCAGATGTAATAATATTTTCTGATTTACATTATAGCTACAACCTGTTGCACAAAAAAAAATCTTGCAAAATCATTTAACATGGTATTAGAGAGGCAAAATATAACAAAAAATGGAAAACATTTTTTTTGTGTTCTGCCAGTGTGTTACTCATACGGGCCTCTAGCGTATATACAGTAAAATATACTGACTGTTTTCAATATATTGTGAAAACAGCATTACAACAGCATTAAAATATGCTGTAACATTGTCAAATTCAACTACCAACCCATCCTCCGTCATTTTGAAAACCTAATAATCACATTTTCATTGTTAACTCAGGCCCTATGGCATGCATCGACCTCAATATTTAATATGTTGTGCATAGCTGGCACTATGAACTTTCTAATGAACTCTTTTTTAATTTTTCCGAACTATGAATATTAGAGGTAAAATTTCATTGTGTTCATATAGGAATAAGCTTCTACTTTGATTGTTTCATGGGCTTAAACGAATGAATATTCACAACTATTATCATTTTTTAACCATTTTCTTTCATGATACTGTAAGGAAATGCTCTTTATTGTAATTCAAACACAATATTTTGCGTTTCTCTCAAATTAATCTAAAGGAACTTTCAGAAATTTTCGGCGATTCTCAAAAAATGTAAGTTGATCGAAATCTGTCAGCTAACAACTGAAATATAGCCCTATAAATGTATGAATTTGAATCTTCCAAATCTCCGGTCCTAAAACATCAAGCGCCATAAGTGGGATATCATTGGAAAAGTCTTGGCTTCAGATACATTTATATTAAGACTCAGAAAATACAACCACTATGTGAAAGGTGTTCTGGCCAAAGTAATACACACCTTTAAGGTTTCAGAAGTAGTTTATAGTTCTCCTCAGTTCGAAAATGGTTTTTTCGACTTTAGCGACTCTAGCAATGGTTCTACCAAGTTTTTTTGTGGGAGATGGCATTTTACGCGACCTTTCCAATGAATACAAAATCATTCCGATCGGTTAATTAGAAGCGAAAATATAGCCATTTTATTTTTAAAATTTGAACTCTAATATCTATGGTTCAGTAGGTTCTAGGTAATTAAGTAACAGTTCGTTGGAGAGGTCTTGAGGTCAGCTATAACATACCAGAATTTGAGCCCGATTCATGTCATAGGGGCTGAACAATTGAGGAAAGTTGGGGGTGTAAAAAATGGCGGACGGAGGGGTGAGGTGTTGGATTTGACAAAAAAATCTTCATTAACAGTGCATACTTTTGACCTTTGCCGCAAATCGCATTTAGATATCTCTTACCGCTTAGGTCCCACAAGTCCCTTTGTCGCGACGGACGGACGGAACGACAAACGGACACGAAAATCAAAAAAGTGTCCCTTCCCATTTTCGTCATATTTTCACATTTTACCGTTACCTGAGTCCATTAGAGTTGTTTTTGCGAGGTTCGATTTTTTGCGCGATTACAGATATTAGCTGTGATGTATATCCCAGCAAATAATTTACTTAAAACAAACAGAGTTACTCTATCGTCCCTAAGACAACATTAAATAATCGTACGAATTGCCATACTCAATTGAGTCATTTTCATTTCACTTCTCCTATGGCTCTCTTCCCGTATGCTGCTGTTCATTTTTGTATACATACATACATACTTATTCTCGTGAATTCTTCATTTTCTTCGGAATCTGTCCTGCCCGTGCTCGTCTACCCTCAAGCAGATTTAAAGAGGAAAGATCAACGAAGAAGACGAAAGGAATAAAATATCTTGTGTAAATGGTCAGAGTTGATTTTGAGTACACGATTCGAATTTTAATATTATTTCTCTCGCTTGCCTTGTTCTTCTGCGTTCTCTTTTCCACATCCAACTACTTTACAGAGAATCGCTGGAAACGCGCTTAATAATGAAGAAATTATCTCATTCTTCTCAGCTACAGAATGTTAGCAAAGATGATATAGAAGAAAAGAGAGAGAAAAGAAATTTCAGGTAGACATTATCATTATCTTTTTCTCTCGCCTCTGCACGTCCCTTTTCATAACTGAATTGATGATCTCCGAAAAGGCACAGAAATTCTTTGGTGGAGAGCTTACAACTAAATATCAAGTTCATGGAAGGGTTTATTGCCGTTGTGTTTAAATTAAATGCATCGCAAGAGTAAGAATTCTGATATGGTGAATGGTTTTAAAGTGGTTTTTTATATTAAATTAAATATTTTGCCAGTATGTGACAAGGATGCGGGAAATGAGGCAAAAAGAGAAGTTTCATATTCTGTTTGTGTTTAAAAAGGAAATCGTTATATCCTTTAAATGGTGGCACGGTTTAAAAAAGTACCACGAAATTAGACAAGACAAAAAATATATATCAAAAATTGTATAATTTCGTTTTGACAAAATATTTGAATAGGTCGGGACCATCACTCATAGTGACAGACAAGATTACATTAATGCACTTAAAATACTGAAGGCATGCCCAAAAACTTTAGATCAGAATTGCAACATATACTATAATCAAGCTTGTCATGACTTCTTTTAAATCTTCGTCCCTGACATGTGCACATTTACTAGATGACCAAAGTATGGGGCATCAGTTTAAATCACGGATAAACCATCTACAAAGAAACCTCGTTGTTGTTAATTCCTAAGTATCAGGAGATACTTATTGCATTATCAAGAATTAGAATAAAACTAATTAGTTTTTTATGTTGCTTTCTCAATTTTTTTTTAATCTCTTGCACATATTTCAAAGTACAGTTTTTTCCTTTAACATATCCTATACAGGAAGGCCTGAGATGTAAATACATAATCACAGTGCTCATAAAGTGCTTCGGAGTGTTAAGTATTTATGTTTATGTTTATGTTTATTAATTCGCCCATAAGTATAAAGCTTTTGTGAGCGTTCTTTGCGTCCACCGACGTTTAAGTGTTGATGACCAACCTCCAGAGCAAAACGGTGGAAAAGCTCTTTCATAGCTTGTATAAGCTTACTTCCCCATCTCTTTTACTACCTCATTTTACTAATTTATTCAGGAAGGTTCTAACTTAGGTTACCTTAAGTTTCTTTCAAATTTTCTTTAAAAAATTTAAAAAAAAATCCATTTTATTTTACTCTTTAGCTAACGTTAACAACGCAAGGGTTTGTCAACATGCACATGATTTTTTCCATAAGATTATGAGTATAAATTGCATATTATTGACTAATTTCGTAAAAAAATTATAGTTTCTAAATATAAAAACATTATATTAGATTTTTTCCACTAATAAGCTGGATAAAAGTCTTTGCATATATCGCCTAAATTAATGCGTGTTGAGTAAAATATGAAAAGGAATATCGAAACAGTCTGAACCCAAAACAACAAATAGAGGGTTATGAATACGATGGAGAACAAAAAGAGAGTCAAGCAAGTCTTGAGAGTTGATTGAGTCGTTTGAGATCTTGTGAACGTGGGTACGAAATTGTGAGACGCTTTTGTGCTACAAATATCACTGGACGTGACTTGATGTTTGGAATTCGGCTCTGTACTTTGTGAGTTAAAATGTTGCTGACGCTTCCACCAACACAGGCAACAACGAATGAGACGAAACAAGAAAAGAAACCGTGAAGGCTAGTGAAAGGAGAAGAAAAGTGGGGAAGGGTAGGAGGAATGCTGGGAGAATCATCTTAATTGAGTTATTTATCGCTTCATGAATGCATTTGTTTCTCAACATACTTTTTCACGATCTCGTTTTTCGCTCAGCGGTTTTCTTTCGATGTGTTTTTTTTATTCTTGTAGTTTTTGTTCCACCCAAGTCATGTCCAAATTTCCAGTGCAACTCTGAACAAATAAGGGACAAAACTTCTTCGGAAGCTTCTCACCTTATACATGAACAAACAAATCATTCTATCAATATTTACAATTGCTCGTTCATGTCATAATTTTTCTTAGTACTCATTTGTGTATCATGTGTAGAACGAAAATTTTTAATAATTATAGCAGATACAAAAAGGCTAAATTATTTTATAAAATGTACTAAAGTATATGAAAAATAGATTTTAAATCGGACACAGATGAAATTACAGAAATTTCAAAATATGGTTTTTTCAAATGTTTGAGCAAGTAATTTTTTGTCACGTGTTTGTTGTAATAACAAATGTGTTATTTATTAAGAATCAATTAATTTAAACATTGTAGTTCTTAATGCTCTAATATCGCTGAAACACGACGATGCGAAAAAAGATATATTGTTTTAAATATTGCCACGTCTAATGAAGCTCTTTTCCTCACGAAAGGGAAAATTTAAATCTGTTTGCCATCTGTGGTTGAGATTTTGATTTCGTCTCTCTTTTCGAGCCATTTTATTTTTGGCTCGAAGTGTTGAATAAGATCTCAAATGTGAAAAATGTGTAGAAGTGGACAGAAATGAATTCTATGAAAGAAATTTCTTGGAAAATAATCTGGTAACCTGTCGTTGGGGTACTCTCATACTGAGTTCTTTTATGTATAACATTCTTTCTTTTCTCGTTGCCTTTTTTGTCCTTTTCTCGGGAAAGGGATTTTTTTCAGTTACAGACATATTAACACCCGAACTAAAATCTGCAATTTTTTCGTAAATTTGATACGTAACTTATTGCTACCCTATCTGAAGAAATTCAAACAGGGTGATGCAGAAAAAATATTAGGAGGAAGGGAAGTGCACATACACGTAGAGTCCTTTGCGTTTGGAGAATATCATGGTGACTCGTTGAAGAGCCTCCGAGGAGCACGCGGGGAGACGGGCCCAAAGATCGACTCCTGGCATTAGGCGGAGGCACCTCTATTGGTATCTACTTCATTCGATGGGGCAGGGCAGCCCACCCTCCATCGCATCTCCACTAAGCAGCACCCTACGCCCGCAGTCGGGCTGAAAATACTTGTGCCAAGCCTAATCTGAGCAAAAGGAGACCTGAGCCAGACAGTAATTCCATCAAACGTGCGTATTTGATTTGATAGATTTCATAAGATTAATTTCAGAATAATAAAAATCTATCTAAATCTATCTATCTAAGTAATTGAATTGGTAGATAAATTATTAGTTTTCTGCATATTGAAATGTTTTCTGTCTTTTGCAATATAGCTTTGTGTATTATAATTAGAAATCCTCAGTTAAAATATTGCAATTGTATGTTATAAATTCCCGATAGCAGTAGTAGTATAACAAAACTTTTAGCTTTCAAATTTTGCGGCGGAATATTGTCGTAGCTCTTTCTTGGCAAGCGTTTTTATTCTTTTGTTCTTGCTAATTTATAACGTTATGAGACAAGTAGGTAATGGAAAATAGGAAAGAAGACTGGAATATCTATAACCGGCTCTTTCCTGGAATTTTTGGTTGCAGAACAATTTACTTACTTACGTGGATTTAACATCCCATTGAGGGCCTTAGCCTTCTCCATTAGAGGATATATTCGAGACAAGTTTTTGTTTTACGGTGGCTGATTGTCAGTTTGCCGACCAACCATAAGTGGTTCTAACGTCAACTTTAAGGGCGGCCGTGGTGCAATCGGTAGAGTACCGCACTGAGAATATCACGGTCGTGTGTTCGATCCCCGTCACTTGCAAATGATCGAACACAGCAGATGCGAAAAATATTAACCCTTTCAATGGAAAATATATAAATTCCAGCCCAAAATAAGGTTGCTGTTAAATGTTTCAACTGAAGTAGAAACCTCTGTGGAAGTGTATTTCGCATCTGTCCTTACTTACAGATGGGAACAATACCAGACTGGTGTCGCTTGTAAATAGCGATATCGTCTTCAAATACGCTTAAGGCCAAGATCTGCTAGTCTGTGAATTTGACTGGCTCACTTGAATAGCCTTGCCTCTGAGTGGGAAAAATCAGAGAATAACGGGACAGGGACGATATAAAATAAAATTAAATCAATGAAAGTCACAGGCCAAAGCTGTACCGTCTGAAAGGTAACTAAAGAGAATCTGGATTACTGGTTATCCAGTAATCAGTGGGATTTGAACCAACGACTGTCGCATTAGAAGTCAAGCGTTCTTACAACTGAGCTACAGCCGCCTTCTGAGAAAACGCTGAAAAATGATTATAGTTATGTGATTTTTTGTATGGAGAATATTTAATAGAATATTCATTCCCTTCTTTGCTTTAAACCGTTCCTTGTTGTTCTTATAATATTATTTGTATAAACGTGTTTTTATTCTATAACAGGTAAAATAAATTTTCATATATGGTTTTGGGAGGGTGAGATGGCTTGAATTTCGTACAAGTTCCGTATTACATGGGAGCACTTCAGGGAACATGTCAGATTGCGGACGGTTTGAACCAATAGAACGCAACCACGCAAGACGCGCTATAAGAAAGAGCCGTGAGTTGCGAGAGTCGAAAATGAATCAAATCGGAGTCACGGCAGGAGTTAAAACACCCACATATACTTCTCCACTGCGCTGACGACTCGGATTTTTGCTATAGTCCGACTCTATTATCCAGTTGAAATAGATTTATCAACGCTCAAATTATCAATTGGGAAAATTTATAATATTCTCCAAGCGATGAGTTACAGAACCTATTTTGTACATTTCATATTATCCCAATTTAATTCTTTTATTTCATTTACTGCTGATCTACATATGCTGATCAACATACATCCTACCAAAAATCCCATATTTGTATCAACTTATTTCAGACCTAAGAAGTAAAAAACATACACCGAAATCTCGTACTGAGAAAATAAAAGAGTGAAATAGCAGTAAAGGCTATATTTTCTTAATATTATTTGAATTACATTCTTTAAACTTTCCTTAGTTTGCAAAGATTTAAAATTGACAAAACTAAAAAATTTATTTAAAAAAACCTTTAAACATTTTAGCAAACCTCTAATGTGTCTTATTTAGGCGAAAGTAATTTATAGTTGGTTAACGATGGTGGTGTAGTGACAACTAGAGATAGACTTACTTTGTTGAGAAATGAAATAGTCTTCCCTCTATGTACGCGAGTCTAGTCTTGGGATAACAATATACACCAATAATAAAAGTAATCGGTTTAATTATTGGATTTTTAATAGTTGCGCCAGGATCTACTATAATAATAAAGTTTAGAAAAAAAAATCATTCAACACCCAGACGTCAATGGACGCAAATCTGCTCACAAAAGCGTGTCTTATGAATGACTAAAATTATACATATTGTTATTTTGAAATATTTCTACGTAAATAATTATTTTCGAATTTAAGACTCGTCATTTATTTTTGATCGTTTCCGCACAATATTTTTATTGTGTACATAAGGTCTTGCAAATAAATAAGAAGAATGTGCATAATCGTGTTCATTTGAAGCGTTTAATGTATTGGATGGCTCAAACTTGTAACAATAATGTGCTACAAAATTGTTTACAAATTACAATAAAAATGTTTATCTAATTAAACAGGACATAATAAATGTATCCGTAATCCTTAATATCACAGGAACTTACCCGTGGTGAAATGAAGTTGCAGCAGCTACAGCAGCATCCCAGAGATAAAGGCCGGTTGGGGGTTGCGTTGGTTCAGGGCGAATAGTAACAAAGGCAGACGGAAAGGGTGGTGGTGGTGCTTGGTAAGCGGATGAATGTGGAAGAGGATGCGGGTGGTAAAGATGATGAATTTGCACCTGATCGTGCGGGAAGGAAGTATCCTTCTCCGGCATCACTCCGCGATCGACATGGCAAAGTACATGAAACAGACTTTCGTGTTAGCGAGCACACAACTCGGACGCAACTGGCGTTTGTGATCGCACAGTCAGCGTGGTGGGGATGCGTGAAGGAGACGGTCGTGACAACTCTATTAGTGATCTCTCTCGGGGGTGTGGTTTTATGCCAAATAGAGTAATCTTCGGGCTACAAAAAGAGATGTCCGCTCTGGAATTTAACCTGATTCGATGTTTGTGATGCTGATGGATACAAATACAGTAATTCAGGAAAAACATCTATATAGTACTTAATTAAAAATCTAATTTTTCACATAACACAAAAATATTATTTTTATAGAATTTTCAGTAAAATTCTAGGATCGAATAATGCATGCAAACATTAGGCATTTTCCTCTTCATGAATTGTTATATATATATATATATATATATAGTTGCTCAACAATTCATCATAAGACAAATTATTGGTACTAAAATATAAGGAATAAGTTTAATGAAGTACCAAAAAGATTCAAAAACGATTAGGGCTCAAAGTAATTGTAATATATATATTTCAATCCATTCATTTATTTCACAAAGCGGTATTTATATTGTAGGATATAATAGTTTTGCGATAAATGGAGAGCCGTCAGGGAGTATCACAGCCAGGGTTCCGAGTGGAGCACATATCGGCAGGATGGGGGGGGGGGGGCATTATTATTATTATTGACTTGCAGTAAACTATTAAGGAGTACATTTTTGAATTCAGCAAGGTATTAAAAACAATGAAAAAATAATACAGATAGGAGTAAGAGTAAAGCAGAGTATAAGCATGCACATCAATATGAATGCTATATGAATATATATTCCAGTAAAGATGAAACTATATTATCTCTAAACACCTGTTTGCATAGGAATAAAATTTGTAATAATAAAACAGACCAGTTCTAGAATGATATGAAAAAGAAGTAAAAAATAGAATTTAGTAACATTAGTAGGTACTATTTAACCGTATGCTGGAATTTCTTTGACATTTTCTAAATGCGATGAAGTTGATTGAAAACTAGAGTAAAATGACCAATAAAACGAATGGGTTTAAAAGAAAACATTCCATAAAATTTTAATCAATAACACATAGATTGTATGACTTTTTTCATTTAAGTAAAATTTGATTATTAGGAGTGTAAGTTTAAAATCATGTTATGAGACATTTAGTTTATAGCTAAAATAAAATTAAGAGACTACCTCAACCATCGGATTTAATGTATCTTTAACACTGGAAACGGCGTTTCGGGCACCGTGACTAAATTTTACTCTTAAGCTTCGCTGTACTGCACGTAAAGACTTGTGGTTTGAGATATGTACAGATTTTCAAAAAGCCAAGGAAATAAAGCTAATTTTTCGTCAATAGCACCAAAAAGTTAAAAGGTTCACTTTTTATTTGCAATCGGTCAATAATATTTGTACGTTCAAAACACTTGTCATTTCCCATTTTTGAAGTGCAGGAAAATTCCGTTTAAGGGGCAAAATTCTTCTTATTAGCGTGAAAATAGTGTCTAAAGACTTCAAGTCAAGATGTCAAGAAAAACATTCATTTGAAAATTTATCTGCTAAAACCATTATAAATTGATCATACTGATTTATTCGTTCAAAATAAAGCTTGCTCTAGACCTTTCTAGTGTTAAAAAAGTAAATACTACTTCTATGGACAGCATACGCCAGTGTGTGCTTCTTGCATCTAATTGTATTAGTAGTGTTCGCTACAATAGTTTAAAATCAAGACAAAAACCTTTTAAATTCGTTGTTCAAAGTGATTATTTCTGGATTACGTTGAAATTAGGGCGGTTGTGGATCAGTGGTCAACGAGCTTGGCTCTTGATGCTACAGTCGTGTGATGGAATCAAGTTTTTTCCAAATGTTGGAATACAGCATAGTGCATAAAATGAAGTCTTTCAATGGCAAATTGAGCAGCTCATTTGGTTGCTGTTGAATGTTCCAGTTGAAACATACGCTTCACTGGAATTGTCTTGCGCTGTATCACTATATATAAAGATGGACATTTAGAACCAATTATGGTTGATCGGCAAGGTATGACTTTGTCATCGTGAAACAAAAAATTTGTCTAAATATCTCCCTTAATGGAAAAGGCTTTATCTTGCCATGAGATGTTATGCCCTCCTAAGTAAGTGAGTAATTATACATATGTCGAAATTGACTTAATTCTAGTCTAGTCTATTTTATCTCTCAGTAATATACCTTTGTCGATTTCATCTATGTTTTCCTTCCAATGGAATAGGTTAATGCTCGCAATTCATATTAATCAGTATCGGATGTTAGGACGAACTTAGCAACATTTCAACGTAGTGAGATAAGCACAAAACGTTCACAGAGTAGAGGAAAAATTAATAATTAAAATAATTGAATCATTCTAGGATGAACTTACGATCTGTTTTCTGACTAAGGAACTTATCACACAGGCATATGTTCATTTTGAATTAGATTCGTTTGGAGAATGCAAGAACCATTCCGAATGTTTGAAAGTTAACTTTTTGATTTATTTTTGTCACAGTTTATCCAACCCCCTACCCCTCCGTCCGCCATTTTGAACACCCCCAAAATACATTTTCCTCAATTGTTCAGCCCTTATAGCATGAATCGGACCCAAATTTTGGTATGTTATAGCCGACCTCAAGACCTTTCCAACGAAACGCTACTTCAGGACCTAGAACCTTTCAGATCATAGATATTAGGGTTCCGATTTTGACACTCAAAATGACCATAGCTCCTTTTCTTATAAATTGATTGGAATGATTTTTTATTTATTAGAAAGGTCTCATAAAATGGCATCTCCCACCCTAACATTATTACTTGGTAGAATCATCGCTAATGTCAAAAAAATCATTTTTAAAATTTCGAAATCACATAACTCGAAAACGAAACCATGTATTTTCTTTAAATTATTGTTACGGCTTGTGACTCACCTGTAACAAGGATAATCTCAATCCCAGACTTGTAGTCGAGAGCCTGAGATCCCGAAGATAACTAGGGGTTGAGGAGGATGATGATGAGAGATGGCAGAATGACCTAATAACTATTTATTCAATATTTATTGCTTGATTAATGTAGGTGTTAACTATTCGGTGGCTTTCTCAGAAATGAGAAGTAAATTCCAAGAAGGGATGCTAGATGGGCATTCCCGTTTCGTTTCTTACGCCATCTATGGGCCTCAAACCCAACAATTGTAGTATGTTGTATTTGAGGCCAAGACCTTTGCAAAGAACTGTTATTTTTGGGGCTATATTCTTCAGGATCGGTTGATTCGGAGATGCGGATGATGCAATATGTTAAAGTGGTCGAGTTGGGTGGTGAATTGTATTTTCTGACCAGCTTTTGCCCAAAAAACCCATACATCTGAGGAAGGAGGAAAATATACTCCGAAACGTCATGCTTGGAAAAAATGAGCTTAAGCGAATTGGCCATTTTCCGTACATCGTTGAAAACCAATTCTTGGCCGAAAAATAATCACGGAGATATGGAAGGTTAAATTTCACACTTTTACAGGCCCATATGTCTGCTGTTTATCAACCGATTTTGATAATCTCTTCACTAAAAGATGTGTGTCGACGCCCTGTAGTAAACCGTATACATTAGTAGTCTGTGACGTTATAACGAACGCCGCTATATTGAAAAACCCTAAAAGCCAACAAAGTACATTAAAAGCCAAGTAAAGATAGTTTTTACCTAATTTTCTGACGGAAAATATTGATCGCTGCAGAATATTGCTGAAACTCCGCTAACATCTTCAAAGACGATTCTCAATTATAATCTTTGTCATCTCTAAAACTGCAATGTCAATGTGGAGAAAATAATAGATATATAATTAATAAAAATCCTCAGGAAAATGGCACAAGTGTCCGAATAAATATAGTATCCGGGCATGTGTGTAATTTTATTGAATTCTGTCATCTATACTTCACACTTACTTACCAAAGTCTTGAAAATACGAAGAAATTTTTTTGTTTTCAGTCTAGGAGTACAAAAAAAAAACATTTTTTCTTGTCTATGCAAAATTTAAATCACGTGTGTACACGAACCATAAATCATGGAATAAGAATAATACTATTAAATTTATCTTGATATTCTTTTAGAGCATCGGTGAACATGCGGTCCTTAATGTCCGCATGGTATTCCTAAACCGAATGGCTGTAGTTCAATTCCCAGCGATTGTAAAGTTTTTTCAGTCCTTTGGCTTGCACTTCCCTAACCCTCTCTATCCCTTCCACTCACAAAACTCTCGTCCAGGTTAAAAAAAATCAAATGAATCACAAAGAAAATTATATTCAAATGATCTGTATAATCAAACAGACAAAAAATATAAATCACTTAAGAGATGGAAGGAGACTATTTATCTATATCACGAAGGCGTTCGATTTGGTGCATCATGGCCTCCTGCTAGAGAAGTCAGAGTGCAGAGGATGAGAGCAAAAGTAACCGAGAGCAAAAGAGGTTCCGAAAGGTAGAATTGACTTTCTAGGCCCCTCACCGCCTGGCACTATACCTCATCCGGATCCAAACAACCCTCGTGACTAGGCTCCTTCGTCTCCCAGTAGCTTAGCGCCACGAGCCGCTAGCACAACGTCCTCCCTTCACCACCGACGGACACGCAAATGTACAACATGCGAATGGACTTTTCCATCGTTTTGTCCTGATTTCCCCACGGTCTCGCGCGCCTCACGCGGAAGGGCATTATAAAACAAAACCCTCAGGACATAGAGGGTACGGAAAAAAGTCTCATGCTCAGCTCGAGTAACAAGAAGTCCCCAGAGCCTGGTCGAGCCATCCCTCGTCAAGAGCGAAGCCAGATATTCAGGGAAGCCGGTGATGGAAAGACGATCTAAGAAAATTAGGGCTCGCATTTGCAGGAAGGAGGACAAGCTTCGGCCCACCAGCACATCCCTGTGGGCAGAGATGTGATCGCGGGAACCCAGTCCGCAGACGTACCTGACACAATTGTTGAATGCTACAGTCAGCCGACGGAGTGTGTCACTATCCGCCAGAAAGAAAAGCTCTGCTCCATAGGAAAAAAATGGCATAATTAGCGGTCGCGCGAGAAGCAGCTAAGTGTCGTAGGGCGTGATGTCCCGATAGTGTCTGAGGACGTAAAGAGAATAGTTGAGCTTGCGGCAAAGGGAGGTGGCGTGATCAGACCAGGATAGTGTAAATGTCTAGTGTAAATGTATATATGCTGAAATGAATTTTAAAATTCACATCACAGTTCAGTTTAACCATTGTCTTATTCCCCATATTTTATATTTTATTTTATTTTTATTATCATATATACGCTCGAGTCCTTCACATCCCGGGCTCCCCCCGATGAGGGCCTCGAGCAGCGGCTGCCGCCGACATTCATTACAGCCTCAGCGGAATAAACGGCAGAAACTCCCGCATCATTGACCGAAATAGTACATTAACTTATCCTAAAACTTAAGCTAGCACAGAAATGGACATATATGCAGGCTACGGGATACGGGATATCGGCTGAGGAATTCGGGAGACAAGGGGGTAGAGGGGTAAGAGGCGGTTTAAGCTCGGATGAGCTTGTGGCGCGCCAATGTGTCTAGTTAGGGTAGAGCAAGCTCCGACCGACAGAGAAAAACGGACAATGCACACCATAATCCAGACTCCGGTGAGAAAGGACACTCTAAAACGGATTTTAAACGAACAACAAACAGAAACGAACCAAAACAAGAAAGCAAAAGAATAATAAGAAAGGAAAAGAAAGACAAGAGAAGCAGGGAAAAAAGAGAGAAACATAATGAAGAAGTAACATGGAGGCATCTCACGGTTGGGGAAAAACCATCCACGAAAGACACTCTAGCGGTACGAAGAGCAAAGGCGAGAACCACACGTTACCAAGCAGACACTGGACCGGGCCGTACAGAGAAAGAAACCCACAACGAAACGAAAGGAACCAGCACGACACAGAGAGATCACCGAAAGACACAGCCATGCACTGCGGAGGCGCGAGTCCACTCCTGAATTGAATGAAGCATTGTCCAAAAAATAGTAGATTGTATGGAATTTTTAAATCTTGACTAAACTTAGCTAGAAAAGACTGAACTTGTTCGTCAAGCCGTTTAAAATTAAATTTATTTTAATGTGTTTAAAAGGAAGATGTTAATCAGAAATGAGGCAAGTTACGAACTTACCCAGTTGCCTGCACGACTTCAAAACATTCTTACCTCACAAAAAACCCTATTTAAAGCAGTGGTATTTACCTGCTTTTGTATTCCTTAATAGAAACATATTCTATTAGTTTACTTACATGACAATGCTGCCCGGCACTCTTTAAGTGGTCAATTTACTCAGAACATAAATTTTATTTATTTGAAATATTAATTGAGAAAAAACAATAGATTTAACTTGAATGTATGTCTATTCATCTTAAATTGTCGTTGCTTGTTTATATGAACAACGATATAACGGTACAAAAAAATTCAAATACTTAAATTATTCAATCATCAAATAACATTAAATTTTAGTCAAATTAGAAAGAACATTATGTTTTTATTATTTTAATCTACTGATTGGAGTTTTATTGATCATGATTTCAATTGATAATTATCTCATTAATACTTAATTAAATATGCTGATAGATACACTCGAAATCGGTGGATAATTCAATTCAATCTATTGGCGTTGGCAGGACAAGTTGTTCTTTCGATAGACTAGTCAGTTACAATAAAAAATAATGATAATAGTTAATGTAGAATAGAGTCTATTCAGTTTATTCCAGACCACATTTTGTGGAAAAAATTCATACTTATGAACTTAAAATAAGGCAATCGTCAGGCTCCATCAGTTAGGTTCATATGATGGTTTGATCACAATTTTTAATTCACCCGAGCACGTAACGAGCGCTCGAAGAATTATTAAAATAGGGCGAAAATTTTTTAAAATAATTTTTCCGTTTACTCGGGTGATGTGATATTGTAGAATAGAAGCTGTGGAGGTTGCCGATGATGCATGTTGTGCTTGATGATGTGTAAGATCTTTCAGCCAATGTGTTTCAAATTCTTTCACTTAAATTCTATTATCACGTGAGCAGCCTCAGATATTTTTCTTCCGAAAGTCTCGAATGCCGATTGAAGTCCTTGAGCGGAAACTTCCTGATATACATATAATGTATAGTATAACCTTTTCAGTACGAATTCACGAGGATGAGGAACTATTAATTGAAACCTACATTTGCCGTTCTATAAATGTATAAAAGTGTTTTTTGTTCTATAAAATGTAAAATAAATTATTCATATACGATTTTAGGAGGGTGATGATTTGCATTTCGTACGAGAGAGTCGTAAGTGAGTTACATGAGAATTCAAAAACTATGTTTAAATGGAATCGCGATAGAGAGTCATAAAAACCAGAGTAATTGTGGAGTCTTTATGCTGCAATTTCGGATGCTGTAAGTCTCGTATAAATGTCTTCACTACTCGCTAACAACATAATTTTGTGCTGTCATGTGCCCCTATAACGGACTCTTCAGTGAGACGTGGACTGTAAAATTATCAATTGGGTAGAATTGGTAATTCTGAAAAAAAATAAGTCTTGGAACTGAAATAAAAAAGGTGAAATTTCTCTACGGAAGCCGAATTTTTTTAAGTCCACCACTTTCTATAAGAATTCTGACACGCATGGAGACAATTGGCAGTAAATGTTTTTCATTGTTTACCGAATGTTTATACGAATTAAAAAAGGACGTGATAAGTGAACGCGTAGGTTCGCTTATGGGTGAGCTGGGCGATGCTGCCAACTCGAAATGTGGCAGACTCGATTTGTAGCTAAGCTAAAATGATATTGGATATAAAGAATGAAGATTGGATACAAAGAAGCAATCGCTAGAGATAAAAAAAATAATCGGTAGATTTCAATCGCCACAAAGTAGGCAATTCTTTAGATTCGTGAGCAAAAGCAACATAAGTAGAGGGCGCATATTGTAATCACTTAGACAAAATTTAAACCGCTATATCTCTGGTTCTATGGCATTGACCAAAGAGAATAAGCATATATTAGAAACGTCTCAATCTGGACTATCAAAGTCTCTAAAAACTTTATTCAAAATATTTTGACCTTGGACAAAAAATTTTCGACTTAAAAATTATATAGAGATAGCGGCCGATCAATGTCAAAACTTTGACCGCCCATATCTCCGCTCCTATGATTTCAATCTTCATGAATGAGGGTTCGTTGAAAAGGTCTCAACCTCAGCTATAACATACTAAAATTTAAAGAAAATTAATAGTCTAGTTTTTGAATTATTCGATTTCGAAATTTCGAAAATCGGTTTTTTGACTTTAGCGCATCTAGCGGTTTGAAGTTATGATGTTTAGGTGGGAGATGGAATTCTACGAGATCTAAGTAACGAGCTTTCAATCATTCAAATCGGATTATTCAAACCGGAGTTATAGCCATTTTTAGTTTTGAAAATTTGGACCCTAATATCTAGGGTTCGGAAGCACCTAGGTCCTTAGGTGGCAATTCGTTGGAAAGGTCTTGATTCCAGCTATAACATATTAGAATTTGGCCCCAATCCATGCCATAGGGGCTGAGAAAATGAGTTTAACGTTTTTTGGTTGTATTCAAGATGGCGGAAGGAGGGGTGGGGGGTTGGATTTGACATCACCAAGTTCTAGCAGCAGTAGGACTTTTAACCTTTGGTGAAAATCGCATGTCGATTTCTCTTACCGTTTAGGCGCTACAAGTCCATTTACGAGGGACCGACCGACCGACGGACGGAAACCATAAAAAATGACCCCCATTTTTTTCGTCAGATTTCGTTATAATTAGCCTCCCTGATGTCATTTTAGTCGATTTTGCGACATTTGATTTTTTGCGCGATTACAGATAGAGCCGGGCTATGCCCAGCTCAATTCAATTTGTTTATTGATATTACGACAAGTTGTTTCAAGAGCAAGGAGCAGTGACGAAATTGCGCAGTATAAGTTTCCTTTTCCACTTACGCGATAACGTATTTACAATTCGCTCGATATAATTCTCTCAACAATGAGAGAATAGATGCGTATCATACTGCCCTGTTTGTCGTGATTGTCTTGAAGAAGGCCTCTGATTTCTATTGCGATGCTGACTCTGAAATTGCCATTTGCGAGGCCACTTAAGCCTTAGGGAGTTATTCCTTTATACATTGAATTGTCAGTAAATGATCACAATGTCAACGTACTTATTAGTGTGGATTGCACGCAATTTGTATCGATAAGTAGGAAGAATTTATTCGAACATAACCGTAGTTGATAACTCCCTGAGATTTAAGGACCAACGGGCTGTAAGGCAAGAATACGTTTACTTCTAAAGTTAAAGGTCTACGGTCCGAAATCTACACTCTTGAAAGTAGTCTTGAGTCAATGGTCATAGACAGAGCTTAAAAAAAGTAAGTAATGTGCCTTAAAATTTCCCTAGAGCACCATAATTAGATTGACGAAACATTAGCACATCTATTAATATAAGCCAATGTGTGTTTTTTAGCAAAAAAAAACCTAAAAAAGCCAAAAATCTGAGAAAATGTCACTTTTTTCATACAAAATGCCAGTTTTGTTTCTGCTTATTAAGTTACACGTAGAAAAATTTCAGTGTGTGACCATCTTTTACTCCTTACATCTTGAGATGAAACACGCTTCACTGGAATTGTCTCTCACGTATTGCGTTTATATAAAAAGGTGGATGTTAGAACCATTTTGTTTGGCCGACAAATTGACAATTTACCGCCGTAAAAACAAACTTTTCAGTGGGAGTGACGTCGTCGCTGTCCAGCACCTATAAAGAAGAGGCTGAATTTCGTGGGCACTTACGAGTGTCTTTCCTCAGTGACATGCGGATTCAAATTTAAAGTTTCTGGCCTTCAGCAAGCCAATTGGACTGGAAGCTTCTGGTTTCTCACTTGGGTTGGGTACAATATACCGCAATGCCCTAGACCATCTATAACGTACCCTTTCTTTGTAATAATTGACTGCGCTCAAAAAAAGAAAACATAACCAGTACGGTTAAATCGATTTGCATATAAAATAGACTTATGACAAACCCTTGTTCTGGATGCTCTTCGAATATATGCAATGGTCAACATTACTTTATTATGTACATTAATTTACTTTCCTACATTTGTTAGCAGTCGCATTTACATTTACAATGTTAATTACGAAGAAAAACAACTACAGTCTAGATACACAATTTTGGGATCAAGTATATTTCAACTTGTTTTATTCTGATCCTCTGTTATCTTAACGGCACTAGTTAAAAAGACATGTACAGGGTATATAAATTATTTTGTTTATCGCTTTGCATTTAATGTATTGAGACTAAAAAGTTCATTTTGCTGCGTGATAACATAGTTGACTGTGAATTTATCGCATTGCACATTACAATATATTAATTAGATGTCCTAATGATCAAAAATACAGATTTTATTTTGGAAAAATTTTTGGTGAGTAGGAAAAAAATTAAAATTATTAGAAAGTATAATAATTTTTTACTAAGCAATTTTTATGAGTGATATTACTTATATTTACATTCCAAACACATCTCAGAATTCAAATATTTTATTTACAATTTTTGAATCTCATGAGCAAGACGACTTAATAAAATACTCTATCTAGACTGTTCATGTCTATTTTACTTTAGCCTTTGAAATCTATTTGCGTATTATGTCTGTATGCCTACAAGACTGGGCAGATTTTTACGCTTTTTGGTATTGCAAACACTATTCAGTGGAATGGTTAAAAAAAAATTATGACCAGCGGGATTTAAGCGCTGAGGTCCATGTCGTTATCGCATTCAGGAGAGGCGAGCAACGTATGAGAGGATAAAATAGGGTCTATATAACCTATCTCAACACTTCGGCTTGATGAAAGCATGGGGTCACCGGTAAGAGCAGGTTTTTTGTGTGGAGACAAGAGGGTGGAGAGCATAGGATCTTGATGATCGTCATCCATTAATTTCTCCAGTTGACTCAGGCTGATGTCACTTATATCAGGTAGTTGGTAATTTGTTTGTGTAGCCGGAAAAGCAGGACTAGCTCTATCCTCGTCCAAAAGCATTGACGTTTCCTCTAGATGTGTTGTTTCACTCATAGTAAATGACTCTTGCAATGGCATTTGATAACTGATGCTGCCGCGCTGTGATCGAACCTAAAATAAAGGTTAAGAAGTACCAAGATTAGTATATAAACAGTAATATTAACTTATCGAAACTTTTAGGGAATGAAAATAATGTAATTTCCAGGGGGTATAGTAAGTAGATGAGGCATTGTCTCAGTTAAAAAGACATTCAATTTGTAGTGATACTAGACATTTGCATGATTTTTAAGCAAATGTTTACGGCTGAAAACAGCTGTTCAATAATTGGTAAGAAGAATAGTCTGGCCCAAACACATTGGTGTAATGGTTTACAGCATAGGTGTAAGCACAAATAGAGCTGCGCTGTTGGCAACTTGTGAACGCAATTGGATCGAAAATTTCCATTGCGCAATCAAATATTGCAGATTTCTACATAACTGCTTTGACAAAAATGCCAACGAATTTTTCCACCAAAACTGTTTGCGTTCTTTCCTGATAGTTGTACAATCCAGTATAACGAAATGTCACTGAAGAAGAAAGTGTGAAGTGTAGATTAATAAGTAAAGTAAATAGGTCAAATGATCAGACAATTTTAATACGTAAAAATGTTATCAGTATTGTTATGTGTATTATTTTAGGGAGTTATCCTATTACGACGAAATGTCAATATGTTCAAAATAATGTACACATTTATCGATATGAATTGCTTGCAATTTCCTTTTTATCCCATTTTAAGGGAAAAATATGAGTGATATGGACACATTTGTCCTTAAAATATCGATTTCAATATTTTCGTTTAAAATTTGGGTTAAGAAGTAAATTATCCAAAACTTATATCGATAAGTGTCCAAATTGTGTTGAACTTACCGACATTTCAACGTATAGTGAGATAAGCGCTTTCAACTTACTATCTGGAGTTCTAGTTCTTTAATGCGACTAAGCAGTCGAGTGTTAACCTTCTCCATTTCTTGGCTTCGCATCTCATTTGCACGAAGCCTTGTTACTTCCTGTTTAAGACATTTGATGTACTCCACTGAAGACTTGAGGATGGTACCTTTGTTTGGACGTGTGTCTCGCACAACCTCATGAAAAGGGTCGGGATTTTTAGGCAACAATGAACCTAATTCTTTTATGCGATCGTTGATATTAAAGCGCCTGCGACGTTCAACTAGAATAAATTTCAAACGTAGTTTACTCATTTTTAAATTTCACAAGATAAAGGAGTATATATTTGTGATTTGCTATTCTTTTCTTATAAAGAAAATGTCAACTCGACATTGAGCTTGTGGTTTAGATAAATATGCAATCGGTTAATTTAAAATCCGTACTACTTTCCGCCTCGTGCATATTGCATTTTTAAGGGCGTTAATCCACTTGCTTCTTTTCACATTGAATTACAAGCTATGTGCAATTTCCTTTTATAACACAGGTATACTTTCTGGCCGAAAAATTAACTACATAGTACTTCTTAATAGTATTATCTTTTAATTTTTTTTAACTGAGCTGAAATCATGAAAAATCCGCATCCACAGTGTAGTAAAATATGTTTTTAATTATTGCCATATTGATTGATGATTGTGAATAGTTGCAATTCATAATTGAAATGTTTTCATGTTTGAATTGATGAGTAATATTTTACTTTAATACTCTAAAGGGCAATGTAAATGCTTTAATTTTAGCTTCACAAATATCATTTTGCGGGGGTTGTGACTGATTTTTGTTTCATTTTGTAAGAGATGGGGAAGAAAGCTTATACAATCTATGAAAGAGCTTTTCCACCGTTTTGCTCTGGAGGTTGGTCATCAACGCTTAGACGTCGGTGGACGCAGTTTTAGCTCACAAAAGCTTGTCTTATGGGCGAAATAAATATATATTCTATTCTATTCTATTTCTATTCTACAATTGTTTATTTCTCAGAGACGGGATTCCGTTTGAAGTGGTTCGTCTATTTCTTTTAGTGTAATTAGTATAATTCCTTTTTGATAATTTGTAAAATATTATTTTTAAATTGCTTTAGCCAATGTATATAAAATTTCTTGGAGATACTTACTTTGGTTGTGATTATCCTTTTTCATACGATCTTTCTTTTCCTGTTCAGTAAGCTGTGTTGGTTCCTGCTTTATGGCTGCCTCTGAAGTGCCTTTTTCTGCTTTGAAAGGGTTTCTGCTGAATTGTGGGTCGTAGTATAAAAATTCATCTATTAATTCGTCAGCCTGTTTAAAAAAAAATAATCATTTAACGTAGTTGTAAGGTGTGGAAAATATTGTTTTAAAATTTTTTCTTCACAATATTATAAAGATAATTCTTATTGATGAAAAATAGAAATTTGCTTGATTCTGCCGCAGAGTATATTTATTTTTCAGCCCTACGCTGTTCAGGTCACATCTATTTTTTTCTTATTCCATTAAAGATTTTTTGGTTGGATCTTCTAATTATATATAATTTCTCTTGTCGCTTTAAGAGACAAGGATATTTTCTACCGAACTTTTCTGGATATAAACTTAGAATAGTTTTCGGATGAAAATAGCATACAATCATCTAAGAATAGTCTGGCCCAAACACATTGGTGTAATGGTTTACAGCATAGGTGTAAGCACAAATAGAGCTGCGCTGTTGGCAACTTGTGAACGCAATTGGATCGAAAATTTCCATTGCGCAACCAAATATTGCAGATTTCTACATAACTGCTTTGACAAAAATGCCAACGAATTTTTCCACCAAAACTGTTTGCATTCTTTCCTGATAGTTGTACAATCCAGTATAACGAAATGTCACTGAAGAAGAAAGTGTGAAGTGAGGATGGGAGAAATGACAGGAAAAAAAGGAGAAAAACTTGGGACTACTTTTGGTAACAAAAATCTTGAAATATATTCAATCGCCTTAGGCGTAAAGTCTATTCGATTGGAGTAGATATAAAAGCCAATTCATATAATATTATAATTTAATTTTTTACTCTCAACTTGCATACAATAAGGCAAAATTTGCGCAGAGTTTTATTTAGCGCACTGACGCGCAAATTTATTGATGAAAATACGGCGATGGCTGCAAATGATACTAGAATAAATGTATATTCAGCGATTTTTGATAAACGTAATGTAAAAAATTTTGATAACTGAAAATGAAAAGAAGCAGATAAGTAACATTTCTTGAGTAAAATGGCGTTAATACTGCTGTGAAGTTGTGTGATTCGGAATTCCATTTATGTTCTACGGTGTCTAATCATATCAAATTCGGCTGGGTGGGTTCTAGAACCACTTACAGTTGGTCGGCATAGCGATAGTCTGCCGCCGTGAAAACAATCAACGTTTAATAAAGTTATAAATTTTTTTTAACAAAATATTATGATTAGTTGAAATAATGAGCGAACAGCCAAAAACATTAAAATGACACATAATAATGACAGGAAAATACAAGAACATATAATATATTCAGTATTCTAGAGTTATAAAATTGCTACCGTCTTGTTTGATACATACATTAAATGTGTGACGTAATATAAGCAATCATTTTATTGGTAGTCTCAAAATAATTGTTGTTGTTCTCAATAGCATGCTGGGCACGTGCAAATAAAGGTCGACTGAGCATGAGTGTGCAATTAAGTATGCACATGCAAGGCTTCACGATTCACCGATAGGTTTTCATTCCGAAAACGTTTGTGTGAGAACATAGGCAAGTAAGTTGCCATATTTTACAATTCACGGGAAATTTGATTGGGGGAAAAGAGTATTACAATAATGAGCAAACTTGGCACAGATAATGTTTAATGCAAAAAACTGTTAAGATATGATACGGGATTCTGCGATACAAGATTTGAACATTAAGACACCTTAATCTACTGATAACAAAAATAAACTTCTGTTTTATCTGTGAGTCTCCAGTCAGATAAGACATGATATTTTGCAATTTTGGTACAATAAGTCGTACTTTTCAGTCAAATTAACGTCGTATATGTATGTCTTTTTTCTTCATATATTGAAATAATTTCATTCGTTTCCAATTTGACTTTGTGCTATAAATAAATTTTCGTACGTTCACAGCTCAACATTTTTATGTGTTCTCTAAGATATTTGAAGAGGAATATGAATAAAATGATACATAATAGTTTTCCCGAAATATGATGCATCAAGAAATTGATATTACATGTTGCTTTTTAACACAAATGACAAGTAAATTAAATTTTGAGAGTTTATAAGCTAAAATATGTTTTTTGATATCCCGAAAATGTAATGCTGCAAATGCCTTTACTACCGGGCTGATTTTTAATATTTTTCTATCTAAACACATTTAGTATAATTCATATTGTATTTAGTGTATGTGAGTATAATGAAGGATGGTTTTTGCGAGTGAAAATGTCTGTCAAATTATAGTTAATTAGCAAATACTCTTGGCTCACTCGGTTCTTGGCTTTCCATGGATCTGTCAATGGCCAAAAGTGATCGAAGTATACAACAAGGATCCGATTTGTATTATTTGTAAAGAGTTTAGTATTATGAATCTATTCTCTAAAGAGTCAACATATGTAAGTTTTTGAGAAATTCTCAATGTGATTATGGGAAACTTAGCAAATTTAATGTCAAGTAAACCACTTTGATCACATTTTCAATGAAAATTTTTTGAAAATGCATTGCATGTAATTGTTTTTGATTAGTTCTTAGTTCAGTTGTGTACATGGCATTATGAATTAGGAAAAATATTATAGAAAAAAACACATTACTTTTATATGTCTACAAGAAGAAAGGTCACATACATATCGAAAATTCTCAGCTCTTATAAAATAGAAGATGTGTATACAATCTGAAATATAAGCGACATTTAACTGATGTAATATTAAGTAGACTTATAATAACTTTTTTCTCTACATGGCATGATAATCTCACACAAACACTACTCTACCTCAAATTGATGCATACTAACATCATTCTCACACTGTAATCATTCGGCTGACTGGGGCAGAGCTCGGGCGCAGATAGTACGTCCTGATGCACGATAGGATAAGCAAATGAGATTAATGCTAGATAGATAAGAGCAATACCCGGGACTCAGCAATCTCAGATCAATAATGATCTAATAATTGTTAAAAAAAAATTAAATTGAAGTATAGTCGAAAAAACACTTTTTATTTTTTAATAAAAAATTATTTCACCGCACGAACAAAACATTCTAAATAATAATAATAATAATAATAATAATAATTTTATTCCCCCTCAGCTTTGCCCAATAAACATTGAATTGATCAGCAGAGTCAAAATTATAACACGAAAACGAAGTACATATTAAAAACTTAATCAATTTTTACAGTCTCACTGTCCCTGAAAATCTGTGTATATATTTTTTGTAGCTCCGTGACCATTTCATTACGTACAGCGAGTTTGTTAGCTAGGTTTGAGTAAATCATTTGAGCACTTTATCACAATTTCTAATAAAAGTGTTCAAGTACCTTTTGCCGACGTGTAATAATACTGTAGACGGGCATCTTCTGGAACCTTTAGAAAAATTTTGGGGCTACTGCGACAGTTTTTACGACACTTATTCACCACAAACACGCAGGGGATCATTGGCACATGGTCCGATGATCCCCCGGAGCTTGTTCGTCGCGAAAGATTTGCCGGTGTTGTGAGCGCGGTTTGTGAGATTACTGAGCTGTGAATCGCAAAGCACTGAATGAGAGACAAGTAAGATCTTTATCGGAGAGAGGGAGAACAAAACCTCACCTTCGCGCCGCGATTGAGTCACGAATTGAGATTGAGCAGAGTTGGATTATCAATACTACAGGTAAAGAATTAGGCTCAGTGATAGAGTCGGGCGTTTTCGTAGAATACCTTTAAAAATCTCGCAGAGCCGTAAGCCTCTATAGCCTCTTTACAATTCAATCCGGGGCAAATTGCTATTTAATATTAAAATCGGCGAAACTTTATATGTTACGTTTCTCAAAATTTTATTTTTATTGAAGTAATGACGGTCGTTATTTTCCCAATGTAAATTTCATATCTTGGTCGTGCTCGTCACTCGCCGTCTAAGGCTCAATCACAGATGTGAACCTTGCAGTAAGTGCAAAAACTGTGATATCCACTCAAAATACGGTTTTTTTTCATTTCATGATTTCTTCATTTATTTTATTTAAAGATCAGTACTTCAATCTTTTTAAAACAAAGAGAAATTATTCAGTAAAGTAGAAGTGGATGAATTAAAATACGAGGTGAGACAATGTTGAATTTCTTCGCTTACCATTCCACTGAGATCGTTATTTTATCCAAATATCAAAGTTCTGGAGCAATTCTCAGTCACATAACAAATGTTAAAAAATGTTCTGTACTGGTTTATAACACGCCTTTAATATTCTGAGTCGGACATGGCAATTGACATGGACGAAAAATCGCTTTCTCACTTACTTAGGAGGGCATAACATCTCATGGCAAGATAAAGCCTTTTCCATTAAGGGAGATATTTAGACAAATTTTTTGTTTCACGATGACAAAGTCATACCTTGCCGATCAACCATAATTGGTTCTAAATGTCCATCTTTATATATAGTGATACAGCGCAAGACAATTCCAGTGAAGCGTATGTTTCAACTGGAACATTCAACAGCAACCAAATGAGCTGCTCAATTTGCCATTGAAAGACTTCATTTTATGCACTATGCTGTATTCCAACATTTGGAAAAAACTTGATTCCATCACACGACTGTAGCATCAAGAGCCAAGCTCGTTGACCACTGATCCACAGCCTCCCAACAAAAAATCACTATTTGTGGTTAAAATGTTTCAACTTGAGTTTTTTGTTATTCTGGTCCACACGTGTTGAACTATTTTGTACCGCCTAAATATATAATTTTAACTCGAGCTCCACAGGTTGTGTTAATGAATGAGTAATAGGCAGAGGGGCAGATTGTAACCTGCAAAATAACTTAGAAAGATGGATCAACATGTGATTTAAATTTTCAAGCATGAAAATAATCAAACTTGTTGCCAAATTTTTTCTGTCTTCATTTTACTTTCTTTTCTTTTTGACTTTTTCGTAGTGGATTGTAAAATATCTTGAAGAATGCAATATAGTTTGGGCGGGAAAATTAATTGACACTTCTGTTAGAACTGCTGCTGTTGCATTTTGTGTTTCGCATTCGTCCCAATATATAAATAAAAACAATACCAGACTGGATATCCCCTGCAAAATAGGCAAAATAGTCTGTAAACACATTCAAGGCCAACCTTTGCCTGCCTGTGAATTAAACAAACTGTTTTGAATAGCTTTGCATCTGACTCAAACTTCGTCTTTGGGACCAAGTATCCCTGAACCCTGATCGCATCTTCACTAGTTAGAAAAGAGCCAAGATATTCAGCGGTTTCAGATGAGGTCAGACGGCAAAGAAATTCCCATGGCGCACAATTGAAAAAATTATTCAATCACAGCCCTCAAACAGGTTTCTGTCAGCAGAGACATGATCGCGAGAATTCAGTCCTCAAACTTGTCTAACACAATCATTAAAAGTTACGAAAAGCGGGCGAATTTTGTCTTTTTCCGCCAGTAAAAATAACTCTGCTTTGTAAGAGATGATTGAAATAAGAACTGCTTTAACAAGAAGAAGCCGAGTGTCAATGGGTGTGATGCCCCGATAACGTTTGAGGATATACAGAGAATAATTGGTCTTTCGATATATGATGGTTGTATGATCAGGCAGAGAATTTAATGCAGAAAATGCAGACTGAGGTGTTGGATTGCTCGTACAAGTAGTGATAAGCTAATTGACCAAATTCACCCAAATATTACAATTACCGGTTAAATACACCAATGAAGACTATAAAACACTAATTCTCCATTTCACGAAGATGTTCGTACACAAAAACCCGAACACTGTAACTCCGCATTCTGTTATGATCTTCATATGTCAGACATGACTTACCTCGCCAGATGTAGTGCTGGTAGCTACGGAGCTGATGCTGGGCGAAATAGCGTTGTCTGGACTAGCAGTTGATATTACGGTTGCCCGAGAGCTGTGCGAATGCGGCACTGGTGGTGGTTGAACACCCAGTTGCGGATATGTAGCGCGCTGAGCAAAATCCCCGAAATCTTTAGGGTGCTGTAATGAATGAACACGATCGTATCTGATCTATTTTTGAATAAATTTGATAGTAAAATTAAAATGATCAATCGATAAGTATTAAATAGAAAATTATTGGCTGAGCGTATTTGTATAGTTGCAGACCATTCAGCAATTCTGACCCTCTCTAAAATGTATTATTTTATACATTTTAGGACTTCTTGTTCCTCGAGCTGAGCATGAGACATTTTTCCGTACCCTCTATGTCCTGAAGGTTTTGTTTTATAATGCCCTCCCGCGTGAGGCGCGCGAGACCGTGGGGAAATCAGGAAGTACTTTCAAGCTGCTGATATCATCAGTGACTCATCCTAAATCATTGCCAAACGTTTTAAAGTCTCATTTCTTTTTCTTTTTTCTCTTATCTTGTACTGTTATTCTTGTTCTTTATTTGTTGATTCTTGGTTTTCTTTTTCTAGTCTTTTTCACAAATTTCTTTGATTACCAGATTGTAAGAGGGTTAGGGCCTAAATTTTGCTCTAAGCATAAATTATTATTAATATTTTGAATTTTTTTAAAAAAGGATTATTTCTGTTTTGAAAAAAAAACAGGTTATCAAAATAAAATTGCCATAACTCCTTTTAAAATTATTTTCGTATACGATCTTGCTATTGTGACTTGGCTATGATTTTTTGCTATCAATATATGAATGATAAAGTTAAAAATAATAAATATTTCATTGTAGATCTAGCGGAAATAAATTATTCAGCTATCCTTGTTTCTTAACAGTGAAGGATTCAAGAATTACTTTCTGTTAGTTATAAATCAGTTTTTCATAAGCATCAAAGAAAAATGTAAGAGCATAATAAAATATTAGGAAGGTTCAAAATAATGTGACAGCCTATTTACAAAAGATTTATTTACAAAAAAAACGGTTGTATATCGTATATAGTATGTATATAGTAACAAAAATTAGCTTAGGACACTTATGAAATTTTGAGCCAATTTTTTTGTGCTAAAAATTCTTTATTTCGCTGTATTTATACGCATATCATTGTATTTTGGAATATCTCGACATTTAATTGAGATATTGTCACGATCTGAATACCATTTGAAGATCATAAAATTCCGATCATTTATTATCTGAAGGTATATGACTCGCAAATTAAAAGAAATAACGAATTTTTAGCACCAAAAATTTTTACTCAAAATTTCATGGATGCCTTTAGCTACTTTTCGATGCTGTATGTTTTTTGTGTTTATTATTTTTGATAAATTTAACTTACATATTTGAAAGCGTTACCGCACTCGTTGGCCCAAGTGGAAGAATTATGAAAAGAGTCGTTCAGATACTTTCGGACTTGGTTTTTCTGTTTTTGGATCACATGATAACGCGTTGGATTCTCTAGCGCCGTTTGAACCTTCAGTACCTGCGGTGGAACGTCAACGCTTTGCAGCGTTACTTTTACACTGGAAGTAGTGGTTTGTGGAGCTGATGTCTGCGTTGAAGTAACCAGTCGCCGTTCAGCTTCACGACGTTCAATATCATGCTGTTGTTCACGTTGTAGCTGCTGTCGCAAGTTCGTGCGTGAAGTAAGCGTTGCCGTCTTAAAAGTGGGGCTTCGCACAGAATTATTTTAAGTAAGTTATTCAAATGTGTCAATTTGAAAATATACTAACACAGGGCACACGTACTCGTCCGCGTTTTGTTTTTTTTCAATAAAACTGTGCAACGATAACCCAGTAATAGCGGAAGTCAAGTGAAGTTATGGCATATTGCACGGTTTTTTTCGACGGTTAGGGTTTAATTATGCGTTTTAAAAAAAAATTTCAATTGTGTAAGAAAATTTTTGTTGTAGAGTATTTTCATGTTAAAATAAGTTTGTGTTAGGGAATCTGACATTTCATATATTTCATGATTGTAATTTTGCATTTGGGAACTAACAAACAAACAATAAAAGGTTGAACATGATACAAACTAGGTTATGTACAAACATAATGAAAATGGGTGTGATCAGTTTTGTGTTTAAATTCAAACACACGCTTCACTGGAATTCTCATTCGCGATCTGTTTGTATATAAAAAGGTGAAATTTAAACCCACTACACGTTGGTCGACAAAATGAACATTTGTCAACTATCACGAACATTTCCTTGAATGGGGACGGCTTTATCCCCGATAGTTCAAAGGCTTCTATAAGCTATATTGGAATAAATATTACGGAATGTCTTGGCAGCATATTTTAGAAATTAATTTAATTAATTTCGACTGATTTTCAAAATTTTTGCGATCTCAATTTCTTGCTTAGTATTTACAAGGTATTTCTCACAAAGCCAATTCTGCTATTTTAATAATGCCTCTCATATATAAAATTCATTTTGGCGTAAAACCTTCTGCGGAAAAGTTTCCCGATTTTTGTAGGTGGTGCAAAAACCAATTTCACTATAATTGGGGCAAATTCTACAGCGTCTTTTTTAACAGAAAATTGAATTAGTTCCGTATCATATATATATTTTATATATTATTATAGAATTTACATCACAACTAATATCTGTAATCGCGCAAAAAATCTAATCTCACAAAATCAACTCTAATCGGCTCCGATAATCCTAAAATGAAAAAAGGGGAGGGGGCACTTTTCTGTTTTTCCGTGTCTATGTATCGTTTCGTCCGTCAGTCGTGAAAAACGCGCTTGTGGGCCTAAACAGTAAGAGATATCGATATGCGGTTTGCGGCAAAATTTAAAAGTATGCAGTGCTTTAGGAACTTTATTATGTCAAATCCAACACCCCACCCTTCCGTCCGCCATTTTAAACACCCAAAAAAAAATTTTTTTTTCTCAATTGTCCAGCTCCTATGGCATTAATCGGGTCCAAATTCTGATATGTTATAGCTGACCTCAAGACCTCTCCAACGAACTGCCACTGTTTACCAATCGATTTTGATCATTTCTTCATCAAAAGACGTGTCTCGACAATCGTTGGTAGGCTATACTGATAATGAGTTTCTGACGTTATTAGCAGCAATGCCATATTGAATTAGTTCTAAATATGCATTTTGTTGAGGTTTTAGAATGCTATAATCTAGATCAAGACAATTTTAAAAATTTGTCAAAACTTTTCACCAGTAATTTTACAGGAGTTATGGCGTCCAAGATTTTTGATATTGAATACGCTACCATTTCGGTACAATTTGTCCAATTCTGATTATTTAGAGTTTGTTGAAAAGCTCTCCCAAAATATACACCTAATTAAAAAAAAACTGAAGTTAATCACACCTTTATTAAAAGCATGAGGACAAAGATAATATTTTTGAAATTTGGAAGTTATCGGTGAAAATCAGGTAAAGACAGCGTTGAATTATTGTGAGGGCTTTAACACAGTAACCTTTTTTTCAGTACTTTTTAAAAGTTCAAATTTTTATTCGTTCGGACAGATGTAGCTCAGTAGTCAAAATGTTTGACTTTCAGTGCTTCCGTGTATTCGAATTCCACCGTTGTTTTGAAGCATTTGTATGTGTATGTATGACAAATATTCATTTAAACCTTATAATCTGAATATTCTATTATTATATTATCTGCAAAGAGGTATTATTGTGACGACTGATGGATACTGACGAAGGATTTCGCTTTCAATGTTAAAGTTAAACCATCAAATTCTTTAGCAAGAAAAGTGTCTGACCACAGCAGAGTGCGAAAAAAATTAAACCTTGCAGTGGCAGCTTAAACGGTCACCGTTGCGTGTTTAAATTGAAAAATACACTTTACACCCCGAACAGACTGGGCTTTTTACATTGATTACACAGACCCGGGACTTTTTTACGCCCTTACGGGACCTTTTTTCCCAAAATGCCTATTTCAGCCAATTTTTGCTCGGGAAGATCGCGGAAAACGATCAGATCACCTTCGCTCTGCACTTATTTAACGTTTCATAGGAATTTTTACCGTGAAAATTCTCATTTTCGTGAAAAACATGTTAATATACTCAGCTGTGTGGCAGAGTGAAAAAGAGAATCGACACTGTAGGGTGCCTTTTTCAAGTGTCGTCACAGCTCGGGTGATTAGCACAGCCGCTCGGCACTCGTCGGACTGTTCTACTATTGTGCCAATTCGTTTGAACGTCACTCCGAGGCCAATATTTTGGAAATTGGCAAGAAATATTTAGTTTTTCGTGAAATGTGTGAGCAAGACGTGAAGAATATAGCAGAGAAGTGAGAGTGGAAGATGTTTCCGGATAAAAAGCTGCATCTTCTGCGAAGGATTAGTGATAAAGGCCGGTCAACTGCAAGGCGAGTTGCAGAAGATGAGCTCAGAGAGAAATTGCCGAAGAACATCTTCCGTGCGCATATTCTTCAGCATCACGCCAATGAATTGCTGACAAACTGAAATAGGACGATTTCTGGAGGAAAAGAATCACTGTGAACTGATTTAGAAACAACACGAGAACACGCGGTAGACACTGAGCGAGCCATCAGATATTGAGAGCGAGCCTAATCATCAGTTTTTATCAGGAAATCCTTCGTCCCGAATTAAAATTTACGGTGAATAATTAAAATCAAATTAAATCATGATTAGAAGTTAATGATTATGATATTTTCAGGGGATTTCTTCCAAGATCTATCCAGAATGTTGCAGTACCAGTTCACCTTCTGTACTTTCCTGGACCAAAAGACGCCGCGAATAAAGATCAACGCTTTTTGATGGGGTGTGATTCAACCTGATTCCCGGCTCTAGATCTCGCTAACGCTCTCGCTAGCGTTTACTCGGAATATTCACCATTCGTGGTATTAAATACGGAACAAACAATGCAATGAGTCGCGACCTTAATATTTTTTTAGCGAAATTATCTCAAAAATTCGGTAAGAATTGACACCAAAAACTTCCATATAAAATAATGCTTATGATTTTGAATAATTTTAATTTTGTGGGAAAAGAGAGAAATAAAAACCTTGCATAAAATGCACTTTAAATTTGTGTTTTTTTGGGCTATTACGGAGAATTAAATAGTTAATTTGAGATATTTTATGTCGATTTCCGCGATACTTTGCTGTCTGCAAAGTATAACTGAGTAATTGCCGATAGCGCCGCGTTTAGCATTAAAATCGGCGCTGTCTGCTTAACTGTAGCACAGAAGCACGAAAGATCCAAAGAGCTAGAGCAAAAAAGGGTCTTAGAGCGAGTGCCCTAGAGAGAAGTCCCCGCTCGAAAAAAGTCCCTCAACTGTTATAAAGGTTGAGTCTGTTCGGCGTGTTAGGGTTGATCGGCAAATTCAGAATCTGTCACCGGTAGATACCAACCTATCTCAAAAGGGCTATGTCCCTCAATGGAATGTTAATAACTTCTAAGTAAGTAATTTTAACTCATATGAGCCACATTACACTGCCATAATGCTTGTGTTTAAGAGTTATGAAATGGAAGTTTCAGAGTGTTACGTAAATCATGACTAATTTCTGTAATAATGCGAAAACGATGGCAATCGATTTATGTGATTGACTATTTGCGCAGTATTTTGGCTGACTTTGTATGATCCCGCGAGTTCGGCCCTGGTGCATGTGTCAATATCAGATGGCACACAGTTGCTACGTGGGCGACTTACGATTGATCGGCTGGCGGAACAGTCTTCGACTTAAGCTCGTAGAATCCGCTCGGCCTGAGCAACATGGAAAGGCTCGAGTCATCCTCGAAAACACTGCAATCGAAATCAAAATCGTAGTTTAAATCCACCCCAGACTCGTCCATTCTCAGCATATTAAGAAGGGGTCTAAATTGTGCACTAAAGAGGGCGCAATAGATTGTGCCCGAATGAAATCACTCTTCGGCGCTCTCGCGATCAAGTCACTTTGTCAACTGGCACAACGGAGTTGCTGCCGAGTCAAAAGTGCGGTATCGTTAAATCTGTTCACTGTATGTGTTGATCAAGCACAGCAGATCCGCTCTGGGTATGTCACCACGTGTGACTGATCATCACACTCAGCAGTACAGTGAGAATTATTCAAAAATTCTGACTGCACTGTATATGATGTAGTATTCTAAAAAAAAAATTTAAATTTTTTTTTATCTAAAAATGGACCGGTGGCGCAAATTTCAGTGATAGCAGAAGAACAGTCAACCGGAAACTTATGTTTCGAACTCCAAGTGACATAAACAATTTCACTACGTGTTTAGTGCATTATGACTGCCGGGGTTGTTTACATAGACATGGACTAACATGGGTTCAAGATTTAATATAAGTTCATTTCGGCATGAAATACAATTTTCGGCTAAATGTTCTGTGTTCAATTCCCTTTTGAAAGCGCATACACTCTCAAATTCTCACTCCCCCATAATTAAATTCTCATAACTGGCTTCGTATCGAGAAATAGATAAGAGTTTAAACGAAGCTAGCCGAGGTTAGTGGAAGTAGTTGTGCTTGATGTAAACGCCAAAAGAATCTGAATTTAAAAAAAATCATAATTTAGAACGAATTGTGAAATCCAGAACTTTGCTTTGCCGGTGTAAACAGTTTTAATCTTGCTCGCAATATATCTTTCTGTGGGATTTTGTTGTAAGAGCCAGTGAGATTAAAATGATACAAATTTAAATACAAAAGGATAATTTTGTTTCAAAAAAAGTGGATAAGCACACGCCTCGCGTATATCTATCGTATATAGCTGGGATTTACAATTTCTCTATTCCGTGGCCAACTCGATTTAGTCAGAAGGAAAGAAAGAATGAAAATTTTCATATGCAAAATAAAATCCAAGTCCTGAAATTTTAACAGTTATCTCTGGTTTTATGGCTTCGACAGAAAAGATTGACTCCATTTTGGAAACGTCTCAATCTGGACTATCGAAATACTTAAGGCGGTGGTCTGATGAACTTCTATTGTTCTAAATAGTTTAAAAGTTCTACAAGAGCTTTCCAACTAGCCCAAAATCAATTTAGGCGGGCAAATAGAACCGAAGCAATGGCGTATTTAAAATTAAACATAAAACCGTGAAAACTTCGGTTCTATAGCATCCACAAATAACTAAAACCTATTTTTAGACACGACTTGACCTGAACTACAACATACCAAAATTTAAATAAAATGCAAGATCTAATTGGCGAGATACAGACGTTCCAATATTTTTTCAATATGGCGGCATTCCTTATGATGTTACAAACGAATGATGAGTACAGCCTACGAAAGACCGCCGAGACACGTCTGGGACATTCTGTAGCGCTCGTTCAGCGGCTCAGACAGCACGAGCAAGCCCCCACCCCTCGTCCTCGTTGACTCTACAAAAAGCTGGAGACCCAGCGTGCGGCCTGTCCGGAGGCCGGCATAGAGGCACACCGCTCCAAGCACATAGAGGTGTTTCATCGGCAGGATCTTCCATTCCACGAATAGCGGCCACGAGTGATCCCTCCTGACGAAGAAGTACATCACCCTAACCAGCGCCTTCTGAGCCCTCAGGAGCGGCGTCAGATGAGCGCCACACGCAGCGCCCCAGGCCAGTAGGCCGTATCTTATCCTCGACTCGGCCAGGGCATAATAAATCACCCTCAACAGGTGATCTGAGCAGGCCGTCCTCAGGGCAAACAACTGCCTGACGACGCATCGCAGAGAACGCGCCACCCGGTCAATATGCGCGCCCCAACCAAGCGCCGAGTCAAGAGTGACACCCAAGTATCGGAAGTGCGTCACACAGCCGGCGGAAACGCAGCCCCCAGAGCACGCGCCAATATCGCGCGTGTACAGTGGAGAGTGGCACACCAGGCCATCGCCATCTCCAGCGACCCTTCCGAAGTCCATCAATACAGTTTTCGGGGTCAGGACCAGTCCACTGCGCTCCAGCCACCGCCTGATCGTGTCAAGGTCTCCGTTCATCTGATCTCTCGTGCGCTCTCAGGATGTTCCGAAGTATATCAGGGCAAAATCATCAGCGTAAGCCGTGATATGCCCTTCAAGGCACGAAGTGAATAGGCTCTTGACGTAGAAAAGGAACAGGAAGGGGCTGAGCACTGAGCCGTGTAGAACTCCGTACTCGCTCGTCAGCGGCGAGCTAATGCAGTCTCGCCCAATCCGCACCCTCTACGTTCGTACGCATAGGTAAGACTTTAACCAAAGGAGCGGCACTCCGCGGAAGCTCAGAGTCTCCAACCTATCCAGGAGGGTATCCAGCCTCACCGAGTCAAAAGCCTTCGTGATGTCGACGAAGAGCGCGCTGACATGCTCACTCGGCCGCTGGTTCAGGCATTCGTTCAATTCTCCCAGAAATCTCCTGAGAGCGTCTTCACAGCCTAGTTCCGAACGAAATCCGAATTGCGCCTCGGAGAGGAATCCCGCGGACTTAAGGAAGGACGTCATCCTGGCGCAGATTATTCGCTTCATCACCTTGAACAGGGCCGAGATCAAGGTTATAGGTCTGTAATTGTTTAGCATTCTCTTGTCGCCTTTCTTAAAGATGGGGACCACGAGCGCTGTCTTGAGGACCTCCGGGAAAGCATCATATCCAAAGGAGAGGTCGATGGCGAAAGCGTGTACGTCCGCCACATGCTGGGTGGTTCTCTTAAGCATGACGTTCGGAATTCCGTCCATCCCAGAAGCACACTTGGACTTCATGCTCCCAATGACCCGAATAACCTCGAGCGGGGTGGTCGGAGTCATGAAGAAAAAACGCACCGCGCGGGCTCCGTTGCCACCCCCATCCACTGACATTCCGGAAGTGAGGTCACTTACAACAGAGGCGAAGAACCGGTTGAATTCATCGCCAATCTGTATTGGAGGTTCAGGTGCCACAATCCCGTTTGTCACGACGGACGGACGAACGGACGGACGGAACGGTTAACAGACACTGAGTCGATTGGAGTTTATTTTGCGAGGTTCGATTTTTTGCGTGATTACAGATATTAGTTGTGATGTAAATCCTAGCTGCATAATTTTTGGGGAAAAGCATCATATTGTGAATTTGTCAAAAGAACTGTTGAGTCTTGCTAAATCCTACTTGTTAGAAACTATGAAAAATTATTAAAGAAGAAAACCTATACAACACGTGAAAGACCTTTCCACCATTTTGATCTGGATGTTGGTCATCAGAAACTTGTCTTATGAGTAATCAATAAAAAAATTCCATTCCATACTAAAAGTAAAAATTATGTATTAGTGATTGTTATATGCGTTGGATAGACATCAAATAAAAATTTTCTTTTTTTCCATCTATTTCTCGTACAGTCCATTCTTCATATAACGTTGTATTGTATTTGTATTTCATCAATCCCTATTGTCTTAGAAAAAGGGTAGAAACCTGAAGTCTAGCACAAAAATTTCTGTTTGATTTGTGCTAATTTTTTTGCTGTGTCATCCAGTATATTTTGTCGTGGACGTGTCCCGAATCTTCGTTAGCTATGTGAAGAGCAACCAGGTCCTGATTGTAGACCAACTCAGCAGCACCCCGCCGCGAAAGAGGTTGTTGACTACAAGGGGGGCGGAGTTCAGAGACCGCTTGTACCGTTCACAGAGCGGTGTTGAGAACAGAAGTGGCTTTTTTTCGGCGGAAGCGATGAAAAGGTCACGGTCCGGCCCTCGCTATTTAAACCACATAGAGGTTCTTCAGAGACAAGACCTCTCACTCCACGAACAAGCAACATACAAGATTCCGTATGATTTCACGCATGATTAACAAGACATTAGTTATTTGACTCTAGTGCAGCCTTTAGCCTGAAAGCCATCATCCAGTCTTGTGTTATAATGGTTAGTACATTGAGGTATCATCTTAGATGCTCTATTATTATTTCTAATATAGTATTATATAATTCAATTTATTTATTTTAGGGCTAACCCTTTTACAAATTTGCAAAAAAGCAAGATAAAGAAAATAGGAGAATAATAAGAGGACAAGCTAATATTCGACACTTTAAAGTAGAGATAACAATTGCTAAGAGAAGAGATATACAGCTGTAAAATTAAAGCTTAAGTATGTCTAAGGAGAATGATCAACCTGAAAAAACTTTTTAATGTCCCCAACGGTTTCGCGTGCCTCGTGCGGTATTTTAGTGGAACACACACCTAATGAAAAGAGTGCAAAAAAACGTCTCATTCTCGGCTTTAGGTACAAGAGGTCCCCGAAACCAAGTCAAACCACCCCTTTTAAAGAGGAAAGACAGATATCCTGGCAACCATTAATGCAGCGGATCCAACAAAATAAGGGCTCGTATTTGCAGAAAAAGGTACAGGCTTTAGCCCACCAGCACATCCCTGTGAGCAGAAATGTGATCAAGGTGACCCAGTCCGCAGATGTATCTTACACAAGTATTTTCCGACCCGTAAAAAATCTTTATTGAGACGACTGATTGGTTAGCAATCAAAGGATTTCGCTTTCAATAATAAAGTTAGGTCATGAAATTCTTCAGCAGGAAGTTTCCGAATATAGCCATAGTACGAAAAATTAGGCCTTTCAGATCTTAAATACTTTACCTAAAGCATATAATTCGTTGGATTGTTTCGGTAAAGTGATATTATGTGACTGTAATAACAAACATATATTGAATATATTCTTTTCAATTCAATTTAAGGCAGGGCAAAATTTAGAGCCAACCCTCTTGGGAAAAGTTATATTCCTAAATGGAACATCACCTAATGCAATCTAAGTAATGAGCAAGTAAGGAACCATTATCTTGTTGCCTTTATTTAATTTTCTACATTTAATTTCTGAAGTCAAGGTGATCTCAAGAAATTTTCAAATAGAATAGGCCAATGTGCTCATTTTACCCTATCGTAACGTTTTTTGTAGCACCTGAGAAAGGAGATTAAAATCACTGAAATGTTGTGATAGAGTTAAAAGGACTTTATCTGTTCGAAAATCCATACGGGTACTTTGAGGCCGAAAATAACTTGAAAAAATCTAGGTGCAATGTTGACAGTTCCAAGTAGTTTTTTTCTGAAAATCTTGTGATTAAACGAATAAAATTTGCCATCATATGTATGAATATTACATTTATTTTTACAAAAATCATTTAATTTATAATAAAACCATAAAAATAGACATTCATTCATAGAGTGTGACATGTATATATAGTTTTTTATTTTTTGTTATTCCATTTCACTTATATCATCTCTTTTTATCAAACTTCACTTTTACCGAGCAATTGAAGCTCCTTTATTCTGACCTTAATCAGTTGTGTACTTGCCTATGGTGTATGCCTTTTGTCTATACTTTAGAAAAATGGAAAATGAAACATAACTATATACAGGAGGCTCAAGGGCTGTCTAAACAGAAGTCCTTGCGTGAATAATGTTTTAGCGTTGGCTTTACGATCTACAATATGTCTTTTATTTAGGACAATTAATAGAGAGGGAATGGTTTAGGGGCTTGGCAAGGATAAAACACACATACTTTTCGATTGATATACAGTTTCTTTTCTTTGATATAAAGAAAAAGAACAGAAAATAGCAATGGCACATAAAAAAATTTTACTACTGTTTAAAATTTGATTTGAGTGTAGTTCTTCTATAAAGAAAAATAAAAAAGTGAGAAAAAACTTTTAAAATAACAGAAGGTTTATACTGCATTGTTCACTTCCTGTGTTTACAATGTTTCCAGTATTAGAAGATTTTTGTCACTGATTTTTGTAGTAAATAAAAACAAATAAATCATTTTGCAAACTTCTCACGCAACCCATAGATTTTTTGACTCGTTGTTTCCAAGAACAGATATAGAAGAATTTAAAATCCAATCAAAGTCGCATGTTAAAACTGATAATTTAACTTGTTGACAAAGTTGATTAATCTTCGGCCTAGAGTTAATTGCCTTGTTTCAGTTAATATGTCAGTATTTGACTTTTTAAGCGTAAGATACTTAAAGAGCATAATTCATTATCCGAGAGAAAGGAGCGATTCATGATGCATTCAAAATTAAATGCATTGCGTGCAACACAAGATCTGTTTTCAAAGAAAAAAAAAACACAAAAAAGGATGAAAACAGAGTTATTACCCACAGTTTCCGAAGGCAATTGTATAATTGAAAAAAAAAGAAAAATGTAGATTACCGATAACCTAAAAATATAGCAGACACAACCGTAGGTCAAATATAATTTTTCGATTATAAATAAATTGAAAAATCCAAAAAGCTGAAATAAAACGAACCGAAAAATATCAGGTCCTTATATTTTAACTATTTCATCGTGATATTATTTGAATAGCCGAGCTTCGATTAATAGAATTCAATCAAAGTATTCAGACACTCATAATGGAAAGAAAATTTTAAAATTCACCTAATTTAATTTTTTATGTAAATATATTTACATAACACTTTACGTAATACGAGAAGAATTCAAGTCATTTTATCCTCTTCATGGAAAAATGAAGGGAATGTGTATAATATGCATTCAGTTAAGATTTTGTTGAGGTACAAGGAAATGTTATTCACATTTTCATTTTAAACTTTGTTACAGATAGTTTTTTTTTAAAGTTTTATGTCCATCAAGACCATCATTTCGAGATGAAATGCACCTCTATCTTCCCATTCTTTTGAATTGATCTTATAAGACAATTTTATTATTAAATAATTCTTTTTTCAATCCCCACGTAATGTGTTTTCTATTATTTACTCTTTCATCAAAAGAAAATATAAAATTGGATATGCATTTTTCTTAAATAAAATTTTTAATGCTTCTTTCTTGCTCACAGAAAAATGGAAGAAGTGTGACTTTCATGCTGGATTTATGATAGCGAACAATGCAAAAAATTAAAGTACCTAACAATTCAATTGGAAAAGTCGCTTAGACATATATATATCCAAGTGATAAATTCATATTTTTCATATTGTGCTTTTTCTGATATACTGACATAACTTATTCAGAAACAAAATAAACTGAATAAGTATTGATTGTGTAGTGAAAAGTGCCCTCGGTAAGTTTGAAAAAAAAAAGTTTTCAAAACGTGCATTTTTACCGTCATACCACTTTTACTCTTTAATTTCTTTTCATGAAAATCAGTCTTTGAAAATACAGAAAGTCACGAAATTTTATTTTTACATATTTTTCAACACATACAATGAACATGAAACTCTAGCATGTCTTATTTTTACAAAACTTTGGGTACATAAAGTGGCGTGGATGGAAAAAAGAAGTGGTTTGATAGTTACATTGATTCAACACTGATTCCAGCCTATATCAAAATGTTCTTTTCGTTATCATTCAGTGAAGAAATATTTATTACTTCTCCATTTTGTATAGTAAAATTCACTTTTCGTTAATCATAATTCTTTGTAAGCTACATTCCAGCAACGACACTGAGTTAAACACATATCCACACACTGATTTTTGCTTTTCTTTCAGTTGCTTTAATTTTCCTTTTTTTTCAGGAATTACAATATTGAATTCATTTCATACACGAATGCATTTAATTATTTTTTAATGGCTGTGTTTAATTTGTTTTAAAACACTCGAACCAAAATCTCCTAAATTTTTTTTGTAAAATTTCAAAATTTCGAGCTCCATAATGTCAGCTCTGTTACAGCTACAGACTTGAGCTTCGAGATAAATGTAGCCTTTTGTATCGACTTTCGATTGGCAAAGAGATTGCCGAAATATGCTAATTTTCAATCCTCGATAAAATACAAAATATACCTCGAACCAGAAATTCCCGAAAAGCTTTGCCGAATATATTTTATTTCACCAGTCAACAGTTGAAAACTTCAAGTTCAGTTCAGAAGATCTGAAAGAGGACAACTTAGTCTTAAAGCCAAGATTTTCTTTCTGAACCATGGAAATAGTGTCTGAAGGTTTTCTTGAATTCTCAGAACTTTTTTTTGTGTTTGTCTTACATTTTTGAATGAATCCTCAGATACTCCGTTTAACATTTTTCAGGTGCCACTGGTTCCGGGTATATTTGGTCTGCAAGTGGTCGAAGTATAAAACAAGGAATGTACAAAAAATATTCCTAAATAAATTCTCAATTATATGTTCAGCAATATAAAAATTTTGCTAGAAATAAGAGAAAAAGGAATAAGCAGAACTCGATCAGATTACCATATTATTCACCCACTGATTGTATAGGGTACGTGATGGTTTACCGGTCCAACTATTACATTCGCTCTGAACATATGGCCTTGGAAAGAGCAAAGTTTCAGTTTTTTTCCCTTAATATTGTAATTGAATGGGAAAAGATTGTTTAGTAAGCATTTTCAAATACTAAAGGTTAAATTATTTATTATGACGAGACCACAAAAATGTATTATGTGCAGAGGAAACGAAATACGAAATAATATATAATGAGACGAAATTTAGTTTCATTTTACTAATTCACTTATATGTGATATGTGTTTTGTACAAATAATATCAGAACAATTTGATATTTTTACTTTCAACTTTTGTTCTTTATACTGCTACTGGGTAAAATCAAGAAGCAAGAAAATGCATTTACATATACCTGTTTAGAAAAAAAATAATGGCTGAATTTTTGATTTCATATAAACTTCAGTAAAGCAAAATCTTTTATCATTTTTGTTTGTCTATATTTTTTACTGAAAGCTCCTTGCGTGTCCACATTAGTAGTCATGTAGTATTTCTCTCTCAAATATTTTAATTTAATTTGTGTTTGAAAGTTTTTAAGCTTTCGATTGGAAATAGTTTTAATCGTTTATTTAGTGGTCACAAACACGGTTTGGCCCAATTAAATAGGACTTTTTGCTTCAAAACAGCGTAAATAGAGTCACTGAATTGTCAATTCGCGAAAATATTGTTTAATCAAATTCCCATTGCTCACCCATTGCACAAATATTGCAAATATCTAGAAACGATTTTGACCAAAGCATCAATGAGTTTTGTACACAAAACTTTTCTATATTTTTTCTTGATAGTTTTACAATCCATTTCGAAAAATGGTAATAAGATAAGAAAGTGTTAATTGAAGAATGTAAGACAACAGAAAGAGTCGAAAAAATATGATTTTACTTTTGACAAGAAGAATCTGGCAACCAGTTTGAGCACTTTTCTGTCCAGATTTATTAGAAAAATGTGGAGAGAAAAGTAATTGTATGCTAATGCTTTGTAGTTTTTGCTTTTCTGTTTGCTTTTTAGACCCTCATGTCACAGTTTTATCTTGCCTTATAAGTAAATTTGGACCAGTAATAAACCAACACTTTCACTAATTTCTCAGGATGACAGCACATACTAAGTCTCTAAACTCTTATTTCTTCAACGAAACAAAACTAGTTGGGCATTTTATTATAGAATACATGCCTGGGTTGGATCCGTACCTTATTGCGCTCTCCCTATGGTCCGTATAAAAGTAGAAAAATAGTCGTTGAAGACGCACAAATATGCTCGTGGGTTACAGAATTAAAATGGGTAGCCAAAAAGACACCAGATGATTTTAAATATTAAACGAAATACGATGAGACTCTACTCCGATGACATGATATTATGAACTTGCTCAAGTTTGTAGGCAAGTCGCTGCTTCTGCGAAAATTCATCCTCCTCAAGTGTCACTGTTAATTGCTCGTTGTATTTCACAGCATATGTGTAAAGTTCATGGAGGGCACAATTCGTGTTGAACTCCGTTGTGTGCAGCTGGTAGGGCATTGTAAAAGTAAACATACAGTAAAAAGTTTCTACAAAATGTTGTCAATAGTTTAAACTTACTCTGGACTCTTCTGCAAGCATTGCATTCATGTCCTGATCGGAAATTGCTGGCATATTTTTTATGTCTTCATAGTATCTCTCCACCCACTCACGATACGATGGAATGTCTTTGGCGTACAGCAACTTGGAACTCGGTGAATCCTTTCCTACACACAAATTGCAAGATTTGATATTGTTAAAAGTTTTCATAACATACATTTAACACAAATGAAAAAGCAAAATGATGTTCGTGCTGACCAAATAGCTGATATTCCATATTCATTTCTCAGCCGAAAAATTCCAACTGATGATTTTAACTCAAGACTTCATGCTGGATTTTTCATGCTGTGATTTTTACTTCATTTTACTTATGTCAACAGAATAGAAGTCGGTTACTTTATGTTGGTATTGAGTTTTGATCAATTTCAAAACTCTAGCCTGTGGCTTAAAATTCAAGAATATTAATTAGTGGATTTACACACTCACCAAGCCTGTGATCAGATGTTGAACATGAATCCATGAATGTCTGCGCCACCACAGACAAACAAGAGTCAACTATGTTAGATTTGTGAATATCGAAGACGAAGTTGGGATTCTTTATTAGATTCACCCAAAATCGAAGCGGAAGGCTGTTGCTTTTCCATGTGTGTACTACTTCAGGATCTGTGATCCCGTTTAAAATAGCCTGATCATCTAGGAAATCAAACATGTATTTGATGGCAAGTGGGAGTGCCGAGCCCCGATGTGCTGTGCTGAATATAGTCTCAAATAGATCGTCCACGAACTTTTGCAGAGTACCTTTAGTAGCCAGAAGACGTGTTAGATAGATCTCAGATACCATTTTGTTTACACGTTCGCCTTCTTTCTGGACGTCCGTGTCATGGTGCTTTACTAGATGCCAGTACTTGACACCATTTTCCTGGCCATCATTGTTGAGTGGTGAACCTGCGCGGCTGAATGGCGGCGATGATGATGCGTACTTGCTAAGGTTAAGAGTCTCATACTTATGTGATTTGTCATTCTTCTCTGAGAGGATTGACAGATTATAGATACTGCTCTGTTTCGGTACTAAACTAAGCCATGCACCATCAGGTACGCGGTAATGGTGAAGTGTATTCAGCTTTTTCCATTCACTTTCGATTTTCGATGTAGTATCCTCGTCATACAAGATCACACGACCTGATGTTCCTGACAATAGACCAAAAATAAGTAATAAAGAAACAAAATAGATTTAGATTTGAATAAGAGAAAACTATTGGAACCAACCAGTACTTAAGTTTTTTTTTTAAATTAGTAAACACGCTTCAAAAGTATTCATAAGAAATTACCAAAAATCACGCACATTTATCTATATTTTCTTGACATACTTTGATTTTAATGCATATTCATAAACTTTGTAAATGTATGGAAAAAAATACTTGTAAAAACACACCTGTTCGCCATTCAAGATCCAAGTCATCACGTCTAGGTCGTTGGCTCCATTGTGTATTTCTGTAAATAGTATCCAGGCATTTTTCTTTAACTTGTCCAATCGTGTCACAATCCAGCACTTTAACTGGCACGTTCTCTGTGTTAGTGGGCATCATTTCAACATTGTTGCAGAAGATTGGTTGCTGAGTCATGCTAGCATACACTGTCATAGACTTGAACTCTATCAGTTGTCGGATAAGTTTCTCCTCACTGAGCGAGTACCGTGCCTCGTGTGTGATGGCATCTACAGGGCCTTTGTCCACTTGCCCTTTTACCGCTCGAAATAGCATATATAAAGGCTCTCCAGCGCACTCTTTGAGGAATTTGTAAAGCAGAAAAGTAAACCATGCAGATAACATCTTTTCTGCCACAGACTCAGTACGACGCAGAAGTAACTTTGGATGACTTTTTCCGTCGATACACTTTTCTATAAGATCTGCGAGTAGAGTCTTTAAGATATCAGTGCAATACTCAAGTTTAGATTGAAGCGTCACCATAATCAAACTGGCAACATTTACACGCTCGCGCATAGAAAAGTACCTGTAAAATAAAAAAAAAATTAGAGAAGAGACGGAATTCTTTTTCTTTCCATTAAAGGCTGATAACGAAATTAGTATGTAGTCTTTTAGTTCCTTCAGAAATACATAGATTTAACTTTTTTTTTTTACATATTTTAAGTAAAACACGTAATATTATGTAATATTCTCTATATTAAGTAAATGAAGATAATCCCATAGGCTTGTCACGAGTCTCCTATACATGAATATCGAAGAAACCGTAGAGCTCATATTTCGAATAGGTTTTATGCTTGGAATCTTAATCATAGATTGTATGATTTTCTGTCTCAAATGTTTAAAGTTGGTCTGAGAAACAGAAATTAAAATTAGAAATTTTTTCCAACATATTGAAACATTCAAAGAATTTTTTTTATTTCCATACTGGTCAAGAAAATTAATAACTAGAGTACAGGAGCTTTTCTGTAAAAGCGAGATAACATCAGACCCACTCTCAAAGTGTCTTGTTATTTTCGTCACGAATTTACTGTTTTCACGTTGAAAAATGTTTATACGCTGGTCAGAGGAAAGTGAATAAATGAGAATTAAGATCGCAGAGTAAAGGTTCTTTCCTGAAAAAAATCCGGGTTATTCTTCAAAACTCCTTTGCAGCGACGATTTCAGATTAAAACTTTCCAATTTCAAGGAAAATATAGGATTGTTGAAGAGATAGCCAAAATTCTCTTATAAGAAACTATAACATATATTATGAGGCGAAATTGAACTCCTTTTGTAAAGTTAGTTGTTTTTCTAGTGATTGCATTATATTCTATTCTATTATATACCTGTTGCTTTCTAATGTGCGAATGAAGAGTAGTAAGAAGGTTTTATTCATGATGAGTTGGCCAAAGAGTCGCAACCCTTTTTCTTTTCGCAGCAGCTCAGAGCGTTCCCATTGCAAAACACCATGATCATCATGGTTGGGAAAGAGGATCTTCATGGCGTATGTACGATAGTCGAGGAAGGGAATACCTCCCGATGTCAGATCACCAGTGAGGTCAGTCATTTCAGTCTGCAACTCCGCGAATGCTTCTTTACACTCTGCAGCTACTCGCAGCTCCAAAATATCCATTTGTTCTTGCATATTCTTCAACACGCGATTACTTTCGCTCGTTTTCTTACGATATGCCACTACTAACGCAATAAAGATCACCAAAACAATTGCTACTATGGCGCCCACCACAACTATAATATTCTTCGTAAAACCGTGTATAAAGTTTGGTGATGCATAGCTCAGAATGCCGATTTGGAAATGCAAGTTGTGACCTACGCGGACGCTTACCTGAAAAAATAGATATTAAACGGTTAATTCCAAATATTCAACTTATATATAATACAGCTAAATGAATTTTATCGATCAACTGAATATATTTAATAATTATTGAATACTAAAAAATGAATATCTGGAAAATTATAACAAAAAAAGCCAGTTTTTACTTTCTTATCTTGGCAGTATCAAATATATCAGTGAAATAACAGAAAACAATCGTAAAGAATTAGAAAATTGAGTCTTTCGAATTAATTGCTAGTGAGCAAAGTAATCTCACCTACATTTTATTTTGAAACGTGGGTGTATAAAAAAAAATCTCAATTTCATATGAAGACTTCCGCCTTTCACGAAAGTGACAACTACTGGATTCTAATGTCTATGAAAATTATTACGCATTTAGTGAACTCATTTTTGAGATATTTATCATAATGATAAGTCCTGGCGCTTTCTCCATACCGCGTCACATGATTTTTATTTTGAGATTTTTTTTAATGTTGTATAGTTAAACGTTAAAATAACTCACTTGAGGAGCTTCAGTGTCAATCGCCTCGATTGGTGGTCTGCAAGTTAACTGTTGTCGCGATAATGATGTTATATTACATAATCCTGTTCCAATCATAACGATGACGTCTGTTTCTTTACAAGCTCTGTCCAGGTTTTTACCATTTATTGTCAAGTATTCGCTTTTGTAGTACTTCACGTTCTCCTCAAACGGCAAATATTCTGGATTTGGATACAGCTCAAAGTGATTGTTCCTTGTTGATAAATTCTGAACATGTGCTACGTCGTCCATGTGAAAGCCATACTCAAGTAGCATTGGTCGATCAGCGTCCAATGATGCATCAGCATCAATGGACGGTGAATCACAAGACATTTCGGTATCACTGATAGTGTCACAGAGGGACACAAACATTTTTCCTTCGAAATACACGTACATTTGCGGCTTTTGGATACTGCTGAAGTGATCACCAATCACAGTAATTTTAATACCGCCGGCGGGGATCCCCTTGGGCACCTTCAGTTGTCCACTGGGACCACTAGCAACGTACTTAATCACCGGATCGGCTACATATTCAAATTCATCGCCTAGAAACTCTCTTGGACCATTGTCAAACATCATTTTCAACCGTCCACGACGAATTTCATCTGTAGCGGGACTAGTTCTACATAGAGCTTGGTTTTCATCTGCTGAGAGTATTTCGCAAGGAAGCTTGTCTACTGTGGCTGTTATATTACTTCCGGCATTCAAATATTTTCCATATATGGTTACTTTTGTACCACCACTCATTGGGCCAAACTTTGGTTGGTATTCATCGATTCTAGGATCAACAAACTCATAGTCCATGTTCGATTCACCTCGATAATCGCTTATTTGGACAACTATTCGTCCGTGACGGTAAGCTTGCACACCCGGACTATCCACTGTGCATACAATCTGTTTTGTATCAATGTATAGATCAGAATATGGCATACAATTGATTCCTGCTATTTTTACACCGCTGTAGATATCGCTGAAGTTTTTTCCTAAGTTGATACCTCTGATTGTTATGTTGGTGCCACCCTCCCATGGTCCCGTTTTTGGTTCGAAACTGTGAATCTCGGGATTTGGACAAGTTTGGGCTCTGTTAAGCCAGTCCACTTTACCTTCGCCTTTATTACACTGTTCCTCAACCTCGCAACTATTAGATGAAGAACACCAGCCACATGAGAATTTTTCAGCCAACGCCAAACACATTCCACAACTATCAGACATGTCACGACAACGATAAATAACAATATGGATGTTATGTGGATTATCTAACGGTTTCGATCCACCCCAAATCACTGCAAAGGTAGCAGTTAGATTCGGTGAACGGGATGTGTAGATAAACTCCATAGGATCGCAGTATATTGTATCGCCCAAAAGCTGAGCATTCATGCTTGTTACTCGGCCTTCAATATTAAACTGGCAGACAAATCTAGTTTGAACGATGAATTGTCCAATTATGTGTACTTTTACCTGTATATGAAAAAGAAAAAAAAGTTAGTATTGGATTACTGTATAATAAATATAAACTAGACATCCGAACGGTAATATTTTATTGTGGTTTCTAATTTGAATTTTATTTGAATGAAAAGTATTCGAAAATATATATGCACCTTTATGCCTTTCCTGCTGCCTGCAGCTACGAGTATTTCACTGCCGTCACCTGTAGCATTAATAGTAGGACAAAAGGTGGGTCCCGATCTATAACTTGGACCTGCTCTGCTTACACCTGTGACGAGAATATCATTACGGCAGTTTTCTGCCGTATCATGTGTACAGCGGTGAGCTTCCACACACCAATCGCAGGGAAACTGTGAACTCACGCACTGCGTGCAAGACAGGTGAGTAGAACAGTCGAAGAATGTAAAATTAGTGATTACAAGATCGGGCCCAGTTGCTGTACGTACACTCAAGCGCGATGTAAAATGATGCCGACCAGGCTGAATTTGAGGCAGTAAATCCGTTCGCGGTGTTGTGCAGTTTACACCATTTCTTTTTCTTGTGGCATTCGTTAAAAGGACTTTTTCACCAAAAGTAAATGCACATACTAAATGTTCCTTAAGCGCTGGCAAATGGTCAATTACAAGCTCCAGTGTTCTGAATTGTAGAAAAAGTAAAAAAAAAAAAAACATATTTACTTTAGTTACCCATAGTGTGGAAGATCAAACTCCAACGGAGTTGAATTTTTCGGCGAAGAAGGATATTCAGGGGTTTTATCGGATAAGACCAAATGAGTTTCACTTCTTTCTACTCTATCACAACGTTTCAAAGATTTTACATTTTTCTTTCTCTGGCGTGTGGAGGATGTTCGGGAAGAGCTGGTATAATTCTGAGTTTTTCCACCTATCTGCGAAATTATTACTTCTTTCTCGGTCTGCGTTCTCTCCTCAATTTTGAGTGTTTGACGACAAATATTTTTGACGATTTTATGAAAATCTGTACACAATTGACCACTAAAAGAATGCGCTGAGCATCGTAAGCTTTTGATAGGAATGTTAACTGTAGTTTTTCCTAGGTGAGAAAAATCGTCAAATATGTAAAACAAATGTACCGAATAAATAATCAGAGGCTACTGAGACGGCGCTATTTAAAATCTCGGGTTAATTTCTGCTTTGACTCGGTTTTCATATCATAAAGAAATCAAGGATTAGGTTGAATGTCTTCAAACTTAGCATGGTCATTACTTATTAATCAGGGAAGATTGGTGGAAAATTGCAAGACCTCTACCTTCACGTGGAAATCCGCGACAGAACGATTTGTCTCTGAGCCGCGGGGGGCGCTATTTAAAATCTCTGCAATGTCTTTATTCAACTTTCACAGCCTTCCAAACACTGAATCCAGCACACGCTTTCCGTGATTAGATATCTTTAAATTCTGAACAAAATTGTCAAAGACGGACACTTTCCTCACGCACACCCCCACAAATATTTATCCTATTTTAAATATTCAGTTTTTACGAGAAATGTTGCTTTCTTACCTTGCGGTGGTCCTCTGTAGTTGGTGTGGCATTACGGCTGTTATAGTAGTGCATTTGCCAGTCTTGTAGCTCACCCAGAACAGTGGATCATTAGAATCATCCTGACAATTACTGCGCAGACTACACTTATTCTCTAATGAACACCACCCACAATATGGATCTCGAGCTCCCAAGCATTCACCACATGTAGCGTAAATTGTACAGTCATTCACGCGTACTTTTGACACTTTATTTGCTGTCATGACATAGATGTGCATTTGGTGTGTATCGAAGTGCATATCCGCATTTACAATGCTACCATCATCTACTACAATGTCGGCATATTCTACAGCAACCGTGCTAGATTCCACGACAACCTGCCAAAGAACAAAAGTCGGACAATAAAATAGATTGGTATGGCACTATTGCTTACATATTATAGTAAATATTTCAGATACGTCGTGCCACTATCTATTCTAAGGAATCTACCTTAGAAAATATATAGATTTGTTTTACTTATTCTTATTGAACAAACGAAATACTCATAAAAGGTTGTTGAAATAAAATCGGTTAACAAGACGTATCCGTTTGCACATCCGAAACTGGATGTGCACACGCGAACTTGGCGCCTTGGTCACTGGCCGCGCCAAGACAATGAGGGCAAAACTAAAACACAAAAGTCCAATATTGCACATCTGACAAATTTTTTCTCTCGTCTCTCTGCGTCACAGAGAGGTGGAAAGCAACACAAAATATGCACAGGATAAGTAATAATTTTGTATGAAAAGACCAATTTCTGTTCAATAAAGTCACTCCATCAAACACTGTTCGCATCAAGTAATTCTAAATATTGAAGAAAATATACGCGGCAAAATGCCCCACACCGCTAAGCTTATGGGTTTTATAGGCTATATGTCATGAATTCTAAATATTCAATCTAGGATGTTACAGATATAGACAATTATGAATGACATATAGCATGAATAAAAATTTACTGTAATTTTCAATAGGTGCGTTCTGATATCATACCTTCTTTAGATGTCCTCGCGCCGTTCCAATAAATACCACCGTGTAACCACTCGTGCGTGTCGCTGCTACAGCCGTAAGAGGCGTAGCGAAGAGTGCCACTGGAATGGCAGCAATGGGTTGCTCCCCTCCCAATGGCGAATTTACGTCTAATCCGCAGAAATCCTCACTGATTGTTTGCAACTTTGTTGGAACGCACTGCATATTTGGAGAAATGAAGTCTAATCCACGCGGACCATTACCGTTGAAGCATGCTTTGATATTTTGCATAAATTTTCGCCTGATAGCTTTTAGTGAATATACACAGAGAGCGCTGCGATTTGTAGTGCGATTGCCATTTCCGACACTAAAAACGGCAAATAGTACGTCATCCTGTTGTGTGATGGACAGGTTTTCAGCTAAATCAGATCCCGGTTTGCCTACAAACGCTGCTTGTACAAGATTGTACTTTGTGCCGCCGGCTGCCTCACTAATGCAATCAATGGGTATTTCCGTGTAGCTATAGTAATTTGAGTCATCTTGACAGATCCTTACAAGCTTGCTAATGTATTCACGTGGCGCCGAGTGGCTATTGTGCTTGAGCTGAGTCGTAAGAAAGTAAGAGAATCTGTAATGATATGAAAAATCATTTGAAATTCTAATTAAATTCGATAGTTAAATAGAATTTTTAAATAAAAAGCCGTAGTAAGCTCCCTAAAAAACCGTGCAAAGAACTAAACTTAATTATAAAACCAGATGTGATCGACATTTACCTTTCTGAGCTGAATCCGTACACATAGTTGACAAGATATGATTCACGCGAGAAACTGTTGATGAAGATACGTGTACCGGTAGTTACTGCAGAGGAAGCAATCTGGAACATACGCGATTTATCCAGAGACCGCGATGCAACTGTTGGGATTTCACTGCGATATGGACTGTTACCAGTGAATGTTACACCCACGTACATAACATGTGATGCGGGTGGATCAGGCGGACCAGGCGCTATAAACGCTACTGTACTCGCATTCTCGTTGTTTGCCACCACGGCCTCTTGTACTTCCTGTTCTACTTCAGTAACATTTTGCAAAGAGCGGACAGTGCAAATTCCTTGGAATACACTGCCGCATGTAATCAGCCGACTGGTACTGTAGTCAATTAAAAGTACCTGCATGGAGTAATCAATGAATAAGAAAAGAAATAGATTGTATCAATACATTTAAAGTTCACGTAAAGCATATATTTTTGTTGCACTATATTATTATTTTTTATTCAAATTCTCCCTCCTCTCCTCCTATATCTTTATGTTTGCTGTGACTTATTGGTTCACAGAAAGGACAGCTTGTATTATTAACGCCAATAAATTTAAATTTGAAAAATGGAAATATAATTAATAATAATAGTAATAATAATAATAATAATAATAATAATAATAATAATAATAATAATAATAATAATAATAATAATAATAATAATAATAATAATAATAATATTAATAATAACAATAACAATAATAATAATATTAATAAATAATAGAATTTATAAATAATAACAAGGGGTGGCTAATGTCGGAGATGTTGTGTCACTTGGTCCGAGATGCAGTGGAAATGCACCGGAGAAGCCGAGATGCAGTAATAACTATTTACAAAACTCATGTACTTAAATATACAAATATGTACGGTGGTGGGGGAAACACAAGTGTTTCACGAGATTTTTTTTACAACAGATCGGATCAATCTGAAAATATCTGAATAAATTTAATCTCCGTGAATCGCGATGCCGTCGAAATGCAAGATGCTGTGGCACTCAAAACCCACTTTAGGCCACCCTTGCCAATTTCTCCTAAACACTTGCGATTACTTTGCGAAAGAATCTTGTATGAAAATAAATATTATATTCTATATTGACATATTAAATTTCCCTTTTCGCAGAAGATACCAATGTTCCAGTTATTCACACATAAAACTGCTGATTCAATTTTTGTAACTGTAAAAATTACCTTGTTTATATTGTCGGTGAGTTCACGCACTGTGTCACTGGGACACTCCAGTACTGTACAGTCGTATGAATCATTTCGGGGACCTGTTACTGCTATGGCTACAATCTCCAGGTCAGGTGATAGCTGATGTAGCCGATTTACGCCGCCCACAAACACGCGTCCAGTGTTGCGGTCCACAACGAGGTGTTTTAGACGCGACGTAAATGCTTGTTGGTGTGTTACGGTGTGATTAACAGGCGTGGCATTCACACACGCGAGTAGAATCAGGACTATTATCATTATCACTTGCCTAGTCTGCCTTTAGACACTTCCGTTTCAGCCTATCGCCATGGCTGCGCACCAGTCGACATCCCTGAAATGAAAAAAAGTTACAATCAATGCCATTGATTTGGTAATGTTAAAAAACAAATGAAAGAATGGGCAATTATGCAAACATAGTATCTTGTTGCGTGGATAATTTTTAATGCAAATTTATGACTTGCATTGAAAACAAAAAATTTACAATTTTTTTTCCAATTAGCGAGTTGAAACAAATCAGATTCCTGTTAATGCAATATGTAGTATTGTACTGCATAGAGTAGTATAATGACTAAACATTCAACAAAGTTGATTGAAGAAATGAAGATCTTCAGATGAAATGATTTCTTGGAATCCAAATGCAAGTGGCCTAGCTACTCCCTGGAATATTTCTTTCAGTGGTAGGCAAACATGTTTCACTTCAAAAAATTGTATTATTTATTTCCCTACGCGCAATTAAACCCAAACTGTTATGAACACTAGAAAGCTCCAGAGCAATTTTTTTTCAATGATCTAGCCAGTATGACCAAACATACCGGTATTATTAGAGAACTTTAAGGATGAATCAACATGACTTTTCTTGTTTTTCATGAGTCTGTAGACACCATGTTAATAAAAGAATATTTTCTTACTCAAATAGGGTTTATTCTGCACATTGGAAAATTTGACTTCATTCACGTTGTAACAAAATTCTTTTGTTGATATAAGTCTCAACTGACCTTCCTAAGGAGTGTAAACAACTCAGCATGTAGAAATGTGGTAAAGCGAGTTGTGGCTTCACAAGTTGCAGGCAAATTTGAATGTGTATTAATCTGATATTTCTTTGTATTTTCATTCTACTCACAAGCTAAGAAGTTTACACCAATTGGAATTATGTTTCTTTGTCGTCCCTTTTTTCTCCTACTCTTCGATTTTTCCACAAAGAGACAAGGCTATGAAAGTCAGCCAAATTCAAAGACTGCCAAAGTTTGGTCTTGAACATGTATTGCAGACGATATTGTTTATTTGCAAGCGATATCAGCCTGGTATTGTTCCCATATACACACACACACACACACACACACACACACACATATATATATATATATATATATATATATATATATATATGATATATATATATATATATATATAACATTTACTGTTCAAAAGCTTAATATTCTTTCGCATCTTTTTGCTATCGATTATATGCAACTGATAAAAATTCAACACATAACTGTGGCATTTTCAGTCTTACATACTAGGGACTGGACCACAGCCGCCCTTCTTTCAGATGAAGGTCAACAGTAAAGCCGGCGACAGACTTTAGAGTGGGAAAAGAGACTATGAAGTATTGAGATTGTGTCCAATACTAAATTTCAGTATTTCATTGTCATCTGCAGTATAATTTCCATGAATATCCTGATTTCTGTACTTTCGAGTTCATCACTTATGATTCCGTTGTGACGTATAAAAAAAGTAAATATCCCTTTCATATTGAAATCGTCAACCACAAAATACACAATATAATTAATAATTCCACAATACTTTTATTTTGAGCTTTCTTCTCAAAATGGCCGATCTATTGACGTCTTATTATGTCAAATATCCCGGTTTCATCGCTTATTTTTCTCGATATACAAAAAAATCCTAAATTACACAAATATCCTCTTTGGTCTCACGATAATATCTCAACGGAACATGTGGAGTCGCTGCACGGCTTTAAAGCACTCCACACACAAAAAGGAATGCTGTATTAGATATTTAGCAGACAATCAAAAGATTCTTACACATTTTAGTTTTAGTTTTCCACAAGTTGATTGCACAGTTAAGTCTCACCTCAATATCTCAGCACTCTGTTTATCGTCCCACGCTTATAGGATTGCTATCGTATGCTTAAAGATGCATCACGAACTTTCTTTGCAGACACTCACTTACTTGCGATTATTCACATCACATACGCTCATACCGCTCTCAAAGGCCATTAAAAGTACAAATTTTATGTTTCTAGTAATGCCTTTTCAACACACTGAAAAATCTCTCTCCTCAATTTTTTGTGAAAAAGTACTCCCTACAATGAGACGCCCTCTACACTGACTTCATAAATTGGGTGACAGTTGTGGTATTCCCATAAAAATTTCACCGTATTTTGAAACAAATGTCTATATGTTACAAATAGGACTTTCCGTCTACTGTCTGTAACCTGGTTAACATAAATGAATGTTTTGAAATTGGTTTAATTACTTCAAATCAGTACAAACAGAGTCGCCTAATTGCCGAATTGCGAGCAAAATTGAAGAAACAAAGTTCTATTGGGCACCACAAATATTGAAAATTTCTAGTAGGGGTAATGACAAACAAATGAATTTTCCTCCAGACCCTGTCTTACATTCTCCTCTGTTAGTTTCACAATCTATTGTGAAAAAGTTTGGAAGCGAAGTGTGAAGTGAAGAAGGGTTAAACCGACAGAGAAAGAGTGAAGAAGGGTTTACGTTGCTTTTAACAATCTAAATCTGTCAAACCGATCGAGCTCTGCCAGAGCAAATTCCATCAGAGTTAAGTTCCGTCCAAAGTATATGTATATGAGAAGACAAGTGGAATAGATTTCGTTTGCCAAAAATAGCACTAATATATACATATATATATAATATATTATATATATATATATTATATATATATTATATATATATATATATATATATATATGGCTAAAAGGAATAGGTATGGAATTATTCCATGATCGTATTTGTCCACCGTGGCCAAATTTGAATTTGTTTACGCCAAATGAAATCTATTTTAATCGTCTGCGCATATAAACCACATCCGGAGCCAAACAGCTCTAATGGCTAAGTTTTTTTTCCTCTCCAACGTATGTTTTGCACCACCAGTACAGCGTCTTCCTCTCTCCCCCCCCTGCACCGTGGGATTCGCGGCTGGTCAATGAAACTAAGACGACGATGGCCGCAAATGAGGCTGTGGTTAATGTATTTGCTCTGAGTAAATAAAGGTAGTATATTGTAATATTCTGAAGTACAAGCCTGTGCATCCAAGACAATCGACACAGCGATGCTTGAGATTCAGATTTAACAATGGTGGCCGTAAAACGTTCTCTAGGGTTAAAATTATTTCACACGTCGGTTAATTTTCCACTGACTTCTCGACAATATTCAATTTCGTATGTTTATAGGGTGGAGAAACATATATGGAACAGGCAGCCCCTTGCGGTGAATTCGTGCAGCTGCGTCTATCCAAACAATAAGAAAGCCGAATTGGACGCTTAGCTCGGTCCCTATGGTGGAGCTCTTGCCCTACCCACCTGATCGTGTTGTATAATACTAAAACATGACCAGCCAACAGTTTTGTATCCGGTGGAACAGTCATCTGGGCAGTATTGGTGCTGCTTTCCCGCAAATGCTTGCCGGACAACGCTTCGTAGACGTTACACTGGCGTGTGAAGGCCATCAGGTACATTGCCATCGCCTTGTCCTAGCTGCTTGTTCGACTTACTTCGAAGCTCTATTAGGCGAAAACCCATGCAAACACCCTATCATCATCCTGCCACGCGATATTCGGCTTTGGGAAATTCAAGCGCTTGTGGATTTTATGTATAAGGGTGAAGTGAATGTTAGTCAAGCCGGTTTGCCAGATCTTATAAAGGTGGCCGAAATGTTGCAAATTCGTGGGCTATGTGGAGCAGACGCGGCGCTCAATTTAGATACTATGACCACCGAGGAAGTCTCACCAAAGACAAACACTGATATAATGGGGGAACTAAATCACGAAGATCATCCTCGCCTGATAGAAGCCGATACGGACTCTGTGGACGACACAAAAAACAAATCCGGTGAGTTGAAAATCACCAAATTTAGGTTATATATAACCTTCTCAAATGGTATTTAAAATATTTATTTTTTTACTGGAATTTATGCTTCAAAGTTTTTGTACTGTCACATCAATACCCTAATGAGCACATTGTATATGACATTTATACCCCCAAAACCATTCACTTGGTTTCTGGATGCCAAATTTACATTTGATTTTCGACAAGAAATCGATGCAAAATGAGACAAAATGACTTTTTCAATTTTCGATTTTTTTAATTAGAGCAGCTCAACTGGTTGCTGTTGAATATTTTAGCTAAAACATTAAACACTGTACTGAATTTAACTGAAAACCCAGCCGAAGTGCGGTATGATATTTCCTTACTTACTTTTGTGGCCTGAACGTCTCATTGCGGGCTACAGCTTTCTCCTTTAGAGGAGATATCTAGAAAGGTTTTTGTTATGCTGTGGCGAATTGTTAGTTTGCCAATCCACCATAAGTGGTTCTACCGCCCGCTCAATATAGGGACAAAGCAAAAGACAATTCTAGTGAAGTGTATGTTTCAGCTGACACGTTCAACAGTAACCATTTTGGCTGCTATTTGCTTTTTTGCTGCAATTTGCCATTAAAAAGCCTAATTTTCTTTACACTCCGTGTTCAAACATTTTTGCAATCGGTAAGATTTGCATACACGACTGTGGCATCGAGAGTCAAACGCGTTGACCACTGAGCTACAGCCGCCCTGAAAGCGATTTATAAATGACTCAAATTCAATGAACACGCGTTGACTTGAATCCATTGAGCCTACAAGATTACTCGATGTCACAATTTAGAATTTTACAGCATTTAAGGTATTATTTGATAAAAAAAAACGTCAGAAAGAGATAATCTTGTTGATAATTGAGTAGTTAACTGAGCTGGACAAAGTCAACTTTATCTGTAAACGGATAAAAAAACTCGTAAATTGGACTTTTTTTTTTTTAATAATATTGGTTTATTCGCCACTCATGTTAATACAACTTTACTACTCAGAGTTGTTGTGTGCTAACATTTGTCTACATTGATATAATTTTTTATCGTGACTGTTTTCTGTTTTGTTTTTATCTCCTTCATTTCTTACGTGAGTTATACTTTTTTGTCTGTTTATTTTGTACAGATCATTTGTTTTGTTTTATTTTGGTTCATTTTGAAAGATGTTCATCTGACTACAGCTAGATCCGCTAATTTCAATCACAATTGTTTAAAAATTGTAAAGTCAGAAGTTTTGTTTGAAGGTTAAGCAATTTCGCATAAAATATTTAAGCACTTCGATGGCCCAGTTACGGACGTTTCCAACATTGGGTTATACTTTTTATTCAATGTCAAAGAACTTAAAAAAAAGCAGTTTCTTATCTGTTGACTCATACGAAATTAGTGGCGTAGTCGCAATGAATTAGTAATGGCATTCCTCTTTTAGGAGCCAAATTTTGAAATGATTCAAATTAGAATGAACATAAAATTATCGACTTCTAACTTGTTAACAGGACCGCATAGTTAAGGGAAACGAAATGGTTATTCATGGTGAGAGATTTGAGCTAAATGGCTCTTGTCGTGAGGAAAGTGACAATCGAAACATACACATTGAATGGCACTCTTTTGTGTGAGAATGCCTTGAAAAAGAAGGTTCACAAAAGTGACGCACTCTCTTGCTTTTACAATCGCTCATCAACTGCTATGTGTCGCTTGGAGCATTTGAGGCACTTGTGCACCATCCTCTTCTCTACTGACATTTCACGAACTGGCTAGAATTCCATCGCCATGGCACTAAAGAGAATATAAAGAGGAAGACGATAAAGTGGAGAAATGAAATTCCCTCGTTACTAAGTCTGTGAGGTGATGTTTATTGGCAACAAGACAGAATGTTTGTAATCAAATGTTTTCGTATCTGTAGGTCTTGAACAGTGTTCCGCCAAACAGAAATGTCATAAAAAACCATCGTATTCCTAATATCGATCACTCTATGCTGTTGTATTCATTATAATTCAATGAAATTGAGCAATTGTATTTGTGTAGTTTTAGGGTATTTCATTTTATTTAAGTGGGTAATTCAGGTTCAGGACTTACTTTGCTTTTGTTCTTCCAATTAAATTATTTTTAGCTGAAAGCTGTCCCTTACCGATCCCTCGGCACTTGTTCTAACTTCTATATTAAATGCATTGAGAGGTCTTATACCAAGGCGCTGCCGTAGATTTGCGGTGGTAGAATGTGAATCGTGCTGTTAGTGAGTGAAAATGGCAAATTGACAACTTGAAAAGAGATCTCAATTGAAATGCGAAGAAAGAAAAATTGCGGAGGCGAGTTTTACTGCATCGGAAGTGAGAGTGCGATGTGCTTCGTGCCCAAGAATGAGTTGGTCGGTTGGGAGCGATCCCCCAGCATTAACAATTCCGTAGTACAAACATTGAGACTGCTTCTCCTGGCACCCATGTAGAGGCACTAGTGAGTAAGGGAACTGTCAATATTATGTTCGGAATCGCACTGCAATTTTGATTACGCGTATATATAATTCATTGACGATTTTTCGCAAAAGTCTATTTAAACAATCAAACAATTCACTTTAATGCCTTCAATGATGCCATCGCGATCGCTTAAGCCTTAAATGCGCACGGAGAAGATGATGAAGGCCACGAGGGGCAGGAAAAGGTTGTCCACCTGATCCGTCTTCGCCTCGAGGAGTGCACTGACGGTGACGCCGACGAGAATGACGATGACGCTGGAGAGATGGAGACTGATTCATTTTGTTGACGGGGTGATTCACTGGAATGAACTTCCCAGAGATATCAAGCAGCAGGCAATCGGAAAATTTTCGGTGCCCTGTTTTTTTTCCTTTTCTTCATTCTGTTAAAGCTCAGCAAGAAAGCCAATACAACCGGTGAAAGAGTTTTTCCACCGTTTTGCTCTGGAGGTTGGTCATCAACACAGACGTCGGTGGACGCAATTCTGTGCTTAAATTTTTTTTTTATATATCCAATGTATAATAAAAAGCGAAAAGATTTTTTGGATCAATTTTATATATGCATTTATTCAGTTATAGCAAATACATTATTCACAACCTCATTTGCAGCCAACGCTAACTTGATATTGGTGACCAACCTCCGAGACAAAACGATAGAATAGTCCCTTTATTGGTTGTATATTTCACGACTCCCACGGTGTGCGGAAAACGTTGGGCTGGTGGCTCAAAGCATACGTTGGAGGAGAAGAAGAACCTAGCTATTAGGGCTGTTTGGCTCCGGGTGTGATTTTACGTTAGACTACGGAGGGTCCAGGAAACCGAGTCAACTTTCGGAGCCCTTGGACCCTGCCTTCTGATATAGGGGCGAGTCGCTGTGGTTGAAGTGCTCGTTAACGCCACTTTCCGTAGCGAGAGCTACAAATTTGGCCAATCTCTGCAGGATCCGCGGTACGGAGCCAATACCTGATGCTAAGTTTTGCTAATTGAGGCAGACTTAAGATCGCGAAATATATGAATAAATGTATGAATATATTGTATATACATATTCGAAAATATTATTTTGCACCAGCAATAAGCATAACATGAATTTATTTAAGTTTATAATATTCAACAGAACCGAAGCATAATGTATTATCCGTTTTGAGTTCAACACTCATATACTTAGACTTACTCGCACTCTCTTGTCAAATAAGTTGATGTGTAATTTTCAAATTGTGAAAAGTCTGATGGTCTTTTCTCTCTCTTTCTGTCCACAGACAATCTGCACGAGGCATCGCCGAGTGGCACAATACGTGTGATATCTAATGATATTCTTTTTGAAAATTACCATCAATTGGGCGACGGGGAGTGTGATGGTCTACTTCCACCGTCTCTGAAATTTGATCGTTCTAGCATGTCAATCAGCGTACGTTCAGGCCGGGCGTCCTCAGTGGAAAGCTGTGAAAACATCATCTGCTCACCCAATATAGATGATCAGAGTGATGCTAATGGTGATGATGTGTCATCGGATGAAGATATGGACCTTCCACCGCTTATCCCATTTACCAAAGATGTGATGGAGGAGGTACCAACAGTGCCGCCGAAGGCCTTCGTCTTACGTAATCCGCGTGGCAATCAACCAAGATCATACAACATAGATGCGTTGTGGGCGGCTTTAATGAATGTAAAAGCGGGCGAATCGATTTACCGCGCTAGTCAAATACACAAGGTACCGCGCAAGACATTAAGAAATTGGATGAAAAGATGGGATATAAAATCCTCTTTCCCAATGCCACGTCAGCTGCGTCAGGCTGCAGAGAAAAAGCGACTGAGCAAGATAGATCACGCGTGAAACTAGTCCAAAGATTTGGCAATTAATATGCTTCATATTTATGCTATTGTATAAGAATTTTAAGTGATATTTTATAATTCCTCCTATGTAGGATTTTGGAGTGTCAAATAGAAATCAATGGAATTATAAATCGTCTCTCTCTTCTGCTACCATTTTTTCCCAACAGATTTCGCTATGGCCAATGTGATGTGCGAGTACGAACAGGAACCTAGACACACACGCAGAATCCGGCGTTCGGAAAATCTCTTAGCACAGGCAGCCGATTGCGTATCACGTGGACAGACCTTTCAGACGGTATCCAACATGTTTCACATCCCAATATCTACTATCAGGTAATATACAACTTAGGCAATAAATTTAAATACAGCATAGGTTTTTAGACCTTATATGACCATAGTAGCTATCTTGTGTTAAAAGATGAGGTCAATTGGAGTGCTCGGTAAATTGTAGTTATGCTAAAAATCAAAATGGTGTTTTCACTGTCTATTCGTAGCAAAATAAAAACCTCCATTATGAGGTTCTTCGTCGGAGTCTGGGGTCACTGGGGAACTAAATGTATTGTTCGGTGGGCAATAACTTAAGATAGACTCTAGAAATTTATTTATTTCAAAAGAAAAATCAAAAAACCATAAACGGTAAATTTTTACTTTTTCGCATTCAGTGACTTTTGTACCAGATCCTGACTCAAGTGACTCACAAAAACAACCACCATTAAATTTTAACATAATTTCTCGGCGAATGTGACACATATCTTATAAATTTCCTTAATAGACTGTACCTTGGAACTCTGGTTGAAAAGTATTATTGTAAATAGAGATAGCATTTAGAATAGAGCCTTCCTATAGTTGCATAGTTCCAGCTTGCTTTATAGTTCATTTAATTGATAATTATTTATTTTACCTCTCCATGCGATTTTGGCTGCCGCCGACTTTATTACCAACTTCCCCGAGGAAAATGGTAGAAACCTCGGATCATTGGTCGTGTGCCGCACACTGGCTCCGTACATTTACAATTGCAGATATTGTATGGTTGTGACTATAAGCAGTAAAAAAATTCCGCGCATATCACATTGGGAAATAGTAGTGAACAGCAAAACTCCGAGGGGGGAGTTGAAGCGCTTCTCATGGGTTCAGTAGAATGTAGCCACAGGTAAGAGGGACACATGCCAGGGATTGATACAAAAGCAAAGAGAAAAAAGGAAGAAGCAAAAAGAAAAGTACAACTAAGGGGAAACAAAAAGCAAGAATTCTGGGAAAAGAAAATAAATATAGACACATGCTCAAATGCTATGCCGAGAAATTGTCGATCCGCGGTCTTTGGGCTTCAAACCATGACCATATCTTGTTTAGAGGAACTCCTCCCACAGATGATCAACCAGCCCCCGCGCAAAAGCTGCCTCACACTGACTTGAAATTGAGATTGACTCCCTAATGCAAGCAGATGACTATTGTAGAGCAGGGCCACGTAGATATAGAATCTCCCAAGAAGTTCATGTCTTGGCCGGGAGACAAGAGCCTGCACTCCGTCGTGGCCAGGTATAGATCCATTAGAATTGAGGAAACCCCCTCTCGTGTAAAACAGTCTCAGTGTTTTGTACTTTTAGATGTGCGGCAATGGCAGTATATTGATATAGTAGAAAGACGTAAACAGTGAGTCGCGCTTTGTCTAGCGCAGCATCGCTCTCAGGGCAGCACTCTGTGCCATTCCCGCGGATCTAATATGTGATGCCCGATCACCTCTCAAGCCACTCACTCCATAGCTTACCCTAGAGTCGATACGGGCATTATGGAATGAACGCGAGACGCTCAGCGAACTCACGCGGCCTAAGTGATAGAGACTATTTATAGAGGCAAACATCCCATTTTTCAGTTTTATCGCGTGCTGCTTACAGGTTAAACCCTCATCAAAGACGACTCAGGTATGTGAACTCCTCAACGAAAGGGATAGCGATGCAGGAGCAACAAAATGGGCCTTCACACGCGGGCAAATGGGATATTACATTACGCGAGAGGACCGATAGCGCGGCGGCAGGAATCGCATCGCTTTTGGTTTACCGCTTAACATCATAGAGTGCGCGTTCGGAATGTTGGGCTTATTTGAGCATGACAACACAAAAGAAAATTAACGAACATAATTTTTCTTTGGGGCTAGATACAAGAATAGTACCATGACCAGAAATCTTAATTCTTTTCAAAAGGTTTAGTTATGCTTTTAGAAGTAATTTAGACAAGTGTTCCTCAACATGAAAGAACAAAATTAGGCGATTAATGTATGACGGACAAAGAAGTTTAACATTGAGGTCGATGGCGAACCGTAGCAGAATTAACTATATGGTAGCTATGGTAAATAGTTACTGAATGCAAATAAGTGAAAAATGTGGATTATCACACGTTTTGCGTGTGTTTATAGGAGAGCTGAGATTTACTGTATGTTTTCTGTGATCATATAGAAATGTGAAATTTTTTTGTATTAGCTTTTGATTTGATATTAGCTGTGATATACATCACAGCTAATATCCGTAATCGCGCAAAAAATTGAACCTCGCAAAAACAACTCCAATCGACTCAGGTAACGGTAAAATGTCAAAATATGACGAAAATGGGAAGGGACACTTTTTTGATTTTCGTGTCTGTTTGTCGTTCCGTCCGACCGTTCGTCTGTCGTGACAAACGGGCTTGTGGGGCCTAAACGGTAAGAGATATCGACATGCGGTTTGCAGCAAAGGTTAAAAGTATGCAGTGGTAATGAACATTTTTTGTCAAATCCAACCTCCCACTCCTATGTCCGCCATTTTGAACACCCCCAAAATACGCTTTCCTCAATTATTCAGCCCCTATGGCATAAATCGGGCTCAAATTCTGGTATGTTATAGCTGACTTTAAGACCTTTCCAACCAACCGTCACTTAAGGACCTAGGACCTTCTGGACCCTAGATACACCGGTTCAAATTTCGAAAATTAAATGGCCATAGCTCTGCTTCTAATTAACCGATCAGAATGATTTTGTAATCATTGGAAGGGTCTCATAAAATGCCATCACCCACCAGAACAACATAACTTGATAGGACCACCGCTAGAGGCGCTAATATCAATAAGAAAATTTTTAAAATTTTCAAGTGGGACATTTTGTTTCAAGGTCACACTACTTTGGGATAATTTCTTAAGTATTTCGATAGTCCAGATTGAGACGTTTCCAAAATGGAGTCAATCTTTTCTGTCGAAGCCATATAACCAGAGATAACTGTTTGAATTTCAGGACTTGAATTTTATTTTGCATATGAAAATTTTCATTCTTTATTTCCTTCTAACTAAATCGAGGTGGGCACGGAAGAGAGAAATTTTGATATCCCAGCTAATATGCCAGAAGCACATGCGAAGCGTGTGTTTACCCACATTTTTCATATGTAAAATTGACATCGTAATAACTCAAATCATACAGATTTGCTATGCAATATTAACCATATTTGAGAAACGTCTCTGACAGGACTCTTTACATATTTAAAAGATCACAATGAAGTAGCTTGAGCTATGAAAAACAATTTTCCATTTTAGTTTTTATTTTCAATTTTTTTCATCTTTTTCAGATTTTTTATGGCACGCAAAGGTATCCTTCCGAGACGGAAACGTGGTCGGGCAGCCATGTGTGATGGGGACCGACAATCGCACTTTAAAGAAAAAAGCGAAGATCCGCCACTTTGTTTTACCAACTTCAAGTTGCCTAAGATCAGGCCAAAATTTACGTAAAGCCTATAGGATGTTACCTCACGCTAATATACCTCAGAAAAGACCTCGTAGTTTTTACTTCATTATTAACTGCCACATTAATCCCTACATTCTAACGCCTCTGTTGCTCAGTTCAATATTGCCAAACACCTAGTCCTCACTTGTGCTTCTAATTCTGTGGGACGTCCTTCTGGCGACGTTTATTCAACAGAGCATTGCTGGAATTGTCCAGAGATTTGATTTTCATCTGAAAAAAAAATCAATCAATATCAATTGTTAGTAAATAGTTTTTATTTAATCAAAGTTCCTGTCATTTACTTTACTATAAGAATAATTCAACATACACTTCCCCGATAACTTTTGTCAACCATGAAAATGCGCTGGATGTAAATTTTTTTTAAGAGCTAGCCAGTGTGGCCAATTGGAATTTACTGTATTGTCAAAATCCGATTCTTATAGACAAATTAAAGAATTCATATATGTTTTCACTTCTCATATCAACAATTGTATTTTGAGTATTGTCGCAGGCCTCGCAGGAGACCAATAAAATTATGGATTACCCGAGATCTTTGTCGTAGAATTTAAACTAAGAATAAACTCAATAAGCTCGCCAAATGCGGAAATCCTATTTCTACTCAAGGTGGTTTCGTGATGCTGGGAGCGACGGCAGATTGAGTACTATCACGGAGATCCTGGGAAATAGGAGCAGATCGAGAAGCGGAATTGAGGAGATTACGGGGGATGGAGTTGTTTATACAAGTCTTGTCGAGGATCATACTGAATAGACTGAAACCGTATGCTGAAAGGATCATCGGGGAGTACCAGGCAGGCTTCCGGCCTGGGAGGTCCACGACCGATCAGCTCTTCAGTAACCGCCAGACACTGGAGAAATTCTGAGAGCACATCATCTCAGTCCATCAGCCGTTTGTGGACTTCAGACAGGCTCACGACACCATTAACAGAGAAGCACTGTGGAAAGCCATGCGGGAGCTGGGAATCCCACTTAAAATAATTAGTTTGATGAAGATGACCATCTCCAATTCGGTGTGTCAGGTGAAGGCGGCTGGGAGAGGTCGGAAGTCTTTAGGGTGAGCTCTGGGCTAAGGCAAGGAGACGCCCTGTCAGTGTTCCGGTCCAGAAACGTCTCATGGTCAACAAAGGTCAAAATCTACAGAACCATCCTGAAGCCAGTGATCACGTATGGTCTGGAAGCAGCACCATTGAACCGCACGAAGGAGAGAAAGCTGCAGACCTTCGAGAGACGGATTCTGAGAAGGATATAAGGGCCGACCCAAGATGCGACTTCGGGGAATTCCGTATCCGGATGAACCACGAACTGGAGGAGCTCTATGGGGAACCGGACATTGTCGCCTCTATTCGGGCAAGAAGACTGGGATGGCTCGGGCATTTACACCGCATGCCGGAGGACAGAATGCCCAAGAAACTGTGGTGTCGTGCCCCCTTTTCGAGGCCTAGAAGGAGAGGCCGGCCCCAAACAAGGTGGATGGACGTGGTGGACGACGTCCTCAGGGCCCTGGGTGTGATGCGTTGCTGGCGGGCGGTGGCGGCGGATCGCGGAGAGTGGAGAGGCATTGTGGAGAAGGCCATGGCCCTTAAAGGGACGTAGGGCCACTGAAGTAAGTAAGTAAGAGTTGTTTATACCGATCCTTTCGAGGTCACGCGGGAAATGAATAAGTATTTTATCAATATTCCTGAAGCTCCGACACGCAACTTGATGGCTCGGGGCCATCTGTGCCCAGGCGGTGCGGCGGGAGGCACCAGTGTGTCTCGATTGAAGTTTTCGACCGCTAATGAGCAAGAGTATGAATGAAAAGCGGGTTTTCGGTCATAAGCTTGTTTCTTTCTAATCTCTTTCGCCAACGTTTAGACCCTTGTTAAGATCTTATTCAGGCCCTACACAGTCAAAATTACAGAAAAAAACATTGTATTGCTCTGTTGTGTTCAAACATTTGCAATCGGTGGGATTCGAACATACGACTGTGGCATCGAGAGGCAAATGTTTTGATCACTGAGCCACAGCTTCTCAAGGATATAGTACTCACTTGATCGTAATCAACGCGCATAGTTGCAAGAGATCGCATCATTTCTTCCTGGACCTCTGGCCACTGCTCTTCACTCTCGTGTAAAACACGGCCAGTGTGCAACGGTGTCTGGGGAACCTGTGTATATTGCGCTATCCATGAGTTCTTGATCAATTGCTCGATAGTGAGTCGGTGCATAGGGTTGACATTCAACATAGCTCGAATCAGATCCTTTGCTGACTGGCTCACATTTGCCCATTCAGTGCTGGGGAATTCGTATTGGCCTGTGCGTATTCGTTTTTTCATACCCGGTGATATAGCGAGACCATTGCTGCTGTAGAAAGGAGGATATCCACATAAACTGCAGAGAAAGAAAAAGGCAGTCAAATGTTGTTCTAGACATTTTCTTAAATCCTGTCTGTCGGCCAGATGTCTCATTTCATTTTTTTTAATGTATAATAAATACATTTGTAAAAAAAAATACAACTTTATAATATATAAGGAGCTATTTAATATAAAATCAATTGAATTGATGGAGATGGGGACATTTGTCATCTAAGACACAGGTCAATAAATTAATAAACCTTACAATTATTAAAAATCACAGCGTATACATTTATCATAGACTTCTTTGTGGAGATCACCGTCTTAGGGTTGGTGATGGTGACTAGCTTTCAGGAACAAAAGGCCAGTGTGGCGCTAGATGTTAAGTCAGTGTAATGAGCGCGCGAGGCGCGATAAGTTACTTTAGAACCGTGAGTTTTGTCAAGATAACATCTTAGAATACAATTTCAGCGTTATTTGCGTCCACCAACCTCTAAGTGTTGATAACTAACCTCCAGAGCAAAACAATTGAAAATCTCCTTCTCAGGTTTCCTAACCTATACTTCCCCAGTTCTTACTAGAAAGGAAAAAGGATACAAAGTAGTTAAAACGTCAAAAAGGCTTGGATTAACTTTCGCTTGATATTTCTAGGAAGTTCATTCCAGAGAATCATCTCAAAAACAAAAAGTGAGTTTTAGAGGATGCGGCTCCGCGAGGTTGGCACAACGAGACTCGAGGACCTGACAGATGATCCAGGCACGAGTAATTCAGTCAAATAAAGAGGCTGATGTAAACGAAGTTGCGAGAAATGAACTCAACAGCGCGTGATTTGAGGAAAAGAGGTAGAGTTTGGTCAGCCTGTCCCAGCACAAAGTGATAGTACTGGGACACATGATCGAAAAGCCGTAGATCGAAAATAAATCTAACGCAGTTGTTGAAAGTGACAGCAACTTATTCACTTTTTTCTAGGTCTCTCGAGTCGAGATCAAGAACCGCTATCGTTTAGTTAGGGACCTCATGAGAGCAAATCCTGAGGCAATCCAACTCGCGGCACAGTCTCTTGACTGGGGCTCCATTAAAAAGATGGTTACCGCGTATGGAATCCCACCGCTTGCAAATGTTTAAACACAGTAGAGTGCAAAAATAAGCCTTTCAATGGAAAAAAGCAGCGCCCATATGGTCGTTGCTGTTGAACGTTTCAGGCGAAAAATACGTTTCTCTTGAATTGTCTTGCGCTCTGTCTCTGTATATATAAAGGTGGACGTTAGAACCACTTATGGTTGGTCGGCAAGCTGACAAACTGCCACCGTAAAACAAAAACTTGTCTCGAATATCTCCTCTAATGGAGAAGGCTATGTTCCTCAATGGGATGTCAAAGCCACGTAAGTAAGTAAGTAATAATGACATTGCCTCCGCTTTAGATCGCAATTCCTTTGTTGTTTTGGTCTTACTAGATTTCACAAAGGCATTTGACAGCCTCCATCATGATCTCTTTTGCTACAAGCTTTTCAAGCACTTTAAATTCTCTTCTTCGGCTATAGCCTTGGTTCGATCCTACTTCCGCGATCGTTCTCAAATTGTTAAATTTGGAGAAAACACATCTTCTCCATCCACCCTAGGAAGGGGCATTGGTCAGGGATCCATTCTTGGTCCTTTGCTCTTCTCCATGTTCATCAATGATCTGCCCTCTGTCCTGCGTGGTTGCTCGTATCATTTGTATGCGGACGACCTCCAGATTTACGTTGAAGGTGATCCTTCAAACTCTTCCTGTGCTTTCACACTTCTCAATGATAACCTCTCCCGAATCGGGCACTGGGCCTCTTCAAATGGGCTTCGCCTAAATCCTAAAAAATCGCAGGCAATTATCTTCTCAAAAAGGAGTGCTAACTTTCCTTATTTCACCGTTCTTCTTAACGGTGAAGTTATCCCTTATGCGGATCAGGTTAAAAACCTTGGTATTGTCTTTAATTCGACACTATCCTGGTCTGATCATACCACCTCCCTTTGCCGTAAGGTCAACTATTCTCTTTACGTCCTCAGACGCTATCGGGACATCACGCCCTACGACACTCGGTTGCTTCTCGTGCGAGCGCTAATTATGCCATTCTTCTCCTATGGAGCAGAGCTATTCTTCCTGGCGGATAGTGACACACTCCGTCGGCTGACTGTAGCATGTAACAATTGTGTCAGGTACGTCTGCGGACTGGGTCCCCGCGATCACATTTCTGCCCACAGGGATGTGCTGGTGGGCTGCAGCCTGTCCTCCTTCTTGCAAATGCGAGCCCTAATTTTCTTAGATCGTCTTTCCATCAGCGGCTGCCCTGGATATCTGGCTTCACTCTTGATGAGGGGTGGCTCGACCAGGCTCCGGGGACTTCTTGTTCCTCGAGCTGAGCATGAGACTTTTTTCCGTACTCTCTTTGTCCGGGGGGTTTTGTTTTATAATGCCCTTCCGCGTGAGGCGCGCGAGACCGTGGGGGGCATCAGGAAGCACTTTCAGGCTGCTGATCTGGTCAGTGACCCATCATAATCAATAGATAGACGATTTGAAATCTTTTCTTTGTTTCGTTTCATCAATTCTTAATCTTCATTTTTCCACTTTTTCTTTTCTGATAATTAGCAAATTGTAAGAGGGGTAGGCCCTAAGTTTTTGCTCATACAATAAAATTAATAATATTCCGTGTTGTTAAGAACATAGTATACTATAAAAAGGGTTCGACTTACAGTATATACATTATTACACCCAGAGACCATATGTCACAGCTCTTGTCGTACTTCTCAGGCCCTAGAACTTCTGGAGCAACGTAGTAAGGTGTATAGCACGGTGTCTGCAGAGTGTCTTTAGCAGAAGTTTCTTTGGCGAACCCAAAGTCTGTAAGTTTTAACACTCCGTTCGAGGATGCGGCACTGTAGAGCAAATTCTCAGGTTTCAAATCCCTATGTGCAATATTCATGCTGTGCAAATGATGCACCGCGAAGCAGATCTCGTGCATTATCTGTGCTGCTTCACGCTCCGTGAAAGGTGTATCTTGGCGATCTTGTATGCGCTGGAATAACTCACCACCCTCCATACACTCCATCACAACCAGAAGGCAGCTTGCGCCAACATACGTGTTCTCGTACACGTCTCTAATTGATACAATGTGACGGCAACCACTGGCGCGCCAATGCAACTCTACCTCACGACGCGACTTTGGATTATCGTGGAGTACCTTCAAAGCAAATTTATCACCAGAACTTCGATGAATACACTGCACGACCTTTCCATTGAGCCCCAAACCGAGAATACGGGAAGAAATCTCATAGTCGTCTGTTATAGGTGTACATTTGGGTTTTTGGCTTGTGTTGCGCAGCATTGTACGCTAGAGCTCTGTTAAGATGAAAAGAGATACGTAATGTAAAAGTGAATTGAAAAAATCAAAACCACATGACGCGTAATTGCCATAACCCAATACTGAAATACCTCAAACCAGAATAGTCTATGACTTTTCGTCGGACGTCTTATGATGAGGGGCTGTGGCTAAGTAATAATAATAAATTTTATTCTTCCTTCTTTTTCTTTTGTGTGCGGCTGCCGCCGGCTTCATTGCCGATCTCCCCGAGCAAACGGAAGAAAGCTCGGCTCTTCGGTCGTGCATGCCACTTGGGGGAAAAGTGTTAGTTACATATACATGTTTACAGCCTTACAATTGAATAATTTAATAACTAACATTTCTGTTTTGAGGCCAGCGTGTCACATATTAAAAAAAGAAAGGAGTAGTGGGACAGCAAAACTCTAGGACAGTTGAAGCGCTGCCCACGGGTTAAGTGGGATCGGGACACATGGAGGGAGAGGGACGAATATCGGCAATGCAATGGAAGAGAGATGCGAGTACGAGGTGACAACCTCATGAGCAAGTCAAGTCTGTGTCCTTCAATGAGATGTCAAAATCATATAAAGTAAGTAAATTATGTTTTAAAACTCATAAATGCCGAGAAAAATCATGTCAATTAGCTAAAAACCACTTGTCTCATGAATTTTCCGACGAAACCGATATGACTTAGCCAGCCTGGTAAACTTTTTTAAATGACATGTATGTCCACTGCTTTATAGTATCAAATTTTTAAGCAATTTATTTATTTTTATAGTATCCACTTTCATTTTTCGTAAGAAATCTGGAAGTATAACTTAGGCAACCCGTGAAAGTTTTTCCACCATTGAGCTGGGCATAGCCCGGCTCTATCTGTAATCGCGCAAAAAATCAAATGTCGCAAAATCGACTAAAACGACATCAGGGTGGCTAATTATAACGAAATCTGTCGAAAAGGAGGGGGGTAATTTTTTTTGGTGCCGTCCGTCGGTCGCTCCGTCGGTCGGTCGGTCCCTCGTAAATGGACTCGTAGCGCCTAAACGGTAAGAGATATCGACATGCGGCTTTCACCAAAGGTTAAAAGTCCTACTGCCGCTAGAGAATGGTGAAGTCAAATCTAACCCCCCACCCCTCCTTCCGCCGTCTTGGATACAACCAAAAAACGTTTTACTCATTTACTTAGCCCCTATGACATGGATTAGGCTCAAATTCTAGTATGTTATAGCTGGAATCAAGACCTTTCCAACGAATTGCCACCTAAGGACCTAGGTGCTTCCGGACCCTAGATATTAGGGTCCAAATTTTCAAAACTAAAAATGGCTATAACTACTATTCTAATCATCCGATTTGAATGATTGAAAGCTCGTTACTTAGATCTCGTAGAATTTCATCTCCCACCTAAACATCATAACTTCGTAGGACAACCGCTAGATGCGCTAAAGTCAAAAAACCGATTTTCGAAATTTCGAAATCGAATAATTCAAAAGCTAGACTATTAATTTTCTTTATATTTTAGTATGTTGTAGCCGAGATCGAGACCTTTCCAACGAACCCTCATTCATGAAGATTGAAATCACAGGAAGGGAGATATGGGGGATCAAAGATTACACCTTGATCCGCGCCTTTTCTCTGTATAATTTTTAAGTCCAAAATTTGATCCAAAGTCAAAATATTTGAAATTAAATTTTTGATAGTTTTGATTAAATACTTTGATAGTCAAGATTGAGACGTTTCTAAAATGTGCTCATTCTTTTTTGTCAATGCCATAGAACCCGAGATATAACGGTTTAATTTTTTATAAGTGGTTAGAGCGATGCCGTTCCGTTTTCATATTGAACATTATGCATCCACAACTGCATGCGCCCTCTACTTATGCTGCTTTCGCTCACGAAGCTAGTAAATTGCCTACTTTGCGTTGATTGAAATCGAAGCCAGCATCAAAAACCAACCCAAATACAATAATTTTATTCAAGTATATAACAAACTAAGGACTTTCATTTATTTTTGTGGTTAAAGTAAATTTCAACAAATAATAAATAAATTAGATCCAATATCATTTTAGCTTAGCTACAAATCGAGTCTGCCACATTTCGAGTTGGCAGCATCGCCCAGCTCACCCATAAGCGAACCTACGCGTTCACTAATCACGTCCTTTTGTTTTGGAGAGTGATCACCAAGGGGTGACTTATGTGAGTTTTGAGTTCCATAGCATCTTACATGTCATCTGCATCGCGATCAAGATCGCACGAAAATGAAAATTATACAGATTTTGTAAACATTTATAACTGCATCTCTGATGCATTTTGACTGCCTCTCGGCATCTCCGATGCTTTTCGAGTGCATCTTGGGCCAAGTGATACTGCATCTCCGACATTAGCCACCCCTTGGTGATCACCAATACTTACACGTCGATTGAAGAAAACTACGCTCACAAAAGCCTTATTTATGTATGACCCATAAATATTTGGTAAAGGATTTTCCACCCTTAAAAGTGGCTAAAAGGACGAAACCGAAGCTGACTCTCCTGAGTGTCCAAATCCAAACACACAGTATATCACGGTCATAGAATTACATAACATTACATTTATTTCAATCACAGCGTGTACATTTATCACAGCCTCATTTCATTTGCGGCCATCGCCGACTTAGTGTTGTTGACCAACCTCCAGGACAAAACGATGGAAAAATCCCTTCATTGGTTGTATATTTCACGACTCCCACGGTGCGGGGGAGACGCTGGACTGGTGGCTCAAAACGTACGCTGGAGGGAGTGGAGAACCTAGCCATTAAGGCTGTTTGGCTCCGAGTAGGTTTAAAATCAGGCAACGAGGGGTCCAGGAGGCCAAGTCTACCTTTCGAAGCCCCTGGACCCTGCCTTTCAACATGGGGGCAGGCTACAGCGATGACATCACTCGTCAGCGCCGCCATCCATAGCGGGAGCCACATACCCGGCCAGTCTGCGCAGGATCCGCGGCACGGAGCCAATCCCTTACAGCGGTTCTGCTGAGCGAGGCAGGCCCAAGTTCGCGCAGCAGATTGTTGAGGACCGTTGGCGCAGAGAAGTTCAACGATCCCTTAAAGCGCTCGGACAGGGGTCTTAGCACCACAAACGGCTCCAGTTTCTCCAGCATGACATTGTGGTTCACAGAGTCAAATGCTTTCGTGATGTCGATGAAAAGAATCACGATGAATCATGTTTATTACTATATATCGGGGTTGGCGATATCCTCAACTTGATTATTGAGGAATCGCATCTCTGAAGGATATGCAATAGCAGTTTCTCCCCTAAGGGAAAATAGCTGAGGTGACAAAACTCGTGAGCGAGGAGACGGTGACGCGCGTGGTTAGGCTCTTTCCAGGCCTTGAGAGTGACTCGAAGAGACCCTTCGTAGGGAAGGCTCTGATCATACTCTCAGAGGTACTGGAACCTCCGCTGATTAACCCTTGTAGCGGTGTTGCAGATGAACTACTAATACACTTTCTGGTCGCTGGTCTTCAGTGACCGCGTAGAAGGACGTTGTCCTGAAGAATGTGCTCCAGGGCAAATTCTCCGCAAAATCACTTTTCCTCGTGGTGTTGTTGGATGGACGGCAAGCCGTATTTTCGACATAACAGTATTCATATTATAGTATAGTATATTACATATTTTATTCTTTAATCTCTTGTAAATTAGTTTATGTTTAAGTGTCTAAGTGTTGATGACCAACCTCCAGAACAAAACGGTGGAAAAGCTCTTTCATAGGTTGTATAAGCTTTCTTCCTTACCTCTTACATAATGAGAAAAAGAAAAAAAGCAGTTAGGACACCAAAAAGGTTTGGATTAACCGCCGCTTGGTATCTCTGGGAAGTTCATTCCAGAGAATCACCCCGTCAACAAAAAAAAGTTTCGGAGGATGCGGCTTCGCGAGGTCGGCACAACGAGACTCGAAGACCTGACAGACGAGCCAGGTGCGAGCAGTTCAGCCAGATAAAAAGGCTGACGTAAACGAAGTGTCCGAGAAATGAATTCAACAGTGCGTGACTTGAGGAAAAGAGGTAGAGTTACATCAGCCTGTCCAAGTACGAGGTGATAGTATTGGGACACATGATCGAAAAGCCGGAGATTAAAAATAAATCTAATGCAGTTGTTGAAAGTGACAGTGAGGCGATGCATAGAGGCTTGATCGCAGGAAAAGAATAATTCAGCCCCATAGGAAGAGACGGGAAGGAGAAGGGCACGGACTAATAACAGCCGAACACCCTGGAGAATGAAGAACTTGTGTCTTCGAAGCGTTAAAAGAGTGAAATTCACCTTTTTACATATGTGGGAAGTGTGGTCTTCCCACGCCAAGGAATCATTGAAGATAACTCCAAGATTCCTGGCGCTATGGACGTAGGGAATTGCCTCGCCATTGAGGAAAATGGGGAATGCGGTGGGATGTTGCTTACCAGAGCGTATGAGTAAGGCTTGTGACTTCTTGGGGTTAAGCTTGAGGAAGTTCTCAGCCGCCCAGCTAGATACAGAGGAGAGCAGTTCTTTGATCCTCGCGAAACACGGCTCGGGCGAATCAAGATTGCCAAAGTCGTAAATCTGCAGGTCACCCGCATAGAAGTGAAAGTGATGCGTAGAAAGAACAATTGCTAGGTCATTTATATACGATGAGATGAATAAAGGCCCGAGTACGGAACCCTGACCAATCCCATTGAAGAGGGGAAGGGTCGAAGAAAGCGTATCGCCTGCCTTGACTGCTTGAGTACGACCAGTCAGATACGAACGGAAAAGATTGACACTACAGGAAGAGAAGGAATAAAGGTTAAAGAGCTTATTCAGAAAGATGTCATGATTTATGCTATCAAAGGATTTAGAGAAATCAAGAAGAGTTAGGATGGCGAAGTGTCGGCGATTGAGATGAGACGCAAGGTCTTGATGTACACGAACAAGTGCGCTGATTGGGTTGTGATGCCTCCTGAAGCCTGACTGAAAACGCGTGAGCAGATCATTCTGTCTCAGATAATCCTCAATCTGGTCTTTCAGGAGATGCTCAAAAAGTTTGGATAAGCAAGGCAAGATGCTGATCGGTCTGAAATCACTGACAGAAGTAGGCCTAGCAATTTTAGGAATTGGAGTGACAATAGCATGCTTCCATTCCAGAGGAAAGGTTGAAGTTGTAATGCAAAAGTTGTACAGATCGCAAATGTATGGAAGAATTATATGGAGCAAAGGTTTGAGAAAGTTAATTTGCATACCATCATGACCACTGGCGTTAGATGAGATTTTGCAGAAGGCAGAGTAGACTTCAACGTAGTCCACATTTCGGAAATTGAAACTGGCTGCCACTCCGACTGGGCAGAAAAAGGGAGACGAGTGTTTGGCGCCTGAACCAGCAAAAAAAGCGTTTAAGTCATCCGCGGACACATCATCAGGAGCGCTCCCTGATTGACGGGTTATCCCTAGATGTCCAATGTTTTTCCAAAGTTTTCCAGAAGGAAGCAGAGGATCAAGTTGACTGGAGTCATAGCCAACTTTGGCCGAAACAATCATTCGCCGGACTTCGCCCCGCAGGGAGCGATACAGGGTGAGGTCTACATCACCGCGACTTCGGCGCCACCGTTTGTATGCCTTATTGCGTGCACGTGATTTGTTAACGATTGTGGCTGTAAGCCAGGGCGACGAGTTCGGAGGAACAAGGATTCTGCGTGAGGGAACATGTGTCTCGTATAAATGATTGATTAAAGAAGCAAAATATTGCAAGCGATTGGATAGCTCTGTGAAATCATTAATGGCAGCCCAATTTAACGAGAATGCATCGCGGTAAAGTGCATACAAAAAGCCATCGGTAACAGGGTACAGCCTGAAGACAGTCATCAGCACCGCCAAAGCCAGATTGCAATGTTCTACGACGCGAGGGCTCAGGATTAGAGCGCCTCAAATTCCGTCGGACTGCACTAGGTCAAGCATTTTGCCGCCCCTCTCCAGTAGGCAGACGGCGAAGCACATCAGCCACAGACGGGCGGACTTTTTCAGGGCGACGATCATCAGCAGCCGGCACAACAAGAAGATTATCCGTCACCCGATCCTCGTGGGCTCTCTCAAGATCATCCGCTGGTACGTCGGACAAGTCGGGAACACCGGAGCCACCATTAGGCCACTGGTAGGAAACTCCACCCATGGAGCGCCTTGGAGACGAATGACTTAGTGCGGGAGCAGAGACGCAAGAATCCAGCAATTCCATACACGTCACCAAGGCACTAAGTGAAGAACGGAGAGCTTCATTCATCTTTTGCAGAGCGTCACATCTCGAGGCCAAGAGAGTGATCTCAGTCTCCACGTGTCTCCCATTCTCCTTAGATGATTTGCTCACAATACGGGTTGAATCAAATTAGTGCAGAAAACAAAATATTTATATTCCACAAATACGTTGTTTATCGTTTTTACCGACACAAGCCACCATCTGAGTAAAAACAAATAATAATAGAAGCATGCGGCATATTAATTGGCCACATGCACTATGCAAATATAATAGTAAGTACATTGAACTGATATAACACAATTTGAAGAATACAGAGGAATTTAGTTATTAATAGTTTCGTTCAAAAGAAGTTTCGTTGAAAATAGTCTGAGTCATTTTAAGAGCTGGGATTTACATTACAGCTTCTATATGTCTATATGTAATTGCTCGTGGAACCAAGAGACTCAAGAAATCCAAAATTGAGCATGATGGATTGTTTTTTTTTTCTTTTTTTAAACTATAATGTAACATTAAATTGACCAAAAGAGATATGCAAAAATATTCAAATTAATACAAAGAAGTGTTTAGTAAATATATACTCTTCATCTGAGAGAATCGCATGAAGGATTGTTACATGCATTAAATATTCAACAAATTTAAGTTTTCATTTCTCATTTCACAGATTTCATCTGTCCTTCGTATCAATCGGGTTTCTAGCGTTCAAACGGTAGGAGATATCGACATGCGGTTTTCAATAAGGGTAGGTAAGAACATAGTATTGCAAAATTAAGCCTCACATCTCATTCTCCTCTTTTTTTAAACGAAAAAAAACATTTTTCTAATTTTCTACATTCTTATGGTATTTATCGATAACAAATTAATTATGGTATAGCTGAATTCAAGACTTCTCTATACAACCTCAACTTGGGGCGTTCGGCTTTTTCGGGCTCTAGGTTAAAGAGCCTGAATACTGAAATTAGAAAAGGGTTTAATTCCGGTTCTAATTTACCAATCGAAAAGTTTTGGGCACATAAAATTGCGGCAAAGGACAAAAAGTGATCATTGTATCGCCTTCAAACTTGTTTTCAAATCCACCAAATCTTAATTTCTCTTTCGGCCACTGGGCGTAAATTAATGACTTATTGAAGTGTAAAAGGATTCCCAATGATGAATGCATGTTTTCACTGCCCGTGAGGTGGTTCTTTTTTATCTCCTTTTCAGTCAAATCTAATTGAAATCCCCTAAAAGTATCCCAAATTAGACTTACATTCAGAGCGGCGCTTCGCAAGTCACTCACAATATATTTAATATCGAGTAAAAGACAGTCTGGTGAATTTATCGTTTCTCTAACTATCTTGCTTGCCATATTATAATTGAATAAGAACTTAACACAGAACACGGAAAGCTGTGCATTGGCTCGGGGTCTCTTGTAAGTCACAGTTTTTCCAAAATTTTCTCGCGATTTCTTTTGTTTTTTTACTAGTTAAGGAAAAAACAAAAAATGTGAAAATATCAAAATTACAATATTCAAGCGAAAAACACCGAGAATCAGGTCAAAGTTGAGTTTTGCGCAGAAATATAATTCGCGGCGGCGGCTCCACAAAATGTGGTCGCGCGCCGCACGCTCTCATGCGACGAAGATTTGCGCAGAACTCTAGTTCAAACGCTTAACCAAAGCCGTGTTAAATTGCGTTGCCTAATGAAAATCACGGTTCTCAAGAATTTTCACCCATTTTTCACGAGATCACAACTCTTATTACCCCCACCAAACACAGAAATCTCGTGTCTAAAGAGACAATTCAAATTTTCGAAATAAACGGACTTGTAAATGCCTGGGGCATTTTCATACATTTTTTGGCCAACGCGATGTTTCTACTGGCTTTCTAAACTTTCTTTTGGCGCTTTGAGCTTACTATCGGCGGTGATGAATTTTCCATTCCTCCGCACTGTTATGGCTCATTGAGATGGATTCAAAACAACCTTGTTGATCTCATGACCATCGCGCGAACCACCTCCTTTCTGCTTCCGTCCTAGACCACCCTTGAACTCACTGTCCCTTATGACTCAGCCGCTGCATCTACCTTACCGGCTGCATATTTGTGTTTGCCACTGCACCATTTGTAGACAGTTTGCATCACGTCATTTATTTCTTTAGAATATCTTTAAAACAAAATTTCACACTGTCATTTTGTGTAAGTCAAACAGCTTCCATGTAAGCTAGAACCGCACTTTAAAAATCTTATCATTGCGCCTCTCATGAACAATAATTCCTCCATGTAAATGTACCTCTGGGACGCCAATATATGTCAGTGATAGGGCTTTTCCATCGTTTTGCCTTTAAGGATGGTAATCAACGCTAAGACGGCAATGGACGCATGCCCAAAATATAGTGTAAAAATCATGTGGTCGAAATAGCTCATCTGAGTTTTGATAGTTCATTCGTCAGCGTAGAATTAACCGGCGTCTATAGACATCTAGAAATGAATCCAAAGTGTTCCATGGGACGGCCAACCCAACGCATCCCAAAAGCATCTAAATTACGAGAGAAAAGATGGGACAGACCTGGAGTACTACTAGAATGATAAACACAAAATATATCGGGCGAACGACACTCGATACGCTCAAGGGGTGATTCACTAACATTTTTTATGGATCTTCATTTTTTTTCTAGATTTCCAATTTTTACAATATATATTTTTTCATGATACTTTGAAAAAAAGAGAAAGAAGGTATATGTGTATTACTTACAGGGTAATACTAAAAATCCTTTTAAGAGAAACAAAGTAAATTAAGTGATCTTTTCCCATTATATTATTTTTTATATCCTTACGTATTAGTACGTTCTTAGCTCTGTCGGCAAAATACCCAAGAATTTGGCGTGGAAGTCAAAGTTCATGTTTGATAAGTCACTAAGAAGATGAGTAGAGAAATTTTGAGAAGGTTTACAGAGAATAATGGCCTGGGATTTTTGGGTTAAGAACCTAGCCATTAGGGATTCAGGCAAGTTGAGATGACATAAACTGCGCGCTCAGTTTTCCGCCCTCAAACGCGAAAGAGCCAAATGAAGAGAGTTTGATAATCAAAACAAAACTCAGTGAGATAAAAAGATGCCTTTTTGAGGACTTTATGCGTTAAGGGAACAATCTTCCGATGAAATGTTCAAATAAAACCGTTATGATTTAACCAAACTGGCCAGGTTCGTTCAAATGACATGCATTTTCAGCATTTGCTAGTGGTAATATTTATGATGAAAACAGCATTTGTCATTTAAAAATTGTTTTAGTTCATCTCTTTCTTCCCCACGCGAGTCGTGTATTTTCCTTCCGGCTTACGACATTTTTATGTCGAGTGTGTGCCTGCAGATTTTACGTTGGGCAACCCGCGCGGAATCTGAGTTTGACGTGTCTGACAATGCGCTTTCTGTCAAAATGGTCAAAATAGACAAATTTCATATGGAAAATCGAGAAAATCGTCAAAGAAATGAATTTTAGTGTGAAAAAGACTCAAAAATTAATTGATTTCGTCCATAATGAGCCATCATTGTGGAGAAAATCAGATTGTGTGGAGGAGCCAAAAGTTGATCTGCAAACCAAAATTCTGAAGGAAATCTGATGGGACCGAGCTTTTTCAATGCCATTTCAAATCAACTAGTATACTCATTTACTTAATGTATGCAGTTAGTTACTTTGCTAACAGGTAATACCTTTTATGTGAAATTAAAACTCCTAAAAGTATTGAATACCATTTAATTTTAAACGCTGCAAATTTTAGCTTAGACACACTTAGTAATATATTGAATACGGAAACATTTTGTCAGTTGATGTTTTTCGACACTCTTTCGATATCGAAAGTTGTTCCAAAGGCAAATTGCTATATGTGAAATGTTCCGAGAATCGCTATTGGCTGTGCGATCAACAATAAAGGTTGTGGAAATACAGAGATAAAAAAATGGAGCATGCGACATAAAGATTGAATTTGTGCAATTATGCAAATGATCAATTAGTTTGAAGCCATTGTAAATTTGATCTGCGCGCCTTGTCTAGACGGCGCAAATCTTGCGTGGTTTTGGATCAAGCTGTGATTCTGGTCGATTGGGTCGATTGGGGAGAGTAACAGCAACACATGACCTCCATCAATTTCAACGATTGGAATGCCATTCAACCCTAATACATGATGTGAAAGTAATGATCGTAAGTAGAAAATTCGCTCTTAGCCTGAATCTTTTCTTATGTTTCTCTAATATTTCTTCTCTTAAATTATTTTGAAATGAAAAAAGTGTATTTGTAATACAATACAGATTTTGTATGTGTACCTATGAAAATTGTTCTTAAAAGTATCATGACCAAATCAACCTGCAATGCCGAAAACATAGCACTTTGCTTTGCAGCTTACGCAAAATCTGCAAAACAAAGTATTGAGTTTTCGGCTGTTTTCGAATTTAAGAGATTTGTGAGGAAAACACATAAAACTACTAGTGAGGTAAGGCTCTAATGATGCCCGTAATGGTTTTTCCTTTGCGATATCATTACTTATAAAACGTTAATTTATTTCGTGCGCTTGTCATTGCAATAAGCTCGTACTGACTTTTATTATTTCCAAGGGCATCTATATAACTCTAAACAATTATTTAAGTTTTCTGTGGATGGTTTTTATGAAATATATGATCATTACTTTTGCAATGACTTCTGGTGTTTTTTGAGTGTGTTCTTAAAATTGCACCCAATTTGTTAGTTGAACTTTTTTTTTAGGTCGACGCAATTGAAAGATTGTTGTATGAAATTGAGGACACTGTTCAGGACTATGATGCCCTTCACGAATCACAGTTTACTGTGAATAATGGCGGCTGCAATAAGAACTACCTATCACGAACATCGTGACGAATGGCAGTGAATTTTCTCTTTTAACTGAGTTGCAATTTGCATAATATATTACATTGCGTCAATATTCACCGCCTGGGACCTGTTGGCCAACGCATAAAGCGGTTGGGAAGACAGGTGGTGGGCAAATTGCGTGCCATTTAAGCATTATGATTCTCTCGCCCCTCAACTGCCTGAATTGATGAATCGTGTTTTTTCACTGCAGCGCAAACTTCCCTCATTTCGGATTAGGTTGCTGTTCACCCCAACACATCCCATCTGAATTCCGTTGACGCGATTGTGTGCGGTGTTCGCGTCACATTTATGGTGCATCTTGATTATTTATCTTTTCAACTTTGTTCGCCAAGGTTTGCCCAAAGTGCATGAAATGTATTATGATAGATATGAAAAGTTGCAATCCCCATGATGTACGTAGAAAATTGTGCAGGAATGTGAATTTACACATTTTCATCAGAAAATAAAGTCCTGTTCTGTGTAAAAAAATTAATTTGCAGTATATAAGAAAATAATATTTTTAAAAATCATAATTCTATTTACTTAATAAAACTAGGAAAACCTGTAAAAACATTCGCACATAACCAACTAAATTCAGAAACTCAGGTAACAGGGGCAACTGGCAAAGGCTAATAAAAAACTCACAAAAAGATTACATAATAATGTTTTTTTTAATGTTCATTGAAGATGGTGACGGAAACGGCCTAAAACATTCCGAAACATACTTAAGTATTGTATACTTACATCATGAAACCAATCGTCAAATTGTAATGTATTATTGATAACGCTGTAACAAGTTATAATTTGGGCACAAATCTTTAGTACTGGAAAATTAAGATAATTATCCTACATATAAGAAGTATGAAAGTCAAATTGAGGGATATACCCTTTTTCATTAGAGAAAATGTTCGATATTGGTTTGTTTCTACAGGTGGCAGTTTGTCCGTTTGCCGATCAATCATAAGTGCAGCACACATTTAACTGGAACATTTAACAACAAGTGCTTATGAATTCGTATTTGCCATTAAAGACTTAATTTTTTCGCTTTCTGCTTAGTTCAAACATTTATAGGTGGGGGGGGGGGGATTGAAACACGCGAATGTAGTATCGAGAGCTTAACATGCTCACCATTGAGTAACAGCCTCCCACAAGGTACTTACCATGTGGTACTCACATATATTGCATAATGTTCTAAATTATGTTTAAAGATATATATATATATATATAGTTTACAGATTATTTTACAACAGACTGTGCTCTTTTAAATGGATAATATAAATAATAGCTACATAGACCTAGACCTTTTATAGTTACGCATGTAGATAATTGATTAAAATTAAAAATTAAATAAACTAGTCCAATTCCTAATTCTTGAAAATATATGCCTTTCATGTATTTAAGTAATCTCATACGAAATATTGAAATATTAACTGCTTAATACTATTTGTGCTGAGATTTGCCGATTTTTGGATTGAAAATAATTAAAATCACAGAACAAATATTTTAAAAATGATAACAGATATAAAATTGAAAAGTAAAGTTCGAGTATACCCGAGAATAATACGGGTCAGTCGGACTTTAGCTATTGAATTCAATTAGGTGATAAGTCTTTATTTACGAAATAATTAAAAATTAATTTAACTTGCAAATAAACTACACTTTGCTACAAAGAAAACCTGGCTTTACAAACAAAACTTATTTAGACCGTAATATTGTTATACAGTTTTGATATTGCATAATCTTCTATTGTAAAATTACAGTGAAATTGACAATAAAAAATTGTCACTATATTAAATTCATAGTATAAGTTATTTAAATATTGTAATATAATAAAATCCTCTGAAAATATAACACTAATATTTTTCTTTCTGCGACATAATACGCAAATTACGATCACAAAAGCTTGTACTTAGGAGCGAGAAATATACAGATAGAGTAAATAAAATGATGCCCGTTGGAGCAGAACGTTGTGATTTATCTGTGAAAATAAAGGCCCGAAACGTCGTGCGGAAAAGAAAATGTCTTTATGTTATAGAGGCCGATTCCGTCAAGTCTAATATAAGACACCAAATTCTTAAATATGTGTTACTATTTATGTATAATGATCCATATAAGTGTTAGTCAAAGTTTATTCCGACAATAAACTCAACCGTAATACGATAAAATTGTACTGCACATTTACTCTATTAAAGTCAATGAAACTTCAATATTTCAATATAAAACATTATTATTGGAACGTAAAAATAATAATAAATAACAAACATATAAGAAGAAGAATACATAGAAGTAAGAATACATAGACACACATATATATATATATATATATATATATATATATATATATATATATATATATATATGTCTATGTATTCTTGAAAAAGTGAATCATACGTGTGTCAATGAGGATTTGAGTTATTTTGAAATGAATACTGTCTACATATAATCGATGAAATATGAAAAAAAATTTATTTAAACTTTTTTTGGCTTTTAGTACTTTACGGCCTCAGGCGCTTATTGAAACTTGTTACATATGCTTCTTATTCCGGCCGACTGATCTCAGTTCTCACAATATATATTTGTAGATCTGAGTTAAGAAAATTTTCAACTCAAAAAGTAAGAAAAAGAAAAAAAGTAATTTAGTTGTTCATTGCAGGATTCTATTCTATTCTATTAACGACTCATTAGTTTTTCTCCTTTTTATTACTTTTCATTCTGAATGTGTATTCAGAAGGTTCTCTATTTACCATCTGAACGTATCACAGTTGTTCTTGTTTGTTCCTTTCTCTTGTACTGCATGTTATAGCCTGATACTCACTGTTCCGCCAATAAATGCTTTGATTCACTAATAAAGAGTATTGGTAGCCGTGTTATAGGCATGACTTCAATTCTCGGTGACTGAAATTTTACAGCCTTCTACCCCGCGTTTCCTAAACCCTCTCTGCATTCCTCTCTCAATTTTTCCAGCCAGGTTTTATAACCAAAAGCCAAAATGAAACACAAACAAAATTATATACAAATCCTATACAAACAGAACAAAGAAAAGCCACGGCCGATATTGTATCGGGATGATCAAACCGGTAAAACACAATAGATTTTTACAAAAAATCAAATAAAACGATATTATAAGAAACAGAAATAAAGCAATACCCTTTCAATTTAAATTACCATCAGTTAAAAATTGTATTTAAAAATGAAAATGTTAAGTTTTTTATTGTTGTGTTCATCAGCCGGATATTGAGATTTCCCTCATTCTCTAGTGTGTTGGAGTGCGCCAAATATTGAAATCCCAAACGATCAGTTTGACCCAGAAATTTCTATATAATTTCATAATTTATTGGTGAGCAAGAAAATTAGGGCTTAACCTTCTTACTATTTAAAATTTACGATTTATATTCCTGACGAAGGAGGCAAAGTTCCTCCGAAACGTCGATATAGGAATTTAAGCGAGGGAAGCAAAAAGAAAGCTATCCCGTGTTTTCATTCTTTCAAGATTAATTGGAAAAATTTCTATGGTAAATTTTTAAATTTAAATCGATATTACAAATATCAAGAACGAGTCTAACACTGTTAAGCGCTTATCTCACTGCGCTGAAATGTCGGTAAATTCTTCCCACTTATCATAATTTTCTATTAAATCTATTCTATGAGGGCTTTCAGACTAAGGCATCCTCCTATGCTTTGCTGTGAAAGCTGAAATAAACGCTAAGACGGTGGTGGATATTAAAATAAAATAAAATAGTTCTGCAAAAACACTGGAGATGAAAAAAGCAAAATTAAAAATCAATTCAATTAAACTTATTGTCTACTTTAGCATTTTCAACAGAATTATATAATTAACTATAAATGAAATAGAGCCTATATATAGGATTCATTTTATTACCTGCCTGGGTAAGTTAATATATTTGAAAGTGTGTTTCCAAATTTTAATCTTAGACTTAACACATTTTCAATTATGCTGTTTTAGGTAATTAAAATTTTTGCATGAAGCGTAGTGGATACTTGAGAAAACGGTAATATTTCATCACGATTCGTAAGCCTAATGTGCGCTATTTTGGCCCAGCCCTCACCCTATTCGAGCGGGGGGTGGGCGCCCTCTATGTGTGACATTGAAAACGGGCAGTCGCGGGGTCGCGGTCAGCGTCCGATCGTGCGCTTAGCGGATTTTGGCGGGAACGGCGATCCTCGGTGTTGGTCAGCTTAAAAACGCGCCGAGAAGTTGAAGCGGCCAGTTGAGCGGTACTGCTGGAGTTGAACGGTCGTGAAGTGTATAAAGTGATTACTTGTGATGTGATGCGTGACACTGTGCGTGAGTGAATGCGTTGGACGCTGTTGCTGACGCTGGTGGCGGTGGCCCCGGCGGCCGCACAGACGGCCCATAATATTCATCGTCGAGAAACTCTTCCATCCGATATCGACAACTATAGTGATGACCGCCCCTGTACAGCATGCCGCGTGCGTGAAGATCTCAAGCACGCTAGCCTAGAGTATATAAAAGCCTATGTGCTGCACAATTTGGGTTTCGAGCGACCCCCCAATATCACGCAAATACCCCGTGTGCCTGACTCTATCTATGCCAGCTTCTACAACGTCACGGCTCGCCACGCACTCACGCACGACGAGGATATGCTGGCAGATGAACCGTCAGAAATCCGCGAGTTGGAACCGATGCCTGAGCGATTTTACATCCTTGCCGAATGTGAGTCTACCTTTAGATAAGATCAGATTTTTTGAAATTAGACTCATATAAGAATTATACAAAAATTCTGGGGTGATTATTTAAAATAAGTTGTAGTAAGAGAGATTTGATGAAGTTCTGTTTGTTATTTGTATATCATAAGATTCTTTTTACCAATTATATTATTAATTATTGTAAGAATTCAATAATTTATTATGAATTGTGGTATTGCATTTTAAAAAGTATGATTTATAATTGACAAATTTTTCTTATCATGGTGTTCACCTTTTATTCATTCCGTAATGGAATTATATGTCTTTTAGTTTGATGAACAGTGTGTAATTTAATTTACTATTTGTCATCTTCACCTATATCCTTATCTCGGTAACATTGAATAATTTTTGCGAAAACAAGAGTAGTATAAATTGAAATTACCGGCTTTCAACGAGTCAGCAGACGCCGACGTGTCTGGCCTGACGCACTTTGAGGTCACTGTGCGCAATGCGCTATAAATATCAGATGTCGCGACGACAAAGGCGGTAAGACACAAAGTTCATAGTCAAATGGAATGAGTAAGTCTATAATGAATTATACAAATTCACAAAGTTATTTAAAACTATGTCTGTAATAAAAGCTTTTAAACGACTTATCAAAATAGTAAAATCTTTCTTAATAATTATCAAAACTCTTTAGAATTTTATTTTACAATTTACACTTTAAATTTTGTTATACAAGCTTCGAAATTCCAACTTTATCCACATAAAACCCTATCAATTATTATTTGCTGTGAACATATCGCCATTAATTTTTGAGATTGCCGTGAAACCATCCCACTATTTTCAAACAAGCAATTTGAACACTTTGCACTGCCGTGTCGAAATATCAATCAAAGTTAGCAAAATTTTATCGTAAATTTAGTATTATAGAAAATGATCTTTCTGTTATAATTATTGCATGCCGATTTTGAGTGTGAATTTATAATGATAAACTCACAATACTCATCATTTCAATGAGAGGTTAATATAAAGGTTTTGCGTCTAACTCTATGTAGTGCATTGCATGTATTTTTTTCATCTTCATGGTATAATTTTTTACCTCTCTTTTTATTTAAACTGCGTAACAGGAGTAACAAATATTTCCCCCGTGAACATATACAAAGTATATTAACATAAGAAAGGGCGCAAAAAAATTCAATTACCCTTCATTGTATTAATGAATGCTTTATTTTAACCATTGGAACACTCGCCAATATTTAATAATAATTATATACCAAACAGCTCAATCTTAATGCTAAAGAAAGAATTATTAGTTATTATTCAATGCTGGTATTTAAATTGTAAATAAATGAAACAAATTATGCGTATCATATTCATACACTTTTAAATCTATATTTTAACTGTTCTAAAACACTTTTCACAAACAACCAATTCTAAAGAAATACATAAATGGAAAAGTAGTGTTCTACATATTGCAATTACATACCCCTTGGTCACGAACTTGTGGGCTTATTGCAAAAGCCATGATCACTGCATGGAGTCTTTCGTTTTTTTTTTACTTTTTTCATAGATAATTTGGCTATCGCGCGACTTTTGTCTCAGCCGATATCACGTCACAGAGCAATTTGCGCTCAAATTGCGAGAGAACGGAGAAATTTTCCAGTAACGAAGCGCGTTGCCATTTTAGGGCGAGGCATAACAACTTCGGCGGTTGTAGGGTCAGTGGTTTGGGAATGTAGCTTTTGTTGTAAAAGTTTCTGATTCCACCGTATGAAATACGTTTGATCACAGAAAATTTTAGTATGTTATAGCTGACCTCAAAACCCCTCCAACGAACTGCCACTTAAGGACCTAGGACCTTCCGGAACCCAAATATTAAGATTCGAATTTTAAAAATTAAAATAGACGTAGCACCACTTCTAATTAACCTTCCGAAATAATTTTGTATTCATTGGAAAGGTATCATAAAATGCAATCTCCTACTCTAACATTATAACTTGGTAGAATTACCGCTAAGGGCGTTAATGTCGATAAAACCATTTTCGAAATCGAAAACCTCGGAGAAAATGTTATACATTTTCTTTAAATTGTAATATGTCATAGCTGAGACCAAGGCCTTTCCAACGGTACCCTACCTATGAGGCCTGATGTTTTAGGGGCGGAAATATGTAAGGTCAAAGTTTATATCTTACCAGGCCATATCTCAACGGCTTTCTAATCGATTTTGATCATATCTTCACCAAGAGACGTGTTTCGACGTCCTTTAATTCAATTCAATTCAATTCAATTTATTGAGCAAAAACTTAGGGCCTACCCCTCTTACAATTTGCTAATTATTAGGCTTTAGTAGGCTGCATTTACCGTTAGGCTATGACGTCATAACGAATACCGCCATATTGAAAAAACTTTGAACGCCTGTATCTCGGCAAATCTGATATGCATTTTGATGAGATTTTAGTATGTTGTAATTAGATCGCGACGTCTCTTAAAATAGGTTATAACTTTTTGCTGATGTAATAGAACAGGAGTTTCGACAGTTCAAATTTTGATTTTTAATAACGCTATAACTTCGGTTCTATTTCCCGGTCGTAATGGTTTGTGGCTTGCTAAAAAGCTCTTGCAGAACTTTTAAACTATGTAGAACAACAGGAGTCCATCAGACCACCACCGGAGACGCAAATGTAATTGAATTTTTTTTTGAAAACTTAAACTGAAGAATTTTATTTCAAGGTCATATTATTTTGAGATAATTTTTCAACTATTTCGATAGTCCAGATCGGGACGTTTCCAAAATATGGTTAACCTTTTTTGTCACTGCATAGAACCTAAGCTATGGCGGTTTGAAATTTTTCTATTAAAACAGAGTTGGCCACATTTCGAGTTGTTTACGCTCAGCTGACCAGAAGCGTTCGCTTATCACGTCCTTTAATTTTGAACTGTTACATTGTCCAATAAGTGTATGGAGAACTTTTCACCAAATTAAAGATTTTATAGAGAAACCTAAACTTTATTCTTTCTCTCTCTCGCTGTTTATATATTTATAAATTTATATACTTCGTCGTGTGAAGATTCCCGATCAAAAAAATTTTAGGGGTTTAAGTCATGAACAAATTGATTAATAATTTTTTATTTAGATAATTCGAACTACATCTACGATTGTAAAATACATATGTATTTTCTGGGGATGGTTATTACTATAATACAGGCTGAGGCAGTAGGGAAAGTAAAACAAATACATTTTTTGCATGCCATAACGTGAATAGTAAAAAGTGATAAAGGAAATTAGAATAATGTATAAAAAAAAATTTATTGAAAATAATTTTAATAAAATTTATTTTGAAAAGAATAAGTAGTATGGTGTTTTGCATATCGTTTTTTTTCTTGAATTGATGAACCCTTCACAGAAACAGTTGTATTTAAGCGTAGTATTTTAGATAAAATTGGTATTTAAGTAAATTAAAGATAAAAGCCACTCTTATTGTAAGAATATTCATATGAGAGTGCAACGTGTGAGAGAGAATAATCGTAAGTTTGATTTTGACAACACAAAATCTGCAATTGCGCTTATTGCACTCACCACTTCGGATCAATTGAAATGGTAGATATCCAAAGGCACATCTGATTCAAGTATACTACATACATACATCATAGGGTAGAGTGGGTACAATTGAGATCATTTAGGCACGCTGGTTTTATACATCTTAGGAGTTACTCGTGTGGATATTTTAAGCTAATGGTATATGAAATTCTTATGTGAGTTTAAAAAAAATTCAAGTCAACGTTCTATTGCATTCAAATTTTTTTCAGAAATATGATTTTTTAAAAATATATTTTATACTACCAGATGATAATTATTTATAAGTTGAAAAGTCAATAAAACATAAACCTGCCTTTCATTCACTCGACTTATAAACAGATCAATAATTCTACGCTCTTATTCGTAAGTTTGAAAACACGAAAATTTTATTTGGAGAAAAGCCTAATTATTTTTTGCATGTTTGAAATTATTATAATCTACAGATAAAAAAATGCGACATGGACGAAGACAAGTGGATATCCTGTATTTTCCAACATCGCCACTAACTCACACCGTTATTTACCGTGCTACTCTGACATTGTTTGTACGTGGGATAGAGTGGATTGCACGCCAAGAAGGTCGAGACATTGCTAGTCTATTGCACCGACCAAATATAACCATATTCGTTCATCGAATAGTGCGGAGTGTAATGCAGCCCGATGCAATACATTCACGCGTTGATACAGAGATAACAATACCTCTGGATGCTGGACTTGGAGAAAATGTTGTCATTGACGTTACACCTCTTGTAATGGACTGGTACTCAAATATCCAAAGTAATAATGGACTGTTTATGCGCACACGAGAGATATGGATGAAGCAATTGCTTCAACTTGATGATCCTGATGGAGCTAATGTAAGTATTTTCATTCTAGAGCTTCAAAATTTCTGGGTAGTATAAACTGATATTCGAAAAATTTAATGCTAAAACACGCATTCTCAAAAATATTCGACACATTCAAAAAAATATATGAAAGAAAAAGATATTACTTGTGGCAAGTGACTGAATTATTTGAAGAAAAAACAATTGTTAGAAATATTTACAGTAGCGAAAATTAGGTTAGTACATCTATGAAATTTAGGCCATTTCTACATTTGGTGCTTAAAATAATCATGTTTCCGTGAAAATTACAGCATTTTGTTTCTTAGAAATTATGAAACTAGTTTATCCCCATGCCTTGTCTAAACCAGAAGAATAGAAAATAAAGTTACGAAACGATGTACAGAAAAGAAAAAATGTGTTTGACTCATACCGGTTGTTTCTGCCAACTTTAACAAATTCACTAACCAGCCTAAATGTTGAATCAAATTGTTAAAAATATGCTGGGCTTTCCCATCAAAACCCACGTTAAAATCTTTCTTTCATTCAATTTCACTTCTCCTCTTTCGAAGCAATTGTGTTTGCATTTTTTTAATTGTTGCGTGGAAATATTTATGTGTATCTAGGATCGAAAATTTTATGTCTAATATAGATGTGTAATATATATTTGCAGGCGCCTTTTCTAGAGATTGAGACACGCGATCGACGTCATCGCCGACCTAAACGCTCTACTTCGCTCACTTGTCGTGAAAACGAGAACGAAACTCGGTGCTGCCGATATCCTCTGGTAGTGGATTTTGATAAGTTTGGATGGGACTGGGTAATTGCTCCAAAACAATATGAAGCCAACTACTGTTCTGGAGAATGCAGTATAAATTTTCTCACGCGATATGGGCACACACATGTGATGCAGTTGGCCAGCAGTGCTCAGGCATGCTGTTCACCTCGAAAGATGGCGCCATTGACGCTTTTGTACTTCAATCCGCAAGAACAGATCGTCCACACCACACTTCAGAACATGATTGTACAGATGTGTAGTTGTTCCTGACTTACTTAAGAGACACACATTCAGATCTCTCCTTTCACTTCTTCTCGCATCCTCGCTCGTATTTTGTAAGATTACTCCAGATCAGAGGGCATTTGCGGCAGCGTATGGTACATCGAGCATTACCAGTAGCACTTGTGCTAAAGGGCATATATTCGCGGAACTCTATGGTGGCCTTAAAAATTGGAATTTGCTTAGATATTCTCAAACTGTATTCGATGAGTTTGATAAAATATTTCGATTTCAGATTTTTCAGTAACTGCAAAATTTGTTATCAGAGTCAATTGCATGATAAGTGATAATCTTTGTATTTTAATATGTTGCTAAGTTGTAAAGTTCCGAGTTTTTACAGTCTTACTTAAATATATATAGAACTTAAATAAATTAGATATAACATTTTGGTCAATATTTTAGCTGTTTCGTCAGTATAAATGTAATAGTAGAATGACACAGAATGGTCAGTCAATCAAATCAGTCAGTCAGTCAAATACAAAATATTTTCTTTTACCAATATTTTTGATTATTTTCCCTTATTATCTACTCAGTTTAATTTCATCCTGATCACAAAAATAAAAGTTTTCTAATGAACATTATCCCTAAATTTATGTATTACTGATATTTTGTAAGAAAAATGGGGATAAAAAGTAATTTTCTCCTGACCAAATTACATATTTTTTATATTTTTTAATATAGCATACAATACTTGGTAGAATAGGATGGCAAAATTCTTTGAACAACCATTATTTTAACAATTTCTCGTCACTTATATTAAAATTGATAATTTATAATGTTTGTTTTTCAGTTTTTGTGACTTTAGTCAATACAATTCCTACTCTTTATGTGTCATCACTATAGTAAATTAATTTAAAAGTCTATACTTCAAATGGCCACTATTATTTTTAGTCGAAATTATCATGGCAAAGTTGTGCAAAAGTGCCATTTTATAGCTTGCGTGCTTTTGATTTCGGTGATATTGTTTAATAGTATTAGAGAAAAATGAATTGAATGTTCGTATTGTGGTAGGTCAGCATCCGAGCCAAGATGAATTTAATTTTTACTACAGCCGCAATGCCCTCCATCTCACATTCATACATATCATATAAGGTGTGTTTTTTAGTTATATATATTTTTTTCAAAACTAATAGCTTCTTCTCAGTCTAATACTTATAAGACTCGCCAGCTCCATGTAAACTTCATTCAACCCATAAATAAAAATAGTTGTCTTGTCCACTGAGCACATCTTTATTTAATTACGACACACCCAAAATTACCGCACGTCTATTGAGACTTACGGAAGTGGGCTGACAGAGGACCCTCATCAGTATATCCAGCAATTTCTTGCGGCACAATTGAGCTCTCTTCGACGCCAGTGCACGGGCGACACATGCATTCTAGAGGTGCCTTCGTAGAGACCTACAAGAGTGAGAAACCGTTGAGATTATTACTTATAGAATTACTATATTTTTAAGTAAAACAAATGTAAAAGTTTTTAAAAATACAAATTGGTTGATAAGATGGTTTATTTTCAATAATAAAATTGTACCAGTTGGAATATGTTTGGAATGTCAGCTACACACACATTATTTTAAAAAATGTATTACTTATTGATCTGGACAATCTATTACGAATATTTTACATCCAACCTGTCGAAACCACCCCACCCAGATAGTATGTAGAAACAATAATAAATCAAAGAGTACCAGAATGGGCTTATAAGTAACATATGTAATACTGTCAAGTTCTTTGCCTGTATGTCACAATTTTATAAAAAAAGAATGCACAAGTTAAATAATTTGTAAATTATTATCACAACTGAAATGGGATTTTGGAATTCAATTACCAGTTCAAAATTAACAGTTCGATAGCAAAGCTTTTGATTTGCATTGAAACACCTAAAGATTTATTTCAGTTAGCTAATTCATACGGTCATCAATAATTAAACTATTGCATTTAAATTTTGATTAGTTCTACTAAAGACTCTGACAAAAAAGTTTTTGTTTTTTATATATATTTATTGTCAAATTTTTTTAGACAATTAATGTTTTGCAAATTTATGTTGTTTTTTTTCGACTTCATTGGGTTAAAGTGTATTTTGCCACCCAAATTGAATTTTCCTGCACATTAGAAAAAATGTTGTAATTCGGATCCTCAAAACAGTTTTCTGGTTGATAAATATGTCTAGGAACGTTCGTTTATTTTGGATGGTTTCGACTTCTTGCCAGGTGGTAATGCTGATCACCTGATAAAAGATTTGGTCGTATGGTTTTGGTTTATTTCAAATTAAAAACTATAGATACGTAATAGGTGTGCTTATGCGGAAGCTGTGATATACTGTACCTTTCTTTGCGGTAAAGATTTAATATAGAAATTTTCATACAAAGCAACAAAGATAAAAGTGAGCTCAACGCACAGTTAGGCCTGCTAAGACGAGCTGAGACTGTAGAAAATTGTACTTGAGACAAATTTAGATCGTCACCGTGAACTGAAGAACGCGTTAAGCTTTTTTCCAGCATCATTCAGAATTTTAGAAACGTAATTTTTTAGAAGCAAGGAAAAATTAAAATGTTCCATGAACTTCTTGAAGTCTAGAAGTTTTAGTCCATGAACATACTGAACGGACAAAAGGAACCAATAATATAACAAAAACAATATCAACATTTTAAAGCGATATAACTGCAGTTTTGTTACTTCCATGCCATACGCAAATCAAACAATGTATATAATAGATAACTCACTAAAAAATCGTAACAAATAAAAATTGCAAAAGAACAGAAAACAGCCACGGCTGAAACTGCATTGAAAACAAAAGGTACACATCAACACAGGGCATTCAATGTAATAAGAAATGATGAATAAACGTTTATATATATAAAAAAAATATTATTCCCATGACGATTTGTCACATGTTTTTGGAGACATCCTGACCTACATAATTTACTAAAGTCTTATTCGAATTATCTTCTAGTTTCCTGAGATTCAGGTGGTTAAAGTTAAATCAATATGACGGCGTCACTGATCACGCTACAGACTAATAGTGGGCTGTGGATTATAAAAGCGCGTCGAGGATCGTCTTTGAGTGGAGAATGTTTGAAATCTGTAGGTAAATATAGAATATATGAGGCGGTGAATGTATGAACTCCAAAGTTCTAAGTCTCTGCACCCAAAATTTAAATCGCCATTAATGGCAGTTCGTCGCAAGGAGCTCGACCTCAGCTACGATATACTCATTCATTCATTATTTATTGATCATCCTTTTGTACATAAGGAGAGTGACGCGCCATAGCCCATAGGGGCTGATTTGGCGCCGTGTCGATAAGGCGCATATCCTGACAGAGCTAGCTAACCTAAATTAAAAGAAAATTTATCCTTTCGTTCCCGATTTATACAACTCTGGAGTTTCAAAGGACATGATAAGCGAACGCTTATGGTCAGCTGGGGGCCGCCAACTCGCAATGTGGCCAACTCGACCAAACCTGTTTTAAACGAAAATTTTCAAACCGCCATAATTCAAGTTCTATTCAGTGACAAAAAAGTATAACCCCATTTTGGAAACGATTCGATCTGAACAATCAAAATACTTAAGAAATTATCTCAAAATAATGTGACCTTGAAAAAAAAATTTTTATTCGAAAAATTTAAAAATTTTAATTTAAAAACAGCGGGCTACGCCCAGCTGTAATATTCCTTTTTTAACTTTACTGTCTCTAGTGGTGACTGTTCCTAATCATCATTTAAGTAGACAATGGCACTTTACAAGACTTTTCGAAAGTACCTTAATTTATTCAGATTGAATCATTTGATTATTCAAACTAAGTTCCTTAGGTTCATAAATTTATTCATCCTTATTCTGTGTGCGGCTGACTTGAGACTTGAGAAAAATCGACTCTTCGGTCGTATATGCGACTTGATGGAAAAATATGCTAGTTAGATGTTTCAGTTCACAGCCATACAATTTAAGTAATTTCACCACTATCATTTCTGTTTTTGAGTCCAACGTGTCACACAAAGGAAAGGAGTAGTGGGATAGCAAAACTTTAGGAGAGTTGAAGCGCTGTCCACGGATTCAGTGGGATCGGGAAATATAACACCTTTTTAGTAACTCAAGTCTGGGTATTATATTTAGGATCCTGAAGAACCTAGAGCTTTGATTGCCAGTTTGTTAGAAACGCTTCGATGCCAGCTATAATACTATAATTTGGAGTCGATCCAGACTATAGGGTTTAAGTTAATTGTATTTTGTGATCTTTCAAAATGACGTTAGGAATGGGGGGGGGGTGGTGGATTTTATAACACCATCACGACGTGCGACCCGTCACGATGGACGAAATTTCAAACGGAAGACGAAAAATGACCCCCCCTTTTCTCGTCATATTTATTTAGCTTTTCTGATGCAATTTTAGTTGATTTTGCGGGTTTATTGTTTTGCACGTTCGCACTTTATAGCTACAATGTATATCCCAGCTCATAAAAGGTACTAATATTCTTAATGTTGTTTGCGCGAAATGATATTTTGAAATCTGTTTTCATTGTTTGGAATGTTTCGATATTCAAGTCTATATGTGTGATATAGTTATCACACTACGTTGAAGTGTCGATAAGTTCTTTCCAACGCCGATACTTATCGATACGAATTTTGTGAAATTTCCTATCTTTAACACAATTGTAGAAGAAAAATAGGACTAAGGTGAAGTAATTTGTTTTAAGACTATTGATTTGTATTGCATTTTCTCTATATTTAGGTTGAAACATATTAATTTTAATGATAATTATCGGTAAGTGTTGATACAAACTTACCGATATTATTAAATAGTGAAAAAAGCGTTTAATACAGTCGAAAATTGAGATTCAAATTTGTTACGATGACTACAACGCACTTTTTAGCAGTTACTATATATTGGAAAGTATTATTTTCAACTCATTTGTATGTATTCTGTTATGTCTGTAAGCGCAACAGCAGAGGTCATGCTGATATGTCATTAATTTTGACAGTGGAATTTTCTGGCCTGTAGAGTGCATTGTAACTGAAATGAGTGCATTTTAGTGTGACTCTAAGGTATGTACCTTTCGGAACTTGCGTTCGCCAGGCTTTGCTTTTGGGCAGAACAGGGATACGGCGGCTTCACGTTCCCCTGACTCCTGGCAACACATGCATGACCGTTCCATCTGCCAAATTTTACTACCAGATACCTGAAGATAGCTGGCGCAACGTCCAATACACGCAAATGACGGGATGGGTTTGGGAACGCAGCCAGGATACTGTAGTACATGAATCACTGGCGTAACTTGACAATCGTCTCCTGCTCTGGGTGTCTCCCCAAACGCTGCTGTCACTACAGCTAACAGGAAAAAGTCCAGAGCTATCATTTTGGCAAATACAGAAGCACTGAGGATTCGTCTCTCGTCAGCTTCTAAAATGTTCTTACCTCTCCATGGGGTTTCTATGTCACTCTGCGGGTTTCCTGTGTAATATTTAATATTTATTAATGGAATAAGGATTCATTGTAACAAAATTCACGATAAAATAGCTTGAAAAAGCTTATCGTCTAATATTATGTGCTTCCACATAACCCTCATAGACATTTTTCCATAAACAGTTTTCTTTCCGTTTTTAACAGATATTATTTCATTGTCAAAGTGTGTTTGTAAGGCCGTCACGCCATTACATTTACTCGGGTTCAGTCTGGGCACAAAGACCTAAGCATAGATTTTCTCTTCATTGCGTGATTAAAGTAATTTGAATTGAATCTTCATGACTTTATTGGTAATAGCGAGTATAGGCTTACTAGAAAAGGCTTTAGTTGCTTAAACAGCACAAAAATTCCCAGATTTATTCTGCTAGAATGATATATTTTAATGTTTGACGTAAAATACTGAGTTTTTACCATCAAAAACAAAGAATCTCTTATCTACCTAAAAAAATTTATTCGCCTACAAAAACTCATTATCGTGAATTGATCGTTTGAGTCACAAAAAGACAAAACGTTCCATGAAACGTTTTTGAAAGATACGTCAAAAACATTAAAACACAATTTTTTTCCATTGGACAACCCAAACCTACAAGATTTCTAGTAGCAGTATTGACTGCATTGTAAAATAATTTATCCTCCACAACATTTTTGACACATTTCTTGTGCAGGGCTTTTCTCAGGAGATCGCTCAAGGTGGGAATGTAAGTGAGAGATTCGTAAATTTCTGTATCTTCAAGTTCGCTGCCTTTTGTGTTGCCAAGTGCTCTGGAGTGATGGTGATCGAGTAGGACAATACAGCAGTAGTGTACAACAAATGCAGAGGATAATGAATGTAAACAGATCACAAAATTATGTCTGGTCTCTAACTTGAGAGGAACAGACCATTTGTCCTTGTGAAATGTTTCAAATACTCTTATAAGAAAGCCATAAATATCCTTTATTTGGGGAATAGTTTTAGCGTGAAAAGTCACCGCATTTAAAACAACGGCAGTCGGCGGGTTCTTTGAGTCGTATTTCCATTGTGGCCATTTCAGGAGTAATGAGACGGGCTCCATCCGGATCGTAACAGTGTGTGAGGGTCACTGGCCGCTCCCTAAGATAACTCTCGCGGCAGCAGTAGCATTCTTTAAGGAAACCAGTGGGTGTGATAACTGATGGCTGCACTTGACTGTTGCATAGCCCTTCACATTTGTTTACACCGACTTCACCATTACATGTGCGTTGTAGGCGACCCAATTCGTCAAACTCCTCTGAAAAGCAAAGTTATCTACTGTATTTAGGTATAAGTGTATACAGTTTATTTCTATTGTATAGAATTGACTACACTAGAAACTCAACTTAATATATTAAAACGTTGTGGTTCACATTTTTACTAGTAATAATGTAGAGACACTATTTTTTATCCAGAATATGATTTTTGTTTAAAAACTTTTATGATCTTATGGAAAGCCAACTTAAAAAAGTGTATAATTTTACATGTTACAGAAAGAAGAAAACATTTATAAATTTAGTATCTTTGAGCCTCTTTACACCGGCCAAGTTAAATGCTGGATTTAAATTGATACAGCATTTATTTGACAGTTCTGTATGGAGAACTGTCAAATAAATGCTGCATCAATTTAAATCCAGCATTTAACTTGGCCGGCATAAAGAGGCTCTTTGTCAGATTGATTGTGAGAATTTAATGCAATAACATTGTGAAGGATTTATAATTCATGAAGCATTTCGCGTTGATAAATATTGAGATAAATTTTATTATTAGGCCTTTAAAAACTCTTAGGGATAGATGTTGAAAACACGTGAAACGCCAAACCAAAAAACTCTTGGCGAACTAATTTTAATAAACATAGTGACACAATTCAACGGCTCGCTGTAGGAATTATTTAAGAATTGTATCAGGTTTTCGCTCCTTGTGAATTATGTCCTTGCAATTACATTTCTACCTACAGAAATGTGTTGGAGGGAGGAAGGGATACAGCTTGCCTCATTCCTTATTTTACAAATGAGAATATCGATATATTTGAAACGTTCTTACATTTCCAGTTGCCCTGGATACCTGACTTGCCTCATGACGAGGAGGGTTCGACCAGTGTACATAGACTTCTTGTATCAAGAGCTGAGCACGAGACGTTCTACCGCACTCTTTTTGTGAGAGTCTAATACTTTATAATGCCTTTCTACGTAAGTCAAGCGATACCGTTGGGGATATTCAAAAATTCTTTCGGACTGCTCATCAAAAACTTTTGCAAGCGAATTTGTATAAGAATATGACCCTAAGTTTCACAATAATTGATTAATTGAAATTGAAAATACTCGAAACTAATTCGATGTAAAACAAAAAAACATGATTTTTCTATTTATTTAATTATTATAATTAAGCTGTTTGCTTAAACCCTATGCGTTACTCTTTCTTTTGCCTTTCCTTTATGTGAAAATTTAGATTCCAGATCATACCTATTTTGTCATATAAAAAAAATTGAACATAATTTTTGGAATAAGCACATAATACATAATGATACACATAATATACGCAATACAGTTTCACACATATTTAATTTATGAAAATGAAACAAAAAAGCATTACTTCAGAATTAAATGTCTGATAATACCTTTAATAAGATGTATTTCTGATGGCATAGTTTCACAGTTCTCGTCACCCTTTGAGTGACTTTGTGCGCTTGCGAGCGCTATGATGAGAACAAAACTGAACGCGTGCATGGTCAATGAGCTACTGACAAGAAAAGCAATGAGTTTTGATTGCAGCAGCAGGATATGTTGTACTAAAGATGTGTTTTTCATGTTCAGTCAATTGCCAGTAGGGAGGACGACAACAATTCAGAGATAGCGGGACTTCTTGTGGAGGGAACAAATGGAGAACTGGGCGATGAAGTGCCTGTAAAGCAAAGTAAAATCTGTCGGGATTTTCTTAAAGGTGGCTGTAAACGGAAGTTTTGTCGGGTGAGATACAAAAAATCACTTTCAAAATACTTAATTTATAAATCAGAAATACACAATTCATTTTTTTCTATATGCGCATATACATATTATGTGGCTTGGTCTCAGTTGTAGAGCTTCTTTATTTAATTTTCTCCAATACACAGACTGTATTTCTATAATATTTAAATAAAATCCGACGTGGTACTTAGTGCACTTTTTTCAGTATCCTCATGTGGTGTCACCCGAGATGGTTGTATTCTGTCATGACTACCAAAACAGTAGTTGCAACCGACTTAATTGCAAGTTTCTGCATTATTCCATCCATGAAGAAGAGTTCTATCGACGTTTTGGTGAGCTTCCAGGAGATGATGAGCCACCACTGTGTCTGTTTCATCGCCACCGGTATAAGCGTACATCTGATGATGGTCCTACACGCTTCAAACGCTTTCGTGAAGATGAGGTAGATGTGTTTGCAGTCCTGCGGCGTATTGAGGAAGACGCTGCCATGATGCGACGTCGAGTCGAGGCCAACGAAATGAAAATTGCAGAATTAAGGGCTAGTAATGAGTTCTTGTTAGCACAAATGCGTTTAACCACGTCAAGAGTAGTCAATCCAGTGACCAGTACTGCACCTGCACAAGCACCGGCCACCGCCCAAGTACTCAGTGGCGTCTCAATGGCACCAGTACAGGTTAGTAATTATACACGCCTATAATTATACTCAATAATCCCAAGTATTTGTTTACAATTGATACTGGACAATATTTTAAAACCTAATTGATTAAAATACGGGCCGTGAACCCAAAATGAAATAATTTCTGAGTATCAGTATGCTCAGTAACTTGCGTTCGTGAATAGACTTTTACTTTTATACAGAATAAATAATAAGGAGCCAACTATGACAAAATTATTTATATAGCTAATAAAGTAAAATAAAACGTTTTGACTCGAAATATGACGGTTTGTTGTAAACATGACTACTGGAATCTTACGTATTTTCAAAATTTTAATCATATTTGTTTTCTTTTTCATCCTGTGTAAATCAAAATCTAAATATTGTTATCATATGTGAAACATTTAAAACAAATCGTATTTTTGCATTAAAATCTATACTAAGAACAAGATGTATAAAGTGGTTTTTCATATACTAAACCGTAGTAAGTTAAACCTACTTATACTAATGGCACAAATTTCTTTGCAGGTTCAGGCAACACCGATAGTGAGCATGGCCGCGCCACAAACACAGATAATTGCGAGTAGTGGACCGCCGATAATCGCGGCTAATACTTCTCAAGGTCAACAATTGGCCATTGCAGCAGCGGCTCAAACGCTAAGCACATCCGCGCCTCCACTGCCTCATGCGCCACAACTACTCAGTACATCACAGATCACGTTAGCACCAGCATTGCCTGCACCTAGCATGGGACTTACAATTAATACAAGTCAGGCGTTGGCCATGAGCAACGCCACACAGCCCATCATTTCATATCCTGTCATGACACATTCGATTTTGCCACACTAAGACCGCAATTTTTGCAATAAAGAATAGTCCCCGTTCCTGGTATTTCTATCTCTGCGTAAAATTGAAAACCTCTGAATTCTACACTGTGAATTTGTATTCAGCTTCGTCTCCTGCAATACGAGAATGTCTAGCGCCATCTGGTTACAAACAATGAAGAGATCTTGAATTTACAATCTGAAACTACATATTAGAGTTCATTGCAAAATTCTCACTTCTCTTCTCGATTCCATCATGAATAAGAGATAGTTTGCGATAGCATGGACACGAAATTCGTAATAATAATATACATAATTGGGAATAAACTGTTTTCAATTAATTCTATAATTTCTTCAGATACTCCGAATTGAGTCAGAATTGACACTACAAATTCCTCTCTGTCAAAGGACACCGCATACTGATTAGACCGTTTATTCATCTTCTTCTTAGCCTCTGATCTATTCCTGATGTCTCGACGTCTCTTGCTCTCTTTTTCAGTTTTCTCCGTCTTGTCAATTTCTGTCCTCATCAGTGTCCAGGTTAGTCTTCATGGCGTCACCCGTCCCACAAATACCAGCCTCTTGAAGCTTTCGCCCCTTTCGCCTATGAAACTCCTTCTGACTGATTCTCGCTTTATAGAATGATGATTTAGACTTCATTCTATAATTCATTTCAGAAATGTACTGAAAAACATCGACTCCTCAAAGTCATCCGACTCAAACTCACGGAGGACGTCAAAATTCAGCATAATACAGGAGAATCTTGCAGAAGAATAAAAAGTCAGCTCAACACTTTCTTTAGCTCATGGAGACGAACTGGGTTTTGCCTCAAATCAAATTTACCACAGTTACAGCTCATATTTGCAGGCTCAGCATGTGTTGAGCACTCTTCTTTGTTCCTTTTGCTGAAGTCTTCCCGAAGCACGTGATGCACCTCCATCCTCAGCGCATTTCGAGAAAATTAGAATGAATTTATCGAACTCTCTGTTAAGTTTAGGAATTATCAGTTCTATTGACATACCCAAAACTATATTTCCTCTATCACCGCGGGAAAATCCCGCGGAAAAATTTTCAATTTCTGATATGGGATACCAATATTTGAACGCAGAAAAATATTCTCACTGTTTTTATGGCGCGCGAAACTGTAATTTCAGGACCAACCCAATAAGTGGGTCTAAAGTCTACCTTTTTACATAGGGACAGAGCGCAAGAAAAATCCAGTGAAGCGTATCTTTCAATTGGAACATTCAAGAGTAACCCTTTAGGATATTCTATTTGCCAGTGAATGGCTTAATCTTTTGCGCTCTGCTCTGTTTGAACATTTGCAATTGGTAGGATTCGAACACACGACTGTAGTATTGAGAGTCAAGCGCGTTAACCACTGAGCCACAGCCGCTCTGTATTAATTTGCGATTTTATGGAAATTTGCCATGTTAATCAAAAATGCTTTGTCTAAAGTGCAATGAAAGATATATCTCGCTCGATGCGACGCAAGTGGCGAAGAACAAAATTCTTCTTCTCAACCTGCTTAATCGCCGAAGAGCGGTTGTGAGCAGAGTTTCAGATGCAACAGAAATTACACGTATCCTATACGCATACTTATCTCGTGTGGTATACTACTTCAACTGGGAGACGGGAGCAACTAGCGCCATATCGTGAACTAAGTGTAAAAATAGGGTGTAAGTCGACGTTTTCAGGCGTGTATGCAAAAGTGACCGAAAAGAGTGTTGCGCTTTAGCTGCATACGCTTGAAGAAATTTAGCGAATAATAGCGTAATAATATCAGTAAGCAGAGAAAAGCGCGTAATTCATACAACACAGTTGCGCCCACGTTTCTGTTTAGGTAGGGGCGTAAAGGCCGTTTTGTCACATTTTTCTCATTGTAGGTATAAACATGTCGGCGGCCAGTCAGACAGCATCAGCGCCCCCCAAAACCCAGCCGAGGACTTCAACCACAGACAGAGTGATTGACAGTGAGTATAGCACTTCCTTCTTTCTTATGAATAATCCATTGAAAAACTCTGCAAAGATTATAGGTATTTGACAGTTTTAATTGTCGCGATCATGAAATACTTCAGGGGATTGGAAGAAGTCGATTTTGTATGGGAATCGATGAAACTTTTAGGTTATGTTCTCAACGGCTATTCTTGTCATATTTTAGACAATTTGCCTTTGCAGTGCAAATTTCTTTGCAACATTTTTGTACAATTCGACCCTCAAATCCTATCCAGGTCGCTAAAATAAACAACTAGAAAATATTGGCTTTCTTTTAAATACGATCAATGGCCTCAAAAAGTTGCTAAGGATACAAAATTTTGACATGAAAATCTGCTGCAGAAGATCGCTCTTCAATAGCACTTATCGTGTGGTCAATAATCATATAAGGACCAACATTTGTTCCAGAGAAAAATTGGGGAAAGTAGATTTTCTTTCCTGAACCGCGAACAGTGGCATAGTCAAGCATATGCTCGAGCGTTTTTCATGACATATTTTGTGCAGAGAAATTCAAAATTCTTGTGTTTGAAAGCTTTTAGTGCTAATAAATACATATTTTCGGGTGTTTTTTGTCTTTTATGGTACTTAAAACCATGAAAAACTGGAAAAAAATTTCTCAAAAAATAATCGATTGTGTGCACGCCGATGCCATCGTCAAATCGATTGACATATCGAGGAATCGAGTTTCTGACACCACATTTGAACTTCTTGCAATCCCCTGACTTACTTACTTAAGTGACACTAACATCCCATTGAAGGCTGACGCCTTCAACATAAGAGAAGATATTCGAAACAAATTTGTATTGTTTTATTATTTTAGTACGGCAGTAGATTGTCAGTTTGCCGCCCAATCATTATTAATTTCAAGAACACTTTCATATATATAATCGGAATGCAAAAGACATTTCCAATTAAGAATGACGTTTGTTAGCAAAAATATTCAATAGTAACCGCTTAGGATATTCTAGTTAGCCATTGAAAGGCCTTATTTCTCACACTCTGCTGTCTTCGAACATTTGCAATCAGTGGGATTTGAACTAATGACTGTATTATTAGGAAACAAGCACGTTGACCAGTGAGTCACAGCTGTAAAATATATGCGAAAGCATGCAAAATATTCAAAATCATAATTTTACAAATTCACTTGTGAATTTCTCAAAATAAGAACAAAACTGAATTGTAATATTTCAATTTCTTTTCCATTTACCATCAGCCGTACTATTCCCTCCGAGTCATAAACTCACTTTAGCGGAGGTATTTGATGCGCGCACTGGAAAACCACAGCCCGAAGTACTCAAACAGCATTTTATCCTGGAAGGACGTATAGAGGAGGCAGCAGCGCTGCGTATCATCCAGGAGGGTGCGGATCTGCTCAAGGCCGAAAAAACAATGATTGACATTGAGGCGCCAGTAACTGTGTGCGGCGACATTCACGGTCAATTTTATGACCTTATGAAATTGTTCGAAGTGGGTGGACCGCCATCCACTACTAAGTATCTTTTTCTGGGTGATTATGTTGACCGGGGTTATTTCAGTATCGAGTGTGTTCTGTATTTATGGGCTCTCAAACGTTGTTATTGCAATTCATTGTATCTACTTCGCGGAAACCACGAGTGTCGCCACCTAACCGAATACTTTACTTTCAAACAAGAATGTAAGTAGATATGTATTCTATAGATATTTTGAACACATTTATTTAAATCCCCTAAAATACAGTGAAGAAAATTTTTGTTTCAATGTAAGGATGTTTTGATAAAATTTACTAACAGTAAATACTTTTCTATTAATGCTATAATTTAAATATTTTCATATAAAAAATTCGACATATTTTTAATTTTACTTCTATTCAAAATTGCCACGTTTTAAAATAGACCGTGAGACGCGAAGTGTGTCATCATCCGCCTTTTGTACTATTTTATATTTTTACTTTCAAACCTCTTATACATTCCTACGTTGTTTCAGGTAAAATTAAATACTCTGAACGTGTCTACGATGCATGCATGGAAGCGTTTGATTGTCTACCGCTGGCGGCTTTAATGAATCAGCAGTTCCTTTGCGTTCACGGTGGTTTGTCACCAGAAATTCATGATCTGGATGACATAAGGAAGTTGGATAGATTTAAGGAGCCACCTGCATATGGACCAATGTGCGATCTGTTGTGGTCGGATCCTTTGGAGGACTTCGGCAATGAAAAGAGTTGCGAGTTTTATTCTCATAATAGCGTCCGTGGTTGCTCTTACTTCTATAGCTACGCTGCTTGTTGCGACTTTTTGCAGAATAATAATTTACTTAGTATCATTCGAGCACACGAAGCACAAGACGCAGGATACAGAATGTATAGGAAGAGTCAGACTACTGGATTTCCATCATTAATTACAATATTTTCGGCACCGAATTATCTTGATGTGTATAATAACAAGGTAAGTTGTAATATAATTTAGTTCCTATAAAATTCATCAAGTCTTTCTCTACAAATATTGTTATTTCCAACGGTTTTCGATACTAAATTAAAATTGGTTCGTCACAATGGAGTCCAAGTGTGAGATTACATTTATTTACCGCTATAAGTGGGAGTTCGTTTGAAAGGAATATATGCCAGCTCTGACATACTAAAATTAAAGCCTGGAAGAAGGATTGAGTTTTCGATTAGACATAAACCTCTTCTCAGTTATTACGTACTATGAATCGCTTGGTGGAAACTGTACGTCTATAAGTCTTACCGTTTATTCGTTAGAAGCACGTATGTGATGATGAACGGACAGATGTCTAAGAAAATGAAAATTTGAATGTAGTGTCTATTGAACGGATGTAACAATCTCTCATGCCTAATTTTTGGATTAGGGTTTTTGGATACCGCGAGCGATAATATATATAAGTTGTGCCGTTAATCCTAGTTTCTTAAATATTTCAATACAAACACCTTGAAAAAAAAATGTTTTTCTCAAATAATATCAAAATTTTCTTTTACATACAATTAGGCGGCTGTACTAAAATATGAAAACAACGTGATGAACATACGCCAATTTAATTGCTCACCCCATCCTTATTGGCTTCCAAATTTCATGGATGTATTCACGTGGTCATTACCGTTTGTGGGTGAAAAAGTCACTGAAATGCTAGTCAACGTTCTTAACATTTGCTCTGACGACGAATTAATGTCTGATGGGGACGATGCATTGGAAGAAGGTGAGTACAAACTCATATTTTGGCCATTATCTTTTACCAAATATGCTATCTCTGTGACATACAACTTTACGGAGTACCGTGTTGTATTGCTAAATATCTCTCTCTTTCACAATTGCCTTTGATGGTTTACCATGACCGTGAATGGATTTATAGCTGATGGTAAGGTGTTTTTTTATTAATTACATCCTAATGTCTTATAAATATCTCAATTCCACTCCTGTCTTGTTCATACAACATTGTGAGAGAGAGACGCTAAAGAAACTGTTATAAGTGTCAGATGATAGCTGGAATGGTATGAAAAATAATGGAAGATGTGGTAAAAAAATTTAATTAATACAAAATTTCTGACAAGAGCTTCAATTGTTGAAATATTTTTTGGTTTTTATTCTTTGACAGGATATGAATCATATTCTCTTTTTTACAAATAAAAAACGCCAAAGAAAACCACAGAGTAAATTCTAACGCTCCAGCAACACTTAACTGACTTCGAAATATCGAAGTCAGCAAAAAATTACAAACTATAAGAATAACTATATCGTCTTACTTCATAATTCATTGAAAATCAATTATACTCGTAATGAAAATTATTACGTATTATGATGCGCTTTAAAACGTTGTAGTCTTCACAATAAATTCAGTGCGCGAGATCCCTCTCACCCCACGGTGCCACTTGTTAAAGTAAAAACCGGAGGCAAGCAGTCACCAAGACTAGGCCTCCGCTTTCCTAGCAAAAATTACAGACACAAATAGTATATATAAGTATAATTGATATCTTTATTTCGAAACTAAGCGAATATTTTGAAAGAGATTATAAATATTTCAAAATTCAACAAATATAAACATGTTATATAAAGAACAAAATGTGGCTTTTTGCAATTATTTATAGTATAATTATTTATATGAATAAGAACTATGTGACTCATGTCTTGGTCTAGGACACTGACTACCATTGCGCACATCGGAAAAAAACCATATATATATATATATATATAATATATATATATATATATATATAATACTATAGTCATACCATTCTAGTAATCAATCAGAGAAATAATACGGTATTTTTATTTTCTTATCATTTATTCTCTCTCTCTCTTTTTTTCTTCTATGTGTTTCTCATAATAATCTGTCTCTCACGATAAAACAAAAATATATCCCTGATTCGAAAAAACCCTACTCTTGAAAAAAAAAACAATATAACGCGTGATTGGGCTAGTTAAAAAGCGAATCATACTGAAAAATAAAACTGGTAAGTGTGCCGTTGGGCCCACAATTCGGTAACTCGTGTTAACTTATATTTTTGATTTTGGCCATTCAGAAAAAAACAGTCTTCTCGTCATAATTAATCTTATTACTCTATGAGTTTTTTGTCTTTGGATTTGTTGTTGAGCTGCCGCTTGCATGTCAAGTTCTATAATTCTATTATCAAGTGAAAATTACATTTGCAAGCCAAAATAATGAATATATAAAATATTTTCACATATGTAGTAATATTGATGTATTCTTCTGAAACTGATCAACACTATATGTATTCACATAGACCATAATTTTGTGGTTGAAACCAGTGAGCCTTTCTTATGTTTGCTACTATGAAAAATGATTTAATTTGGTATTCCGTTGAAATTTATAAGAATATGTAAATCATAATTAATTTTAGTGTACGGAATGGGTAAAGAAAAGTTTAAATTACACTATCAATATAATTTGTATTGCATTGTTAACATAGTACAAAAATTTATATTAAGGAGAGCGCGGCACAGTTTGGTACAATTTTTTTCGACGCTCGATGCATTTACAATTTGGCTATTTGAATTGTATTGATTATGTGCTCCAAAAGACCGTTTGTTTGGTAATTTCGAACAATTTTGGGGATATTTCGGGCTCTTGTTCGGACAACATTTTTCTTTTTAATTGATAAAGTGGAATCCTAAAGAAATTATCCAGAAAGCCTTTATATTATTACATGGCCAATAAATTAGCCAATCATTAGAAAACTTATGGATTTTTGTTGAGGTCTGTAGTTAGGCACAGATACAGAAGAAGGAAATTTTTTTTCTTCAATCCTTGCAAGAATACCATGAACAAATGTTAAATATCAGGCTATTAAATATTATTTGCACTGTATAATACATAAATTTAGTTGAGTTTTCTGTTCAGAAAAGGTCCTGTCCGAATTTGCTCCGCTTATAGTGAACGAGGGTTTCACACGCGCTGACTTGTGCGCGCTAAGCACAAAACTGGATCGCAAAAATTTTGAAAATCTATCGTTTAAAGTAATTTGGTTAATTTTTAAAATATAATCCCCAATATTTTTCATAATATCAGTGGTAATGTAGAGTTTAGAGACCTTTGATTGAAAGGTAGTTTCATTCCTTTCATGGCCTGGATAAGAAACACGATGTTAAAATCTGGCCCTGTCCTATTCCCCCCTACTCTCACCTACCTAATTTCTTAATATCAGACGCAGAATATCAGTGTAATTTTAGTAATGATAAAATTTCTTTTATTAAAAAATATTAAGTGGAAAACTTTAATTATCCATGATTCACGTTGCTCCCCATAATATGTGTAAGAATTGTGCTAATTTCACAACCAAGTGTTTTAAATATATGTGCAAAATTTAGTTTGGCGATGCGCATATATATGTATAGCTTTTAATATGAATATCCTAACTATCAATTTTTACTATAAAAAACTTGCTTTCTGTAAAAGTTTTACTTATATCTTGAAATATGTAAATTTTCTTGATTGTGATTATCATACGTTTAGTTTTATATATATATATATATATATATATATTACACATATATATATTATATATATATATATATTATATATATTATATATTATATATATTATACGGTAATTACCATGAGTCACTGAGCTGTGTGTTCATAATTTGCCTTATCCTCCTCATCGTATCCAAGACAGCTGTAGAGGAAAATTTATCCAGATCTTGCTATCTAATCATTGTATCACTAGACTTGATAAATGCCAACAGGTAAAAAATGTTCTTGTGTCAAGGAAATTCACGCTCTTTTTCTATAGTGATAGATTACAGTCACAATTCACAATTCAATTATGTGAATTGTACCGAATGTAACACCACTATGTGCTTTCAATTACTATTCTAGAGAATTTTCGCAGTAAATGCTCTTAAATGCTGAGCTGTATTTTGTAGCCTTGGCATGGGTGAGGCAGATAAGGCAAAGATATACTTTATAAATCATGCATTTAGCATTAAGTTGGATTGGAATACAAGTATATTTTTTAACATTTTATAAAACAAAATAAGAAGCAGTTTTAGAAGTATTCATCAAAGTTTCTATTAAATCACTCACTTTGGACAGTGCAAATAGAATTTTCAAAATAACACGATTTCTTTTTTCGTGGAAATTTTCGTTCCACAGATAAAAGAAGAAAAGTTATGTTTTTGTGGTCTGTACACCCATTTATACTACATAGAGCTAACGCAGTCACACTTTTTTTCATACACACAATTACACCAATACACTATGTGCAATAAAGGTGGGAGTGAAGTAACTATAACGTATAGTTATTAGAACTCATATTGACTTTATAAACGCTTGCACTTTTGCTGTTTGCGTCTTTGAATTCTCAGTTCCCACCACCTTTTTGTCGCTCCGAAAGAAATATGCTTAATTTAACGTCAAATTACTTTAATGGTTTTTGACATGATTTGATAAGTTGGTTTTTTGTTTCACTTACCCCAAAGTATTATTTTGAACATTAATCATTGTTTTTGTAACTTGTGAGTTTTTATGAGACTATTATCTGTAAAAGTTTGCGTGGACTCAAGAAAATTATAGTTTAGATAGACTTGATATTTTTGAGAACCGTTCACTTGCTCAGTTCAGGTCACACAAAAATCATTTACTAAATTGTATATACATGTATGTACAACTAAAATGTTTAAAATATATATATACACAGTAGCAAAAATTAGGTTAGGACACCTATGAAATTTAGGCAATTTTTACTTTTGTTGCTGAAAATTTAATAATTCTTTCAATTTTCAAGACAATTACCTTAAAACAAGAAATAATTAGAGTTTAATGGTCTTTCAAATGGCATTGAGACTTTTGATAATCAAAATATAGAATTGGCGAGTTTTGAAATCTTTATGTATAACGCACTCACTGCTATAATCTTTTCCACATTGTGTTCATACATTTCTCCAAAAATTAAACTGTTTCCTGATTTCTAAAATTAAACACAAAAGTAGATAAAGGCAGTAAAACACTCGGGATGATCCGGTCAGCGTCGAGTGGCTATTATAATAGCCCGAGCTTGGTCACTTATGTAATTTGTAATTCCTCCTGTGATTAATCGCTTTTTCATTTTACCACACCGCTGAGTAAATGTCAAGTTTTTCACGAAAATAAAAGTTTTTACGGTGGAAATTTCTATGAAACATTAGATAAATCTAGTTCAGAGATTGTCAGCCCTTTTACCACGAGCTTGTCGGGCAAATATGTCACGAAATACTCTATTTTAGATATACAGATAGATATATTCTCGGACACAACATCAACAATCCGCATCCTCCGAAACTCTCTTTTTGTTGGGTGATTCTCTGGAATGAACTTCCCAGAGATATCAAGCGGCGGTTAATCCAAACCTTTTTGGCGTCCTAACTGCTTTTTTTCTTTATTCTCATTATGTAAGAGGTGGGGAAGAAAGCTTATACAACCTATGAAAGAGCTTTTCCACCGTTTTGCTCTGGAGGTTGGTCATCAACACTTAGACGTCGGTGGACACAAAGAACGCTCACAAAAGCTTTATACTTATGGGCGAATAATAATAATAGTAATATATTCTCGGACACAACCATAATAAATAAAAATTTAAGCCTATTCGGTTAGAAAACGGAAATTATCCCAGGAAACCACAGGCTAAAGTGGTAAAAGTCTCGAACAAATTGAAATAAATGAACTTTTATTATATCAATTGAGAAATATTCAGCAGAAGTTGCAAATCTTGAGTTAAAATCATAGTTCGGAATTTGGCGAAGACGAAAGGTTTTCGCCCATGAGGCGCGCCAAAATTAACCCTCGGACGGTAAAAACTAATATGTGAATAATTTGCATTTTTTTCTTCTCCTCTTTATTCATATATTTTCACTAGATCGGATAATGACTCTTAGTCTACCAAAGAAATTCCAAATCAACACATATTGATCTATCTTGATCTTTTTAAGAAATCTTACCCTCAACCTTTCTTCTCTCATCCTGGACAAGACAGTGTCTGAAAAAAATCTTTTCCAACCACTTGTCTTGCCCGGTCTCGAACTGGGACCCCTGAATTGGTACTTCAGTGTGCTCCCAATTACACTACAAGACTGGATGAGAGTTCACAGGCTGAAGGCTTTTACTCATCTTTTACTAATCTTGATCTTACTCATTTTAACACAAGACTACCGATTGACCTGAAATCAATCATCTTCAACTTATTCTGACTTTGATAGGTTGAAGACACAACCTACAGCATGAAATGAAAAACATTTTTACAGGTTCAGCCATTCCTAAAAAAAAAGGCAACATACAAAAGTTAAAGGAAGGTGTTTTTGAATTTGGCTTACTGTATTAAGTAGAATATGTAAACAGAATCCTAATATAAGACTAGTGTGTAACCTGAACTGAGAACCCATTTTCTCATCTCTCTCTCTCTCTCTCTCTCTCTCTCTCTCTCTCTCTCTCAGTCTCAGTTAATATCTGGGAATGGGGTTGTGTGTACAGGAAAAGGCATTAGCCTGTTTACTTACCCCAATCCCCGCCCCCTAAACTCTCGTTTCTCTATTCTAATGAAATTAGAATTGTATATGATATTTTTGCAAGTGTGTTTCTTTGAGTCACTATCAAGATGAAATGTTAAAGATAAGAATTTGAACAAAACTTCAATTAAAATTATCCAATCCTACCGATACCATCATCCTGTTGCTGCCGCGCATGTGATTTATAAACACTCCGATGGTACCATTGGCCGCTCTATTGGGTCCAACCCGTCATCTCATATATTCCTGGGTAAGTACAATGGGATAAAAGGCGGGTAGAGAGAGTGATCGAGAGGCTAACTAGCTGAACATATAACAATAAAAATAAAGTTTACTAGCATACTGATTTATATCAAGTGTAAAAAGTGTAAACAGTTGGATAGTAGTTCTGAAAATACCACATCACAATATGGTATGCAGAGAGGAAACGTATTCGGGATTTTACTAAAATTCTGCAATTAATTAGCATATTCCACATTAGAAAACTCGTCGTAAATATTTGCAAGAATATAATTGAAAGCATTCAAATTCTATTATAAAATACTAATCATAGCTTGTCAATGTTTGAATATACTAATACTTACATTACAAGGAAACTATAGAAATTATTTTAGAAGGTTTTGTGTTTTATAGGGTTATTGAAATACATATATCTAAAATTTGTCACATATTGTGTGGAATGCTGACACCAAGTAAAGACTAAGAAATCAAAACATGAAATATTATTATTAAAAAAATCTCATATTTTCTACATGTCCCAATTTTTCAGTTTTTTGTTACTCTTCTCAAAAATTTCTCCTTTTAATTTCCTTTCCACTCCAGACTCGAATTGGTGTCTGTCAGATACGCGTGCCACTAAGATGCAAACAAGCGCACAAGTGAAAACTTTGATACATTTTGAGCGCCATTTTGATGATTTTTGTCTTACCAGTCTTTCATGAATGTTACGGACTGTACAAGGAAGAAGTTCGTCTTCAAAGGCGCTTTTTAACAACAAACACCAAACGCCAGGTTTGCGTGTTTATTATAATTTCTCGAAGAAGTTTTGACTCCATTTAATTGAGGCTAGACTGAGTGTCAGGCTATTTTGTGAACGAGGAAGCAGAAAAAGACTAAGGTAACAGCATTTAAGGTAATTAGGAAGTGCTGTGAGAAGAAGATATAAGATCCGTGGCGGACCACGGAAGGATTTAGTGTCGGTTATTAACCAAAGAGATTAAAATGATAAAAACAACGCTTGTTGAAACGCACCAAGGTTTCACGCATATTTTTACGCTAAATGTAAGGAAAATAAAAGAAATTGGCGTATGTAGAATTTGATGTGATCGTGGAAGGCTTCCTGCTACAAAAGACGCTACACTTTTTGCCCGTATGGCCATCTTGTCTAAGAAAAAATTTTACTTTCCTTTACCAGTATGAAACGTTTAGCTAGGACCGTACAGCAGTAAAGTGAAAAAATCTTGGTCTGTACTTAGTGTCAGAATTCCGTCCATTATTTGAAAATGAAAGTAATTACTAACGCCAGCTTACGCTTACGATTACATGTGAATTTGCGTGATAATTTAATTTTGGTACATATGTATAATGGTTTAATAATTTTATATTGAAAATTTGTAATAAATATATGATAATGCCACACATTTGTTGTAGTGGTTCTTGAATATTTGACTTTAAAACATATCTTTCTTTTTTAATGGGATAATGACATGCTGATGCCGTTATTTCAGTAACAATCCAAAATTGCGTTTTGGTCGCTACATACTTCATACACAGAATATTAGCCAACAGTATCTACTGTTTATAATTATTTGTTTATCAATTTTTTTGTCATCTGTTATCATTTCTTTTCTTTTTTCTGCTATTAATTTGAAACAAGAGCAACTGAATATATCTAGAATCGCAACTGTGTCAACCTTATGTACAGATATATGAAAAGCTAGTGCTAAATCTATTGTTTATTGATGTCAGTGATGTAAAATTACCGCGAATGTTTTCCTTACATATTCAAGACATTCACTTAACGGCGTATGTTTGGCTTTAATTACAAAGACCTCTCAGATTTTCGATATGTACAATATTGTTATTATCAATTTTTCTTAATAATTAAATAAAATTATTTTCTTTATTAAATAACTAGGCATTTCTGGCTTATTCATATGGTCCTAGATGAATGATTTTTGATTCTCCAATCACATTAGAAGTTTTTCACGTGTCCTTATTCCAATCCGGGACAACGTTTCCGGTACCGGGTATCGTAAAATTATATAAAAATAGACTCTCATTTGAGTTACTTCTTAAAGATCGAAATATTTAAGAAGTTTTATTAAAATAGCTGAGCTTTGAAACATAATATTCGTCTTTAAAATATTATCATTGACTTCTAGAACTTCAAGTCGTTGTCAAAAGATCATCTATAGGTCTAAATATATGTACACTTGCGCTAGATCTTACCAACGGGCGCTAATTTTTTTTAACATTGTAATAAATTTATCGTAGCAAGGAAGTAACCTTGTTAATGACAGCCAATAGACAGACAATAAAAAAAACAGAGTTGCGTTATCGGCTGATCATAATGCCAATACATACACCGCATTGTACACTATATTTCGGTAGACATGTTGTGGATATTGCACAGCACAAGAAAAAAATATTGTAATATATTACTTGCAATTTTTTCTGCGTAATATTTATTAAAATAGCAATATACGAATATATTCTTATATTTTACGGAAAGGATATCGAAATGAGTGAGAGAGTCTAACACGTACAATCATGAGAAAATAATCGAATTTCAACTTTCGGTGCAAATCAAACCTAGGTATAACACCAAAAGAGCGTTTGAGCGTGTTTCAGTAACGTACATTTTGTACTCAATTTTAAATGTAAAATCAACTTACTGGGTGCATATAGCCTCAAGTATTGTTTATTCTGTAAACAGGGGCATCAATTACAAATAAAAATAATAATAATAATACAATATGATAAATAAAAGCTATGTCTTATCGGTGTGTTAACATCACTGACGCTCGATTAGCGGTATCCCCGTTTATCACAGAGTGCAATGCCCATATGAGTCGGTTCCTGTTTTTTATTTGTAAGAATTTCTGTATTTATGACTAAACTCATATACCTTGTATATTTAATCTATGCTAAATCTGTCATGCATGTGATTACTTAACATTGAGTATATTGCTTTGCCTGGCCTACCTCACTATCACCATTGCATGTGCCTTGAACTTAAAAAAAATACCCCTACTGATCATTGAATGCCTCAGCGAAGACTAGCAAATTTGATTTTTTTATTTTTATTGTTATACGAAGAGCGGAAATGAGAAACGACTAGATAAGCTTGAAAACGAATTAAATATACAAAAATTTTGTGCTGTATTTTCTTCTTACATACTTATTTTGATCGTCAGGTAATGCAGCGAATCTGCGAAAGGAAGTGATTCGTAATAAGATCCGCGCCATTGGGAAAATGGCACGTGTTTTCTCTGTACTGCGGTAAGAGTTTATGAAACATAAAGAAATTTCATTCTATGTGAATTCAATTTGTACTTCGTGACAGGGAGGAATCTGAGTCTGTTTTGCAATTGAAAGGACTTACACCCACCGGAGCTCTGCCACTTGGTGCCCTTTCAGGTGGCAAGACATCTCTAAAAAATGGTAATTTGATACACCTTATTAAAGAATTTTCATAAAAAAGTTAAATTTAAGTTATGTTGTTATGAATTTAATGTCTTTTTCTAACATAATAAGGTTTCATAATTGGAAGTAATTCTAAGTAAATTTATCAAATACAGCTTTATTTGCGAATTATTGCATATAAAGCAGTAAAGCTCTTAGTAGTTTTCATGAATAAAGAATTTTAGGAAAAATTTATATTTTTTCGTGACAAATCGGAAGAAATGCTGAATTTGACTTTGACAATCCTTATTGGGGTAACATTCAATTACAAGTAGTGCAATTTTGCTTCAAAATATTGGCACTAAACTAGCGTATATTTCTAGCTTGTCCTAGAGTTTCCTTTTAATTAATGCGGATTTACTTAAAGTGAATTTTCAATCATTGAGCCTCTTTATGCCGTGTCGGCTTTAATATAAATGCAGCATTTATATTAAAGCTAGTCCGACATGACTTAAAAGTCGGCTCAAACTGCGCGGTGGCGCATGCGTGTGGGCTGTCAAATTCTCACACACATCTTCACTGAACGTCATTCGTGACTGCGCGTCGCGTTGCAACATGATTCGATTTCAGTTTAAGCGCGTGTGTCCCGGTATCAACGCCATGGACTAAAATAAAGCCGAATATTGTTAAATGCTACTTTAATGATAAATTTAGCATTTAACTTGGCCCGGCATAAAGAGGCTCATTGAGCCTCTTTACGCCGGCCAAGTTAAATTCTGGATTTAAATTGATGCAGCATTTATTTGACAGTTTTGTATGGAGAACTGTCAAATAAATGCTGCATCAATTTAAATTCAGAATTTAACTTGGCCGGCGTAACGAGGCTCAATGTTCCCTATGATATTTCGAGTTAGCGACTTAAATTTCATCTGCTACATAAACAGAAGTATTTTGTCTTTTACTGTCTATTTTGGTTTCCAGCATATTTATGTAACTATAGATCTTACTTTATTCGGTTCTTACAGTCTAAACTTTACTATTTATTTCTCTTCAGCTCTACAAGGATTTTCTCCCAATCACAAGATCACATCGTTCGCTGAGGCTAAGGGTCTAGATGCCATTAACGAACGAATGCCACCACGTAAGGATGTGCCGCCTACACCGAGTCCCAGTGACGAAGCTAAAGCTCCACCAGAGAGTCAAAAGAATAGCCATGCGGCATCATGAAGTGATACCACATCATCGCAACGCCCTTTTGCGAAAAAACAGCAATAAAAGGGCGACAATCAGCATTGTACTTATTGTGCGAGTGTTTGTGATTTTACGCAGATGGGAGCGTACACAATGGACTCAAATGGGCCGATAGAGAACAGGAATGGCGACTAAAAAGACAAAAAAAAACGACTCAGAATGTGTGTGAACACACATATTAACACCTATACATTATGATAGTCATCTTAATGTGTGACTGACATGGTGTGTACCTTCCTCAATTAATTCTTTTTTTGTGTTGATACTGATACAATGTTTGAAAATTGGTTTTCCTGCATATAAAATATGTATTTCTCTTTTTGTAACAACATTATTCATAAAAATTTGTTGGGCGATATCCTAAAAATTCAAGATGATAAAAATTACTAATGCATGCAAAAGAAAAGATGTAGGTTTATGATGGTAAGAGGTTATAAAGTGGTAGATTGTCATATACATAAAACGTATGCAAAATATACTTTCTTACAAGCAATAGGCAATTACAACTGTAAGTGTTGTTTGGGGGTGAAATTGCTAGTAACTCTCACTTTAGTAATGCAAATAAATAAAACTCAGCGAATTTTTCGACACGTTTCCCCAAATTAACTGCATCTTAAATCTAATTACAATGTCCGTAACAAATTCTATTTCATTTTAATAAAAATGCACTTTAATTGGAAATAAAGTAAACAGTCATGTTTTATCACATTAGATTACAATATAAAAATTTTGTTACCCATTTAGAATACATAAAAAAAACCTTTAATATAAAACAAAATTTATACCTATAGACATAACTATTGAGACGAATATGACTTAAAATTGACTCAGGATGTAGCTTTACATTTAAGGTTCGACAATATTTTGTTTGTTAATTTCCAACACCATATCTTTTTAATCTACAGTCTATTTTAGTCAGTACATTATCTCATCAAGCGCCATTGTTGCCCATTCTATATCTTTATGTATCGACTATGATGAATTATAAGTTATATTAAGTCTGAAAAATAGTAAAAAGGAATTGTATAATAATTTTTGTCTAATGGAGTGTGATTAATATTACCAGCCAACCAGTCTTTGATTCTGATACCAAAACATTTTTTTTTTACTTTATAATGTATTAATAAATAACAACCATAACACAGTTACGTCCATAATTTTACGCGTCATATAAATTGAATATTTCTGTTGTAAGATCCTTTTTCAAAAAAAATCACACCAATAAGAGCGAGGAAAAGATAATATTCAACATAATGGGTTGAAAACAGTAACTAATAGGACTCTAGGCGTGTGCAACAAGATTAGCGGACTTTTGATGTTTTCAAAATCGTGTTCGAGCATTTTTATAGAGTGGATATTTTGCGTTTTAAAAACTTCGAGAATTATAGCAAGTTCACATCGAACCGTGAAACGATTAAAAGAGAAAAGTTAACAAGATCAAACCATTAGCTCATTTGTTTGCTCGTTCTATAACATTTTCCTTATTAGTTGGGATCCAAATACAGCCTTCAACGGAGGAAAGTATAAGTCTGCACTGAAAGTTTTCCGTTATGTTTTTTCCGTCCTATTAATGTGTAAATCTTTCTTCATATGCAGTTCTAAGAACAATAACTTTTCTAACACCACTCTATATAAGAAGCTGTTTCTGGAACAGTAGCGTTTGATTATTGTTTACGGCTACCACATTATAAAAAGAAATTAAAAAAAATTACTTTCCACTTGTATAGCCTCTTATAGTACTTACATAAAAAGTTTTCAGATTTACCATATCACCTTTTACGTTGTCACCATCCCGTGGCAGATTTTTTTTTTCAGAAATTCAAACAAGTGATAGAAAACTATTCTCCCAATACTCATAGTGTTTCTCCTAATTCATTAATATAATTATGGTCTGTCTCCTAATAGATTTTTGCATGACTGTTTCCAAAAATGTAGTTTGAGAAAGAAATATATTTCACGTTTAATTACTACAGTCTGTTGTAGCAATTTAATACCGCGCCGTCTGAGGCGCAAAACAGCGGGTGGAATGGAGACTTCGCTTAAATTTCAAGCCCAATTCATACTTCATGAGTATAACTCAACGGTAGAATGTCTAAATTCGGCAACCCGTGAGTTGAAGAACAGTTCTGATGAGGCAGCTAAATGCGAAGCGTCTTTTACAGTCAAATCTGCTTGAAATCCTGCTCAGGTGTGTGTTTCTAACAGGTAAGTTCCTTTAGAGCCGAGCGGATGAATGGAAAGATTCCCGGTTTTCTCTACTCTGAGTGCATCCAAACCCTCTAACGGCGAATTTGACATGACCCGTCGCTCCACCGACACGTCCGTGGATATTACCCCAAGAGCATTGTTTTGAGTAGGACGTCGCCTATAAGACGAGACATCCTTGCCACCGCTCTGATGGTAGCGATCCCAAGACGTACTTTCAGTATGATCAACACTGCGCTATTTTTGATGAAATTTTGCATGAGGCGGCAGAGAAACATAAAAATATAATCAATAAAGACATTGAAAAGCGCTCACGCATCTTGCCGTGACTCTTTCGATATATGTGGGAACAGTTTGAAAATTGTCGTATAATCGTTCTGAATTTCTTGGAATATCATTTGCTTGTGGCAAACACCACACCCGCTCCCTGCTTTGCGTAGTGGTAAATTCTCCCACCCCAGCCCCTGTATATGGCTACGATCGTTGACTTGTTCCTGAAGACAAATTATCAGTTGGCTGTGCAAAAGGTTGCTGATAAATGTTCCAACTGAAATATAAATGACTTTCGAAATGTTTTTCGCATCTGTCCCAATATAAAAGGCAACAATATCAGTCTGATATCGCTTGCAAATAGGCGATATCGTCTTCACAAAAAAAAAATTCTAAGGCTAAGCTTCGCTAGACACTGAATTCGACTAGCTAATTTGAATAACCTTGCTTCTGAGCGGGAAAAAACAGAGGATATGTGGAGATAAACGTCACAGAAATAAGGAAAAATATACAAGGCCAAAGTTGTACTACCTAAAATAAACCAAAAATCGGAATGTTTTGATTAACTTTAAGCTTTGGTTCTAAGTGTAATATTAGTGAAGATGCACAATGGGCTCGTTCGATGGTCTGGATGCTGTTGACGTGATATCTTATGCAACTCCTGAACTAATTCAATCCAAGTGAAATATCATTTCCCGCTGCTCACTGCGTGAAAATAAATGCGCACAAGGTCAATAAATCTATTACGAGAAACAAAGTTTAGTGTTTTCACTATTGAAATTCATACATATTTTTATAATATAGTGTTAAATCGTGTTGGAAACTCTTAATCGACTAAATTTTTAAAATTTTTTCATTGTGTTAAAAGATTAACAGAAAGCTATTAAAAGAAATTAATTCTCATTCAATTTAAGGGTTATTGCTTTTGAAATCACATAAAAAGCATAAGATATTTATATTAATGTTACTAATGTATTAGGCAGGGAGAATAAGTTGGTGAGAGTAGTTTTGCTCTACTAATGCATGTATACGCTCATTGTGCACGCGCACCCTTTACAGAGATATTTCCGAAAGAATCCTATCGCGCAGATGCGATCTATTTCGGTGGTAGCTGATGTGTGGTATTAATGCCCAGTTGGAGTCGTGACTAAGTACAGAATGGAGGTTGTGGAAAAAGAGGGTCATGCGGTGAAAAACGCGACGATCACACAGGAGGTAAGAAACATCCTCAAACCAAGGTCAGCTTACAGCGCCACCTTTTTGCAGACGCACGATGTGCAGAATGACAATATCAATAAGGAGAAGGTTAACGAAAATACTGCCACGGTAAGTTGCTCGTATAGCGTCGTCTCGATGTGCATTTACGTCGACAAAGCAGTTGAGGTCAATATAACTGCAATTTGAAGCTATGGCAATTGCTCAAAGAAACAAATAATCTATATTTGAAATATTTTTGAAAGCTGACAAAACCCGTAGAGCAATATGGAGCTGCTTTGGCTGGATTCTCAAATGTAATTTTCAGTTTTTTCCAATGATTTTTTTATTAAGGAAACTTCAAATCTCGAAACTTAACTTGAAAAAATATGTTAAAATCAAATTATATAGTTATAGAGGCAAAAAATAATGACCAGCATGTCGTTGAGATTTTCTGGCGCGATTTATCAGTTCCATATTACTCTAATATCACGACTTTGTGTGCTCGTTTTTATTTTTGTCAAGTGCGTACAGTCAGAGGCAGCCACAAACGCTATTTTCATTTACGCAAATAAGCTAAAGGATGCCATGAGTGACAAAAATATTTTCATTTTATAACCTATTTATTATTACTTCCGTTTCTGATGTGTCACACATTTTCATCTTCAAAGTGACTCGACAGCTGTGGAAACACCTGCATATGACTATTCAGTTAGGTTGTCGACATTTATCTAGAACTTCATAAACTAAACGTCCAAAAAGCCAAATAAAGTTTCACACATACGTATTGTCGCGCTTTGTTGTTCAGAATTAATTAGAATTTTTACGGTTATGATGATGTGTGGACGGCAGAAAATCACACACAGGGTCGCAGGAAATAGTGATGCTGGCTGAAACGGAACATAGTGATCGATGTACTCGGTGTTCGTGGATAATTTTATATGATCAGCTTTTCCCCAATCGCTATTCCATAAAAACCACATCGTGCTTGCAAATCCATTAGATATGTTTATTCGAAATCTCCCTTCATATAATTTGTACATTTAAGAAAAAGAAATATAAGTTCCGAAACGTCGTATGAAGAAAGAAGAGTTTACGCTATAAGGGCCGTTTCTGTAAAATATAGTCATTTCATTCAAGAACTCAAACACCATAAAACATTCCAAATATTTAAATCCGCCCTTCAAAATAAGATTCCTTTTTATAGTGTGTATATATGTAGTACTTTTAGTTTAAATGTGCATATATGTTAGGTGTTTTCCCATGTTAGACTAATAATTATTTATTTCTTATCGATTCATTGTCGATTTTTATTACAAATGCATCCCAGCTCTGGGGCCCCGAGAGAAGGTTGCCATCGACATTCACCACAGCCTTAATGAGACAAATGGCAGAAAATCTCACATCATTGGCTGAAATACATACGACTATTTACAATATACATTATAGTACATACTGCTGGTTTTTCCTCCTTCACGCCCAGGTCCTAAATTTCAAGAGGTCAGTTTGGGCCGACACAAATCCTTTTTTTCAAAATGAGTGATTCGATCATTTTTTTTAACATCTGTTACCCAGTTCGAAACGTTCATGGATAAATAAATGCGAATGCATAATAAGTAGGCACATACTGCTTTAAATCACAAAAATGGCTGCAAATGCTAGGAAGCATATGAGACTGACAAGAGAGAGGGAGCGACCGCATAAAGTCTGGAAGTATTTGGTATTGTCGCTGAGTTTAAAGATGCAAACTACTAAAGCCACATAGTCCATTGATTATCATCACTCGGACCTCGGATGTGTTAGAGAGTGCAAATAATGATATAAGTTAAAAATGAATTTTTCACTTATATATAAGTTGTTTGCTTCGATATTAAAATTTAGGATTTTAATTTGTATGGTGAACTGACGAAGTTTGTATATAGTGAGTGTTGTATGGTGTTACAGACATGGGTCACTTTGGAATACACTTTTCTCGTGTGTATCGGTTTACTTTATCTCTGTTTCTCTCTCTCTCTCTCTCTCTCTCTCTCTCTCTCTCTCTCTCTAGCTCTCTTGTTTGCTCTCTTTACCTTTGCTTTGACCAGGAAGTGGCGCCAGGCAGTGACACGTAATTGTCTTCCCACAGCCTCAAGATGTGAATAGGGAAATGAGCGAAGATAATACTGAAGAGGAGGTAGAAGAAGAAGAGGTAGAAGAGGAGCAAGAAGCCGAGGAAAACAATATGTCTGCGGAGGAGTCTGAGGATGAGGTGGAAACAGAGGAGGCAGACGTTACGAAGAATATTTCAAAGAAAGAGGAAAGCAAGGTGGAGAATGAGGTTAAAATAAAAGAAATCATAGATGATCCAGAACAGGATGTCATAGAAGTGAAAGAAAGTACTTTACCAGAGCAAGTTAAGATACGTGTATCAGTCTTGGAACCAAATACATCACAAGAACAAAATGAAATGAAAGATTCAGAAACGAATGCTAAAGAATCAGAGAATACAGAAAATAAAGAAGGAAAGGATGAATCAGCTCTGGAAAAGCAAGAAGAGAAACAATGTACCAAGGATGAGACGGAAAAATCGGCGAATATATTATCACAGAACATGTTAGAAGTATTGGAATCTGAAAATTTGGTTGAAGGCGCAAATTTGCCAAACGAGTCGGAGCAAAGGACGCAGGAGACGAAGACAGAGAGAGAGGATGAACCGAAGGCAGAAACTCAAAGAGAGTTGTTACAGGTGGCATCAGCTGATGGCGAAATACATCAGGAGAGCATCAAGAATGTAATTCATGAGATCATAAGTGATATCGACCGCCAGATGGAGACGGCACCGGTAAGAGCGCATGATCGTCTGGGCTCACGCTAATTCTGGCCCGTTTACTGCGGAAACTGACTAGTTGTAACCCGCGCGTGAGTGAAAATGGTGCGCCTGAGGCGATCATATAGCGCCACAAATTGTACAGTGCTGAAGTGTCGTGGTTTCAGGCCCTCAGATCGATTCGATCCCACTAAGAGGGATTTCCTCACTGCGCTAAGTCGTAAAATCTGGCACATGGTGGGCGGCGCCTCTAAAATTAAGAATTTGTTCATTGCGCATAAGCGACATTTGAGCAACGAGTCTTCTAAACATTCACATATTATAAGACAGAATTCTATTGGAATATGGATAAATGAATGTGATGTGTTGACGTAATTTTCAACAAATGATTATCAATTACTACTTATTCATTCTCAGCTGTTCTGGCAATTTTATAGTAGTTTAAAATAATTTAAATTCAGTGGCAGAGTTCTTGACCAAATATTTTTCCATTAATGCACTTAAAAATTACACTGAAGGATTTTGCAATTAGTATAAAACTTTTAAAATTTCCAATTCCCAACTTAAAACAAATTTTGAATTCGTTACACGACACTTACAGGGATCTTTCGGACTATGAAAAACCTGATTGACTTTTCCTATTTAACCGTATTAGCAGATACGAATAATTTTATTTCTATTTGCGTAATAAACAGAATTTTTCGTTTGAAAATTGTTAGAATCGAAATTCAATAGCCGAATAAGCTAGTAAAAGCTCGAATTAGTTCACGAATTAAATAAAATGAGGAAAAATCAGAATCGAAAATTAAAAAAAAAATTCACTGATACTTATACGTAAATTTTTAATTGAGAAAGAAATGCTTTGAGTAAAAAATTAGCTCACGGCAGTTAACCTATCTAAATTTTTTTAAATACTTTGAATTTGGTATTTTACCTGCTTTTGATATATTTATTTATGTAGCAATATTTTGCTTTATCTTTTACACAATTAAAACCCATAATGATTTTAAGACATAGAAATCACAACCATAATAATTGTCGTCAAGTTTAATTTTAGATAAGATTTTTTTTATCACTCAGCAGTTACTCACACCTAAGTCTGCTTTCATTAAGTAATAAAAATCCGGATTGGAATATTCCTATTAGTTTTAAAATAAATTCAATTGCATAAAAAAAACATTGGCTAAAATATACAATCTCTCATTTTTGAAAGGTCATAGTGTGCTAAAGTTTAGAAGACTTGTTAAAGTTCATGTGACGTTTTGCAGCCTGCCGAGAACTCATTTTTATTATGGATATTTGTTTGCTAAATAATTACTGTTAGAATGAACGTAGTGTAGAGTTATTTTCTTTGTTCAATACATTCATTTTTATTATGATTAGGAGCGAGTATAGAATGAAACTCTTTCACTCGCTCCTGAACAAATGAGAATATAATTTTGGAGCACTGTCCCAAAACTAGGCGTATGTTTTTAAAGGATGACGTCGTAGCGCCCCTAGAGGATAAGGAGAATGGTACAAAAGTGGTGGACTTACAGAAAATCTTCACGCCTGCTACGGACGCTGAGGAGATACTACCACGCCAACGTAAGCTACAAGACAATAAGACACACAGCGCTCTCGATGTCTCGCCCTAAATCGGCTCCTTCACCCTCACTCACCCAATTTACTACACATTTTAATTGGAAATGCGGCAGACATTCGAGACGCTATGCATGATTGCTTACAATTGAGGTGCTCATCAAACCGTAAACACATTTTCAGAACGAATTTCCATGTTTTGTCGCCGTACGGAAAATAGATATCATGCTAAAAACACTTTTCTAACTGAAAATATTGTAGAAAAACGTTCAAACAGCCACATGCATTTGGAGTGAACCAAATAAATTTCTTTGAAATTGGCATAAACATTTTACCAATCTTGAAAATTCTTGATTACTTTTCAATAATTACCGTCTTTTATTTAAATTTCTGAATATGACATAATCAGGAGAAAATAACTGTAATAATGACTGTTCTTTTTATTCTCAAAATCATGAAACAAAATTTTTATTTCTTCGAGCCACACGGTTTTACACTCTGAATATTTAAACACATAAAGGATAAAATTTTAGAATTCGAATATTTTAAACTGTTTTTTTCCTTTTCATACTTAATATTTTTTAAACTAGAGCAAAGGATTTTAGCAAGATATCTATGTAGAAAAAAAGCCCACGTACAGTTTAATTTTTTTTATGAAGCTATTTTGATTAATGTAAGGCATACAACATGGTGAATATTACGAACACTATTCACGAATTGACCAGAGAAAAGTTTTAAAATCGCCTTATGACATTTTAGGGGCTGCGATTTACATCACAGCTTACTACATATTTGCTATTGCTCGAGGAACCCAAAATAGTAAAATCAAAAACGCAAAAATGTGGGATTCCAACATGTGCTCAGGAGACGCACAAATCAAATTTTCATTGGTTTTTTGCCTATTGGTCGTGATAAGAGAAATTTAAAGCCTAAATAAGATAAGAGCGTTGATGTAAACCGCAACTATTATAATATAAAATAATTTAAGGCGAAAATTGTTTTAAGATTTCTATTTATTTGCGTCTCAAAACCAATATACCTAAATACATTTGCATTTGAAGGCTTTTCTCGTATATATGCGAAATTTTCTATCTTGTGCACAATTAGATTACTGATGATAATTACATATTATTGATTTTCCTAGAAAAATTAAATATTTTTATTTCTTTAAACGCTACAATCAGTCACAGATTCAATTTCGGCAGAATATTGAAAGCAAAATTCAAAATTTGAGGCACAAGATAAAATCAAATAGTTAAGACTTGACCATCATTGTATGATAATGGCCTAATACTAGTGTTAAATGGAAAGAAAAAGACAAATGAAGATTTTTTTTCATTACAATTCTCATTAATTGCGTTAAACATATTGCGGGAAATATATTATACTCATCATGTCGTAGATAGACTGTGTAATGTGATTACGAATTTGATTATAAATATCAAAATGTAATCTATATTGGAGTGTTTGAAATATTCACATGCTTTTATAGCTTGAGTTGACAATTCAAGTTAATAGAAATTATTCAAACTAGCTTTTGGGATAAAATTGTTGATATAGCATGGAAATGTGTAAATAAAAACCCCTTGAATGGCAACATTTCACTGGCGTGAAACTAAAGTATTCGGTCATAGGCAAGCTGTACGCGTCGTCGAGCTTCTATTCACCCACCCTCCATCCCACCGTGGAGGATCAAGTAGAACTGGCACGACGCATATCACATTCGTTGAGTGATATCAGCAACCAGCACTCTAAAGGGCAGTCCATGTACGTGAACCGGAAGAAGCGCTCCGTTAAGTGGGTGCACGAGGGTGAAGGTGAGCCGCGGGCGCGTCGTCATGCAGTTGTAGCATATCTCAACTGCATGTCGACGTTACCACCTCTCCTCACGCCTCCTCCGCAGGCAAGGGCCTTGTGCTCAATACATCGAACTACGAAGAAAGCCGTTCAGAGAAGACACCTCTCAAGTTCGTGATGAACCCACGAGGGCAGGTGCAAGACATAGAAACTCTACGTGCTCAGGGAGTCGTTGTCGAACCCACAGCTCCGTCATTGGATCGTTGTGCCGAAGTGGTGACTGCACTTCAAGCTGCCGGTGGCAAAGGTAAATCCCAATTAGCGCATAACCAACGTGTAAGCTTCCTTTTTCTTGATATAGGTGCTGAGCTATTTGCAAAACGTCGTAAGCGCTCCGAAAAATGGATTGTTGATGAAAGTGCATATCAAACTTCTATGCTCACATCTGAGGCCAGGCTCATCAATGAGGGTCCTAAAACTCAACCCAGCGTCAAAATGGACCAGATACTCGTAAGATACGCTTTAAAACAGACATGTTCCATGCTGAGTTTGAAATGAAGTCGTAGTAAATGTACCGATAGTAAAGCATTTCAGTAACACTAATATATATATATATATATATATAATATATAATATATATATATATATATATATATAAGATAGATTTATTCAGATATATATATATATATATATATAGTTGTAGTGGTTGGTTTTGTGTATATATATTTATATATACATTTCTTATAAATGAAGGTAAACTTTAGAACCACTCGTTGTACGTCAGCAAACGGATCATTTCCTATCCGAAAAATATCTCGAATACTTTTACTAATGGATAAAGATTTGTCCTTCAATGAGATGAACCGCCAAGGAAGTAATTAAATAGTTAATAAATGCTACGGCTAGCCAACGAATTTAACGAATACGAAGTTAAGATTCGCATTTATTGCGAAGGATGTTATGGAATGCTCAAAATTCTGCGCTCAGAACAGTTTGCTTTGGTATCTACCGTCTCGCCACATTTGCTGTAACAAATTCTAGATAACGGTATGTTGAAAATATAAGAATATAATAAGAAACCTTAAGGTTGAAATTCTACACAAGTTAACAATATAAAACTGATAGGGTCTAAATTTCCATATAAATCTTTTATTACGGAATTGAATTATTCATATACATGTACATTGAAACTTGATTAGTAGCAGTTTTTGTAAGGGTATCCCTATGCCCATCTTACTAACAGAAGGATTACAAATTTTTGTTGACTATTACTAGTTCCTGTCACTCACGAGTTTGAAAGGACATCGAGAAAACCTTTTAAACGCAGCATGGGGACAAGAATATTTATCCGATGGATTGGTTTTGTTCTTAAATGAACGTTATAGTTACAGAAATCATCGCCTCCAAAATGTCAACTATCCGTGGATTTATCTCGTACTGAGGCGGCGAACAAATCACCGCCTTCATCAGTACAACTAAGTCGCGAGTTGGCATATCGACCGTCGGTACCGCAAGGCTGGAATGCTCCACGGCCATATCTCTCTGGTGAGTGTTCGCGGCCAGTCAATTCGCTTTCGCTTACTCACACCCTCGAGGAGGACTTCTATGCTGTCCCAGTACGCGCACTCATTGACACATTTGAGCAAAAAACAGGCAAGAACTCTGTATTATGAATGCACAATTTTATTATGCAAGCCCGTTTGATGGTATCTTACTAATTAATTATATTTGAACTAAAACATCAACTGTGTCAGCAAAATAACTTTAATCACCAAAGTACACATGTCTTTTTTCCAATTGTTTCAAATTGAATGTGAATTTTTAAAAGAAAACTATTACTTTAAAAAACCTCACCCTCATCCTTTTTTCTCTCGTATATATATTCTGTAATATATTTTATTCACAACTTTCCTGTAACTTACCTATATAATGAAAACAGACAACAAATTATAAATGTCATTTCAAAGGAAGAAAACAAAAATAGAGTAGGAAACAGCCACGGCTCGAATTGTATCGGAGTAGAAAAATTATAATGGTGAGAACACAGTATTTTGATCAGCTACTATTGATTAGGTTTATCTCTTTCTTCATCACGTGTATCGTGTATATTCTTTCCTGTTCGCACAACATAGTCTGCGGAATTTGTCTCTTTAGATCTAACAGAGCATTTATATGAAAGTTATAAATCCTATTTGCACATTTCTTGTAATGAAAAATGTTATTTTTATATTGAATTTTTTTTAAGCAAGTGTTATGCACTGGAAAGTGCAATGTCGTCTTCAGTAAAGTTTCTTCTACAGACTTGTTAAGAATTCATTTTCACCATATTTTTATATACAAATAGTATCGGGAAAAAGTCAAATTGACCAAAAATTTTCAAATTAGATCTTAATTATAAAAAGAAAATAATATTATGTTTGATAAGACATCTATATTTCTCTGTAATTTTTATTAACCTTATTACAGTAAAACATAATTTCGGCAAAGGATTTGAATATCAATATGTAATATTAGTGATAACAAAGAATGTATAACGTTTATATACAAATACTTTTTTTTGATTATCGCTTACTACAATCGACTTGTGTTTGAATCACTTTATTTATCCCGATAGGCATCTACACGCCACCCGAATTGCCACTCAGCAGTTATGCTCCACCACCACGTGCGGGCGTACCGCACCAACGCATGAATTTACCTTTATCGCAGTATGCAGATTTGCCAAAAGCTCCTCTGAATACGCAGTATGCAGATTTGCCAAAAGCTCCTCTGAATACGCAGTATGCAGATTTGCCAAAAGCTCCTCTGAATACGCAGTATGCAGATTTGCCAAAAGCTCCTCTGAATACGCAGTATTCAGATTTACCAAAAGCTCCTATGAATACGCAATATGTCTTCAATGAGCTACATCATGCTTCAAAGCAACGCTATGTACCACCAGCACTAGAATCAATATCTGCAACACCGCCGCAATGTATATCATCATCAACGTCACCAGTACCAAAATGGCGCAACTATAATACGGCAGCACGCGGCTGGCGTGGTGCACACGTTTACAAGCCTGTTACTTTTGATCAGCCGTCGTTGCCATTCACGGATTTCTAAACCGTTTCTTTTTTGTTGTTCATTGAGTGAATAAATAACAAGTTGTGCGAAATTTCAGCTGGTACTTTTTACTGATGGCTTAAGGATCCGTGAGCAATTTCCCCTTCCTATTCATCGTTCTGAGCTTTTCAAAATAAGTTTCGGCCAATCACTGAATTGCGCATATATATATATATATATATATATATATATATACACACACATATATACACATATATACGTATATATATATATATATATATATATATATATATATATATATGAGCTGCTGTTGGGTGCAAATCCACAAAAAATACACACACATATATATAATCTCTTGAATATTGGAAGGATTATTCTGAGCATTTCAGATTTTTTTTCTGTACGACATATATATTATCTACATATTACATATATTCAAAATTACATGTTACAAATAATATTATGGAGAATGTATGTCGATGTTAAAACCAAGCAGATAACAAATCAATTTACATAAATTCACAAATCTGATAAAATAACCAAAGTATTGAACACTGCATCTAACCGTACTGTTTTTGTAGATAGGAATAATTAGTTGAACTCTTTATTCATCAATTGAGAAAAAACCAAAGACAAGAGAGTAATTGAGAACAAAAAGTTCTTTATATGCCACATCCCTTCAACTTCTGAAATGCTTTATGTTATTTCAGTTATATTAAATCAGTGATTAAAATGTTTGATTGAGAAATTATATGTAGATAAGTTTATTCCAAAGTTCTGAAATTTAATTCAAAATACGTTGCAAATTCTACAGACAGGAAAATGATTTTTCTTTACGTTCTGAAATTTGGCGCGCATCATCTGATAGTGTACATTGCGCATAGTCGCTGTAAAGACGTCAAACCTGACAGCGAGATGCAGCGTGAGGGTACAAACCAATGACAGTGATTGGGGCGCCGTGGGCATCCGGGCAGCGCAATGTCTCTACTCAACGTGACAGGTTAGACCCTGATGCTTTTACCGCGACTCTGTTAACTATCTCATGTATTACAGTGAAAAAAGCCAAATTCTGCGGCGCCCAAGCGGAGCAGTTCAAAACGTACGTCACACTCAAACTGCAAAACGTAAAATCGACTACGGTAACTGTAAAGGGCAGCGAACCGTGCTGGGAACAGGACTTTCTCTTTGAAACTAGTGATGGCGCCTGTGGACTGCTTATAGAGGTGACTGTACTTGAACATTGTATTTCCTTTCTCGATTCTCATAACAGTAGTAAACAAATTTGTGATCTGTTGGATATCCCCTACTTAATTATAATCTGAACGATGGAAAAGCTTGTGTGCACGAGTGGTTAATCTAGAATTAACGTAGTTGTAGGTTCAAGCCCTATTAGTTTAAAATTTAAAGTGAAATAAAAAAATCTAAACTTCCATAATATTTCGCCTTCACTGACCTAAAGACACTTTACCCTCCCAGCCTTAGTTTTCCAATTTACTATAATTTCAAACATAAATTTCCCATTACATAAACAATTTTGAGACTAAATTAATCTAAAGCAAGGAAACCTGGCCAATAACTAATAAAAGTGCGTATCTTAAGAACAGTGAAAAAGAAATAAAAGAAGGAGACATGGGAATGAACTTCGAGACAGATGATGAATTCAGTATACTAATTCAGAGCAAAAAATTATAGGTCATCTCCTCTTACAAATTTGCCCAGTTAGCGTTCAAAGTAATGTCTCAGAGATTAGTTTGTCAGCCTAAGCAAATTTTCTAATGTCTCCAACGGTACCACTCTAATCATGCGGAAAAGACTGGTACAAGCATATGCCCTTCACAAAAGGTGTGCGATAGAAAGTATCATTCTCAGCTCTGGGAACCAAAAGTTCCCGTAGTCCATGTTTTTGGTTTCTCTAAGACAGTATAGCTTTGGCCTTTTGTATTTTTCTTTGTTTCTGTCACGTTCATCTCCACATATCATCTGTTTGTTTCCACTCGGAAGCAAGGTTATTCAAATTAACCAGTCGAATTCAGTGTCTAGCGAAGCTTAGCCTTAGAAATAATTTGTGTAGACGATATCGCCTATTTGCAAGTGATATCAGACTGATATTGTTGTCTTTTATATTGGGACAGATGCGAAAAACAATTCCAAAGACATATTTACTTCCTTTTAATAGGTTTAATGCACTTTGTAAGTGTGGAATACGCGCATACGTATTTAATCGAGTTGAGATAATTCATGTCGATCTTTAAAAAGTTACTGACCAATAAGTTTTCTGATAAAACTGATGTGAATTAGCCAGACTGACTAGATTGTTTCAAGAAATTCATGCCCAGCGCTTTCTAGTATAAAGTGTTCTTTATATTTAGCGTGAATATCAGTATTTTCGTGGCTATCCTTTTACTTGTACTTTGTTATTGACAAAAAGATTATTATTTGTTATTTTTTGCAGGTTTGGTGCAAGGGTATGATTTGGGACAGAGCTCTAGGTTACCAGTATATCACACTAGACGAAATACCGGAGGGCGGGCAATGGTATTTTCTAGATACGGAATTAGTTTTGATGGACGGAAAGGTAGCGGGTACACGAACAGCCACAGATCACATGATAGCACTGGATTGTCGCATGGAAACATTGTACGTGGATGTAACTCGTAAACTGGAGCTCTTTAATGGAGTTGGAGAAAGCGAACATCACTCCTACCTCGAGTCGCAGTACAGCGAAGACAGCGACTATACTAGTGATTTCAATTACCCATTAGGTGAGGCCAATTCATCAGCTAGTCAGTACAGGAATGTTGATACACCACAACGTAGTCTCGAGGTATGCATTGATCCATCATTTCTAAAACTATATTTTTTAGGTTTTATGATTAAATTCCAAAGGCAATCTTTAAACTCACTTCTAAATAAACTATTCATACATAATTACTGTCTGATTCAGTTTGGTAACAAATTTAAAAAAAAAAAATTAATTGTTGCCCTGGAATAATAATTGTTAGTGCTCATGTATAACTATCCATTTTTTCGTATTACCTTTTTATCTTTTCTTTTCAGGTTAGTCGAGATAACTCATTAGAAGACCATCAACACGTGTTATCTCCTACATCGGACTATCCGGAACCACTGTTCTATAATAGTCGACCATTAGTGCGAAAACAAAGTCTCGAGCGCCAGGAAACCCTGTACGATGAGTTAGATGATGGCGTTTTGCATTACACGCCACACAAGCGCCTTCCTGAAACACCGCGGCGGTTACCAGTGATCAAAACGGCACGATTGTTGCCAATTCAACCGCCACTCAAACGTCGCATGCCCAATATAGCGCACTTCACACGCCCGCCCGAGTCTGATAAGTATTGCGTGCCGTCCGTAATTAGCGCGTGGGAGGAGCCTCGGCGATTGCCGAAAATCTTACCAGTGCCTAGGCTCCGTGACCCTGGCCCTGAGCCCATTTTTCATCAGTCACCATTGCAATCACCTGATCTTCACGTCTTATATGACAGGCAATTAGAAGGTAGTTTGGATTTTATATATTTTAACTACAGAACATCATTCCCTACCTATTTCCACTATAAAATTGACTTACGAATTACTTTGACCCTTTTAGTTTTTAACGTGAAAATTTAGATCATTGATCACTGCACTGTTATATTAAATCTAAAACCGTACAGGCAGTTTAACCAATTAAATTTACTATTTGTCCGATTCTTGTTTTAGTGTACGAAGATGATTTAGAAATGGAAGAGTTAGAAGACGAAGAACAGGAGGAAGATAAGATTGAGGAAGAAGAAGAGTTTGAAGGAGAAGAGGAGAATCAGGAAAAGAACATGAGTGAGAATGAGGCGGGGGAAGAACAAATGGAAAAAATTATCTTAGAAGGATCTCGGCTAGAGCCACATATTCAATACCGTACAGCTCCATATCGTATACCTGTTGAAGATTTCTTCAATGAAGAAGATGAATTTCGGTACTTAGAGCGGGAAGAAGCTTCTGCCGTTCCAGCTATTTATGAGATCCGTGAAGAAGCTGAAGAAGAAGAGGAGGAGGAAGAAGAGGAGGAGGAAGTGGACGAGGTGGACGAGGTAGACGAAGAGGAAGTAGGGGAACCAGAGGAAGTGGAGTCCGAGATTGAAGCTATACTGGCAGCGTCTCCCAAAAGTGATTCCACCTCCATGAGACGTAAAACACATCTAAGCGTGCAAGAGTCTTTCGAAGAAATAGAGCCGGAACCAGAGAAAGTCTTCAGTCGTGGAAACAGTTTCAAGGAGGTGTCTCTACAGGAACGTATGAAGGCCATTCAAGAGGATATTACAATCCAGCAGTCACCTCGTCTTGATAAGACCAAAAAGCTTCACCGCACTGACACAGAGGAAATCACCACCGTCCTTCAAGGAGGTTTGATGGTACGCAAATCGGGTGTAACTGCGAAACAGCGATGGCACTGGGCCTATAACAAAATTGTAATGCAGTTCAATGTAAGTAGATATTTAAAAATCTTACAGACATCTGAAAAACAGTTCATTGAGAGAGACTCTCCTTTATTCCTGTGTTACTTTCGCTCGTTTATGTGAAGTCTCATTTCTTTTTTCTCATCTTAAATAATAATATAGGTGTTTTAATAACGTAAAAATTATGCGTTTGGTAATATATGTTACAATTTTTTAATGAGATTTTTAATCAAAATAAAAAAAAGATAATAAACAAACTTTCAGAGTTGATCTTCAATCATCGTCGAGTACATTTTATCAAAACGAGTTTAAAAAAAATGTCTTATTGTATTAGGTTTTCTTACCAGTGTTGGCACGACGACACGACACGTCGCTGCGACGTGTCGTGTCGTAAAACCTTTATGACACGTCGTTTGCCATCATTGCCAGAATTGAAGAAAAATTACAAATATTATTCTAGGTAAAAATATCTTGAATGTTTGTCAAAAATGCGTTTTATGCGGGAGATTGCAATTTGGGATAATTATCTTAGAAAAATATTTGCGACGTAAAGTAAGAAAAGTCAATTATTTTTATTAATTTACGCTATAACGAATACCTTTTCTATATTCGTGTTTTTAGGGTAATTAAGATTTAAAAATACTGTTTAACCATAAGAAAACCAATCTCAAATTTTTTTTAGTAGCAGAACAGATAAAAATTATTTTAAATACATAAGACGTAAATGATGAAACATAAATTTTTTATAGTTTTCGATTCACCAATTGAAATGTAGAAATTTATAGTTCAACTGGTTATTTCCCTTTCTATTGTTTATTACAAATTTTATTAATGTTCTCTTTCTCTTTTTGGTTACAAGTAACTTCAATCAATTTGAAATTTTGAAAATAAAATTATATTTTACAATATTTTTAATTTGATTGGTATATTCTGGAGAGTCTCTCATATTGTTAGAATGTACAAAATTAATGTCATTTTTGTCGCGTGATGTCAGCCGTGGTTGTTGGCAGTTATTTTGTCACTAGTGATATGACAGTGAAATTCGCGCAATCGAAGGAGTGCGGTTTGAACGCATGCGCTGGCGCTGCTGTCACGGCATGCGCTGGCGTGGCGCGAGGGTGTTGCACTCCCGGGTTATTCTGTGTAATCGCCATCTTCGCTGATGTCGTTGCTGCACGACCCCGTCCACCTGGACGACAGCCCGGGAGACATGCTAGACGCATTAGTAGCGCTTCGCGGGCTCCACGAGCTGGCCATCGAGGAGCCAGAAGACGTATATTCGGCTCAACACGCCGACTATATAATCGCGGACTACATGGAAAAGATTGGAACGCGCATAAGTTTGTTGGAAACGGAGCTCAAGTTTGCATGGCGAGCACTAGACCTGTTGTCTGGCGAGTACGGCAAAATGTGGCAGCGTTTACAAAAACTTGAAACACTTACGGTGGAGCAGCAGACAGTTGTGGGAAATCTCATGGCACTTCATAAGGCTGCCGAGATGGTTAAGACGGACAATGGTGAGTTTATGAAAACAAATCCTTGGACGATATTCACAAAAAGAACATATCCTATGCTTTTATTTAGTTCATTGAGACTAAAATTTCTACAATATGCCATAAAATCTTTTCCGTAGACATTCTATGCAATACACAAATAAAATTACTTTGTTTTATTAAAACATACTAAAAACATTTATATTTATTTTAATATGTGTAAAGCAATGTGTTTAGAGATTTGCCAACCAATATTTTTCAGTACAATGTCGAGCTTTAAGTATTCAAGTGAATAAGATGCTTCTGATTGGTTTCAACTTTTCTTAGGACGAGAACAATTGGAATTTCAAAAAAATATTTATTGTTAATATCAGACAATGAAGAATCGCAATACACATGAGTTTCTAATGTCAATTTTGTAGATTATCTTTAGAGCCCAACTGCATAAGTCAGGATGATTCCCAGAATATGCTACAATGTAGAATTTATAAATATGGGAGGAGCACTTCAGCATATATATCTTTAAAGCACAGAGTTCCTGACGGCGTTAATGTCCCTACAGTATTTAAATTGAATATATTTATTAATCGCTCATAACTATAAAACTTTTGTGAGCGTAGAATTGCGTCCACCGATATCTAAGTATTGATGACTAACCTCGAGAGCAATACGGTGGAAAAGCTCTTTCACGGGTTGTATAAGTTGGTTATATAAGTATTGATGAAAAATGAAGGGACCAAGCTTTAAGATTGAATTCACAGATTCATCCACATGATTTTAGAGTAGTAGATTATTATAGTCGGTATACATAAGGAAGGTGACTGGCTTAATTACAATTATGTAATATGTTTAAGTGCAACCAATAACCACGTATAAAATAATCGCGCGTTTGGCACAATGTACAAAGTGCTGTTTCGATTGATCTTGGAATGCGTTAATTGTCCTGAATAAATAGTTGGTCTACTACAATAAGGGGGTTGTCTAGAAAAGAAATTTTATAAAAGTGTAAAAATTGGGCTACAGACAAATGCAATACAGTTATCTCGGGAATAGGTGTAACAAGCAACAACTTCCAAACATCTGGAAAGATAAAAATAGACAAAATGTGTGAAAGGGACAAAAAGCTGTAAACTCTAGTGAAACCGAAGTGAAGAAAATAAAAAACAAACAAAACCCAATAAAAAGAATAAAAGTTATTACTCAGATGGGATATGAGATACAAAAAAAATAACAGAGCAGCTGAAATTAGTTTATTCAGTTTTTTTTAATGTTATATAAATATTTACTTACTAATCTTGCACTTCCTAATGCAATAGCGTGTAGAATGCAACAAAAAGATTTTTTTATCTGCATTCTATTCGAATTTGAACTATTGACTTTTAATGTGCCGGACAAACGATTTCACTCATATAATTTTCAGTATGGATATTGTATTTGTATTTCATGTCATAGCTTTCTTGTTTCTCTCAGATTTTCTGTTCATAGCCATTTGGCCGTTAGTTGTTTCTAAATTATAATGTTTGATCTAAATAATGAAACCGACGTCTATATCTTGCATAATATCAGTCTTTTCAAAACTTTTACAATAGAATTTAAACAAGGTTTTAAAAGTTTCTTAATGTATTGTATTCAGTCAATCTCTTTATGATATGATTATATATTACAAATAATTTTATATTTATCCAGTGCTGAAGATGAAATTCCTCTTGTTTCTATTACATTATCTCTTTCTGATATTTCAGTGGACACTAAAGAATTTGATGTATTACTTGAGGACCTCCAAAAAGAAGCGTTAGCAGCTGAGCCCGCTTTTAAGGATGCAGCCCCACTAGGGATGATTTACGAAGATGGCGAGGATTTGGAACAAACTTGGTTAGCTCGCCGGGAGCGCAGAAAGCGTTCAAAAGCACATAAGAGCGAAATGGAGATGTTGAGCAAACTTGTGGTAGCTGACAAGGCGGGTGAACGTACAGTGAATTCAATTCTTGAGGAATTATTGAAAGTTGAAGAGATTGCAGCCGTCACAGAAGAGCAACGGGGAGAACTAGAAGCCTTAATTGGACAAGAGATGGCTTTTTTCGAACGTGTCAATATGGATGGGAATTTGCTCTTTCTACTATTGAATCCCTTGGGAACAGGCTGCGTGGTGGAGCGTTTGCGTAGAAATATTGGTACACTAAAACGTTTACTGGGTGGGCAGTTTTTTGCCCAGGGCACATCCCTCGGCCAGCCGGGGACGGTGCCGGCAGACGGTAGGCTGGACAAAATTGATATCAATAGCAACCAGGTGCATGATAGCTATAGTGGCGACGAGTACATTCAGTCATTGCGTAAGAGCCTCGAGCGTCACAATAGTATGATGTTTCTATTGCATCTCCAAAACCCATGCAGCGATATGGCGCTGGTGCTTGAGGCGCCGCCGGGTGACGAAAGCCCACCACCACCGGCGCCAGCGGCAGACGAGTATGCTGACTCCTCATCCGGCATCAGCACGCGCTCACCTACATCACCGTATCGAGAGGTTGTGCCTAGCCGGCCTATTTCTTCTACATTCGAGCAGAAAAGCATATTTCGATCGCCTTATCCGGACGTAATACAAGAACCACGGTACGACCATCAGCGACTTCTGGAAAGACTTGTATATTATCCCGAAGCAAAGACATGGTCAGAACCCCCGCGACCTAAGTATATGTCGCGCTTAACTCAGCTATTGCCCGAAATTAAAATTCGGCGCATTACGCGCCGTCACCGCTCACACAGTTTACCAGCAGGCGTGGACGAACCCGAAAAGGTCACATCAAAGAAGAAAAAGCGTAGTCTCGCTGCTACAATGTCCAACATAATGGCCCGGGCCAAGATATATCGGCGTCACAGTTTCTCGCTACCGCCATCTGATACTGAAGCGATGGCATCTGATGACAGTGGCAGCGAGGCTGTTCGCGATTCGGGTGTATCCTCTAAAAGTGAAAGTCAAGACAAGTTTATCTTCACGAGCACAAGTATGGAATTTGCTGTGAGCCGGAAAATTGGACGCTTGAGACAAAAAACTGTAACAGATGAAAGTGAGGCAGATACGCTTTGCGAGGTAAGTTAGGGTATAGGTCATGCAAGAATGATTTCGATCAATTTGAAACAAGTTCTGTTACTATAAAACCCTAACACTCCCAATACTTCTATTTTTTTAAAGTCAGAAAAGAAATTGCTTTAAATTGACCGCAATTATTCCATTTGGTATAGTATATCAAAGTAAAGTTTACTGTGGATCCTATATCTTAGGTGAGCGAAACATTATCATCACCGCCACCAAAAGTAGCCAGCTTGGAAGTTCCTGGCGATGAAGACAATCGAAGTCAACTTTCTTGGCGAACTATGTCCTCACGTAGGCAAAGTACTGAGGACAGTATAGATACAGACGATGAATACTTTTGCTATGAGTTACGAATGCTGGAGGAAATGGAGAAACGTACCCATACAACACAAGCAGAACAACAGAAACTAACAGAGCCTGTATTGGAGCCGTTATTGGAACCACCTGACCACGTGCGTTGTGCAATGAATGCTGTGCTATCCGAGCTTACATCTACAGTAGAACCATACGAAGAGCCATACGAAGATGCTCCACTTGAAAGTGACATAGAATTATCATCACCGGTACCAGAGTTCTCAAGCGAGAGTTCAGGTGAAACCTCTGGTCCGGACTCTGCCACTAAATCAGAAGATGAAGACAAACGTACACCAGAACCGGAGCCATCCAAATCTCCGCTACCCGAACTCATGGAATCAGATATCATGGAACAACCTGAAATACCGGTTGAAGATACGCCAGCCGCGTCACTGGGTAGCAGTAAATGGCGTCTGTTAAAAACTTTGAAGGAAAAGAAAATCGAGGAAAAAAACAATCAAGAAAAGATGCGTGAGGAGGGGGCCACCAAGGATAAGGAGAAAGTAAGAACTCTCACTGCACCTGAGGTAGTTTACTAGTAAATAAAGAAATATGGAATAAAGTTTTGAAATGTTTACGTGTTAAAGCGAGCAAAAGTGATATTTGTATAGTATCACTATCTTCGCCATAAGTCAAAATTGGAATTCAAAGTGTTTCAATAAAAATTAAGAGTCTAATTAATTATTTCCAGAATGGAAGCGGAACTTGTGATGGAGTGGGTCGTGGAAATGGTCATCCAGGCGATAACCCTTTCTATAGCAACATTGACAGCATGCCAGACATCCGTCCACGACGGAAATCCATTCCTCTGGTGTCAGAACTGGTAAATTTCCGTTTCTATATTTCACGGGAATTTTAACTTTGGAAACTCAATGACAATATATCAATTTCTTGACTAGCCTAATGAAAAGAATTGACGGTTAAATTAAAGTAACAATAGCTAAGAGCAAAAATCTAATTTTACAATTTTTTTTTATTTTTCGTATTTGATTTTATGACTTTAGTGTGATAGTTTTCAAAATAATAATAATAATAAAATGACATCTCAAGCTAGCCCATGAAAATAAAAAAAGAAGAGTGAAAAAAAAATTATAACCCGGCGAGCAAATTTTATTTTTAAGTGACAGATAACATTGTGTGTTCGTTTAAAATGTGTCACGTGAGCTAAAATTTTGCAAAAGTTTTCACACCTCCTCGATTTTTAACCTTTGCTGAAAACAGAAGTCAATATATTGAAATGTAGTTATGACTTTAAAGAGTAAATTCGAGTAATGGACTTATGATGAAATTGTCCCTAAAATCACATTTCTACCAGAAAATTGATGTATTGTCTAGTATCGGTTTTTCATAAGCTTCCCCTAATAAAATTTCTTTTTTGGGCCTTCTCCCAAAATGGACGTTCAGGTTCTCAAGGTATCCGCCTTTACAATTTCGCTTTTGATCATAAACTACAAGACACGCAGTTAAATTTTTGAGCATAACACTTTTTTAGATGCTTTCTAGACAGTTTATCACATTGCCATATTATTCAACATACATGAGATCTAAGTGCTTATGATTTGTAAAACCTCTTATTTCACGCTAAGACAATGGCTGCTACGAAGAGGAACGCCGGACTTACATCAGCAGTTCCACGAGCAACACTTAATGACGAAGAGTTGGTAAGTTTTCTGTGATTATTTTTCGGCCAAGAATTGGTGTTCGACGATGTACGGAAAATGGCCAATTAGTTTAAAGTCTTTTTTTTCAAGCACGACGTTTCGGAGTATATTTTTCTCCTTCCTCAGGTGTATAGGTTTTTTGGGCAAAAGCTGGTCAGAAAATACAATTCACCACCTAACTCGCCCACTTTAACATACTATGCAGTGAATTGTATTTTCTGACCAGCTTTTGCCTAAAAAGCCCATACATCTGAGGAAGGAGGAAAATATACACCGAAACGTCATGCTTGGAAAAAATTATTTTAAGCTTAGTAAGTTTTCTTTTCTCTCTTGGATCAATCAGAGACTGCAAATCTTGGATGCTTTCAAGATTTGCAGAGAGGCATTTTCTTACTTACGAAAATTACAATACCTCTAATCTTTTACAAAATGTGGCACGAGACTTCTTTGAGTGAGGGCCCCATTTGAATAAAATCTCTCTTGAGTTATCAAGATTCCATTTTCTCGCCTCTTGGACTGTTTTATACTCATACATTGGGCGGTGAATTTTTTGACATCAGCTTACAAATTTTTCGGAAATCAGTGGTTGGAGGTATATTTCATTTAAGTGTGAAAAATTAATGATTTCAAGTGTGACTTAGGCAGCACTAGATATGTTTTATAAAAAGCAATATTACTACGCTATCTATTATTAGTTTCATTTTTTAACGCTGTGCTACATTTTCAGAAAATGCATGTGTATAAAAAGTCCCTGCAGGCGTTGATTTACCCCATATCGTCAACAACGCCGCATAACTTTGTTCTGTGGACGGCGACATCACCAACGTATTGTTACGAGTGCGAGGGACTGCTATGGGGCATTGCTAGACAAGGAGTACGATGCACTGAATGTGGTGTAAAATGTCACGAGAAATGTAAAGATCTACTTAACGCCGACTGTCTCCAGCGCGCTGCTGAAAAGAGTTCCAAACACGGCGCAGAAGACAAAGCTAATAGCATTATAACTGCCATGAAGGAACGCATGAAACAACGTGAGATCGAAAAACCGGAAATATTCGAGCTTATAAGGTAGAGATTGAGTATTTATGTTCTACAAAAGTAAGTTTTTTTTTTTACTAATTTGACGGAATTTATGCGTCGTTTTTCTAGGGCTGTTTTCAGTGTTGAAGAGAAAAGCCATGCTGGGCATATGAAAGCCGTAAAACAGAGTGTTCTGGATGGTACGAGCAAGTGGTCTGCCAAAATTGCAATAACAGGTGATTGTAATGAACTTAAATTTTCATATAGGATCATTACAATGATAAAAAAAATTTTTCCAGTGATTTGTGCTCAAGGCTTAATTGCCAAGGACAAAAGCGGTACCAGTGATCCCTATGTCACTGTCCAAGTAAGCAAAGTGAAAAAACGCACACGCACAATGCCTCAGGAGTTGAATCCTGTATGGAATGAAAAGTTTCACTTGTGAGTGTCAAACCTCTATATCTTGAAATTTGACTCATATTTTTCTTCTTTTACTGTTTGGTTACTCTGATCTGTTTCAATCGTTTCACGACAATAAACTTTTAACTATTTGATTCTTAACATTATTAACCTTGGCGAGAAACTTTCAACTTTGTGTGGGCTGTTTGTAACGAGAAAAAGATTAAAAAAAAAAAAATACCAAGGCTAGTAACAATATGAACTAATACGCAATAGATAAACCTCGCCTTTAACCATTCTTTCCCTCACCCTGGACAAAACAGTGACGAAAACACTATGCAAGCACTGCCCGGAGTCGAACCCCGAAGGAAATTCAAAAGCTTTCTTGGATTGACCATACACTGCAGGCGAAAATCCTTTTTAGAGACAAAAAAAAATTCTGCGATATCCATGGTGAAATAAATAAATTTGGTTGAATAAAATCAAAATCTTGCTAATTTCATAATGAATAGCTGGTATCACTATGCCCCCCTCCATTTAATTAGACGTGTTTAAAACCAGAAAATGTCTTTGGATAAAATTTTCGCCTGTACTATGTGGTTACCCTTAGGAGTTAATGAAAATTAAAATATTCGACGGTATGCCCTTGACCTTTTATCCGATTTTTAAGTAATATTACATGACTTTTTCCGTGTTTTGATTTTTTGTGTAATGCATTTCTGTCTTTTTTCTCCCAGTGAATGCCACAACTCGTCAGATCGTATAAAGGTGCGAGTGTGGGATGAGGACAATGATCTCAAGTCAAAGCTCAGGCAAAAGTTGACTCGCGAATCAGACGATTTCTTGGGCCAAACAATAATTGAAGTGCGCACATTGAGCGGCGAGATGGATGTGTGGTACAATTTGGAAAAGCGCACAGATAAGTCAGCCGTCTCGGGTGCTATACGTTTGCATATCTCTGTAGAGATTAAGGGTGAAGAAAAGGTGGCGCCTTACCATGTACAGTACACTTGCTTACACGAAAATCTGTTTCACTACTTATGCGAGGAGAATACTGGCATGGTGAAGCTACCTGCTATGAAGGGTGATGATGCGTGGAAGGTATATTTTGACGAGAGTCCAGAAGAAATAGTTGATGAGTTCGCTATGAGGTCAGTATTATAAAGTTAGATATAGTTTATATGATAAGCAAAGTAAGTTCTTTGTTTCGTTTTGTCTACAGGTACGGAATTGAAAATATTTACCAAGCGATGACCCACTTTCACTGTCTTTCAACGAAATATTTATGTCCGGGTGTACCGGCTGTCATGAGTACACTACTGGCCAACATAAATGCCTACTACGCTCATACGACGGCCTCGTCGGCAGTATCGGCGAGTGATCGATTTGCGGCTAGTAATTTTGGCAAGGAGAAATTCGTAAAACTCCTGGACCAATTGCACAATAGCTTACGAATCGATTTATCCATGTATCGCAATAATTTCCCCGCTTCCAGCTACGAAAAACTTATGGACCTCAAATCAACTGTTGACTTACTCACAAGTATTACCTTCTTCCGCATGAAAGTGCAAGAGCTTAGCAGTCCACCACGTGCTAGTACTGTTGTCAAGGACTGCGTGAAAGCTTGCCTCCGATCAACATATCAATTTCTTTTTGAAAACTGCTATGAACTATACAATCGTGAGTTCCAAGTGGATCCTAATGAAGCAAAACGCGACCCAGATGACCACGGACCAAAATTGGACAGCGTGGATTTTTGGCATAAGTTAATTGCGTTAATCGTGAGCGTAATCGAAGAAGATCGCAATAGCTATGGTACTGTTCTTAACCAGGTAGGGGCTGTATTTGTTTTCATTTATACAGACACGAAATAGATATTCAAAATTGTATAATTTAACACTCACACACTCTAACACACTTTAATAATTTAACATAGATCTTTAACTTTGACTGACCCTTCTGGGCGGCTGTGGTTCAGTGGTCAAAGCACTTGACTCTCGTTGGTACAGTCATGTGTTTGTATCACACCGATTATAAATTTTCGAACACAGCGGAGTGCAAGAAATTTAATCTTAACTAGCTTTTTATTAAAATGTTACAAGTTTTAACCAATTATACTATGCTTCTACTTGCTATGCAGTTTCCGCAAGAGCTGAACATTGGACAATTGTCGGCGGCAACAATGTGGAGTTTGTTTGCTGTTGACATGAAGTATGCGTTAGAGGAGCACGAACAACACCGTCTTTGTAAGTCATCGGCCTATATGAATCTGCACTTCAAAGTAAAGTGGCTCTACACTAATTACGTACGTGAGGTTCCACCCTACAAGGGTGCCGTGCCCGAGTACCCCGCCTGGTTCGAACCTTTCGTTATGCAATGGCTAAATGAGAACGATGACGTATCATTGGAATATCTCCACGGCGCCTTCAATAGAGATAAAAAGGATGGCGTAAGTATAAGCTACAACAATTTTTTTGATTTATATTATATAACACAAATCTATACTGGTTATTTACCATGGATTCACATGCATTTATTGCCTATATTGATGTGAACTACACCTATTTCCTTATTTCACTCATCACTGGGCAAGACAGTGGCTGAAAAAATTATCCAATCACTTGTCTTGCCCTAATGATTGATTGTGATTATTGCCCTTGTCTTATTGATTTGGTTAAAACTCTCGCTAGATGATTAATAAACACTTTGCAAAACACTATAATTCCTTCGGTTATGAAGATATCGAAAACTCGAGAACGTTTGTCATGAGTAGAATTACTTTATGTTAGATCACACCATCCTCGACCCTTATACTTGAATAATCTAAGAGAAAAAAAATGATCATCTGAATGAATGGATTTCTTTCAGTCGTTTTCCGATAATATTGCAGTTTTTCTTGCACCAGCTGTCAATAAATTAGCATTTTTCGTAGTTTTTGGATTCCCGTCCTCTTCTTACTGCAACCCTTGCACACTGTATATAGTAGAAGGAACTCTTCTTTCTCATTTGAACCACCCATTGCGATTTCTTTTCCGCGTTTTAAGAATATAACGGTACGATCAATTGAGCAAATTATTGCGATATTTTTCTAAATATTACCGCAGCTTTATCGTATCTGAGCTAATGCAGTTCGTTATCATTTAAAATATTCTTTATCGACAAATTCGACATTGTAGTAAAATATTAGAGTTTAGTTCCCTTTAAGAATCCCTATTCTTTTAACTATTTATCCTTTTACAGTTCCAGAAGAGCAGCGAGCACGCTCTTTTCTCTAACTCTGTAGTGGATGTGTTTACACAACTAACACAATGCTTCGACGTTGTATCAAAACTAGAATGTCCTGATCCAGAAATTTGGAAGCGTTATATGAGACGCTTCGCCAAGACTATCGTAAAAGTTCTAATCGCGTACGCTGACATTGTAAAGGTAGAGTTTCCAGATCATATGGCAGACGAGCGCATTGCGTGCATTTTAATGAACAACATCCAGCAGCTTCGGGTGCAACTAGAAAAGATGTTTGAGTCTATGGGAGGAGATAAGTTGGAAGAGGATGCAGCGAACATTCTCAAAGACTTGCAGCAAAATCTTAATACGGCACTCGATGATCTAGCTTGCCAATTTGCCATTAGTCTAGAACCGAGGATCACTGTAAGCGTGAAGGAATTAGGAGATCTTCTACTATCCATCCGCGGAGGAGGTTCCGTAGCTACGCCTGGTCAGAATGCACCTAGGAATACAGTGGCAGTGGAAGCTGATGAAGTGCTTAGACCACTTATGGATTTGTTGGACGGCTCATTGACACTATACGCAGAATCTTGCGAAAAGACAGTACTGAAACGATTACTCAAAGAGCTTTGGAAGATAGTCATGCGCATTCTTGAAAAAACTATTGTTTTACCACCCATGACGGATAGAACTGTAAGTAAAGAATTTTAGGAATTTTAATTTTATTATAGAATAATATTGGCTTTAATTGCTTTTTAATAGTATGAACTTATATTTCAATGTGCTAAATATGACAATACAACGCCTCTGTTTCGAATTCCCGAATGAAATTATTCTCTCTCTAAAAAAAAGCCCGGAACCAAATTACATACTTCTTGAGTCAACATAATTCTTTTATTGATTTTTTTTGGATCTAAATTTAAATTGAAGAATCAATTTTATTAAATATAGTAAGATATATCTATTATCAGGGGTCAATTTGATACATTTCAGGCACTGAACCCTTTCGAAACACAACATATACCCTTTCAAATAAATTTTTGAAGAGCTCCCGCATTTAATATTATATATTTATAGATAATAATTGTATATTTTTTTTCTAGATGATGTTTAAGAATTTAACAGATAATGCAAAAAATCTAGCAGCGAATGCGAAAATTGAAGACATGTCTCGCCTATTTAAGAATCACATGGCCGGTAAGCAGGATGTGAAAAATGCTCTCAGCGGTGTGATGGATATCTCTAAAGAAGTATATAAATATTTAATTAAATTACGTATCTAGCCCTATCTTACTGAATTCTTTTTAGGTTGAAAAAAATCTATCACCAAAACAATGCGCTGTGCTCGACGTAGCTCTGGACACCATTAAACAATATTTTCACGCAGGTGGAAATGGGTTAAAAAAGACCTTTTTAGAGAAATCACCGGAATTGCAAAGTTTGCGCTATGCACTTAGTCTTTATACGCAAACTACAGACACACTCATCAAAACTTTTATTACTAGTCAAATTCACGAAGGTAAGTATCGTGTATGTTACAATATTTCTTATTGCTTAAAGGGAGTTTCGACAACAGTGTGTCTCTATTTTCCTGCCTGCCAAGGGTCAAAGCAGTGTAGACAAGTAAATACTCGATTGATCGAGCGAGTAGGGGTCAACTTAATTAATGGAGATAAATGCTGTTATACTCAACCAAATCTTTTATTCGTTCCACACAAATCGCGTTCACTGATACCGTTTATGTTTAAATTTTAAGTTTGTTATTCATAATGCTTTTAATTTCTTGCAGCTCCCGAAAATCCAGAGGAAAGTGTTGGGGAAGTATCCGTTCAAATTGACTTGTTCACCCATCCGGGCACGGGAGAGCACAAAGTTACTTCAAAAGGTATTTGACACTTTCTATACGGACGATAAATTTAGCTGAAATATTTTTTTTTGTAGTTGTTGCCGCCAATGATCTCAAGTGGACCATTCAGTCGGGCATGTTCCGACCCTTCGTAGAGATCAACCTAATAGGACCACATTTACAAGATAAGAAGAGAAAGCATGCGACAAAATCAAAGTCAAACAACTGGTCACCTAAATACAATGAGTCATTCCATTTGTAAGCAAATACAAATAAGTTTTTCGTACTAATATTACTTGCTTCACCAAAACCTATTGCAAATTAAAGTTCAGTCAATTGCTCTGAGACAGTACATAAATATTGAATTCAATAACAAATGCAAAACCTACCGCCATTCTCTCTTTCAAATTTGCCAAGTTCCAAGTACGTTCCACAGGAGTTAGGATCCACAGCAGATATAAAACAATAAAGTAGCCGAAATTAAACATTTGAAAAATTATCGTGGGAATCACGTGCTAGAATATTGTTTTACAATAATACAAAGATACGTCCTAGTGGAGTGGTTGTTTTAAAGAATCCTGCAAATGCCTCATACACGCATGAGAGAAAGAAGGAAAATACAAGAAACGTATGGCGTACAGAAAGTAAAAAAAAATGTTGACTTCCATGTTGTTTACGAAAGAAAAATTATGTGCTTTTGATCACAAAAATCGCATGGAGATGGTTGACATATTGTTAGGAACAATTGATTTTTATACTTATTTTTTGTTTTTCCGTTCTAGCAATACTCATATTAACCGAGCAAACATATTAAACTTAAATTCTCCGCAATACAGAATGCTTCAGGACTAAATACTGTATTTTCACCATTATAATCAACTTTTATTACGAATTTCTCAGTGCCATCGGAAACGAGGAGCAGCTGGATTTCTTTGAGTTACACATCTGCGTGAAGGACTATTGCTTTGCTCGCGAGGATCGTCTCGTAGGCGTAGCTGTGCTACAGCTCAAGGACATAATCGAGCAGGTGAGTTAGGTTTCTAAGCAATTAAAAATAAAATTAATGTAAATTAATATGAAGGGTTCCTGCGCGTGCTGGCTTACCTTGTCTAAGCGTATTCAGATGGATGAAACGGGTTGGACTATTCTACGAATTTTATCGCAGCGGAACAATGATGAGGTTGCCAAGGAATTTGTGAAACTAAAATCAGATATTCGTCAGGAGCCGCCACTCGTCCAGCAATGAATAATTAAGTGGATTGATATAAATAAACTATCTTACTATCGTATATATTTGTCATGTAGTTTTTTAGAAGTTGGATTTTATATCACCGCTACTCCGCGATTGTTAAAAAAATTGAATTTCACAAAATCAACCGAAAAAGAGTGCAGAGAATGAAGTCAAAAGTGTTGGTGCGCTGGAGTGCATCAAGCAGTGACATTCTAATTGTGATCAAATTTTTTCAGAAATTCTCCAGACGTGAAGATACAGGGAAAATCTTTGGAAACTTTGTACGGGAATTAATGGAGTGAGCATTGGAGTAGTAAAAACGATTTTCGAAATCGAATAATTTAGGAAAATAAAACATCTTTTTTTTTCTATACAATGCTTTCTCTACATCCTCTTTTTCCACCTATCCGCGGAAGGTTTTCTATATAACCAAACGCAATTAGGTATATAGACGCGGAAAAATGCATAAGAACTATAGAATATCTCAGTCACAATCATTAGAGCTGTTTCGTTTATCACTCGAGTGGAAGGCGAAAAATTCTTAAAGAGCAATTGTTGCTGTTGTAAATAGCACGAACTCACGTAGATACGGAAGAGAGCTTCTTATTTGCGTTAAATTCTAATAATATTATAATTGTTCAGTCGTGAAAAGCCCGCCTAAGAACTGTCTCATAATTTTATTTATTATTAACAGTATTTCAAGTATAAATATTGCATACAGAAACCATTGTTACCCTCCCACAACCGAAATTTCCCCCCAAAAAAGGTAAAATAACAGAGAAATTGTTGAGCATCACCTCTTGCATTGCGCAAGTTTCAAAAATACTTATATATTAGCCGGAATGAAGCGGAATGTCGTCATGATTTGCAGATTGTACAGCCTATGGTAGTATCGGGTGGCGACAAAGGGCGTCTGAAGACGGTGAGCAACTGACGATGTGTACGTACGAAAGCATCACGTTGCAAAAGAACTTCACCATCGCAGTTCCATACACTCACGCGCTCGTCACATGCAATAGGTTGCGTAGATCCACTGGCAATATCATCCGCCCCCGCGGTGCGGAAATGAAATGCTCGAGCACGTACGACGCGTACGAAAGGCAAGTCCGAGACACCACCATGACGTGATGAGAGGCGAAGCAGTAGCCGAAGGTTGTTCAGTATGTTTGTGTGCTGCACAACAATTACATCCACACACCCATCGCCTAGATGGCATGTCGGTGACATGCCAGCAGGACTTCGGCGGCACGCGCAGGAGATATTGGCGCCACTCACCTATAACGACCACAGAAAATGTCAATTACTATAATACATTTTTTAACTGTACACAATATTATACAAACCATGAAAAATTTTCCACGGATTACGTGCCAAGTAGTAGCACCGTCGTGTTCAACTGAAGCACACCGATCACATTCGTCAAAACATTTCGGCGTCTCAGCAGTAGGATCAGAGATGTCTGGAAGTACAGATACTTCACCACGATAGCCTCGATTGCGAAAAAATTTTCGAAGGCCAGAGTAATCGTAGCGCCGTGGTCCCATCCAACGCAGCCTCTCGCTTTCGCGCGCTATATCACCTAGGTATCCGTATGACAACACACTTGCGTACAGCCGTGTTCTACACACAAAACAAAATTCTATTAAACATACTTAATATACAGTCACTAAGTAGAGAGGTACACAGAGAGGAAATTTTCAAAGTGTTCTTTTTGAATAATCCAAAGCATTATTCCATGAAACTTAAAAGATAAGTGTGGGAAGCGCCAATCGGTGGTGCGAATATCAAATTTCAGATTGTTATAAAATTGAAGTCTAAAGGAAGAACTGATAATTATACAAAAGACTTACTCGTCGCCGCAGGATACACTACAAAGATCAAGATCGGAACGTAAGCCAAGAATTAGATGCAGAGCACTAGTGACGGGATCATCAGTGCCATGTAGACAGAAAGCTACCGTATTAGTACTTCCCGCTGGGATGATAGCCGCAGGTAGTTGAGGTCGTGGTAATGTTATACTCGAAATAGCTATATTACGTTCGCGGCACTCGCGTGCAACGAGTCCGTTGAATAGCTCTGCAAATGTTCCATCTCCACCAACGCAAGCTACACTGTCAAAAGCTTGCAAAGGTCGCTCCTAGAAATAGAAAAAAAATCATTCAGCAACTCCATCATTTTGGGAAATGTCATTTTTTCCAGGAGTTGAGATTTGCAATTATAGATACGCATTATTTGTTAAAGCTCGAGGGTCCCAAAATCATCGAATCCAAAAAATAAGTATGAGGGATTGTGCTTAGTAGACACCTTTGAATTGGATATTCATTACGAATTATAATTACTGTATTGGATAATTGGATATTTTCTGTTGCTCTGTCCATTCGCTGTGACAAACGCGCTATGAGATTACGTAACAGGAGAAAAATTACCTAAATCCCTCAAATAGATAAAAAAAAAATACAATGACTACCTTCTGAAAATACACCTAAATTATCCTGACTCACCTCTATTGTTTCCTTGATCTCATGAGGTCGTTGCGTAACAATAATCTCTGTACGCACACCAGCCAGCTCTAACAGTGGGCGCACGTGGCGCTCATATACCTTGAGTGCTGTTCGTCGCCCTCCAAATGGATTTATGAATAACAGCAGCCTACGTGGTCGGTGAGTATGAGAATTTAACTGGCGACTTATCTCGATTGTCCATGTGGCTACTACACCGGGTTCTGTGGCGCTGAAAGTCGTGCGACTCACTCGCCAAACTGAAGTTTGCTGTGTAGCGTGATGCAATGTGAAGGTGGTGTCACGCTGAGTCACTGCTACAACATCCAGTAGCGAAACCTGTGAAGCAAGTGTATAGTAAGTCGCTGTATTGAACTTTAAAGCCGAATACCATACCTGTTGGCGCTTTTGCGGGCGATTTACGGGCTCCCAAGCCATGAATCCTGCATGAAGCAATGCCCGCACGCGCTTAGACTGCACGTGGAAAGCCGCAAGCAGGACATGCTCGTGCTCCTCCATTTATACATTCATGACTGACATTTAGTGACTATCCCAATTGCACACAACTCAAGACACTTAAAGGGTGAATCCCTGAAACCGAGCGTCGTACGATATCCATTGTTTTTCCATTTGATTCGTCCCAATGTGGAATGGGATGAATGTCTTATGTTATCCAATGACGCATTGCACAGTGTAAGAAATTTGTTATTCTGAAGCGGGAAGCACGGCGATAGAGATAGTCTTTTAAACACTTGCTCAAATTTCGCTGCACAGATTTGCGCCGAGGAGTTTTTTGTGGCGTTTTGGGCTTTTCCGGTGGCAATAGAAAAGTCATATATCTCATTTTACCAAAAGCACCACAGGAAACCCTGTCTTCTCGGCCTCTGTCAAGTTCGACAGAACTGTTCCTTGGAAGCGCACAAGAGTTGTGTCCTTGTTTCACAGTCCCCTATTCTCCGGATTTCCTTCCTCGCCTTCTTCACCGTCTCACATTTTGCCCCCAATTCATCCAGTGAATCATCTTCAGCACTCTCTTCGGCTTCATCGCAAAGTAGATGTCATCGACACATCCTGGTGCGAGAGAGATGCTGGGCTGGTGACTCGAAACATCGGCTGGAGTGACTTAGCCATTGAGGCTGTTTGGCTCAGAGCGGAGCCTAAAGTCAGGCAACAAGGGGTCTAGGAGGCCAAGTCAACCTTTCGAAACCTCTGGACCCTGCCTTCTAACACGGCAGAAAGTCGCAGCGGTGACAGTAGGTCGTGGGGCGTGGAAACACGGCGCTGGGCTCTTGCATTTGATGTCCGAGCTTGAACTGCTTCGTCACCTGCGCCTTCCTGATCAACTTGTCATCGCGCAGATTGCAGACATTGACCTGAAGGCTCCATGTTGAACATTCCGTTCATCATCGTGTTGATCTGCTTAGGCGATTCCGGAGCAATCTTGCGCCTCTTCTAAACTCCACTATTTTCCGGATTCTCTTCGGCACTCCTCTTGCTCTTGCTCTGTGCGCCGTGCTAGACCCTCTCCCTCCCTCCCAAGATCCTCCCACTGACCATCGCTCTCCGACGCCTTCTTTTCACTGTCTTCTCGGCCGCTGACTGGGAGTCACTCTCAGACGGCGGCTTTGGTGACTCACGCATCCTCCTTTTCCTCGGATGCCTCCTTGAGCGGTGTTTTCTGTAATGCTTTCTCCATATAAATGAAATATTCGCTGAACAGATTCGCGCTAAGGAGTTTTTTGTGGCGTTTTGGGCTTTTTCTCATCTTCTTCTTCTTCGTGGATTCCAGAACCACTTCAACGGCCTTCAACTTTCCCTTAAAAGCCCTCTTGGCGGACTACGAGGATTTCCTTCCTGTGCAGTGATTACTGGCGTCTCCTCCTCACACTTGACCAGCTGCTGTGCTCCTTCTTCCTCAACTCCGCCTTGAGACGCTCCAGGCCAACGTGCTCCTCATACATTTTCCTCTTCAACACCTGCTATCGTTCCTTCAAAACCAGCAGCCTCACGATTTTTCTGCATAAATTCCTGACAGCGCGCCGTGTTAGGCCCTCTGCCTCCCTCCCAAAATTCTCTCACTGACCATCACTCTCCGACGCCTTCTTTTCCGCCTTCTCTTCCTCTGACTGGGAATCAGTCTCAGTTGGCGGCTTTGATGATTCATGCATTCTCCTTTTCCTCGGATGCCTCCTTGAGCGGTGTTTTTTACAATAGGTGAAACTAAAAACTTTTCACTAAGATGAATTCTTGCACGGAAAATTGACTTTAAAAATAATTTCGGTGACCACGAGGCCTGAACAAAGGAAAAAACAGTCGTATGACTCGTACCACGAGTTGGGCGCCAATGGATGTGATTTTCTTTTTGCTTCTCGCGTTCTATTATTTTTCTGATGGCTTATACACTAGATCTAACTTTAAAGTAAAAATCGGCAAATATTCATTCACAAATCTCTATTCTGTCAGCCTTCTTAACTCTAACTCAAACGTGAGATGCAAGATATAGATGCAGGCTTTACACAGTGTTAATGAACTTCAAGCTTTTCATATTTAACACTACGCACGCCACACAGCCAACGGTTATGGCGATGCTTTACTTCTCTCCTCAGCGACCTGTGGTCATGGTTTCTACTTAAGTACCTCTATTACATTTATATCGGATGTAAATTTTTCCTGAGCGAGATGACAAATAAATAAATAATAATATTGATTATGACACAAAATTGCACCCGTAACAGTCTCCCTAGGATTACTAAAGAAAAAAAACCAATAAAAAAATTTCTTGTCCCGTCCTCCACTATATATATATATATATCTGTAATAATTGTTTCTAATATGAAGGAAAAATATTTAATTTACGGTAATTCCGACTTTATCCACTGCTCCTGCCCGAATCTAATCTTGGCCTCCCTCACAATGCACCATTATAACCACACAAAATTCGAATACTTCTCAATTTCAGAAATTTACTCGCAGTTGCAGCGTTAAGGAATACCCATGTGCTTAGAATGTAAGGTAGATAGAGACCCTGAAGGGGAAGACAGAGACCCTGAAGGGGAAGACAGAGACCCTTAGAGACACGGACGCTACAAATAAACTACAATTGTAGCGACTTATTGACGTCGCACCCGCGCATAAAGGTCTAGGTTGCTAGAAAATGTGGCTGCGAAAGTGAGTGAGCTTTGGAGAAGGCTCTAGCAACAGCAGTTTAAATACTTTTTTACAATTCAAATGCATCTACCGACTTCTCAACTATGCCATTTCCCATCGCATAAGAAAAGGGCAACAGTTTGAAAAATTTAATCTTTTCAAAAAGATCAAACAAGCCGAAAACTCATAGTGCCTGAATGAAAAGAAGAGAACAAGACAAGAATTTCCCTGAATAACTGCTACTATTTGAAAGATCGCATGTATATATGGATAGGAAATTTCACTCCAATAGAAAATCTAAACCCGAATGATCAAAAACTGGGGCAAAAATCCCAATGCAAGAACAAGGAGTTGATACTTCTTACACAAAGAAATTTATTCTAATTAAAAAACGTCATTGAAATACAACTCTAAAATAGGCCTCCTAAACGTAATAATGGTTTGCTTGCAACCACAATTATGCAATGCATTCAAAAAAAAATTTATTTCCATTTACTGGAAATTTTATTGATTGTTTGGTATTAAATGTATACTTTTTTTTAAATTGTATGTTAATAGTGGGATATCTTGTTTTTCAATTCATTACTACATAATGATCTTGCCAAACTTTGGGTCAAGATTAGTGTGATTTTGAAGAAAAATAATAATAGTAACATTGTAACAACCGAGAGTTACGCAATCTGATCTTGAATGTGTCCCTATTCCAATATTCCGGATATATTCCATTTTTTCCTACTTTTATTCTATAAATGTTATTCTCATTTTATTCCAATATTTTAACTCATTCTGAAATATTCCTTTATTCCGGAATACATCCTATTTAGGAGGAATATTTTGGAATAACACAGGGGATTGCAAGAAATTCAAATGTGGTGTCAGAAACTCGATTCCTCCATATGTCAATCGATTTGACGATGGCATCGGCGTGCACACAATCGATTATTTTTTGAGAAATTTTTTTCCAGTTTTTCATGGTTTCAAGTACCATAAAAGACAAAAAACACCCGAAAATATGTATTTATTAGCACTAAAAGCTTTCAAACACAAGAATTTTGAATTTCTCTGCACAAAATATGTCATGAAAAACGCTCGAGCATATGCTTGACTATGCCACTGTTCGCGGTTCAGGAAAGAAAATCTACTTTCCCCAATTTTTCTCTGGAACAAATGTTGGTCCTTATATGATTATTGACCACACGATAAGTGCTATTGAAGAGCGATCTTCTGCAGCAGATTTTCATGTCAAAATTTTGTATCCTTAGCAACTTTTTGAGGCCATTGATCGTATTTAAAAGAAAGCCAATATTTTCTAGTTGTTTATTTTAGCGACCTGGATAGGATTTGAGGGTCGAATTGTACAAAAATGTTGCAAAGAAATTTGCACTGCAAAGGCAAATTGTCTAAAATATGACAAGAATAGCCGTTGAGAACATAACCTAAAAGTTTCATCGATTCCCATACAAAATCGACTACTTGCAATCCCCTGGAATAACATAAATAAATTTTTCGTAATTGATTTAATTTAATTCGAAGACGATCAGATGGCGCAAGAAGCCACCCACGTGGAAAGACATGAACAAGATTCAATTGAAACATCCGTATAGGAGTGATAGCATAATGGTAGAGCATGCACTTGCAGATCATGATGTACCGAGTTCAATTCTGGTGCGTTGCGCTTTTTTTCCTCGCTTTGCATTCTTTTCCTATTATCCCACGTATTTCCTTTCTAATTTTTGGTTTTTATGAATATTTATCCCTCAAATAGAATTTCTTTCTGAATAATTGTCCTCCCACGCGACCGCTGTAAACTTGTCGGTCAGACGACGAGACCAGGTTCGGTTATTCCCATTATATTCCGATATTCTCAATTTATGCCATTATTCGGGATACATCCTAAATATTCCATTATTCCGGAATATATCCTAAATATTCCATGATCCCGGAATAATTCAACGTTCATACGGATGTTTCAATTGGATCTTATTCATGTCTTTCCACGTAACTGGCTCATACTATAATAGCAACCTTTTCAAAAGCATTAATCAATTTAATAAATATCTGGATTGGAATATGGCTCATAGTATCCAGAAATATGTCGCCTAAGATTCAAAAATATTTGGGAAAAAATAGAATATAAATAAATTAGTTTCATTCCATTATTCTGGAATAATGGAATCAATCCATGTGTTTTATTCCATTATTCTTTATTACTTTTTTCCGGATTATACTAAAAATATTCCAATTTATTCCTATATATTCTCAAATATTCCGCTATTTCCTTATTATTCCATTATGCCTGCAAACATTCCAGATATTCCTGGCCAAACGTATCCATATTCCGAGCTTGTGTAGCCCTAGGTGATTATGCAAGTGATAAATGTACTCGCTGTTATTGAATAAATGTAATGTAATTGTCAAGATGTGGTGTACACAGTTCAGTTTAGCCCTATTATTTCCCCTTTGAGAAGTCCGTTGATCATAACGGACGTAATGATTAACAGACGAAAAGATGAATCGACATCTCGCGCGCCGCCCGCACAAACTTTATTAAAGATTCCGAATCACCCCGGTAGCGCCCTTTGCCTAATCTTTCAATTGGAAATTTCTTTTCAATACTTATCTTTTGGAAGATGGCCTTCTGCTTCCTGCAGAATCCTGAAGTTTTCCGTCCAATTCAAGCTGGCTAAGCAAAGCTTAAAAAGCAGTTGACTTGAAGACTTCTCCTGGCCATTGGCTCCACTATTTGACTTCACGAGCCAGTCGTTGTCTTCACGATGTGAGTTTCACGACCTGCGTGACACATTTTGTAGCATAGTCATGCCTACTCACGTTCACTCACCACACGCGCGGCGATGTGATACGGCATTCTGACACTATTGTGGGTGATTTTCACCCGAATTTCACACAACAAAGAGTGTAGCACATCCTCCGGGTGTCTTAGGGAATTTTTTGATCTACAAGATTGTCCGAGCATGCGATAACACTGATTAAGATAACTCTTCAGCGTGCACGTGTACTGATGGCCATGCGGAACACCACATGGTTGTGACAGCAACGCCGCATATGTCTGTCACTCTGCCCGATAGCAAGCCGTCTTGGTAGTGAGGAAACGTCGTGTGACATTCACGAGACTGTCATAAAAATGTTACAATCGCTACTTAGAAAATTTTGTTAAAAATATGCAGTGGTTACGAACATTTTTTGTCAAACCCAACCCCCACTCTTATGTCTGCCATTTTGAACACCCCCAAAATACGCTTTCCTCAATTATTCAGCCCCTATGGCATGAATCGGGCTCAAATTCTGGTATGTTATAGCTGACTTCAAGACCTTTCCAACCAACCGTCACTTAAGGACCTAGGACCTTCTGGACCCTAGATACATCGGTTCGGATTTCAAAAATAAAAATGGCCATAGCTTCGCTTCTAATTAACCGATCGGAATGATTTTGTAGTAATTGGAAGGGTCTCATAAAATGCCATCACCCACCAAAACAACATAACTTGGTAGGACCACCGCTAGAGGCGCTAAAGTCGAAAAAAACCATTTTTGAAATTTCAAAAACGAATAACTCGAAAACGAAATCATAAGTTTTCTTCAAATTTTCATATGTTGTAGCTGAAGTCAAGACCTTTCCAACGAATCGTTACTTTTATGGCCCCTATTCATTAGGAGCGGAGATATAGAAGGTCCAAGTTCACACCTTTACCGGCGCATATCTCCGCTGTTTACCAACCGATTTCGATCGACTCGTTACCACAAGACGGGTCTAAACGCCCTTTAGTAGGCTATATTTACCATTAGTCTGTGATGTCATAAGGAATGACGCCATATCGAAAAACCTTTGAACACCTTTATGTCGGCAAATAGAGCATAAATTTTTTTTAAATTTCAGTACGTTGTAGTTCAGGTTAAGACATCTCTAAAAATAGATTATACTTTCTCGTGGATGCAATGAAACCGGAGTTAAGGCGGTTCATACTTTTAATTTTGAATACGATATAACTTCGGTTCTATCTACCCGATCTTAATAATTTAGGACTCGTTGGTAAGCTCTTGTAAAACTATACGACTATTTAAAACAACAGAAGTTTATCACACTACTTCTAGAGGAGCTAATGTCAATAACAAAATTTTAAGTAAAAATTTTGTTCCAAGTTTACACTACTTTGAGATAGTTTTTAAGTATTTCAATAATCCAGATCAAGGCGTTTCCATAATTACATCAACCTTTTCTATCGAAAAAAAAAGAACCAGAGTAAAGGTTGTTTGAATTTCATATTGCATATGAAAATTTCCATGCTTTTTTCCTTCTCACCAAATCAAGTTGGCCACGGAAGAGAGAAATTATAAATCTGGGATAGCAAGCACACGCGATGCGTATGCTTATCCACTTTTCTTATACGTCTGTGTTCGAACGTAATAATAAATAATAATTATACTTTTTTATTTGTTTGTCGTTAATGCCCTTGTTAACAGATTAAACAATAATTGAGGCTATATGCACCCATTGGGTTAATATTACATTTAAAATTTTTAAGACGGAGAAAAACTACAATATTTGGTGTGTCTGATGGAAATTTGTGTTCCCAAACTTTTTCCGCAATTCGCCAATTTGACGACTCTATTTGTGCTATTTTGAGGAAAATAAATTTATTTCAGTCCGCTGAATCACACTTAAGCATTGCCTTTCGATTGGGATTATTTTTGGCTTAAATCGGTGCTTTCAAAATGTTAAGCAAAAAAATTGGAAAAATGTGTGCTAGGACAGTAATGACTGTCAATTGATACTCAGGAGCCGGTCTGAAGTCGATTATCTATGGCGGACGCAAAATTTTCCTAACAAAATGAGATTTTTTTTCTAAATGATAAGAAGATCGGTGAAATTCACCCTTTTCGGGTCATGCGATATTTATTCTGAGCTACAAATTAATTCCATACCATATCAGCATATTTTTGATAATATAAAATCGAATAAAATGAAATTGTTGTGTCTTATGTAATTATTTGGTTCAATATTGAAACATTTTATTTCACCATGTGAAAAAGTATGTGCAAAAGCGTCATTTTTGTCAAAGGCGACTGTCTATTAAATGTCGTTCCATTTGTCTTGCTTACTCGACAACTGCAGGATGATGGACATTCGGCGACACTGAAATATAAAAAAAATATCGGTGCACTTGTCGCAGCTTCTCGTGAGATATATATGGTATATGACTATTTACACTACGGTTTTTTGCACATTCGATAGTCGGCCGATAATCTGCGGATTATCGCATATTACCGGGATGTCACAGCTGAATGACGGAAAGACTATCGGGGTCTGTCTGACGGCCGTCATCCAGCATCAGGACGGCCAACTACTCTGGCGCCAACGGGAACTTTTCCGCCAATTGGTCGACCTCGCACCAAATGAGCGGTGATCACTACACTTTTTTTTCGAGATGTAGTTTGTAAAAATTCTCTTTGCATTCGGTTTCACAGTATTACTGCGACTTGCTGAATAAAATAAGTAAATCATATACGTAGAAGAGCAAGTAAAAGAGGGTTTTTCTCACTTCCTGGTGGTGTCCAACCACAATTTTTCTCTCTATATTATTCCTCCTGACCTGGCGGCATTAACCGGCAGCGATCTCTAACTAATTTATCAGAGACAGTAATCAAGTAAATCCAATCGAATCTATCGCATACACACTTGTTTTCCTAATTGCGACTTGCAGGATCATAAAATTCCTAATTTACTCATATTCTAGGTTTGTGCGAATTTTCACCCGCTGCATTTGAATCGATCCGAAGAAAAGCATATCCATGTGCTAACAATAGACAGTGAATGTGCAGCTTTTGAGAGCTTTGAGATATTGATGAACTGAGTATTGAGATAATCATTCACCCACAAGAACATGATATGGCGAGAAAGATGCAGTGTCGTCACATTTATGGAATGCACGTTGTCCGCCATTATTTTTTATTATACTGTTCAGAGATGAATTCCTTCATTCATCATTACTGCAAATTATTTTTACTTTCACCAAAGAACGATGACAGTCCCATGCAAAGTCTAACGATCAGTGGCGATCGATCCTATCAATTTTCAAATGAATAAAGAATGGATGAAACATCTTTTTCTTTTCAGAGAAGATCCGCTAGATTTTTTTTACGACGAATCAACTCAATTCGAAAAGTAAAAGCAGTATTACTGTTATTCATTACAGATTGTTTACATGATGCCAGTGAATGTATTACTCCTCATGCACTGCAAACGCACATAAAGACGTGAAGTGAATACCCCAAAAGTTTATTATGTCGGAATCTTGACGCGTGCGCGCGCAGTAGTAAATTCTTGACGTCCGAATTGCAGCCACGGAGCAAGGATGTCTGTGAAGGTGAATGGTGAATTACTGTGTTGCACTCTATTAACCTGTCTCTCTTTCAGATGACACGCTACCGTGCTGCAGAGTTTGTGGACGAGGACACAAGTTCTATGGGGAGCATCCATATGGCGGCAGGTAGCAATAATTCGCCATCATCCATCCATATTCGCTATCACGCGGCGCGCCAGAGTGTGGTAAGTAGGTACTGATGTATTTTCGTGTAGAAATAGGGGATATTATTACCGTGTCAGAAAATTTTCAAAAATATTAACGAACTAAGTAATGCTTCTTTGCATTATAATATGTTTTTTCTTTATTGCATTGTCCTTTGGAAAATAGTGCAATATTTATTTAACGCTGTTTTTTTTATTATTTTTTACGATACTTATCAGTACGAAGTCTGCAATTTCCTTTTTTTACACAATTTTAGTGAAAAAATATCACTGATATGGACTAATTAGACTCAGACTGTCGATTTCAATTATTTATCATTATTTGCATGTAATTCGTACCGATATGGTTTGTTATTGAGAAGAACTTGCCGAAACTTCAATGTAGTAGAATAGATTGTTCCACCCTGACGGCGAATAATAACGAGCACAATAACGTGGTCACTAAAATTCTTATCGGTCGAGCTGGGCGACGCTCGCTCTACTTCTAATCCCCCAAAAAACGTTTTGTCAATTTGTTTAGCCCCTAAGGCATGGATCAGGTCCACATTCCGGTATATTTTAGCTGGCTGCAAGACCTTTCTAACGAACCGCCATTTAAGGACCCAGGACCTTCCGGACTCTAGATTTAAAGGCCCAAATTCTGAACCTAAAATGGATATTACTTTGTTTATAATTGACCTATCAGAATGATTTTGTATTCGTTGCAAAGTTTCGTAAAATGCCTTCTCCTACCTGAACATCATAACTTGGTAGGATCACCGCTAGGTACGCTAAAATCAAAATACCGATTTTAAAAAATTCAAAACTAAAGAACTCGACAAAACGACAGTGCATTTTCTTTGAATTATAGTATGTTCTAGTAGATCAGATCGTCTCTACAAATAGGCTATAACTTTTCCCCAATACAATAGAACCGGAGTTATGACGGTTTAAAGTTTTAATTTCAATTACGCTATAACTTAAAATAAGAGTTTTGGTAATTTAAAATTTTCTTATTAAAACGGGATTGATCGACTTGGACACATTTTGATTTGGTTGCGTCGCCCAGCTCACCCACAAGCTAACCCTGACGTTTGCTTATCACGTCCTTTTAGTTTGTTTCTGTGCAAAAAGCCGGATTTACTGCAATGATATTAATAGCTCAACGACCTTTTTCTAAAATTATATATCCATTTTCTTCGATTTCATAAGTTTAACATTTTTTATTGTAATTTTTTGTTTCATATTTAATACCGAGTCAACTATTCACAAGAATTACAGTTAATCTTTACCCAACCTATCTCTGCAGCTATACACTTTCTTCAGGGCTATATTTTGCTTGAGATATGTTCTGAATGCGTCAAATTTGTTTTTGGCTTGCTTATGCAAAGGATTGGGGGTTTCTTCCCGAACGTGGCGGAAACTTTAATTCCCTCACAATTAGACAAGGGTGAATTGCACAGAGTCGAATATTAAAAATTATAATATTTTCAGTGTTTTTATTCAAGTTTATCTATCTTTATTTTACCAGTGGAGTGTGCTATGGCGTTCGCGTAGCCAGCTCGAGCGCTGGCTTCTCCTAAGCGGCAGTGCGATGCTAATAGCGTTCCTGACCATTCTTGTATGTATAACTCGTCGGGACGCATCACCACGTGTACTGCACGTAGAGCCACCGTCAGGACCGTGTCTCTCTGCTAATTGTATTCACGCGGCTAGTGCCATATTACGCGCAATGGATCTCGCTGCCGATCCCTGTGATGACTTTTACGGTTACGCGTGCGCTCAGTGGATCAGGCGCAACCCTATTCCTGATGGAAAGAGCATTTGGGGCACATTCGGCGTTCTTGAGCAACAAAACCAGCTGGTGAGTAAAAGGAAAGAAAGAATAAAAGAGAAAATGCAAATTATTTTCCATAATTTTTTTAGTTCCTGTTAAGGCCGAATTACACAGACGGGGAAATTTGTTTAGATTTGTGTGAGTGGTCAGCGAACCGAAGAACGGGACGCCGACAGCATCAGGGCCATCGATCTGGCCTATTGCATATCCCCTTTTGTTTGTTGACGTGGAGATCTTTCCAATCTAATCAAAGGCTGGTATTACCTGGCCAACCAGTTTTGCGAAAAAGATTCAGCAGATTTTGAGGTTATGATTCTGAAAGTTCATCTATCCGTAATATTGGTCTCCTTAAACACGCAAGGTACAGGACCGTCTGCTCGGTTTCCCAACAGCCTCTGCTAATTTGACCTCTAGGAATATTCTTGGGATGACAGTTTAGACAGTGACGTATTAAAAGGTTGGCAAGTGCCCTGGTTCTCCAGCGACAGTCACACTCACTTTAGAAGCTGTACTTTACATCATAACTCCTGTATATATGATCACAGAAAAAATAAAATCTCGTAAAATCGCCTAAAATGACATCAGGGAGGTTCAATATGGAAAAATAACACTAAACAAATGGGGGTCATTTCTACGAAATTTCAAAAATGCGGATTTTCAAATTCTGTGCAATCGACAGTCGAAAATTTAAAGTAGACTACTTTGAACTTAGGTTTTACATCCTCATATTGCAGTTTTGGGTATAGTAAATTGATATGTTTAGTGTACATGAACTCGACAGGTGCTGAAAAACGCCCTGGAGCGTCCCGAGGACCAACTAGCGTCGAAAGCGGAACGCAAGGCAAAGCTCTACTATAAGTCATGTTTAGACGAGGACGAGACTATGGAGAAACGCGGAGCGGAACCCTTGCAGCGCCTAATCCGCCTGGTGGGTGGCTGGAATGTAACAGCAAGTGGTTGGAACGCAAGCATGTGGACTTTGCAGCGAAGCTTACAGATCTTACAGAATCGTTATAACATGGGCGGCCTATTTGGTTGGGCTGTGGGAGAGGACGACCGCAACAGCTCACGTCATATTATTCAGATTGATCAAGGTGGTTTAGCTTTGCCCACACGCGATAACTACCTTAACCGCACAACCCACGAGCGTGTTCTGACAGCCTATCTAGATTACATGGTGCGCGTGGCTGTGCTACTTGGGGGCGATGAGATTGATGCAAAGCTGCAAATGTCACAGGTACAGCACTCAATATTATCTATCTTAGAATTCCATTTTAAGAACACCAATGCAGTGATTGCTGTGCTTAACTTTAAAACTGAGTAGTGAGAGCTGCATAAAATCACTATTATCGTATTGCATTATTATCATATTTTACAGGTGATCGAATTTGAGACTCGTTTGGCGGAGATAACAGTACCACAAGAGGATCGTCGTGATGAGGAAACGATATATCACCAAATGACCCTAGCGGAGCTACAAGCACGCGCACCTTTTTTAGATTGGCGGAGTCACTTCGAAGATGCCTTGCGTCTCGTGAAGCGTAAAGTTACAGAGAAAGAGCATGTGGTTGTGTATGCGCCTGAATATCTGGAAAAACTTAGTCACCTCGTATCAAACTATAGCGCCACGTTAAAAGGAAAAGTGTAAGTATAAAATATAATTTGAAATTTTGTCCTTTTATCACTGAAGAATCCAATGTATAATTTACATTTTATAGCCTTAAACAAATTTCTCTATGAATTAAAATACTCATGTTTCTCGAGATTGTCACACAAGAAAGATGAAAAGGACGAATATATTAATTACACTTGTAGCGTGAAAAATAAACTCCCTATTTTAACCTTTAACTACAGTTGGTAAACGTGTTCAAAGTTTAAGACAATCTGTTTTTTTTTTTCAATGTTCTCTCATAGGATTCTTAACAATTACCTTGTTTGGCAAACTGTGCGCTCCTTCACGTCTTGTCTCAGCAAAGCATTTCGCGATGCATATAAGGGTCTCCGAAAAGCTTTGATTGGTTCCGAAGGAGGCGAAGAACCTTGGCGCTATTGTATAACTGACACTACGAACGTAATCGGTTTTGCGATGGGTGCCATGTTTGTTCGTGAAGTTTTCCACGGCGAGGCAAAGCCACAGGCTGAGCAAATGATTGAAACAGTGAGGAAGGCGTTCAAGAACAATTTTGGTCGACTAGGTTGGATGGATGAACGAACACGTGTATTGGCACGTGCAAAGGCAGATGCTATTACAGACATGATCGGTTTTCCCGATTACATTCTCGATCCCGATGCATTGGACACCAAGTACCGTGACTTAGACATAGACGGCAGCAAGTATTTCGAGAACAACCTCCGCGTAAACATGTACAACCTCAAACGTAACCTCGAGAAATTGGATCAACCTGTCAATAAGACACGCTGGGGCATGACGCCATCCACAGTTAATGCTTACTACACACCCACGAAGAATCAGATTGTATTTCCCGCAGGAATTTTACAACCACCCTTTTTTGATGTGAACAATCCACGCAGTTTAAACTATGGCGCTATGGGTGTCGTTATGGGTCACGAGCTCACGCACGCTTTTGATGATCAGGTGATGACCTTTTTTGCAATTCATTCCTCATTTTGTAATTTAAATTTTGAAAAAAACAATTTTTATTCATTAGCAAGACTCATTTACTAATTTAGGGGCCGAAATTTGTATGATATGCTTGAGAATTGGATCAATTCCCAGTCAAACACAGACATGTCAAACTTCAAACGTGTAAAAGTTTAACATTCGAAATGAATTAGGAAAAACAGCCCTTGCTATTCTCGCTAAAATAATGTTTTAGAGTTCTAAGCAATCCCATAATGTGTATGAAAAGAACAATGGTGAAATATTCTTAAAATCATAAAATAATTAGTAAGCGCATTATAATAGGAATTTACTGTAAACATAATTCATGTTCATGCTTTAAAATAAGAGCCACAATTGCAGATTTATCCATCATCGCATGTGTAAGACGACTCACCTGGGGGCCTAGGGAGCCCCTTCTACAGTTTCCGATCATTTTCTCTGTTTGTTATACATTCAAAAAACAACCACTGTAGGTCGTGGTTAAATTACACACTCAGGCGATAAAAAATGATTTAACACATGTGGGCCAGAATAGCAAACAACACAAGTGGTGAATGCTTTTACACAATCGTCATTTTAAGCCTTACACATGTGGCTCAGAATAGCAAAAGTGTGTCTTAAACCAATCTAACACATTCTTATGTGACTGAGAATTAATCCTGATATTTTTTTGATTCTTAATATTGATGACAAATTTTTCCGTTCATTTATCCAATCAAATTGTCTTGTCCGTTCCGTTTTTGGTACCACATTTGAACTTCTTGCAATTCCCTGGTCCATTCATAATTTCATTTAATACGAGTTTTGAATCAACATATCGAATCAGGTCACAAATATCAATTTATAGTGAATGACTTACGATTAAAAAAGACCTTGGCTTTAAGAAAATTATTCTAAGTCATGTAAAAAGAACTTGTCACACATGAATGTTTTTCTCCTGAAATCGAATACATTGTATAATTTATTTGACAGTGCCCATTGGAATCTTCGAGAGAATTCTTGATGATTTGACTTATTTCTAAATTTTTGGAAGAAATAACTTTAATAAAAATTATATATTTTAATAATAGTTGATTTTTAATCAATTAGCCATTTAACTAACAAATTAGAAGTAGTATTCTTAGTATTATCTTGAACTTTCCAGTTGAAATAAGAGAGAAAAACACCCGTTCGGTTAATGCGGAAGAGTGTGTACTTGTAATATTAGTAGTAACCGATATATGATAATTTTATGCTATTTGTAGGGCCGTGAATATGACAAGGATGGTAATTTACATCAATGGTGGGCCAACGAGACCATTGAACGCTTCAAGGAGCGCGCAGAATGTATGCGTAGACAGTATGCATCTTATCGTGTGTCGGGACGTGCTCTCAATGGTCGCCAAACACTAGGAGAAAACATTGCTGATAATGGCGGCCTCAGAGCAGCTTACCACGCTTTTATGTCACAACCGGAAGAGCGCCTGGCGCTTCCAGGACTCAATCTTACCCAACGTCAGCTCTTTTTTGTTGCATTTGCTCAGGTATGCAAATCATTTTAATGTGATATTACAAAATGGGAGTGTGGTTGAGTTATCAGCAGAGCATGATAGCAGTAAACAGCCGTTGGTGTGGATATCAGATAATGATATAACATGCTTCATTTAAATAATAATCATTATTTATTCAGAAGCATCTGATTCCGCCCAATAATGAAGTGCGATAATACTGACAATAGACAATTCCGTTCAGGTGTGGTGTTCTGCTGTAACAGATGAGACAGTTCATCTCCAGATTGAAAAGGACCCTCATTCCCCACCACGCTTCCGCGTAATAGGGCCTCTGGCAAACATGCCCGAGTTCGCTGCAGAGTTCTCATGTCCACTGGGCAGTCCCATGAACCCAGCGCACAAGTGCCAGGTGTGGTAAACTTATCGGCAGATAAAAATTTATTGTATCTATAATGTAACACTGTGATAAGGTTAGTATGAGTAAAGGTATATGACTCAGTTTGACTTCCAAGCATTCAAACTTAAAAAATGTTTCTTTCTGTTCCACACTATTTCCAATTTCCCAGAAAAATACCACATTGGGCTAAGAAAAAATCTAGCAGTGTGTCTTTAAAAATATACGTCACATAGACACCAGTGTATGAAAGAATGTATAAGTGAGTGGTAATGTATTCGTTTCTGCGCAAATTAGGCAGAACTTTTAACTATTTTCTATTAATATACAACTTGATATACAGTGTTCGATGTTTTTAAATTATATGGAAATGAGACACGTGTGTTGTTAACCGATGACACCCCCAAAAATTTGTACACGCTTTGCCAAAAAATTTAACGAGTAAAGTGTAAAACAAAATTCTTCTGGAAGTGCGAAAATTTTGTGTAAGAACTGAAAAGTGACATTAGACGCCATTTTATTGTACCGTACAAGACAAAAATCTTCAATAAGAGATTAAGTTTAGATTAGATTATTTATTCCACTCAGTGTTTAGTGTAGGCCAACCCTTTTCCTTCGGCCATCGCTGTTTTCGCATTGATACTCACCTGAAGGACTAAACTATGGAAACTTCTTCCATCGGTTGCAACTTTTAAGTTATTCGCATTAATTTTTCCCGAAATCTACTTGACATTCCTAACTACCGCCTGGAAAGCTGGAATATATTAGATCATGATTTTCTGATATTTTTAGTTCGAGGTATATTTTTTCTTTGATCGAAGATTATAAATAGACTAATTTACATTTTCCAGCAACTTCTTTACCAGTTGAACGCTAATGGGAATGACCACACATATGTATAATCAAGTTTAAGTCTGTAGCTGAAACACAGCCTATCGCAAGGCCCATTGATGCCTGGTGCCACCAGCGGTAAGTCGGAGAAGTTGAATCTCACTTTTATAGCGTGAAAAGCGATGAGACCACCACTCCACTTTCCGCGGATGGCAAAAACCTGAGAACACTTTTCTACAAGTCGCAAAAGCAGCAACGAAGTTTGTGATGACCACAGTTGGTGGGTAAAATTAGATCTGACAGTTAGTTGCCATTTTAATCACACCCTATCACTTGCCCACGATCTAAAATACCCGCGAACTGTGGCCCCAATGGCACTGAAATACCGCAGTGTCTGCTCAATGGTCTTTTATAGGCAAAGCCACACCTTGGAAACTTATCGCGTATCGACCACTATCGATATCTTATCAGAGCGCGCGTGTGTAATCCACATATTTCATCATCTTGCCAATCCGTGAGGGCCACATGATAAGACACTAACTAGCTAAGGTGCGCCACAAGATTGAGGTCAGGTGACTGTTCAAAATTCCATGAAATTGTTCCTTATCAATTTAAATTGCGGAAGAAAAATTTTGAAGAGTAACCACTTTTGCCTACACCCATATGTATATATATATATATATATACACATACATATACTTTAATTTTTAGTTCAAAAAATGCAGAAACAACCATAAGGTAAAAGTTTCTGGGAAGGGCTGTTTGATACATAAAGACAGAGTGCATAGGTCTGCCTCAACTGCGTAAGGCCACATTCAAGGCTTGGCTCCGCGCCGCTGATCATACACAGATTGGCCAAACTTGAGATCTTTGTAATTTATAGTGTCTGTTGCACGTACTGCATCCACTGCGATTTGCCCCCTAAGTTGGATAGCAGGATGCGGAGGCTCTGACAGGTTGACTTGGCCTCCTGGATCTCTCATTGCCTGAAACTAGACTTTGCTGAGGGCTTCATAACTCCAGCGTATTCTTTGAACCATTAATACAGCGTCTCCCTTTCTCTCCCTCTTTGGGATTCGCGAAATATATAAACAAGTCAAAGAACCTTTTCATCGTTTTATTCCAGAGGTTGTCCACCAGCACTAAGACGCTGATGGCCGCAAATGAGACAAAGACAAATCACATTGGTGGAGTATATATATATATATATATATATATGTGTGTGTATGTATGTATGTATGTATGTATGTATGTATGTATGTATTAAAGAATGCGTTTCTTTGCTGCACAACATCCAATCCAATATAAATCGAGAGTACCTTTGATATCAGTCCATATTCCTTCAATAGGCCAATTTTACCCAGATTCCAGCGGAAACTCATCTAACAATTAAAACGATCATCCAAGACTCTCGGCGGTACAAATTCATCAACCCAGTAATCTTATTTACTGCTACTTACTGCAAAAAGGGATTCAAACCAAAGGAAATACATGACAACATAAATAACTAATAAACAATAGACAGTAGCAGGCGAAATCCCGGAAATATTAATAGACAAAAGATAAACAGATGCAGTAAAGGAGAAACTGATTTATTTTTCCATCCAAATATCATTTCCGGAACGAATTTGTTTGGCAAATTGCTCGTTGAATTTTTTAGCAAGTCGTTGCAAATTTTTACACTTTACTGGTTCTAGGTATATTTGCTCTAGATCTAGATATAAAAAATATGTAATAGACTGTCAATTTTAATTTATTCAATGTTGTTTCTTCTCAGTGTTTGTTGCTCCCTTTAGAAAAGGTGAGGACATTTTTTTCGTAATTGACGCATTTTTGTCTCTTTGTCTTTTTTCTCTCTCGTATTTCTTTTATTTAAACCTTTTTCAGAACTAAATTGTAGCAAATTTCACGATAGGACTTTTATGAATAGCGATTGTCCTAAGAGCGGGCCCTCGAAGATAAGGGCTGACAGCAGACACAATACACTGAGAGAGACGGTTACAGCATCAGAAGCCAAGTGATGCACCTCTCTCTCTCTTTCTCTCTCTCTCTCTGTCTGTCTGTCTGTGTTCCCGTGAGAGCCTAGCCCTATGGTGGCAACTCATGTCCGTTACAACCGTTACAATAGGTGGGTTTTTCGATTGGACGCCTGACTTTACTACAGAATATATCTTATATAATTTGTAATGTTAAATTCACACATATGAATCTTGATCACTGGTTATAAGCCATTGTCCATCAGTGCAGTGGAAGTATATGGTGACCGGCTTCGTGGCGCAGCGTTCCCATGCTTTCCACTAGGATCATACAGTTTATAATAAAATGTTTGGGGATTATGTTACCAAAAATCGAAAATGAAAATAATCATAACTCTGCTACTCTATACATATTATTATATGTGCATATTAAGAAGGCCCTGGATTAGTTATTCACCACCTTGCTTAAATCGGGCGAAGAAAAGAATAGTCAATATATTTGGAACAATATTGGATTAAGCAGGCAAATAGATTTTAATTAGTTTAAGTGGATAATTTAAAAAGAAAGTTTACTCAATCTAAAAAAAATGTATTTCGTTAGTTCAGTTAAAGGCGTTCCCTCAACATTTTTCTATCTTACTGACACTGTGTTTAGTACGAAGTAAAATTGATTTAAAAGCTTAGACTGTTATAGAATATTTCAATTTTGCTTTAACGAAAATGAGAATACACAAAATATCTGACATGCTCCACGATAGCGATTGAGCTACATAAATCCTGATAAGATAAGACGGACTTCAGATAAAAAGAGTGAAATACGATGTTTTCTTATCGATATATTTACTTTATTATTAAGATGTATTCTTGAATAATGGAACGAGTAAGGAAGAGTGGCGATGAGTATAGGACATAACTGGGTAAAAAAATAGGAGATTTGGAGTCAAGGAAATTGATATGTGTGTATTTATATACACACTATGGCTCCAAGAGGTATGGAGACATCGTATATCGGTCATCACATATTAAATTGACTTGTCTCGATTTTAATTTTTTAATGTCTGAAATGCGATCTTTTTATATATATAATATAATTACACGATAAAGATAAAATAAAATTTATTCGCGGTTTATTAAGATCTCAAAACTATCATTGTCTGTATGTTGATCAGTGCTATTTTTCGATTTATATGTCCTAACCAAAAATTCAAATCAACGCTGTAACATAAACAAGTAAAGGTATTTTCCTGTTATATCAACGTTCAACCCTATACTTTCTTTTAAACATTCTATATCTGAATACAAATTTCTCTAAAATATGAGATCCTAATTATTTGGTTTAAAGCCAAGGACAAATTAGTAAACAATCAAAAATCGAGACACGTCTTATTAATAAGAAATGAGTGATATTTATACATATGTATATAAAATCTTACACTCAAATATTTCTAAATTACATACCTATTCATCAATGTTCATTTTATTTTAAATCTTTCAACACTTGTTGTGAGTCATTTGGATTTCTAAAGTTACGAATTTGAGTTAAAAAAAAGTATTGCAGCTCGCGAATGCATAGTTTGTTTTCCATTAACTTCTGATACAGATCATCGCTTAGCACTGACCACATATTATATTGCTCAATCTTTGGCTAAAATCTCGTTTGCAAAATCCTTATTACATAATCGTCTTCTTACTGTCTCTCTCTTTCGCTCTCTCGCTCTTTCTCTTTTTTTTTCTTTACATTCTACTGCTCAATGTCTGCTTATTTATGGGTACAAATATTACAGATAAAGTAATAAAGAATGAATGATAAAATTGAATAATAAATGTTTGTTTCTTTGGTTGATCTTCGCGCGAGCTACCTGAAATTCAATCTCTACTAATGTCTAATTGTTGGTACAAAACACGGTCTCTCTCGTTACTTATTCACTAAATATAATAAAAACATAGTATTCACAAATACGCAAGTTTAATTACCATTAAAGTACAGACAGAATTCATTGATGGATGTATTGAAATGGTTGTCAAAGTGACTTTCGAAAATAAGTTTAATTTCGTGGCGTAACACCATAATCACAAAGTCAAACGTTTCGCGTTAGTTTATTTCAATCTGTTTTTATTCGAATGATGATAACAGCATACATTCAAAGAAATAATAATCAAGCAAATTAACTTTCGGGACTTTTTAATATTTCATTCGTATAATAAGCCCATTACGTAAAGACACTTTTAAATAAAATTTTGAATATAAATATATATCTTTTACACATCATAGTGGTAACAACAATGATATTATAAACGCTGTTCCATCACCAGACAAATAATGAGTTCTGCCTAGGCCTTAACTGTCTTATTTATTCTTCGCTCTACTGCCTATTTTCAATTTGAAAAACAAACTTGTCGGGTCTTCTGTAAAAAATAAATTACTATTTTGCCCTAATAAAATAATAATATAATACGTAGCTTAATACGTAGATTAAGTAGCTTTGGTGTATCTGAGAAGTTCATGGAGTCGTTTGGAGAGTGTACGTTAAAGATAGTTTCAGTTTTGAGTATATTCCGATTATCTCCAGCGAGAGATGGATCAAATGCATCGCCAAGCCCTCCTTCACGTTCTGCTATCCGAATATTTAGCTCCGATGGACCCATCGTTGTCGAAGTTGTCGTTGGATGATATCGGCAGCGAGAGACTGGAAATGATGAACAGAGATAACTTTGAAAATATTAGTCATATTCAAAAATTTGCGATTTTTTGCGCGATTACAGATATTAGTTGTGACGTAAATCCCAGCTAGATAAATACGCAAGTATAATCTTAACTCAGATCCTTTCTTGCGGAAACAGAGACGATAGTCAGATAATAATCTAAATATCTTTTTCGATACAAATCGGCAAAAACTTTTATAATGTATGGCCGAATCAAAAAGCTTTTCAACAAAATTTTTACTTTAGGCTCTAGGTCCTTTGCAAATCGTTTGAAAGTGATGTTGTATAAAGGGAGTTTTCTAATGTCTTTTAATTAATTGTGTGACGGGAAACGAAAATATGATAATTAATACTTGCATACTCTTTATTTACTGAGAAGACCACCGGGAGCATTGGAACCGTAGGAGTACGCTGAGTACGGAGTCCCTCCGTACTGTTGGTAGGCGGCAGGTGAGCTGTAGGCGTAGTCAGAACTAGGTACCACGGTGGTAGCGCCACCTGTGAAAGCATAAATTGTTCATTTTTATTCTTATGTTTAGCTCACTTGTGTTATAATATTATTTTGGGCCAGGAAAATGAACTAAAAGAAGATTTAAAACCTTGGGGGTAGTGCGTGAAGCTGGGCAGCATCGCAGAGTAACCAGGTGTGGTAGGTTGTAACACAATCAGTGATGAATCATGCTCTTCTGGATCACCATTCGAGGCCGTTGGAGGATCAGCTGAAACCTCAGGAGCCACTAATGTCATTGGTAAGTCCGGGGAGGCATTACCGGCCGTGTCACTGCTCATCACTATATGACTGAGCGACGCAAACTGATGCACAGAACCCTCTTGATTCGCTGCAGACAACATAGATGAGTGGTGCCCTACAGCTTTCTCAGTGCTATGTGCGTACTGTGGGGGGAGACGCCTATAACTGGCTGTGCAATCTACTACCCCTCTACTACCACCACCCTTTAAGCATTTCGATGTAAACACTAAATTCAGAATCAAAGAATCCACATTCAATATGTTGGGTTCTACTTTCTATTAACCAACTTTAGCTTACAGGAAGATTTTTCGCCCTTGAATTGGATTATATTGTAGTATGAAATTGACAGTTTCATTTGGCGTGTATGAAGGGTAAACTTTTTCTTTTGTTTTGTGAATGTTAGCAAAATACAGATTCGTGCTTCATGAAATATGTGCATTTTACAGTTTGCCTTTGCTCGATTTTTGATATAATACGACGCTGATAAATTCTAGCAAAATGTGCTGATACCAATTCATCAATATTCTAGCAAACCTGTGAATTTTCAATATTTTCGGAACACCAAAGTCCTCTGACAGCCAAATTATTTTGATTAAATCTCTAAAATCTTATCCCAAAGAATATCTCACTGGTTACAATTTTCTATTTTTTGAACAAGTTTGTCTGATTTTCGTGTAAATCATCATCGAAGTGTTCTTTTCTCTGTTAAGTAGAAATGTTATTTATTCCCAGTACAAAACTAACATGTCAGAAACGAAACTTTGTAAGTAAGTACTTATGTCAAAAGATTATTTGTAAATCAAAATTTTAGGTAATTCCATATTATTATATTAACTTTATAGTTTGAAATATATTTTCTTTTTCAGATTGGTAACAGATTGATGCCAACATACGTATTTTATTTAGCAAGATTAGAAATTATTTTTTAGTGAAATAAACAATCACAAACTTCACATGATTTTGTACAGTATCAGTAAGTATATATTAAATAGATGTAATTTTGAAACGAATTCTCTTGGCTGAGCTTTGTGTATATTTAATTATCACTTTGTAGACCTTACAGTCGAAGAGTAAAATCGAGTCAGTGTAACGTATATTGGATTTTTGCATTGGAATGAAAGTTGAAGTAGAACTAGCAAGGAAGGGGCTGTGCACTGTATGTACCGCTACCGTCTCACCTGTAATCTGATAGGAAGACATTGAGGGATCCATGAGTGAGCTGCTCAGCTTCATATCTGGCATCGCAATTGGGGCGAGGGGAGTGATGGAATTTGCTGGGTGTGGACAAACAAAAACGGTGGGCGAAACAAAAAGAAGAAAAAACTAAAGTAAAACGGACAATATTCAAAAACGGACATACTCACCGATGGTGGCGCCAATGGAAGGTGTGTAGAGGGAACTTTGTGCCTGAGTGATGGTTGTAATGGTATCATACAACACCGTATCGCCAGCTGTCGTGGCAAAGCTCCCATGAGCGTCATAGTAGTTGCTAGACCCATTGGTTGTGTTGCCCAGTTCACTCAACAACTTGTGCTCGTCCTTGATGCACCATTTCCCACTCCAGATTTGCTGAGCCAACGGCAAACAATTGGTCGACGCCTCATCTGAGCGCGTCCGATTTACGTTGGTATACAACTGCTCTCCATTATACAAACGGTGTCGCTTGAGATCCTCCTCTGAGGCGCTGTGCATATTAATGTCGCGATTTTCATCTATTTAATAACAAAAAAAGTCACTAGAAACAGAATTCTACTAAATTTTAAATGTATAGCAAATACAGGAGTAGTTTTGATGGCGATTTCATTACAATTAATTGTAAAAATTTTGGGCTATTATGTCCAGTTAAGCCCTAAATATTTAACATATATTCCCAATTATATCACTATTTCATTAATTTTATGCGCATTCTCCTATAGCAATTGATTAATTTCTTCACTCAGCCTCTGTAAATAATACTTTTTTGTAAGTTTCATTTTTTACTTTTGATATGTATAGCGAGAAGATGTTATACCATGTAAGAAAAAACTGCGTCAAAGTATGGTCTGGGAAGTGAAGAAAGAAACAGATTAGATTAGATTAGAAATGGGGGTGGTACAAGAAATCTTGCTCCACGGCATCCAGGCCATCTGACGGGCCCTTTATGCATCCCCAGGAAAATTTTCCCATTTAAGGGCCAAGACCCAAAGCTAACCAGTCATCCAGTTACCTTTCAGACGGTACAGCTTTGGCCTGTGACTTTCATTGATATCTTCTTATTTTATTTATGTCGTCCCTCTCCCCCCGGTTATCCTCTGATTTTTTCCCACTCAGAGGGCAAGGCTTTCAAAGTGAGCCAGTCAAATGCACAGACTAGCAGAGCTTGGCCTTGGGCGTGTTTGCAGACGATATCGCTTATTTACAAGCGACACCAGTCTGGTAGTGTGCCCATCTATAAGTAAGGACAGATGCGAAATACACTTCCACAGAAGTTCCTACTTCAGTTGGAACATTTAACAGCAACCTTATTTGGGCTGGAATTTTTATATTTGCCATTGAAGGGCTTAATATTTTTCGCATCTGCTGTGTTCGATCATTTGCAAGTGATGGGGATCGAACACACGACCGTGATGTCCTCAGTCTGGCTCTCTACCGACTGCACCATGGCCGCCTCCTACGAAGAAAGGAACAAGTTTATGGTAAATATATGAGAACACATGTCAACGAAAGGCGGGCTCAGCGAGAAAATGGCACACAAATTTGCAGATTTTTTTATATCATAGTTAGAGGTTTAAGGAACTTTACTTTCACAGTATTTGAACTAAACTGCTTGCAATGTCTGCAAAATGTAAATGTACTGAACTAGTGTGTGACACATACGATCAATGTTCGGAAGTTTCTGTCGTTTTCTCTCGGGGAGGTCGGAAATGAAGTCGGCGGCAGCCGCTATCACATGGAAAGGTGAAATAAATGAATAAATAAATAAATGAACTGCCACATAAACTGTTAATTGAAGAAACTTATCAAGATGACGTGAATTTTCAAATTTTTAACCCAATTGTTTAAAAATAAACATATATTGTATGTATTTTCATATCAAAGTTCTATAATACGGAATCTGGCGATTTTAAATTTCCAGTCTGATATAGAGGTGGTCGCATAAGATGTTGCGCATTTATAAGCTAGATTTGGCGTTAATTTACCACGAAATTTCATATCGGCAACTATCGATGTGCAGCCAGTATGTATTAATTATAAGAAGTTAAAAAAAGTTAAGAAAATGTACTGACATTTTTTGGTCTCTAGATATAGATTTAAGTTTAGATGTCAACTATAACCGTGTTAGTGACATAGATTGGTATCCTTTCAACTCCTTTAGAGAAACATTTTTAAGCATTGTTTTAAGCTAGAAGTGGTGAAAATCGAAAAGCAGTGGCTTACTAAGTGGTTATAAGCACAATTTCTCTCACTAAAATAAGTTTAATGGCATAAACAATGTCGTCAAATGAGCGACTAGTGAAAAAGATTGGAGAAACAAATTTTCTTTGGGAAAGACTTTGACAAAACTCATCTGCGCTACTATGTATATACTTTGAAGATTAGTGAAAAGTTCATATTGATATCTCTTACTATTTAGTCACTAGAAGCCAGTATGGCACAACAGATGCACGGACGTACGGATGGATCGACAGGTGAAGAAAAAAGTTAATTCTTTAAAAGTGGTGTCTGCTAAATACAATTAATAATTTCTCATACTTATTAGTTTTAGATTTGGTGATTTTAAGGTCCTTAAGTGAAAAGAGATAGTGGCTGTGATGTAAAAATTTCAGTTACTTTTTATATGACTTGTTTTCTTTCTATTCTCAAGTAGATAGATGCATCCTATGAAGGTACATTTACATAAGATTGATAACTTTGGGTCTACTTTAGTCAATTTTAAATGCAAATGCCGAATGGATGGTGGAAAAACCATTTCTATATAGCTGACTTTTTCCATGGTGGAAAAAAGGTTGTCCTGGGGTGGATAAAAGTGCCTGCGACGCAGTGTCATTATCTCCTCCACAGTGATTTTCCATTTTGACGGCCTTCAGTGGAACGAGGGATATTTATGAATGCCACAGACAAGTTGTGATCTCCCCTTTTGGCGAATATGCTTCGCGATTCGGCCACCCAATGTGATATGGGAGGGTTTCGTTGCCTTGACGACAACAAATCTCTAAGAAGAGAGAGGGAATGTCACCCCATCTTTTGCTGGAATCTCAGGGTGGAGGAATCACACCCTCTATGGTATTTTACGGTTTCAAATATCGCCACACAATCAGGCAAGATTTCTACCACGGCAAAAAGACAATCACGCAAATGTTTATATCTGGGCGGTGTTCATTGATGCTTAGCCATCCTCATTTTCGCGCGCTTTTCGCGATTCTCACGTGGCAATAGCAGTAGTTTTTACGTGCATCATCCATATTATTTCCACAGAATGAAAAACCTTCATTTTCATATTGAAATGGTCGCAAGTGAATTGCCTAAACTATATTCTTATGAATTTCATCCATCCTTTGGACAGAAAAATATCATTCTTCAGAATAACCACTTATGCAGTTAAACATTTTCAGTACCAAATAAAAATTAAAAAGAAGCATGTTATATTCTTCTTGCCAGTTTTTCTTCACTGCATAGCCCCTGTCGAATGGTGACAAATCGCTCAGATTCTGTGCCAACTGTGGTCTGGTATACAATTTTAAGTGTGGGTTGATAATGTCGTGTTCACGGGATACACCAGCGGGGTCAGGAAGGAAGGACGGAAAGACGAACAGGATTTGAGGTCCGTGGCTGACACGCGACCAACTAAGAGTATTTCCCTGTACGTCACGTGCTAGCCATTTTCTCCTGCCATCCAATGCATAGTCCTCTGTTGTGGTAAATCAGTATGATAAAAGTGTGACTTTAAGACCAAGTCTTTGCTTCACTTTGTCTTATTTAAGACAAAATGCTTGAAAAAGAATTAACAAACTTTTCACCATTTCACTAATTCTACAAAAAAATTTCTTTTCCAAGTTATTCTGTATTGGTGTTCAGGATATACATGTCGTGATGGCACTAACCGCTGTGCTGAGTAAAAAGAACCATAAGAAACTATAGAATCAGATGTCTTCTAAGATCATGACTGTTCGCGATTACTAATTATAACTTTACCGTGGAATACCATTAGAATTTTTTTAATTGATTTTCTGTCCTTTCTTAATCATAGTGAATCATAGAATTTTTGAATCAGCGTATTTACTTGAATGTCGAATTTATGTATTGTTAAGAAATAAATTTCCTTGTGTGGTAAGGAGAAAATCCAAATAATTGTGTTTATAATTCAATTTTTTCATAGATCTTGTTTTTTTACACATATATATGTGCTGGAACAAGAATTTGTATTACATATAGTTGACGGAAAAAGCATCTACAGCTTAAATTCAATTTCTTCTTCGCAGGACTTTTCGATTTTTTTTTCAAAATTAAATAGGAGAGGCCGTTTCCGTTAACTATATTTATTTCAACTGTCGATTCAAACAATAAAGATATTCGAATTAATTGACTCACCATGATCGTCCATCCGTTTCCGTTTGATACTGTTGCCATTTGGATCCGTAGAATGCTGAATGCCAAGAATGCCGTTGATACTATAGCCAGCTACCCTATCTTGTTGCCCATTAGATGCCATTGGTGTTTGTATGACAGCACTGGTTGAGTGTGTAATTACACTCACGTTTGTGGTTGCGCTGCTGGTTGTTGCAGTCGAACTCTGCTGCGCTGTCTGGTGCACATGTTTTGCCTTTTCAGCCGCTTTATTTCGAACGATTCTGTATGGAGAGAGATTTAGGCAAAAAACCTTGTTAATTGCATTTGTTGAATGAAATTAAATAATAAAATTAACATTCATCAGATTGTGTGCGACATCTAAATGTGGAGACTGTAGAGAAAAAGAGCGGAAAAGCAAGAGTATGAATGAAAAGCGGGTTTTCGGTCATACTCCATGACCGAAAACCCGCTTTTCATTTATACTCTTGCACAGCAGCGGGCGAAAACTTCAAGCAAGAGCGGAAAAGCTCCTTCTCTGATTATAGAAGTCATGGATACCCAGTATATATGTAGTCTTAGTGTATTTCTTTATGTACTGATTGGTCCTTAGTCTAGTGAATTTTAGTTATTCGGAATATCTTTTTGTGCAATAATTGCCTAATAATACAACTACAGCATTTCGATGGGAAAACAATTATTTTTTGTAGTCTGATTTCTTCACGAAAAATCAAGAATTTCTATTTTTCTAACTTCTGAAAATAAGCTCATCATGTACTTTGAAAATGTTTACGCATGTTGTTTAAAGTGTTCCATAGAATTTTATGGTCAATCTTGACTCAAGTATTTTTCCGGGAAAAACCAATGTTCATTAAGATGTTTGAAAAGATCTGTTTCTGTTGCCTAATTTGAGAAATACCCATTAATTTTTTACCACATTAAGCTTTCGTGGGTTACTAGTGCGCATATTATAGAATAGAATAGAATATATTTATTGGTCGCTTATAAGTAAAATTTTTGTAAGCGTATAATTGCGTCCACTGACGTCAAAGGGTTGATAAGCAACTTCTAAATCAAAACGGTGGAAAAGCTCATTCATAGGTTGTTTAACCAATACTTTCCCAGCTCGTACAGAATGAAAAAAAAACGAAACAGTTATGACGCCAAAAATGTTTGGATTAACCGCCACTTGATATCTCTAGGAAGTTATTATCATTAAGTTATAGTACAAGATTAATTTTGAATATTAGTAATTTCTTTTTTTGTGTATTATGTATATAAAAGGCCAAAATCTTGCTGCATAGTGTAAATAAAATACGAATGAAAGTAGCTAAATTCGTCAACTTAGCGAATTGATGAGGCAGATGAAAATATCTGAACGTGATCACGTGTCAAAATGCCGCAAAGTGCATCTATGAATTGTTGGCACGTGGCGAAAGTGAATGAAAAACGTCGCCCGACTCTCAGTCCACTCGTGTTTATACTCAATTCGTCAAATTAACTTTATAATTCCACATCATCGGTGGTCTCGCAACCCTCAGAATACTCGTGTCAAGTGAACAATACTGCCTGTGACTCCGATTTTGAAGTCACAAGTCAAACAACCCCTCGGTTGGCATTAGATAAATTATTGCCCAAGTCGAGGGGCACGAAAAAACAGGCCACTTTTTTGCTTCTCAACTCACGCACGCCCGGAAGGAAGGGTAAAGTTAATAGTAATCCATATATATATATATATATATATATATATATATATGTGTATATATATATATACTCACAAGAGAATGACTTCATTTCGATCAACTGCACACTCACAGATTGAGACATTTGTCTTCTAACCGCCCCCTCTCCCATGTCGCGATTATTTTCTTGGCCACAGCCACTTTCCCTTGGCTTTGCAAAAAGCTCCATTTGCTCATCATTGGTTGCCGTTGGACATCAATCAGTAATGTAAATTTTAACATTATAATACGCTATGAATTCAAATACAATGTATATGTGAATTATGCGGAAATTCGATTTTTTCTTCTTAAAATTACACATGTCCATATGTATGACAGTGACTCTTTCAACATTTTTCCATCAAGTATGCCAGAATCATAATCTAGATGTTTGTAAAGCACACAAGTCTTTCTAAAACAAAAATTGAATTACTCCAGTGACTTAAATGCGGAATTTTATACAAATGTGCATTTTCTGTCTGAGAAAGTTCCGTAACAATGTGAATACATTCGAAAAAGTAATAAATATTGGTTTTCAAATGTATGGAAATTTCTTTGCATAGATTTTTTATGTACCTACTATTAAAGTTCATTTTCGAATACCCTAATCCTATAATATCTCTGAAAAACAGGGGGAATGAAGAGAGAGTGTATTCCCATCTGAAAAAGGACAATTTCATTTTATCCCGACATACGTTTCAATCAATTTTTTAATGTACTACTCATCTCATTACACCAAGGGAAATGACATTATCAATGAATGTCCCAGTGGGTGTCTAAATAAAATCACAACATATGCGACACGATGCCACTTTCCGGCACCCCTAAGTACTTCGATAGAGATATACACACTATTCAATTTACTCACCGATTGATAGAAGAGACGCTGGGCACGTTGTCCTGTGAACAAATGCCCTCAGCCAGCAATCGGTCGCGAATCTCCCATGCAAACATGGTGGGATTTTCACGCTTGTAGTTAGCAATGGCGTCCACTACAGGTGGTGTAGCTACCTTAGGCTTGGATCCACCAATAACACCTGCCTTAAAACTGCCTGTTTCGTAGTACCTGTCAAACAACGGATATATATGCATGTTAAAAATGTCACATTGGAAGCACCGACAGTAACGCTGCAAACCCAGAATTTGCTTCCAGATTATGTCCTGGATTTTTTCTCGTCTCTGTCTACGACATGCGTTTCACGTATTTTCCGTCTTACTAATTTTTATTTACTACTTGCGCTCGGATAGATGCAACAAAAGGATGAAAGAATAATTGAGTGCAAACCGTGAAAAGGAATAATAAGGAAAAATCACAAAACGCATGCTGAGACGAAGAAAGAAACAAATTCCGCCGGAAAATTTTAAGGACAGCGCAGTGTTTTTTCCGTTAAAAATAATTAAAGTTTTTAGGATAAAATACCAGGCACTATAGCTACTATTAAAGCGTGTGATTATGAAGCTGCGACACAGTGTAGGGAGGGAGAAATAAAATTCACCATAGTGAAAGATGTGTGGTGACTGAAGTATTGAACTGGGCGTAGCCTGGCTCTATCTGAGATCGCGCAAAAAATCAAATGTCGCAAAATCGACTAAAACAACATCAGGGAGACTGATTATGACGATATCTGACGAAAAAATGGGGGTCACTTTTTTTTGGTTTCCGTCCGTCGGTCCGTCGGTCGGTCGGTCCCTCGTAAATGGACTCGTAGCGCCTAAACGGTAAGAGATATCGACATGCGGCTTTCACCAAAGGTTAAAAGCCCTACTGCCGCTAGAGAATGGTGAAGTCAAATCCAACCCCCCACCCCTCCTTCCGCCGTCTTGGATACAACCAAAAAACGTTTTACTCATTTACTTAACCCCTAAGACATGGATTGGGCCCAAATTCTAGTATGTTATAGCTGGCATCAAGAAATTTCCAACGAATTGCCACCTAAGGACCTAGGTCCTTCCGAACCCTACATATTAGGGTCCAAATTTTCAAAACTAAAAATGGCTATAAATACTATTCTAATCATCCGATTTGAATGATTGAAAGCTCGTTAACAAGATCTCGTAAAATTCCATCTCTCACCCAAACATCATAACTTCGTAGGACAACCGCTAGATGCACTAAAGTAAAAAAACCGATTTTCGAAATTTCGAATAATTCGAAAACTAGAATATTAATTTTCTTTAAATTTTAGTATGTTGTAGCCGAGATCGAGACCTTTCCAACGAACTCTCATTCATGAAGATTGAAATCATAGGAAGGGTGATATGGGGGATCAAAGATTACACCTTGATCCGCGCCTTTTCTCTGTATTATTTTTAAGTCCAAAATTTGATCCAAAGTCAAAATATTTGGAATTAAATTTTTAGATACTTTGATAGTCAAGATTGAGACGTTTCTAAAATGTGCTCATTCTTTTTTGTCAATGCCATAGAACCCGAGATATAACGGTTTAAATTTTGTATAAGTGGTTAGAGCGATGCCGTTTCGTTTTCATATTGGACATTATGCATCCACAACTGCATGCGCCCTCTACTTATGCTGCTTTCGCTCACGAAGCTAGTAAATTGCTTACTTTGCGGCGATTGAAATCGAAGCCAGCATCGAAAACCAACCCAAATACAATAATTTTAATCAAGTATATAACAATCTAAGTACTTTCATTTATGGTGGTTAAAGTAAATTTCAACAAATAATAAATAAATTAGATCCAATATCATTTTAGCTTAGCTACAAATCGAGTCTGCCACATTTCGAGTTGGCAGCATCGCCCAGCTCACCCATAAGCGAGCCTACGCGTTCACTAATCACGTCCTTTTGTTTTGCGTTAAACACAATTTCTAAAATTTTTAATCCACTGATAAAATAGTTTAAAATTGTATTGGAATACAGCCAGCCGCTCGGACAATCAAAGCTTCAGCAGAACATTGCTTCTCATAGTTACACATTACAGGTTTTTCAATCACGACAACTGACTGGGATTTTTATTCCTTAGCTCTTTTGGACCTTTTTTTAGGTGTTATTTATTTTACTGAAATAAGCCTGAATTCACCAAAATAGATTTAATAGCCACAAAAGAGCACAAATGGAGTCGTTCAAATGGTGACTCACAAAAAATTGGCTAATGAGATTTCTTTTGGGCACCCAAATATTGCAGATTTATAAAAGGAGTTTTTCTTTCCAGTAGCACTAAACAGCATACTGCCAATTAATTTCGCCACTGCGCTCTAACACCAAATGGCTAAAGCGATCCAGTGGAACCGTCGGTGCCAGAGAGCACACAAAACCTGTGCACTGTACACAGTAACATATAAGTCAAGCTTTCTTTTTACTTTAGAAACACTGAAGTTATTGTATTTATATTTAAAAAAGATGTGAAATAAAGAGAAATCCTAAAAGTTCGCCTAAAAAATGAACTTTTGTTCGAGAAGAGTGACCTCCTTTCCCGATAGTAATTTGAGTACCCAAATAATGACACCAAATATCTCATACGACCTTTACTTAAACCTATTCTAATTTTTTCTTTTGTTTTTTTTTGAGTAAAATATGCAAGAATGACGCCAGTGACAGCTTGTTTGCCGTACAGTTTTTGCACTTCTTTACAACTTTACGCATATATGTGATGAACGTGTCTTATCCATAAGGAACAATTTTAATACGTTTTTCCCACTACAGACGTTTTTTTTTTTTGCGATTCGCATGTAAAGATAAGACCATAGCCACTAAATTGGTTCTGTGCGTGGAAAAAAGAAACTGAGGGGTACATTGACAATTAGATTTTCCTCGGAGTGCATTTTGGATGTGGGCACAAAGATCCGAATCACGATGGCATTCTTAATATTGCACAAGAAAAGACTAAAATAACACGGCCTAGAATTAAGAAAAGTAGAAGTAGTTTCAAAATGCGGCTTAGAAAACTGTGACTTGTTGTCACCACCTATTAGTAAAGTATGGTGAATAGACGTGCGACGTTTCACTATTACCGGATCGCGTCGACGAAGCACAGAAGTGGATTTCGATGACAGTAATACTGTATTGTATTGAGCGACAAAAGGACATATTATCCAATAAAGTTCATGAGATTGCACAGCAACTATTGATCGTAAGATATGTAAGAGCAACAGATTGTGCACTTATATGCGAGAAACAATGACGGTATTACGCTCTTCCACTTGCGCGGCAGCGCGTTCCATACGACGCGAAAAAAAACGAAAACCGTGGAAAATGCGACCTCGCAATACCGTCACATGAAGAGAAGAAGATCCGATATTCATAAGCTTTAAGATCACGGGAATCGTGTAAATTCTTTTTTTCTGCTACATTATTAGTTGAAGAAGACTGCATATTTCATAAGTACTGTCTGATACCAACGGTTATATTTTAGCATGCAATTTTGATAATACATTTTAACAAGAATTTTAACAAAATTCAGAGAATCAAGCAAAATATCTGCAGATGTAGGAAGTGGTACGCATTCCTAATTGAGTATTTCGTATTTTTCATCTTTTTCTTTTTTTTAGAAAAGTTAACAGTCTAACTCTGAAGTGCATACTTACTGATAATCAATGTACGTCTAAACCTTTTCAAACGATATGCTTTCATTTGGGCAAATTGTTTTTATATTTAGTTTCAGTCGAAAAATTTGTTACAAAAAAATATCATATTTCCGGACAAAAATTATTCCAATGACCTTGTTATCATTAAACAGGATTGGATAAATAGAACCGAAGTTTTGGCGTATTTAAAATGAAACCTAATATCGCCAAAACTTCGGTTCTATTTCATCCACAAACAACTGAAACTTATTTTTAGACACGATGTAACCTGGACTACAAAATCCAAATCCAAAATTCAAAGGTTTTTCAATATGGCGTCATTCCTTATGACGTCACAGACTAATAATGTATATGGCATACTAAAGAGCGTCGAGACATGTCTTTTGGTGAAGACATGATCAAAATCAGATTGGGAAACAGCCGAGATATGTACAGGCCGATAAAAGTGTGAACATCAATCCCCATAGGAAGGGTACCGTTGAAAAGGTTTGGGAAACCGACCTTGTATTTGCTCTTACGGAAGCGAGAAGAGAAAGAAGTATGATGCACGAAACACACGATAGAGAAAGAGAGATATCCTTGGATATATTCGCGCAAAGGTTTTCCGTAAACCTTACAGAAAAGTACCAGAAAGTGACTTGCACAATTTACAAACTGAAATGGATGATCAAATTCAATTGTTTTCACCACCCAGTTTGTAATCCATTCATTCAATGCGGTGGTTCAACTGTAAATTAATTCAGCGAGAGTTTGTGCTATATTTATCACCGCGCCACCGTCACCAGTGAATTACGTCAATGATTTGCGGTGCACAGCATCCATTATCTACTATTACTCGGGCATATGTCGGGGTAGGCAACTCACCTGGACAATATTTTAGATACACAGCCGTGACTGACGCGGAGTTGACGTGATATATCACAGGGACGCACGCCATTGTGCGCCAGCTCCACTATTCGTTGTCGCACGACGTCCGGCAGTGGTCGCCCGTTCACGAACACACCACCCAATTGATTCACGCCACCGTGACCTATAAGAAAATAGCACCAAGTTCAATGTCGACAACCAATACTCGATTTCACATTAGATTCCGAAAATCGCAGTAAAATTTTGGTTTGAGTAGTACTTAAGATACAACAGCGAGATTGCAAGATGTAATTTTGCTCACCCCTAGTGAATACTTTGATGTATATCAGATGGGATGTAATTAAATTATGCTTCCTCAATAAATCTATTAATGTACAGATGCGCTAGGAATGTGGTTTATATTTTCATCTAATTCTCATTATTTCGTCCCTTGCGCCTCACTAATAATCCAATTATTCACCATTTGGAATTTTACCGTATGTATAACACCACAAAGAGCACTCAGAAATTTAAAAAAAAATCGCACTAATGTTAAAGAAAAAATGTGTGCAAACTAAAAATATTCGTAAATACATAATATTATTTACAGCATTGATGTTCTCTTTAAAACAGTATTCGAGAGTTTAAACCGATTGCACATTAGGTAAGAGAAGAAAAATGTGTAATAAAAAAGAATTGAGGTGCAAAATTGGTCTAGTAACCGCTGTTTTGACTTTGGTTTGCTATATCTCATATTCCAGAAAAAAACACACGCTAAAAAGCCCCGAAAACATGGCCACTATGAAAGGGGTGTTCTGTCCAAAAAAGTACACACTTAATAGGCTTCAGCAGAAGATTATATACTTCTCCTGATCACTGGTATTTCCCAAAACTGCGTCTTTTTTTATTCAAAGTCGAATTATCGTTCTATTATTGTAACTATTATTGTTTTTCGATTCCTGCTCATTTCATTGCACATGGAGTTTACACAAATCACGATAATTTCTATTTATAGTGGAGTATTCCACCAGGCGTTTGTTGCAAAGAGAGCTCCATAGGGAACATGTACCGATTGGAAAATTAGGATAATTTTAGAAAATATGTAGGCTGGATTTTAAACTAAATTGAGAGAAGATCAGTGTGGTCCAGGAGATTCGATTGTCCGTGCTCAGGCTTGTGTGGGCGCATGTCACAGGCGAGGACGCAACTGCGCAGAGCGATCTGAGCAGGTACAGTGGAGCAAGGAGCAAGCAATCGAGAATAAGCGAGGGCACAGCGAGCCGATCCCAACATCAGGACTGGCAGGCGGGAATCCGCCACGAGAGTGATCAATTAATTTCAGAAATCCGCGTCGACGCACGACCCCAAGCCACACAGAGGCCCTGAAGCATTTACTACATTAGGAGGACGCTGAATTCAAACTTGAGCTATAGCTCAAGCCATATCGCGATCACTTGTCTTAATCTGTAAGAATGGATCACTTTCTTTATATACTGTTAGGAATTTTTTCGGCCACGATAGCAAATACAATATCGATGTGTACAACACGAATGAATAGCAGGAACTGACCGAAATAACTCGTGTGGAATTTGTAATATCGTGAAATGCAATAATGGACATTATACGTGCACATATATGATTTAGCTACAGATGTCAATATTTGCAACATTTTTTATCTCGAAGTTATTATTAATAACTTATAGAGCTTCGTTGAAATGTTATGAACACAAAGTCGTATTGGCCGCTGAGTTTTCTATTTGAAACACGCGTCGTCACGTAAGTCGGTCTTTCTGACTCAGAATGAAAGAATCTAAGAAAAGAAAAGTAAAAAGGGGTTAAGAGTCGCAAACTAGAGCATCGATAGAGCTGACTGACTGGAAATTCGGACTTCGTCACTCAGTTTAAACCACACAGCTATTGAGTCTCTTAACTCTTCCATGTAAACCAAATCATTCTTGTTAATCCATAACACATTTTAATCCAGATTCTCAACAGATATATGGAGCAATTCTAAGTCACACACAAAAATGTTAAACTTCAAACATGTAAAAGTTTACCATTCGAAATGAATAAGGAAAAACAGTCCGTGCTATTTTCGCTAAAACAATATGTTAGAGTTTTAGGCGCCACCACAATGTGTAAGAGAGAATAAATTATGAAATTTGTCAGGATTATTAAAATTCCAGTCCGTAACTAGTAAATCCGCGATAAAAAGAATTTACTGTATCATAATTCGTGTTCATGTTTTAAAATTAGAGTCACAATTGCAGATTTATCCATTGATTTTTTTTTTTCTACATAATCGCCATTTTAAGCCTTTATCTTTCAAAAGTCCAGTAACCGGCTCTTTAGAGAATAAAATCAGAACGCTTCTTCGAGTGAACTTATTTGAGACGCTCTCAGTCTAAAATAATCTTCCACTACGGATCGTCGTCTCTATTCCCGGGAGTTGAGGATCTTCTGTTATTTCACCTTCAAGAGCCGTTATAGCGTCCGCTGCAACAAATTAACTCTTAATCAAGTCACTGTTAAAATTGACTGTAATGCAGTCAATATAGAGTGCAGAACTGAGAATGTCACATCGTGTGTTCGATATCGATCACTGGTTAAATATCAAACATAAAATATGTCAGAAAAGTTTACTATTTAATGTGCCAACTGAAGTAAAAACTTCTATGAAATTGTATATAGAATCTTTCCCAATATATAGGTGGGAACAATACCAGATTGACATCGCTTCCAAATCATCTCTAAAAACGAAAGGCTTAAGGCAAAGCTTTGCGAATTTGTGAATCTGACTGGCTATGTCAAATAGCCTTGCTTCTGAGTGGGACTAATCTAAAATGAGCAAAAACGAGTATACATAAGAGGTCCACTTTGATGCCTGGTTGCAGCAGAGATCAAAGTGCAACGGCAGCTACTATAACCTAAGCCTCAGTAAAGAGCAGCAGTTCATTAGCAGACTACTTGAGCAAATTATTCTTTTTTTTGGCAATTTTTTTTTAGAATCTTCAGCTAAAAATAGTCTAAATAGAACGCAAATGTTTTTTTTAGTGGTTAAAAGCGCAGTTTGTATCATTAACAAAAGGATTCAATGTTGAAAATCATCAATTCAGGGGCTTGCAATAAGCCTATTTCGTCTGGGAATCGATGAAGCTTGAAAATCTCAAACACTGAACTTATTTTCTGGTCCGGGAAAACAGAGAAAGCTAGTGTCAAAATCTCTGTAGCATTCAGTCGGCTCCTTATCAGCAATTGCCATTCAAGCTATTAGAAATACGGACCAGGTTCTAGAGAAGAATTAAAGAAAGTAGCTTGTTCCGGAACCACGAACAGTGGTGTAGTTAAGCATCTGTTCGAGCGTTTTTCATGACACATTTAGCGCATTTTGATTATTATGCTTGAAAGCATTTAAAGGTAATAAAAAAAATATATATATTATTGAGTGTTTATTGTCCTCTATTAGATTGAAAACTGGAAGAAATTTCTCGAAAAAGTATCGATTGTGTGAACGCCAATGGCATCGTAAAATCGAATGATGTACATATCGAGGAATTGAATTTTGGTCCCTTAAAATGAGCATATTTTGCCAGTTCCAGGTTAAATTGCCTTCAAACAGCAGAAACAGCATAGCCAAAGTGGCGAACAAAATGGGAGAAACAAGTTTCCATTAGGCTCCGCAGCTATTGCAGTTGTCTAGCAGTTGTTTTGACAGCAGTGTACATGGTTCTACAAGCATTTGAAACAGGGTTTACGAGAGAAGAAAGGATAAAACGACATAAACAGAGAAGAATATAGTTGCCGCCATTTTCACAACGGTAATCCGGCAACCTGTTCTAATATTAGCGGTAAAACGTCTATCCAGTCCAATGTGCATTTCTGTGAGTAAAATACTAAATTTAAGAAACCTCAGCCTTTCTTTTCTCACCCAGGAGACAACAGTGGCTGATCCAACCACTTGTCTTGCTCGGTCTTGAGCCGGAGTGCCTTAATTACCGCACTCTCAACTACGGTACAAGACTGGATGAAGGCTTAAGGCTTTACTCAAGTCAAACAATACAGTTTGTTTTTTGTTTTGTTTTTTTGAGGTACTAAGGGGAGTCCGCTTTGATCCCATATTTACTCCTTTCCTTTTTTCCTTTCTTCTCACAGATCCTTACGTTCTGAGTTGGAAATACCGACATATTGCTGTCGCCACCTGTCTTGCCTTTAGACCAAGCAGCGACCTTAACTTGGCCACACAGTGAGGGGCTCGCACGCATCGATCACTCATTGATCACTTCGAATACACACACACACACACACACACTTGCATCACAACAAAAAATGGCTTATTTAGAATTTTAAGCACCACTGCTGCGAATAAATGAAATGCAAAAAATTAATTGTATAGATTGCTATCCAAAGTACGTGATATTTTTTGGCTTGAAACTAATAATATGATATGGAGGGCACCATAATGAGATCTAGTGATCAATTAATAAAGTAAGCGAATATCACTGAAACGTATTTCCTTACTAATATGACGCAACTTTTCTGACAGTTCGATTGTATTCCCGGCAGTATTTCCAGTTGTTCAGGCATTCATCAGTTATTATGTAAAATTTTACCCAAAGCAAAGGTCTTATGAGAATATATTATTATAGAGTGCCAAGTCTGAAGCTCCCGGATCGAATCCGGAGAGCATACTGGAGATTTAGGTCATTGCATATGATGGAAAGAAATTGAGATAACTGTCCTTGAAAATGTTTACTGTCGATTCTGTCTCAAAGATGAAATTAGAATGGTTTGTTTTGTTAGCAAAGACCATACTAAAGAACCTATAGTCTATGAAACGATTCTGGTGTCAGCATGACCGCGTGTATACAATCTACCATCCTGGGCGTGAGACTTTCCGAAAAGCAGAGTTGACCCATTGAGATAACGCTTACACGTGTAGTACTCCATCATGTTCTGATTGTATCTGTACGCAGTAGACAGGTCCATATTGCAAACACCAGTCACGAGGCACTCACGCACGCGACGGTCATCTGGTCAGGCCTGAACGAGCACCATGACCGCGAGATCACGACTGTTGCTTCCGCGCTGATGCGACGAGGCTGCACGGCGACCTGCCTGGGGTACTGCAGCCTGGTTGGTCCAGTGTCCTCAGTTCATTATAGCACCACCCACAGAGGGCGTCACACGCATGCGCTCTTTCGGAAGCCATGCAGTCGTTTACTGCTGCCCCGGCATGCTGCTGCCTCGGCATCAGTTTACATTTTTCCAACAAGCTGGTCGTGTGAGAGCGCGGCTTGACATCCTTGAGTGAGATTCAGGCCTGTTGAACCAGTTCAGTGTACAATTCTCCAGCAAAAGACATTCGATATAGCGCTGGGCTTCCCTCGTCGTATTTCCCATCTTTGTGGTACAATCTGTCCACGATATTGGAGAGTTACAAATATTTATAAATATGAAATCTGTAATTTTTTCATTTCTTGTAAAAAGATATACGAAATTTTTCTTGAAATATTCTACGAGCTCTTCTTTTTTTATTTTACACGTAACTTTTTTTACATCTCTACTGGTTCTAGTAAATGTGCGTAAAAGCAGCAAAATGCAAGAATAGAATTATCATATATTGTTTTTTTCTATTTATTTTTCTGATTAGTCAATCTTTATTGAAAAAGGGCTGTAGTGTAAAAACTATAGAGTGATTTTTCCCCAGAAAAAGGTGGTAAACATCTGAACCATATAACTTATCTCGGTACTTGCGTTATTGTGTGAAGTATATAGCGAAAAAGACTGAGGTGCAAATTAAACAGCAGTTATTTTTTATCGTCCTAAATCAAACGGTATAGGATTGATTCCATTCGTTCAAAGATTTATTTAAAAAAAACTCTACCGTTATGCTTAAATTAAAATACTGTAAGATATTGTTATTTTAAAAATACTACCATATTATTGATTCATAAATTTGTAGACTTTCTTTAACAATATTGTATGTTGTGTTGTAACTTTACTTCCATTACACTTCAAATAAGCTATCAAAGTTATGAACGCGCCAAAAGGTGTTGCAAGATTACAATTCATATCACTTACAGAAGTGGGGAATTCATCATCTTCTGTGAGATTTGAAACATTAATATCTGAAGTTAATTCATATATTTCGTCATATGAAGACAAGAAAAGCCAAAAAATACACGTGAAAACCAAGGACGTTTACTGTAATTATGTTTTTATGTCGAACAACACATATTTATTGGATTTTTCTCGACATTTGTGCACATTGCTATATATTAGATCAAGGGTTTGTATTTCCAGACACCCTTTGACTCCTCCCCAAGGAAACTAATTAGTTTCCCAATATATAAGAAGTTATGGTTTAATTCCATTCACGCACATATGTCGTGACTGTGTTAAAATATCACAACAAAGACATCTTCCGGGAAGATGTCTTGTTACTGGTATTCTCTATTTCGTCCTGTTAAATTCATTCTTCGCGTTGAAAATATCCCTTGGTAATCGTCGAAAACTCCTGGAAGTTCTTTGAGATTAGATTAGGAAGAACACGAAAAAATGCGCTTCACTTGCACTGAAGAAGATTCCCTAACTCCTGCCTGCTTAAAAGTAGCCGCAATGAAATGACATGCTGGCAGCTGAAATTCGTATTTAATTAACTCTCCACTAAACCTTTCAATGCCTTCTTGTTCGTATTTCATTTTAATTTTACACTAGCAGTCGCCAGGCGGCGGACAATGCATATAAGCTATGAAAAGCGAAAAGTTCCAACTCGCTCGGCCAGGTTCCAATTCATCAAGCCCCATTAGAATGGAGATTTTTTTGTAAATATTCTGTTCTCAACTTCAAAATATAATAAAAACAAATCAGAGAAAATGCCATTTTTTTTTAGTTTTTCGTCTTGAAAACTTCCAAAATAGTTTTTTTTTAAACTTCAACATCCCTAGCGGTGATTGTATCAAGTTATTGTGCCGGAATGGAGGATGGCTTTGCAAGGCCTTTTCCATTAGTATAAAACAGTTTTAATCAGTAATTGGAAACGGAGTAGAGACCGTTTTACATTTTCGGCTTTGGATCATGAAATCTAGGGTTCAGAAGAACCTGGCGCCTGAAGTGATCCGAATATAACGAAGAGAGAAGTGTAGCTTTTTTTCGTCTTATGTTGTTCTCCTGCTTGTCGAAACACAGAGGTTTCTAACGCCTTACAGGTAAGAAATATCGACATAGCGAGGTTTTCGCTGAAAATATGCTGTTACTCGAAAGATGATGTGGTCAAATCCTACCCCAACCCTTCCACCAACCATTAAAAAATCACTTTTTATTTACTCAATCCCTATGATATGGATCGAGTCCAAATTTTAATTTGTTACAGCTTGCGTCAAGATTTAACCAGTGAACCCATCACTTTAGATCATCGATCTACTTGGACCCTAGATGTCAAAATCCAAATTTGGTTAATAAAATAGTCTAGACTTCGTTTTCCATTACCGATTGGAAGAAATTCGGCCTTTTTAGATATGTTTCACAAAGTGCCACTTCCTATTTCAACATCATAATTTGGGACGCCAATTTCTAGGACAGACTTTAGTCAGTCAAAAACGATTTTGAAAAAATTATAGACGATTATCACAGACTAATTATTACATATTTATCTAGTTTTTGACATGTTGTAGCTGATTAAGGACATTTTCAATAACACCATACTTATGTATATGGCTCGATGTTCCGGGAGCGGAGATGTGGAGGGTCACAATGTGCATCTTTAGTGACCCATATCACCGCTGTTTACCGTTCGATCAAAGATTATTATTCTGTGAAGTATAATTAAAATTTGGATGCCTGTATCCTGGCACATTTGTGAAGATAAGATTTTAGCATGTTGTATTTCAATTCAAGACGTTCCCACAAATAGATCATAACTTTACATTGATGTACTATAGGTCCGGAATTTTGGGGGTTCAAAGTTTAGATTTTAAATTCACTATGATCTTGGTTCTCTATTTGTCGGATCTAAGGCTCTGATAAACTTCTGAACTATTTAAAACAACATATGTTCATCTTACTACCGCTAGAGTCACTAAAATGAATAATAATGTAATTTTTTTTTTAATTTTTAAAACTTCCTAAGTTGAGCTTAAGAAGTTATGCTTAATAGAACTAAAGTTATGATGGTTCAAATTTTTCATATGAAAATTTTGATATATTTTAATTTTTACTTTTTCAAAATTGCCACATCTGTTGTTGGCTACAGAAGAAAGCTACTACAATTCCTATCTCCCTTTTAAGCGCACACTAATCGTGTGCTTATTTATTTACATTTTCTCTCTCTCTCGCTTCTCCGTGCAAATAACCTGGGCGAAGTTCAGCTCTATCTGTAATAGTGCAAAAAATCAAATGTCGCAAAATCGACTAAAATGACGTCAGAGAGGCTAATTATGACGAAAAGGAGGGTCATTTTTTGGGTCCCGTCCGCCGGTCGGTGAATAAAAAATATAGCGATGAAAAATAACCATAGCTCCGCTTTTTATTAACTGATCGGAATGATTTTATTTTAATTAGAAAGATCTCGTAAAATGCCATCTCCCACCCAAACATTATAACTTTAAAGGACCAGCGCTAGAAATGCTAAAGTCGAAAAAACCATTTTCGAAATTGAATAACTCGGAAACGAAATCTTGCATTTTCTTTAAATTTAAATATGTTGTAGCTGAGGTCGTAGCTGAGGACTATGAATATTGAGTGCATGTGCCCTCTACTTATGCTGTTTACCCTCACAAATCTAGTGAGTTGCCTACTTTGTGGCGATTGAAATCCATAAATTATTTTTTATCTCTAGCAATGGCTTGAAGTTTCACATGCCCCGCGATTCATAGCTGAAAATTTATATTATCCGATTTCGGCCCGAATCACCAAATTACTGTTGAAATTTGCGTGTAATTTTCTTAAAATACTTTTGAACATGGACACGAGGAGTCGCAAGAGCGTTTTTTGCTGGGACTTTGCGATGCTCCACCAGAAGCGCACGCTCCGTCGGTAAATTTTCGTCAAGTCAGACATGCCGAGTGTTTGAAAAATGTCAACTACGCATAAAACTTGCGGAAATCTGCAAACTGTGGACACAATTAAGCAGGTAAGTAATCATCAAATGTAAGAAATAATGTCTTAAAACATTTGTATGATGGAACATCAAGGTTTATTTTATTTTTAAATTAAAATTACCAATTGAACGTGTATTCTTTGCATTCAATCTTCATTCTTTATATCTAATATCACTTTAGCTTAGCTACAAATCGAGTCTGCCACATTTTGAGTTGGTGGCGTCGCCCAGCTCACCCATAAGCGAACCTTGGCGTTCGCTTATTACATGTTTTGTATATTCTTCGTTTCTCTTGTTGTTACTTCATTGATAGTTCACGAATAAGATAAGTTAAAGTAAGTAGAAAAAGAGATTCAAATGGGAAACTCTCCTTTTTAAAATACTTTTCTATGCCAATTATATCTCGCAAATTTTCATAAAGGTAAGAATTTACATCGATATTTGTGGTATTAATAGCAAATTTAAAGTGAATGCGATGAGAAGAAAAAATTTAAAATGCGTTGATCGTGAGACACACAATATATCGTTGTTCCAAGTATTGCGAAATTAGAAGACACTAAGCACAATCCAATTCATTTTATATATTCTGTTCATATTTATGCGAAGAGTCTTCTAAAAAGTACTTGTATTTTAGGTACGATAACAACATAATATGTTTGATTGAAATGACACAAAACAGAGATTTATTTAATAACATAACATCTTGCCTAAGTCCCAGAGGAGCGTCAAAGTAATCCAGGACGGAAGTTACAGTAAGAAGGTGAAGAAATCTCATTAACATCGTGTGAATACAAGTATTTGATAAAGAAGAGATGATTGAAGAAACAAGAAGAATCAGTGGGGCAGGTGTGATGAATGATTTCGGGGCGTATGGTGGGGACAAATGTTT